TCATCATGGAACTGGGTGCGACAAGATGCTCTCCTCATGTACTATGATATCATCCACGGCCGCCTCACCACCGTCGACCGCGAACTTACTGCCCGCTGCATCGCTCTACTCAACCGCGCTGACCCTGAACTTCTCACTTACATGCAATACAACATCGATCATTGCGACGCTAGCAAGGGTGATACATATGTTCTTGCCAAGCAGTTTGGCCAACAGCTCATCGACAACACGAAGGAAGTCATTGATCACCCCCCGGTATACAAGGATGGTAAGCACACAGACTGATTTTATTTATTGCCGTTAATCACGTTCAAATCAGTAACATTCCCCACCGCTCCTCATACTGAAGTCACGGAGAAAGGTGACATCGTCTACTCCGAAGTCGTCCGGGAGAATGTTCGCAAGTTGGAAGCATATGTCGAGGAGATGGCCAGTGGAGATACTATCTCCACTGTGAACATCCAGAAGGTGCAAGACGACGTTTTGAAACTGTGGACTGTAGTTAGATCCCAACCTGGCATCAGTCAAGACCAGAAGAACCGCATCAAAGCGTTGTACGAGGGAGTCGTTCGTTCCCTCAGAAAGGGCCCCGAACAAGCCCGCGCTCGCACTCGCAGTCGTCGCTCTTCTTCCCAATTCCTCCGTCCGCAGATAACCTCCTCCACCACCGTGTCCGCAGACAAGGTCCCCCTTCTCCATCTCAAACGCAAGGTGGGCAGCAACTGGGAGTACTCCAGCAACTTGACTGGCGTGTATCTCGACATTCTTCATGAGATTGCAACCTCGGGCACAACCTTCAAGGACAAGAACGCCCTTCTAACCGGCGTTGGCAAGGGCTCTATCGGTGTGGAGATCCTGAAGGGTCTTCTGTCGGGCGGTGCACATGTCGTTATCACTACCTCCCGCTACAACCGAGCGACCGTGGAATACTACCAATCTATCTACCAGAGCTTTGGCGCTAGAGGATCGGCCCTCACTGTTGTTCCCTTCAACCAAGGTTCGAAGCAGGACGTTGAAGCACTCGTTGACTACATTTATGCCACGCTCGGTCTCGATCTCGACTACATACTTCCCTTCGCCGCAGTACCTGAGAATGGCCGCGAGATTGACGGCCTGGATGACAGGTCTGAGCTTGCCCATCGCATCATGTTGGTAAACTTGCTGCGCATCCTCGGTGCAGTGAAGAACAAGAAGGCATCTCGTCACTTCGTCACCAGACCAACCCAGGTCATCCTTCCCCTGTCTCCTAATCATGGTCTTTTCGGCAACGACGGTCTCTATTCGGAATCCAAGATATCTCTGGAGACCTTGTTCAACCGCTGGAACTCAGAGAGCTGGGGCGAGTATTTGTGTTTGGCTGGTGCTGTTATCGGGTGAGTATCGTCGCATTTTTCCCGCTACATTAGCTTACAATAGATAGATGGACCCGTGGTACAGGACTCATGGATGCTACGAACATTGTCGCAGATGAGGTCGAGAGTCACGGTGTCCGTACCTTCTCTGCGAAGGAGATGGCTTTCAATATCCTCGGCTTGATGCACCCGTTGCTCTTCAGCATCACCCAGGTTGAGCCTATCTGGGCTGACCTCAATGGTGGTATGGATCGTCTCCCTGACCTCGCTGATATCACTAGCCGCATTCGCATGAATTTGAACAAGAAGAGTGAGCTTCGTCGTGCTATCGCGCGCGACAATGCTCTTGATTTCAAGGTCATCAATGGAGCGGAAGGCGAGCGGGTCCTGCAAACCGTCAATGTGGTCCCGCGAGCAAACTTCACATTTGAATTCCCTGCCCTGGAGCCCGCTTCATCCCTGCATGATCTCGAGAAACTCCGTGGCATCATCGATCTGGAGAAGGTTGTCGTCATCACTGGATTCGCCGAAGTCGGTCCTTGGGGTAGTTCGCGCACTCGTTGGGAAATGGAGGCACGAGGAGAGTTCACGATTGAGGGCTGCATTGAGATGGCTTGGCTCATGGGTTACATCAAGCACTTCGATGGGCGTCTCAAGGACGGTTCGCTTTACGTGGGCTGGGTTGATTCTAAGTCTGGCGAGCCTGTCGACGACAAGGATGTCAGAAGTCGCTACGAGAAGGAGATTTTGAGTCACGCTGGTGTGCGGATGATTGGTAAGTCACGTCCCATCCTTGATCAGACGGTTTTTGATTTCCCCGCAGAGCCCGAGCTGTTCCGCGGCTATGATCCCAAGAAGAAAGTCTTCAACCAAGAGATCGAGCTTATTCATGACTTGGAAGCAATCGAGGTTGCACAATCTGAGGCCGAGAAGTTCAAGTACGAGCATGGCGACAAATGCGATATCTGGACCGGAGAAGGTGACCAGTGGTTCGTCAAGTTCAAGAAGGGTGCACGCGTATTTGTCCCCAAGGCGTTCAAATTCAGTCGCCTCGTTGCTGGCCAAATTCCTACTGGATGGGATGCTGGCCGCTACGGTATTCCACCAGATATCGTCGCTCAAACAGATCGCGCCACTCTCTGGGCCCTTGTTTGCACTGCTGAGGCTTTGAACATGTCTGGAATAACCGATCCCTACGAACTATACAAGTACTTCCACCCCTCCGAAGTTGGCACTTGCGTCGGCAGCGGCATGGGTGGCACGGAAAGTCTCGCGCAAATGTTCAAAGACCGCCGCGAAGAGAAAGACGTCCAGAACGATATCTTGCAGGAGACGTCAGTCCACCTTACTTTTTCTGACGAATATTCATAATTAACAATCTTTACAGTTTCATCAACACTACTGCTGGATGGATTAACCTTCTTCTCATGTCTTCCAGCGGTCCAGTGAAGATTCCTGTTGGCGCTTGGTGAGTCTTCATAACGATTCATGATTTGTTGTTTCTTACGTCATTTCAAACCTCAGTGCGACTGCACTCCAATCTCTCGAGATCGCCTCTGATACGCTGTTATCTGGGAAGGCGAAAGTTATGATCGCTGGTGGCTTTGATGACATCAGCGAGGAGGGCTCTTATGAGTTCGCCAACATGAAGGCCACGAGCAACGCCGAGACTGAGCTCGCCATGGGACGAGAGCCCACTGAGATGTCCCGTCCCGCTACAACCACTCGCTCAGGCGTAAGTCCTCTGATCTATACACTCGATGTTTTTAACTCATCAACTTTGCTTATTAGTTCATGGAGTCTCAAGGGACTGGTATACACATCATTATGACTGCAAAGACAGCCTTGGAGATTGGTGCTCCTATCCGTGGTATTCTGGCATTCACGTCGACATCCACGTAAGTCCACGTCAAACCTGAACGATGTACACTTCCTCACTGTTCTACAGTGACAAGGCTGGACGATCTATCCCAGCTCCTGGTCGTGGTGCCCTTTCTGTCGCAAGAGAACTCCCATCGAAGTACCCCCTTCCTAGTCTCAGTCTCGATTACCGCTCTCGCCAGATCGCCTTCCGACGCAAGCAGATCTCCGAGTGGCTCGATCACGAGCTCTCTCAGTTGCGGGAGGAGATGGACGCTCTCGAGGCCGATGGCGGAGATGTTGACAAAGAATACTTTTCATCCCGTGTTGCAGATATTGAGAAGGAAGCTCACGGCCAAGAGAAGGAGGCTTTGGCTACGTACGGGATGCTTGAGGGTGCTGATCCTCGTGTGGCTCCTATGCGCCGTGCACTCGCGGTGTGGGGCTTGACGGCAGATGACGTTGGTGTCCTCTCGATTCACGGAACGAGTACCGGCGCGAATGAGAAGAACGAGACGCAGATCTGGCACAACATCTTCGAGTCCATGTCGCGTACCCACGGCAATGCTGTTCCTGTGATTGCTCAAAAGAGCTTGCTTGGACACTCGAAGGGTGGTTCAGCGGCGTGGCAGATGGCTGGTTTGTTGCAGACTGTCATCACTGGTATTATCCCAGGTAACCGCAACAGCGAGTAAGTACTAAGTCTTCAAAATTGGTTTTGCCTGCTCATGGCAATCCTTAAGCAACATCGATGCCCGATTCGAAGCTCATCATTTCCTCATGTTCCCGTCGAGACCTATTCATACCGATGGTATCCGCGCTGGTGTCATGGTGGGTTCAACTGTTCGTTGTTTGTCACGGGCTAATACCGTGGCCATTAGTCGTCCTTCGGTTTCGGTCAAGTCGGTGGCACCGCAGTTGTTGTTCATCCCCGTTATCTCTTCGGTGCTCTTGAAACCTCCGAGTATGAGTCATACAAGATACGCAACCAGTCCCGTGCGCAAGAGGCATACAAGGTTATGACAGAGATGATGACCTCCAACAGCCTTGTCAAGATCAAGGAAGGCCCACCGTACACTCCCGAGTTGGAGCAGGCGGTTCTCATGAACCCCATGGCTCGTGCTACCTTCGATCCGAAGACTCGCAGCTACTCATATACCGCCAAACTTGATAAAAGCATTCCGTTCGATACTGCCAATGCCAAGGTCGTTGCAGATGCTCTTGCATCAAATGGATCTGTAGCAGGAGTCGGTGTCGATCAAGAGTTGATATCCTCTGTGCCGTCCTCTAACCCTTCTTTCGTCAAACGCAACTTCACCGAGGCTGAGATTGCCTACTGCCGCAGCCAACCGTCGCCTCCGTCCTCCTTCGCAGCTCGCTGGGTAGGCAAGGAAGCAGTGTTCAAGTCGCTCGGCGTGCCGTCCAAAGGTGCTGGCGCTGCAATGAAGGACATTGAGATCCTGCCGAACGACTCTGGCGTTCCGACTGTAACTCTTCATGGCAACGCAAAAGCTGCTGCGCAGGGTAAAGGCATCACCAATGTGTTGGTGTCCTTGAGTCATTCTGAGGTATGTGTCGTGAACCCACATCATCAAATCATGATCTGACATGCTCCAATTAGACCGTTGCTATCGCTTTCGCTCAAGCTTCATCATAGAAAATCGTTTACTTTGGACCCTCATGACTGGCATGTTTTCGATAATCCAATACTTTACGCAAGAATGAAATTGATATCCGCTGTTGTAACATAGAGTAGACTGGAACATAATAGATCTCTTCACTTTCCAGGGTGTGCGAATGCGAGGCTAGTGACAGAATCAAGAAACGTACAAGCCGTTCTGAATGATATAATTGGCGACGGATGAAGTAACGAGGCTCCTCCATGTCTCGTCCTGCAGTGCAACCTTGGTTCTCACTTGGCTTGAGCTGGTTTGCTCGTCAACTCCGTCAGCACCTATACTGATCAACGTAACTCGCTCGCTCTCCACGAACTCCTTTGCCGCGGAAAAAGTCTTTGCTTCTACTTCCTCTTGTACCAAATGTTCCACTTCTGCCAATTTCCGCCGCGCACATACCACATAGCAATCATCTCCCACAGGCGAGAAAAACAAACGAAGAGCATCCATCATCGCAGCTTCAGATGCATAATATCTCGGAGACAGAAGGCGGACGAGAGTATCAAAGCCAATCAGGAACATTAGGCGTGGATCGGGCATTGATATTTCACTAGAAGTAGGTGATGTTGCCATTTTGTCCAGAGCAATTGCAGGAGGATACAAGCCCGAAATCCGCGCACGCAGGAACCGCCGAAGAACTATGGCTTTTCCGACGAAAGTTGGTTCATCGACGATGGCTATTGCGACGTTGGCGTGCGCAGACTCGGGCTTATCCTCAGGGAGCTGCGAGACCGATGCTGATATGTCCTTTGATAAGAGGTACATCATCTCCAGACGCTGCTCATATGTTGCATCGCCAGGTTTCAGTGCTTTATCGGCGTTCCGCACGGATAGCAGCAGCAGCCTTGCATCATAATCGAGCTCAGCTGCTGATGCCAAAGCCGAGGCTGTGAGGCCCGATTTCATAGTGTACCGTGGAGGTCGAGAGTTTGCCAGAGCAAGATGGGCACATGTCGGTGGATTGAAGGAAGAATCTAAGACAGATATACGAATGGTGTCAGGTTTACGTTGTGGGTGAATGGGCAGTCGAGGGCAAGGCCAACGCTCATGGGACGTGTAAACGAGTTCCAGAGCAGACTCATGCCTTTGTATTTTCTGGAGGAGTTTGAGTGCATGACCAGGAGGCCATAACGGTTGTCCGTTCATGTTTTAATTCTACCGGCAGCCCTCAGCATCGAACCAAGGTAGATCTAGCCTGAGCCGATAGACCCACCGAAAAGAGTGACTCGCAGTCTGGCAGAGATAAGATTCTGACTCAGGTCTGACTTGCCCTTTAAGATCAACAATTGAATGACCTTAGGACCTTCCATAATCGGATGACCTGTCATCAAGCAAACCTTTCGCTCTAACCATCACTCATGGAGAAGGACGCAGACGGTTTTTATACTCCAAAACTCGAAGGTTTGCGACGTATCACTACCAGGTAGTACAAACATGACATTTTGTAGGTTCCGCACCACTTGCACAGGATGAAAGCAAAGACGCGAAGGAAGCGGAACAGCAGCCTGAGCCTGCTCCATCTTGTGCGTGCAGGTCGCATCGCTGTCTCGTAACGACACTGATGTCGTGCTCTTAGCTACCAGAACCGACTTGATTGCGTCCACGTTCGAAGTCACGGTACGTTTAGGAGTTGCGATAGTAAATTGTTAAATGACTGACTATATTTTCAGGTCACACTTGCAGACCAGCAGGCCGACCCGAATTCTCCTTTATTTAGTGCCAAGACATTCGAGGAGCTTGGACTGTGCGTTGTTGTATCCCGATATTCTATGCAGCTTTAACGATTGATCGTAGCCATCAAGATTTATTGAAGGGTCTCTATGATCTTGGTTTCTCGAAGCCGTCGAAGATCCAAGAGCGTGCTCTGCCCCTACTGCTCTCAAACCCGTGGGTGCACTGGCTTGTGTAACATGGGACTATGTTACTGATTTCTACCTCAAGTCCTCAGAACATGATTGGACAATCGCAATCTGGCACAGGCAAGACAGCCGCATTCGTGCTTACCATGTTGAGTCGTATAGATTTTTCCAAGAACAAGACACAGGTCAGTTCTATGCACATTTGTGCGGCTCCTCGTTAAGACTAGCTGCATGCAGGCACTATGTCTAGCTCCTTCACGAGAACTTGCACGTCAGATTATGTCTGTTGTCGTTGCGATGGGCAAATTTACTCCAGTTCAGACGGAGTACGCAATAAAGGATAACCTTCCTAAGGGCGCATCACGGATAACTGCACATATTGTCGTCGGGACCCCGGGAACGATGACGGATCTCCTAAGAAGAAAGGTTATCGATACATCTGAAGTTAAGGTGTTTGTTCTCGATGAAGCGGATAACATGCTTGACCAGGACGGACTTGGTGACCAGACCCTGCGGGTGAAGAAGTGAGTGCGTTTCTCTCTTATTTGGGCCACAATTCACACTCTTCTTTCGCTATAAGCCTCATTCCCCGATCAGGCGTTCAAATTATCCTATTTTCTGCAACATTCCCCGATCACGTTCGCAATTTCGCTAGTAAATTCGCTCCCAGTGCGAACAAGATCGAACTTCAGAGGGAGGAGCTTTCTGTGGAGGGCATCCGGCAATTTTATATGGATTGCAGAAATGAGGATCATAAATACGATATCCTCGTGTCCCTATATCAACTTTTGACGATCGGTCAAAGTATCATCTTCTGCCAGGTTAGCAAGATTTCGCCTGCCTGTTCGTACTACTAACTATTCTTCTGCTCTTCCTAGCACCGCCATACGGCAGACAGAATATCACAACGCATGTCAGCTGAAGGTCACAAGGTGGCATCACTTCATGGTGCCAAGGACGCCGCAGAACGTGACGCTATTATTGACAACTTCCGTGAAGGACGCGAAAAAGTCCTTATCACGACGAACGTCATCGCGCGTGGCATTGACATCATGCAGGTCAACATGGTAGTGAATTACGACCTGCCATTGATGAATGAGCGGGGAAATCAACACTCCAATGACGCAAAACCCGACGTTGAGACGTACATTCACCGTATTGGTAGGAAGATTTGAGGATTCGTCCCGTGCTTTCCTTACTAACAACCCCTGTTTCTCAAGGCCGCACAGGTCGTTTCGGACGCAAGGGGATTTCAGTCAACTTCGTCCACGACAGCCGGACTTGGGCACAGATGGAGGAGATTGAAAAGACACTAAACAAGAAGATCATCCGAATAGAGACTAACGATCTCGAGGAGATGGAAGAGGTGCGTGTATAATCTTTGATTCGCCTATCACTGGGAAATCTGATTTCTTTGCTCTGTAGAAAATGAAGAAGGCGTTAAAGTAATTTGCGCTTTTGTATCTGGATGTGGATTCTCTGTTGTATCACGTTATATCGCCTTGCGACCTCGCATCAATCGGACATGTCCTCGTGGCCGGTATCGTCACGTTCGATTGGAAGTTTCAATTGTGTGCAGTCTTGTATCGTAATTTCTGGATTTGAGCGTGGACCAGGTGTCGTGTATCTATGGTCGAGGAAATAGTAGATAAACGATTGCATGTAGCATTCGGCGGAAACGGCGATCTCTCTACGCGGAGCCTAGTAGCTTTATGTAACATTGGCAAAGCATTGGAATGACCGGAAGCGCATAATGTTTCTTCTTTTGAGTACCAGCAAGTCAATCTCGATATATGGGATGGAGTGGGCAGGCAAGAAATATGTTCATGCGATGTATGTTTATCTGAGCAACAGCCAGAAGAGACAGAAATGTTATTGGCACATTGAAGCTACGAATCTCTGCCAGACATAGCGAGCGCATTGGCATTGTAGAATAGATATTCTAGACCAGGAATAGGGACCTCTTTCGATTGTCTGCAAAATTTTGTTAGAGGCAACTCAGGAGTATTGGAACAGACTTACAGCTCGCGCACTATGATAAGAGAAGCCGTTAAAAACAATAAACGTGTGATTGGTCTATGCTCACCTCGAATTACGAAATTGGCCGAAACTGCAAAGAACAGAAGTGCACTGATAAGGACAGGTCCAACGATGTGGTCTAGGAAATGACAGTGAGCTGTGATCAACTATGAATTCATCATATTAACCATAATGCCCAGGATCGCGTTTGCGAATCATTGTGATCCTATTCTGGTAGATCACAAAACCATAGACCTAAATCTCGCATGAGCATCGGTTTATAGTAAATAGCAGACTTGTGGGTGTTCACCAAAACAGCAATGCTAATCAAGGCATAAGTATATGCGAATCTCCGGGCCACCACGTCTTTGGACGCATTGAAGAGGGCAAGTGCCAAAGTTCCCAATAACACAGCAAGGTTCAGCCAAGATATCCATGCTTTGATTGGCGTTAACAAATGACGAGAGAGAGAAAGAGGATAAACGCTAACTCCTTTCATTGGCAAACCATACCTTTCCCTCAATTTTCAGGGACGTCGCTACTTTCTTCGGTACCCGTATCTGGGGCGGTACAGAATTGATGGCATTGTAATCTCTGATTGTAGGTCTTTGACCATCAACGTCGTGGTCCACGTCTGGAATATCATCTTCTCTCGTGTAGCGCACGGGCCTTTGGGTGTTTTCGGGGAGAGCCGCCAACGCGGATGAAGAGAACGGAAAAATTGCTGTCCATGACCGCCTGAGAAGGCCGCCGTTCGTGTTATTGTCTTCGCCTTCAGGCTGTTTATTAGTGGCCATGGTTTACACAAAACTGTGAATTGGGAGAAAGAGCGGCGGTGCTGAGTCGATTACTAATCATAACTTAGTAATTCTCTTAGCGCTTCCGATCCTGGCTGCATGCAAGTTGCAGGCTACACTCTTCGAGTCGGGATTTTCTTTCAGACTGGCTGCACTCTATTCACAGTGGGATAAATTCAGGAGTTCTTTTTTGATTTACAAGAAAAGCTTTGGAATTTCTCCGCCTTGAAGAGTCCATACTTATCTTCGTCACGGTCACTGGTGTGAGCACCAAAGGCGAACTTCACACTCTCTCCTAAAATTATAGGCTAGGGCCTTGATGTCACTTCGGACTCTACTATTCTTAGCATGCAATTGAACGAAAAGAAATATTTCTCATCCCAGGCAATGCGAACTCTGAAGGAAGGACAAGGTCTTCCATGGGTTCTGCGACCATGTACTCAGAAGAGAGTCTCCAGCTCCAGCTAGAGGAACTGCATGTCGCCGACGACTTAGATGTGTACGACCGATTCAACAAAGCCCAGAAAAACTTCATTGTCTTCGCAGTGTCGTTTGCAGGGCTACTTCCTAGTGCGTATAAGTCAAAGAAGACAAACCATCCGACTGAGTGATCTTGTCGCTCCAGTGTTCGTGACTGGGACCTTTGTTCCTTCGATCCCCCAGATAGCACATGACCTCGATTCCACAGGTGTTGTTGTGAGGTATGTTTTTGAATTTTGCGGTATGCACAAGCTGGTGATCCTGAATCGGCTGCCCTCAGCTTTGCTGTAAGTCTATCAGTCTTTGCGAATGCGATCGGTGGTTTGGTATGGGCAGCGTACTCTTCATTTTGTAAGTTTGTTCAATGGCTGTTGCGTACTTTCAGTCAACCTCATCCTCCCAAAGATGGGCGCCGGCCAATGTTCTTATGGGGTATGCCTATTTTGTGCATAGGAAGCCTCGGCGTTGGAGCATCCGTGTCTCTCACAAGCTTGTTGTTCTGGCGGTTTGTTCAAGCTTTCGGTTGCGCTGGCGGAGTGTCGGTAGGTGCGGCCGTTATTGGCGACATCTACAGGGTCGAGCAGCGAGGTACTGCCATGGGTATTTTCTTTGGGGTACATGTGCTTTCATTTGATAATGTTTCGACGTCTTATCACTTCTTTTGTAGGCTTGTCTTCTGGGCGTCGCACTGTCACCTATTACAGGAGGCACAGCAGCACACTACTGGTCATGGCGCAGTCTGCACTTCTCACTTGGAGTATGGGGCATTATCGAGATGATTCTAATATATTTCTTCTTCCCGGAGACAAGTCATCCGCATTTGGGAGGGACCCGTGAGCCGACATCAGGATTCAACTTTGTGTGGATCAATCCTTTTAGCAGTGTCTGGCTGCTTCGTAGTCCAAACATCATGGCTGTCGTTTGTCCTTGCTTTCTTCTTACTTCACACTGCCTGAAGTCTTTGTCTTCAGACATTGGCAAATACATCAGCGATGGTATCGGAGTATGGTATGTTGAGATTGTCGACGTCATCTCCGAGACTAACTTGACCACCAGTTCTAATGGTCCCAATTGCCTACACGATTGTGGGTCCTGCCATCCCATACAGATCATCTGGTCCATTAACATCTGATTCCAGGGTGCTCGATACCACATCTCTAACGAGGCACTGATCGGCGCGTGCTTCCTCCCCAGTGGACTCGGAAACTTCGGTATGTACACATTCGCCTATTGGAGTGCATTGTGACGTAATGGGCACCTAAGTTGCTTCAGCAATCGCTGGGCGATTGTCCGACGCTATGATTGAAAAATGGAAGGCAAAGCGCAAAGGCATCTGGGTTCCCGAAGATCGGCTACGCCCAGTTTTGGTCGGCGGACTCTTCGTCCCTTTATCTGTTTGTCTTTCGGGATTGGTTACGACGTACATCGCTGGACCGTTGGGTTTAGGATTAAATTTGGTTTGTTTGTTTATGAATGGTGTTGGAGTGAGTCGTAAACTTGTATATTTTGTTCGCATCACAACTTACATTCTGTACGGGTAGACTTTGTTCTCACTCCTATCGGTTCGTATAATGTCGACGTGCTACAATCGCGCAGCGCAGAGGTAATTGCCGCGGTTACGTGAGTAGCAATCAAAGCCAGCAGTGGGCTTCATACCAACCGATAGTGCAGTGCTTTCCGTGCGATAATTCTTGCACCAGTGACTGCAGCCGTACTTCCGTCGATTGAAACGCTAGGCGTGGCAGCAACAAATGGCATAGCTACAGTGATCGCGCTTCTTGGATATGGGTGAGCGTGCTGCTTCTGTAGAAACAACTTGCACTTATGCTGGAGCATAGGCTTGTCGCCCTCACGATTCGTTATGGTGATCGCATGAGAGCTTGGGTGGACGTTGGATACACCTTGGTAGATAACTAACTATGAATGTCATTTTCTTGTCCTCACGTTCAATCTCAAAACCGAGGTGGTGGGCAAGCATATGGTAATGAAGACCCTCTTGTCAATGCTGTGCTTAACAGGTTTGCAGCTGAGGGGAACCAAAATTACGACAGTTACGTGCTGTCAGTGCATGAACTTCATTCTTGAAATCCTTGAAATGCTCTAAGGTCTGCCTCAGCCTTGACAAACTCCTCGCACTCCATCTGGCTCTTCTTGACATCTACCAGATACAAGAATATGGTACTGACAGTTCCACTGTATTGTTTACCGTCAGCCATTGGAAGGTGTGAATATAGCCTAGACGACGCACAGTCCGAATAAAAACGCGAATGGCATGTTATTGTTGTTGCCGGATGCGGTAATGATAGCAGATGACACGAGCGGACCGATGAAGGAAGAGGTCTTACCAACCTTTAAATATGCATGAGTTTGCAGCTGATACAGAATGCCCTTTGATTCCTTACCATGGAGAAAAGTGCGAAAAACAAGAACCTGACGGACAGTTAGTAGGCAGTGCTCGGGGCAGGTGGTTACGTGCATTTGAGGAATAGGAGACACTTCGCTAATCATTGTTTGGCTATATGCGTACCAAGGGCAGACCATGAGCCCGTAGAAAACCTGATACAGCCTGGGTAAATTCTGCGTGTCAGGCTGGAGAATGCGCAAAATACCAAAGACATACCAGATTTCCCATACATGCTTAAATCCGAATTTATCGGTGTGCACGCCGACGAGGCCCCAAAAAGTCAAGACCTGCAAACCCATTATTCGAAGGGCGCCAAGAGCAATAAAAAAACTTATACCAAAATCCAAATAACATTGAAACTTAACATCTAGCAACGTTCGGAAGAGTAAGATGGTGACAAAAATTTGGAACATGAGTCGCACCGCCTTTGTGGATATCCTAAATTTCTTCTGCACCAACCAGAAGGAGCTATAAGCAATGATATCAATAGGCATTGGGTAGAGGCGATGTAAAACTTACTAGATTCCAATTGCTTGCGTGACGATACCAACAATCAACAGGAGTGTTAGCTGCAACGTTGAATACGCCATTATGCTGAGAACAATGCTCTATTCAATATACCGAATGCTGATCCACCAAACCAACCTATTTTGCAGCGTTGCAATGACGGTGCTAATATATAATCAGCTCATGAAAGGACCGGGCATTGTGGAAATGCTCACACTGTAGTGTTCAAGACGTCTCCCCTGATGGTGCCGTCAGAATGATCTCTGGTCGCAGGATAAGACACGTACATGAGGAAATAGAATATGAGGTACAGGAACGTCTGCTTTAGCCTCATACATTCCCGCAGGGCAATATACGTTTGTCTAAACCCGATCGTGAGCAACAAACTGTTTGGAGGAAGAGCTAGTCCAGGGCGTCGTTTCTCGAGGAAGAACCATGGCAGGGCACAAAGTACTGTCATATATCTACATCAGCTTCGCACATGTGCCCATGAAATAGACTCACACCACGCTGCACCGGAGAATGCAATCAAGACACTGAATGCTTTCGTGTTGTTTGCAGTGCTATCACCTGCCTTCAGTCCTTCGAGGATTCCCACCATAACGATGAGAATCAGGATTTCACCAAGGGAAGATATGGTTAAGGAGATGTTCGAGACTCGATTACGAGACAGAGACACAAGTGCTGCGTGTTCGTCCCAGCTAGGTCCGTATATGAACCCGACATTCCAAAGAGATGACGCGGAGCATCTACCTTTTCTCTCCATCTGCAACAAGCTGAGCAGACATTTCAACTTCCGGAAGGTGACGCGCAAGCCCAGGAAATGCAGCTGTCCAGAATGTGAGGGCACCCTGCGTTGTCATTAAGTCTAAAGTGCCTCGCATACATGTGATAGCATGGGCCTACCTGATAGGTTATCACTAGCAAAAAGACAAGTAAGCTCACTGCGCCCCTCTGACTCTGTGAGACTTACAACCCAGGATATAAAGAACTATGCCCGCCTGCCATTTGGACGGATCTTCCACTCCAAGCCAGGCAAATGACACTGTGACCGCAGCAAACGTGAATATGATGGTTATGTTTGGTCTACAGACTCTTCAACCTCGATCCACGCGTTATTCAATAGCATGAATCCCCACCTCCAAGTGCCATAGTCCGCCCAGGCCCCAATCAGAAGCAGAAGTACCGCCTGGATGGCAAAGCTAATGCCGTTGGTCAAGAGCACAATTGAATTGACTGTGTGGATGGGTCAATATGAAGGGTCTTAATACACTTTTAGTTGAGGTTACTAACTGTCCCTGATCTTTCCGAGATAAGGCAGTACACAACCCGTGTTGCTACTGCAAGGAGCGGAAAATGGGGGCTGGCTTGGATCGTAGCCTGCCAGGAAGAGCAAGTTCTGAAATTGAGACGGTCCAAAGTTAAACCCCGAAAGACCATTGTTCCCCTAATGAGAAGTGAGCTAGCCCCCAGTGGTGTCTGTTCGGTCTTCGCAAAACTCGCGACGTTACTTACAACATAGTAGAAATAAAACGACCAGAGCTCGACACGCGAGGTGGTTGTTGGAGACGCAGGTTCGTCGAGCTTGCTGACGAGCCTCTGGGCTGACATCTTGTCGATAACGACAGCTGGACACTAACAGGTGCGCGCCACAGAGTTTGTACCGCTTACCGACGTGGCATACCGTATGGACAAGAACGCTTCATCAATTTTAGGACACCAGTATACTTATTTAGTTAGCAACTCGAGTGCTAATGCAAACCGCGTTCTTTGAAAGAAAGTGAAGGCCAGCACGAGCAGATTATTACCACACATGATGCCGAAATCGGTGTGCACATATGCATGGTTTAAATTTCCGCAAGAAAGTTTGAGAGAGAGATGTGACTTGAAGCTGAAGCTGTGCAGTGCCATCACGGTGGCTGTAAATTTTGAATTAGGGGCCAGCTTGACTCTCTTCTTCCATTATCTGCCATGCACCCGGCCTTGGGAAACCTCGAAATTATATACACGATCTGCTCATACACCCAACACGGGTCGCTCACTGCGCTTGCGTCCACATGCCGCACGTTTGAGCGCCCAGCACTTAACATCCTTTGGAGGCATTTGCAGTCCCTGAAGCCTTTTATCAAATGTTTACCAAGTGACCTGTTTGGCAGTGATCAAGGACGTATGGTTGGTGTCCATATTTATTCTGGTTTGTGGACTTCAGACTGAATTCACTTCATAGGTATTACAAAAACCTCTCAACGGCGAGATGTGGGATACTCTTTTCAAATACACGTCTCGTGTGCACTCAATCGCTGTAACCCAATCGCGCCGCCTAACGGTCATCATCGAGCCTCTCAGTTTGTTAATGCTGTCTTGCCCTTTGGCACCTGCATTCTTTTTTCCGAATCTTCGGAAATTGACATGGTTTGCCGATGGAACCCACGACGCTGCAGAGTTCTTACGCGCGGCTTTGGTACCCTCCCTATTGGCCTTGGACCTCCAAATTTCTTCAGCTTCTTCTGCCTTTCTCTTTGTTATTTCGTCTCTTGGGACCTTATGTCCTCATCTCCAGGACATGGCTGTAAGAATTCAAAACCGAACTGATGATTCGTTTCGTAGAATTTCACCCTTTATCACACAACCTATTTCCCAGCTCCACCATCTTCACGCATTGTCGGTATGGGACCTAGGAAACCAAGGCGTCGAGCACGTTATGCATCTACAAGCCCTGAAGTCACTGTGCTTGGACTTGGGGACATTGTCAGCTTGCGAGAGAAAGTCGCATTTACAATTCCCTGGCTTTCATGATTTGGATTTTTTGTGCCTTTCTACCGACACTTTCAAGCGCGTCTCGAACTTCTTAAATTCACTTCGAGTCGTCGAAAGCAAAGAGATCCAGGTCAACTTCAACTTTCAAGCTGCGCATTCCTCTGCAAGTGGACCTACGATGCTATCCCAGTTCTTCATCATCCTCCAAGAGAGATGCGACAATGACAGACTTGAAGGTTTCACACTCGTTGGAATTTCTGGAAAGGTACAAGCAAAAACGGGCGTCCTCACGCCATTGCAAGCATGTCGCAATTTAACTCGGCTGTCCGTCGAGCAGGGTTGTGACATTTCTATATCTGACGAGGAGCTCTGCCAGCTGGTGAGAGAGTGGCCCAAGCTCGAGGTGCTCAAAGTTAGCAGCTATGTTGCCGACAATAGCACCACAATGCCCACATTACATGGGTTAATCGCATTACTTCGGCTATGCCCCTCTCTGACTTCGCTCGCTCTTGTCGTTGATGCTACCAAGCTGGACGGCATAAATCTCAAATGTCCCGGCGGTGGAAGATGCAACAAGCATCTCAAACATCTCGCCCTCGGAAATTCACCCGTCGGGTCCTCACTACATGTGGCTCTCATCTTGAGCGGCCTCTTTCCCCACCTGGAGCAGGTCAATTTTGATTATGGGGATAGAATGCAGACAATGAAGAAGTCAGCGATAGAGCGACGGGAATCAGTACAAAGCTTTCTTAGTGGTTTTAGCATTGTAAGGGAGCGGTACACTGAATGATGATGATGTCGTCTGACTCGGACTTCTGGGTTGTGCTTGAATGATCACCTACACTTTTGATTGTGCCCCGGCGCTTTCTTATGGTGTTTTTGGGTCACATCGTATGAGTAGTCCTCGACTCCTCGTCCTGAGCTACAGTCGTCGACGACCAAGGGAGTAGGACTCATCTGTTTCCGCCGTGTTTGGTCATTTGGACATATTGTCGGGTCCATGGACTTATTTTCTCACGTGTGTTATAATACTCTTGACGTCAGTGACTCCGGATCCAGACAGTTCTGGGATGTTCTGGGGAAATCGAGACAGAGAGGTTGAATGTCCTGAACTTTCCTGAACAACATTCGCCACCGCAGCATAGTGCTATATAGTACTGACTTCAACCTACATCTCCTAAATACATCACCTTATGGGCGCCGACTACTACAAGCTTTTGGGCATTTCTCGGGACGCCACCGACGATGAAATCAAGAAGGCATACAAGAAAATGGTGTGTAATAGTCCCTGTTCGCAACGAATACCAAGCTGACATGTTGTCCGCAGGCTCTGAAGTGGCATCCAGACCGCAACGGAGGGTCTGAAGAAGCTTCAAAGAAGTTTAAGGAGGTAAGTGTAACACCGTGCTGTACGTTTCTGGCTGACGGTTTAATAGATTTCAGAAGCATTTGAAGTCCTCAGTGACAAGGACAAGCGAACCATATACGACCAAGTCGGTGAAGAAGGCCTCAAAGGCGGCGGTGGAGGGCCTGCATCTGGCGCTGGTTTTCCTGGTTTCGCCAGTTCCTCAGGCTTCCCAGGGGGGGCCACTTTTTCATTCACGTCTGGTCCTGGGGGCAGTCCATTCGCATCAAGTACTGGTGGCGCACGGCCAGGTGGCTTTGCGCCAACTGACCCGCAAAAAATATTCGAGTAAGTGGTAACATGCATGGTGTGTCAGTCAAGTAACTAAACATTCTTGTAGGCAAATATTCAGCCAATTTGGCGGCATGGGTGGAGGCTTCGGAGGCGGTTCTGGAGGTTTCGGGGGCATGGGCGGTTCTCCAAGCATGGGCGGAATGGGCGGCATGGGCGGCAGGAGTGGAATGAGTGGCAGGAGTGGTACGAGTGGCATGGGCAGAAGTCCGAACATTTTTGATGACGACGACATAGGTGGTGGATCTTTCTACGGAATGCCAGGGGGCATGCCATCAGGGCGACAATCTCCCGGACGTCAATCATCTACGTCAACTTCAACCTCAGCATCAGCCCCATCAGAGACTACTCGCCCACTGAAGCTCTCTCTTGAAGAGCTATATTCGGGTGCGACTAAACACCTGAAGGTCAGCAGACGACTATTGGACGGCACCACGGAGGAGAAGGTCCTTGAAATTCAAGTTCTCCCTGGCTGGAAGAGCGGCACCAAGATACGTTTCCCTCGAGCCGGCAATGAGCAGCCGAACGGCGAGGCACAAGATCTGGTCTTCGTCGTGGAGGAGAAGCCACACGAGGTTTTCACACGAGAAGGCGATGATCTGATTTGCCGCCTAAGGATACCCTTAATCGACGCACTCACAGGCGCAGACGGAAAGAGGACTATCGAGACTTTGGACGGCCGAAAACTGCAGATCCCGTTGCCTCCTGGCGTTATAAAACCCAACCAGGAGACAAGAATTCCCAACGAAGGGATGCCGATTAGAAAGCAGGGCAGCCTGAAGAAAAAAGGAGACCTCATAGTGCGGTGGGATGTGGTATTCCCAGACCGACTTACGCCCGCACAGAAAGAGGGCCTGAAGAAGGTGTTGGTCTAATCATGTATTAGGGCATTATCTACCGCCAGTGGACGTCGCTCGTTAGATTAGCATATCAACTGTACTTTTTAATTTATTTGACGATGAGTCTCACGAGATATGCTTGTGGTCGCACTCAACGCGGGCATACGATAAGCGCGTCTAGATAGTGACATTCAAGAGTACTCAGGAGCAAAGACCACAAATTGGGAGACTAGATAACTTGCGCTGATCGAGGTACCTGGCATGCGAGGACAAAAACACATGGCACGACGATCATGTCGAATTGCAGTGTCGGAGGCCGATGACCATTCAGTGTCACCTCCGCGGGATGGGATGAAGTGCATTGCCCGGATCATAAAGATCAGAGTACAGACATAGCACAGACATTATCAACGAGCAAAAAATAGCATCGAGATCAAACTTCCCGGGAATGTCGAGGGTGATTCTCCCGCGAATGAGTGTATAGGCTTGCACCATGACTGTGCACGGAAGGCCCATAAAGCCCGGGCACAGTATAAATCTAAACACCGATGAGAATGCATGTTTGATAGGCTGCCCGAAAATATGGGCGAGACCAGTAGTAAGCAACCTGGGGCGCGAGTCTAGAGGAAATGAAAGGAACGCTGGATCCATGTGAAGCCTACAAGTGTGCCGGTTCCTGTGATTCACAGGCAAATCTCTGGGAAGGTACATTGTCAAGGGTTAAGACCTTTTTCAAGAGATACGCTCCACAAGAGTGTGTAGATGATAAGTAGTGGGATATCCCTGCAGCGAGTCGGAACGCCAATTGAAATCTATCCGTTCCAATAAATGTCCAGGATTAGGTGAGACGCGGGGTTCCGAGAACGCTGGGGTAAGCTATGAATATGAGACATGAGGCGGCGCTTTTGATTAGACTACGAGAAATTCGGAGCTTTCATGGATGGCCGTCGACGGTGAATAATTCATAAAAGTCTTTGGTTTACGGCCTTGGTGTGGGGTAAAATTACCGAGGCCAGCAATCTGAAGCTAGAGATACGCTGAAAGGCGAAAGGTCCTCGGAGGAGAGAAAGAGGAGAAGCAGCAGCGTTACTAAGAGAACCTGGCCAGTCTAAGGACGTTAGAGCTTATGAAAGCACGGATAACCGAACCAGACCTTGTCACAGCTCAAGGACACGAGGTATGGGAATTGGAGCCAGGCCCTTTGGGAAAACATGGAGTCAGCTGACGGATTGTTGATTGATGGAATCGATATGAAGAGACAAGACGCACTCATGGATGGAGTAATGATGGCACTGATGATGGTTCTGGTCGCCACTTGCCAATTATTTTTCCAGCGATCGATTGTCTATGGTCGAGATCCTGAGGCACGATGTCGGATGGAGTACGGTACTAACACCGTGATGAACAACTTTCACGCACCGAAAAAGGAACAAGTTCAGGTAAGTAGCAGACTACCATTAGTTAGCCGTTAGTGTCTCCGCATCTTCTGACTACTATTTAGTCCCGCTAGCTGCGCCGCTAATGAAGGAACATGATAAGCTGGCAGGCTGGCGCAAAATGCAAGCTGTAGTGCTGCCCAATTATCTTGCTGCACAGCAGGCGGCAGCGTCCAACATAATTTGATCATGTTTCGGGCGGGTAATTACTCATAATAACATGCGGAACGTGCTGAACATGAGGCAGAGTTGTTTTCAGGATGTGACCTGCAGGCAATCCCACATTTCATGATCGCTTTAGAAGCTATCTATTGGAAAGTGTCTACCGGAATGTACGTTTGATCGGTTTTTAACGAGCCTTTTCTCTCATATAAACGCTACCTGCCTTACAAGATAAATGACATTCCTCCTCCCACTCCTAGAGCCCTTCCTATTTACCTCCCTGTGCGACTTGTAACCTTGTGAACCCACCCTCATTACTCTCCGACAATGCCCGCAGCTTCCCGCAGACCAGAACACTATAATGTGCTTGGTCTCGTCGTCGACGCTACAGACGAAGACATCAGAGCTGCGTACAAAAAGCTGGTGTGTTTTCACTTTCCATGGCGGATAAACAGTACTCATCGTCTTATGACAGGCCCTTCAGTGGCATCCCGACCGCCATCAGATCGGGAAAGAACACGCAGCGCAGATGTTTGTTGAAGTAAGCGGTGTCGTCATCGCGTGCTCCAGTCTAGCATTCAACATCATTGCCAGGTCAACGCTGCTTACCATTCCTTGATGGATGGCACAGAAAGCGTGGATCCTTCCTGTGGAGACAGTGTCTCACCATTCTCTACACCCACCGAGAGTGACACGGCCAGAACCTATTCCGCGGAGCCACGACCCCAGGCCAACGCGCAGCCATCCCATCGTACAACGTCGTCAGGCTCACAGAAGAATGAACAGACACCCAATCTGTTCTCCACTTCTGTTCCTGGCTCTGATGCCGAGAAACTTTCTCAGTCTCGTTCGTCAGACGACAACACCGCTCATTATGCCTCGCACGACCACCACTCCAATCCTAAGAACTACTCTTGTAGCACAGGCAGTAACGGCTCTCGTTCTCGCTCCCGAACAAAATCATACGATAACTTACGTGATTTACCACGACCATCTGCGCATGATCAAGCGCCGTCCTCCGCCAGCCGCTCTCACAGTAGTCGCACGAGCAACGTTCCCCACTCAAAGTCACATGACAATTTGCGTGATTCTTCACGCTCGCGCGAGCCGCAATCAGGACAAACGCCTCCTTCGGTCCCACGTGACCCGAAGTCGGAGACTTCGAACCGGTCTAAAAACAACCAGGGGGCTGGACCTACCTCTACATATTCCAAAGGCCGCCCACGCGATGCGAAGCCATTGCGAAGTCAAACAGGACATTTCTCGCAGCCCGTGATTCCACCGACGTCATCCAAGCTACATAAATTTTCTCGGCGTGGACTGGGAGAGTAAGTGATACTAATCTCCAACACCATCCGTAATTAATTTACTGTTCCATAGGGAGCTGCTTCATAAGCTTTCCAAGGGGTCTTCAAAGTTTAAAAAAGAAGGGGGCTCAACATACTCAGACAACGCTCCCACGTATGGCTCCCCATTGCGACCCCTTGGTGCGCCTCGAGGCACATCCAAAGAGTGGCTGTTTCCTCTTCCGCTGACACTCGACGAGATGTATTATGGGACCACTTACCAGTTTCTCATCACACGGGAGCTATTATCCCGCAAAACGGAGCAAGTCGAGATCTATATCGATGTGCCTCCAGGTATTCGAAGCGGAACTAGGATCATCTGTCCCCGCACAGGTCATCAGCGCAAGGACGGGACTCTTCAGGACGTAATTTTCTTGATCGAACAGGTACCTCATGGTGGTATCACTAGGATGAAAGACGACCTGTTCATGGACATTTGTGTGCCATGGGTGGAGACTCTCGCCGAGCGAGGTGCCAATATTTGTGTAGACGGCATGGATGGGGAAGAGATTATCTTCGCACTGCCCTATCCAATCTATGACAAGTCAACCGAAGGACAATTGCTAGTCAAAGGAGCAGGCATGCCGATTCGGGAAGGTCGAAAGACAGTGGGACGCGGTGATTTGATTGTCAGGTAAGATCCCAGCTACGGATATCGTGCCGTTGTGACTAACAGTTCTCAGATGGCAGGTGGTATTCTCGCACCCTAGCAAATGGGAGAACTTTAAGAAAGCTCTGCGTATGAAGGCGTAATCAATTGGGAAGGACATTATGATTGCGATGAACATCTTATGAGAATATGTATATTGTGTTGAACGCACGACGGCGTTATATGTCGATCATTGGGAGGCAAGGCATCAGGATACCCAACTAACCATGTACAGTACAGTATTCACTAAGTATGCCATGGACATTATCATTGCGGAATATATCACTCACTACATTACTTCAGCTCGCGCACACTGGCAGGAAGCGCAGTACTACCAGCCACTGACTACATTCTGGCAGGATACCTTACACGTAAGTAAGATCACTGATGATAATCAAAAGCTGCAACGTGTTCTGCTCTACCTCGAGGTCTTACCATTTCAGATATTATGTACGCCTTTAGTCTTGACATCATCCATCTGAACGATGGGGCGAAGTGCCTTCGAAATGTCAGCTCCATGGCACTGTGACGTACCCTTCTGCGGTGCAGGTGGAGTGTTCGCTATCGAGATCGAAATCGCTGTCTCCACCACGGCAAAAAAAAGTATAACGAATCTTGGTGATGGCTCAAACTTTGTGTCAAAGGTCATATCGCGACTGATTTCTTCTTGCGAAGGACTCTTGCGGTATCGATGTCTTCTTTTGGCCACCATCCATCATGAAGATCGTCAAGATCCAATTGATCCCGCAATCAAGGCTGCTTTGAGACCGAGATTGGCAGGTGGGGAGAATTTTAAGAGACTCGCTCGAGAGTTCGGGTGAGGGTAGAACACATGAATGGGGGAATTCATAGATCTCGGAAAACGATACCATTCGTACGCATAGTCGCCGTTTTCTCAAGTAGCCATGCTAATAACCCGCTTGATTTGCACGTTCACAAGGTGATGAGTCAACAGCTCCTATATGGAATGAGTCTGCTAGGGAAATTCTCGTCCTCTGTCGAGATGGGCACCGAATTGTGTTCGTTCGAGCAGTCCCCGATGAGGGTGTCACAGCTGTCATAGCAAAGAACGGCATATTGGAGACTTTTGGTACCAAGTGGATGATCGGCGCTGATGGTGCTAAAGGTGAAGATGTGTGATCAAATTCAAATGCGGGTCTGACCTACTTAGTTGTAGGAAGACTGAATAGAATGGCATTGACATTCGTACTAGTTCCCGCAGTGCTGGTTCCTAATGTGCATGTATGCCTCATGCATATGGTTCGTTGGATGTCCGAGTCGTTATTTTGCAATGTGCAGCCTGGATCAAACATTGTTTCGATATATATACATAGTATGTGTATGAAATTAACGTTGAGACTGCTGAGACTTCGGAGGCGAGTTGTGTACGCCTCATAGCACGCACAACCCATTGCCCACTAGAGCTAGATTTGACAAGCTTAAGAGCGCTCACAGAACTCACACACCGATAGCGGTCACCAAAAGTCTACTACTCTCAGCGCTGAACATTTCTCACCGCTCAAGTCCTATTACTACCATTTACCTTTCCTCATGGATTCTTCAAAGATAAAAATGATGATCGATCGCTTTCGAATTCTCATCATAGGAAGAGCGAATGCAGGGAAAACTACCATCCTCCAGAGGGTGTGCAATACCAAAGAGAACCCAGAAATATATAATAGCGCTGGGGAAAAGGTGCGCATTGATCACGATGCTAGCCTGAGTACGAGGCTAATAGCGATGGCTGTCTCATCAATGGCATCAGATCGATGCCGCTGTTTTGACAGCATCTAGAGAGGTAACGTGTACCATTAGTCGGCAACATAAACTGACATTTTCTCAGCGTGGAGAGCACGACATCGAGAATGAAATGGTGTTTCAAACCAACCCAGGTTTCATTTTTCACGATTCGCGCGGCTTTGAAGCAGGCGGCGAATCCGAGTATGACAAGATGAACAAATTTATCGCAGACCGTTCGAAGGAAGCAAACATGAAGGATCGAATTCACGCTATATGGTAATTGGTCGAGTTGGCGACATTCACTAGCTCACCGCTTTGACTTAGGTATTGCATACCTATGGATCAGGCAAGCAGGTGTTTTACTGAAGCCGAAACCAAGTTCTTCTCCCGCTGTGACACTGGAAGCAGTAAGCTTTGGACCTGTCCGTTAATCATCGACTGATTCGCGACTTGGATCCTCAGTTCCAGTCATCGTACTATTCACCAAATTCGATGCCCTCTACGCCAATGAATTCACACGACTGACAGAAAGCGGAATGTCGAGGAAAGATGCCAAACAACTGGCCCCAAAGGGCGCCGAGGAGTCATTTGCGAACGGGCCACAAGTGAAGCTTCTATACGACCCAAAGACTATCCGACGGCCTCCAAAATGCCATGTCTTCCTCCCAAGTAAGCTGTAGATCATCGAAGTCTGATACATGATGACTGTTGATCCATTAGACATGAACAAGGATGATGCTGATTGCGGGCCACTCATCGAACGGACCGCTGGAACTTTGGACGATGGAGTCCTTCAACAAATATTCGTCTCGACTCAGCAGACCAACTTGGAACTCTGCATGAAATATGCAGTTGAGAAGTATCTACCCATCATTTGCCTGCCGCGAGCATTATTGACTATCGTCCAGGACACTTGCAGAGCTTGTTGCCCCAGATGAGAAAACCTCATCTAAGGATGCAATATCTCAATTGGGTGACTGGTTTCCACATATTTGGGTAAGATGATGGGAATGCCCGAAAGTTGCTCTCATTTATGTTGGGTGTTTTTTTACAGGTAGTACGTCTGTTGATCCTCGTTCGCGCTCGAGCCATGCTGATCCAAGTCGTTGCCCACTCTCCGCAGTTCGTGAGTGTCTTGATCCTCCTTCGAGCCCGAGCCATGCTGATCCAAGTCGTTGCCCACTCTTCGCAGGCTGTGAGTGTCTTGATCCTCCTTCGAGCTCGAGCCATGCTGATCCGAGTCGTTGCCCATCCTTCGCAGTATGTGAGTGTCTTGATCCTCCTTCGAGCTCGGGCCATGCTGATCCAAGTCGTTGCCCACTCTTCGCAGGCTGTGAGTGTCTTGATCCTCCTTCGAGCTCGAGTCATGCTGATCCAAGTCGTTGCCCACTCTTCGCAGGACGTGAGTGTCTTGATCCTCCTTCGAGCTCAAGTCATGCTGATCCAAGTCGTTGCCCACTCTTCACAGCCTGTGAGTGTCTTGATCCTCCTTCGAGCTCGAGCCATGCTGATTCAAGTCGTTTCCTACTCTTCGCAGTATGTGAGTGTCTTGATCCTCCTTCGAGCTTGAGCCATGCTGATTCAAGTCGTTTCCTACTCTTCGCAGTATGTGAGTGTCTTGATCCTCCTTCGAGCTCGAGCTATGCTGATCCAAGTCGTTGCCTACTCTTCGCAGCGTGTGAGTGTCTTGATCCTCCTTCGAGCTCGAGCCATGCTGATCCAAGTCGTTGCCCACTCTTCGCAGGCTGTGAGTGTTGATCCTTCCTCGAACTCGAGTCTTGCTGAGTGAAGGAATTGCTGATCCATCGGCAGAATGTGAGTATATTCATCCCTCACCGGCCTTGAGTTATACTCACCGAAAGAATGCCTGATTCGTTGATAGCTTGTAAGCGTGATCATCCTCAGTCGACCTCCTGTCCTGCTCACTGATGCAACTGTTGATCTATTGTCAGGGTGTGAGTTTCTTCATCCGCTGTCGACTTTGAGCCCTGCTGACCAAATACGTTGGGTGATTCGTTGACAGATTGTGAGCTGGTCCATCCGCTGTCAAGCTCGAGCCATGTTTACTGAAGACATCACCCACCCGTTCACAGAGTGTGAGTTGGTCGATCCGCCGTCAAGCTCGAGCCATGCTGACGGAAGACATCGCCCACCCGTTCACAGAGTGTGAGTTGGTCGATCCGCCGTCAAGCTCGAGCCATGCTTACTGAAGATATTGTCTACCCGTTAACAGATTGTGAGTGTGTTCTTTTGCCGTCGAGCTCGAGCCTTGCTCACTTGTGACATTGCTTACTCACAGGAAGTCAGTGTTTTTATCCTCCGTGGAGCTCGAGCTTTGCTTATTACTCAAATTGCGCATCCCTTAACAGACTGTGAGTGTGATCTCTCAAGCCTTTCTCACAAACGACATCGCTGATCCATTGATAGGAGGTGAGTTTGTTCATCCTCCTTTGGCCTTGAGCCATGCTCACCGAAGATTTTATTCTTTGACAGAATGTGAGTGTATTGGTCCTCAGCAGAGGGTGACGATTTCAATTTTCCATCATCACTTCAGCTTTACGGTAATCAACGTGCAGAGATGCGGTCTAGGATACTCTCTGTGGTGCGTTCAATTGGTCACAGGCTGTACACACATGTTGAAATGTATTAGACTTCTGCCAGTGCATCACCATTCGAGCAAATTTTACAGCTTGGTTCTGGTGAATCTTTAGGCCGCATTGCAGTGAACTTGCTCATTTTCAATCATTTAGCTGCTGTCATTATTTTCGAACACTCTTTCTACGTTTTCGACAAGCGACGCCATTCTAAGGACCAGCAGGAATCAGTTCCTTCTTTTCATGTCGCTCTCGAGCGGTATATGGCGTCTCCGCATGCAATTGCTGTCAGGGACGCAGTGAACGCTGCCGTCCACGCAAATCAAGGAAACTCGTCTAATTGGAAAGCAAAGCTACGTTTCTGGAGGAAGCAACCTAAGGATTACTCGGGTTTACTCGAAACAATTCTTAAAATCGCTTTAGAACATCGTCTGCGTATGTTCTAACTCTCATTATTGTGGCAATCCCGCTGATTTATTTTTCTTCAGCACGACCTTGATGCCAATCAATGAATCACGACGTAGGCGATGCTTGGAGTCATATTCTGGAGGCAAATGAGGGTTTCTACAATGGTCTGTCGAGGGCGGTTCAAGTTTTGAGGGGTGTGGGACTATCAAATTTGTACAATCATGCAATTACGGGACTTTCTCTCTGGTATGGCGTATATATGCATGAAGTATGCTGGTCATTTAGCTGAGACAGCGGTTAGGCATACTATGTCTCTAACAGCAGCTTAATGTATCTCCCAACTATTTCTGGTCCGATTGTCGGGTCAGAATTGCGTATTATTCTGCTCCACAGTGTTTCTCAACTTGCGTGAATTTTTCATAAAGACATCTCGTTTATTGTCATTTCATAATTATACTCTACAGATTGTCATTTCCACTTAATCTGTTTTCTAGCACGTTCACAAGGTGATGAGTCAACAGCTCCTATATGGAATTCTGCCTAGATAAATTCTCGTCCTTCGTCGAGATGGACACCGAATTGTGTTCGTTCGGGCAGTCCCCGATGAGGGTGTCACAGCTGTCATAACAAAGAACGGCATATTGGAGACTTTTGGTACCAAGTGGATGATCGGCGCTGATGGTGCTAAAGGTGAAGATGTGCGATCAAATTCAAATGCGGCAGGATGAGTCTGAACTTTGGTTTGCAGGTATCGTGCACAAGGAGTTCGGGCTTACATTCTTGGGCGAAACTAGAAACGATACCCGAACTATCGCCGGAGATATTCGTTTGAAGGGCGGTGATCTTGATGGAGTGGTGCGTCCTATTTCTATTTACTCGATGGAAGAGCCCTCCTGATCCTGTCTTGAACGTATTGGCACCAATTTGGAATTTTCCATGAACGAACATATGTACCATTTAATATCGAGACATCGAGGCTTGGAGTTGTATTGACGTAGTATCAACTGACTGTTCAGCAGCATTGTCCTCGATGAATTTGTGATTCCAGTTAAGGTAAGACTACCAACGTCTACACAGTGCTTGACGAGGGGCATCTGGAGGCCGGAGACCAGACATGTCTTGGCGGGCGTAGTCGAAGATGGAGAGGGCGAGTTGAGGATCAATGGAAAGAACGCACGAGGTGTGTGACGAGGTAGGGGTATGTCAGGAGTTGAAGTTCCGGGCGCATATACGCAGGTCGTGGAGGTTGTGGTTGTGGGATTGCGCTTGCGTTTGTGGCCGCTGGAGCATACTATTCCTCAGCTATAGCTGTAGCATTCCGCGCACGTTCCTCGTATTTCTGAGACTGCCCAAACAATAGCTACATGGCATACATGTCGTCGGCCATTGCAGGCCTGAGTCTATGTCGTGAATCAACCCTTTGCGCAATTCTGAGATTCATTTTAACCTATTGAATTGGCAAATAACTCTGCCACGTCAACCTTCCATATTTGCGCGACTTTGACGCTGTTCGGATGTTATAAGTATAACGCTCACGAGGTAAACTAGACTTAGGTGACGGCCGCTTCAGCTAATCAAAGACCACCTAACCAGGGGGAAGCAAACTAGCATCCACAGCACCAACCTCGTCCACCGCATCGTCAGCATCATCCGAGGAACGCGCAATAGGTGTCCGCGGCATTGCCATAAGACCTACATAACTTTAACTTGACTTCACTCGCATGGACATATGACAAGACTCACCAGTCCGAGCTGACTCCAAAATTCCAAATGGTTTGAGTAGACTCAAAAACGCAACAACACGGTTTGTTTTTGCCGTGAGCTCGACGATGACGCTGTTCTCGCTCACGTCAACAATCTTTGCTCCGAATTGGTCTGCTAAGACGGAGACGGATTGAAGGTGTTGGTGTTTAAGACGGAGGGCCTCGGAAGGAGTCAATGGGGGTGGAGTAGTATGCGGCTCTGCGTGAGAGCTAGTGTGGGCACCACGCTCGAAATTATGGGCGAGCGTGGTCTCTTTTTCAAGTTTAGTCTCGCGGTGAGGTGGGTGGGGACCCCGCCTCGGTTCATGCGATGGTCCACCCACAAATTGATCCTCCAAATACTCAGGACCGAGAATGGATACTTTTACCAGGAGCAATTCACGTGTGATGACGCGGGTATCTGTGTAGTCGAGAACAGCCCATACAGGCACCTATTTCGTGATGAGAAAGGTAAAGCTTTGGGAGTGTTGGTGCAAGACAACTTACGAGGTCCTCTAGCTGTCTCCTTGCCTGCTCTACAACTCCATCCTGTCCACTAATGACGATAGACATCCGACTTAGGTCCCGAATTTCAGTGCGGCACACCACCAGAGAATCAATGTTAAATCCGCGTCCAGCAAGGATGCCGGACACGCGGGATAAAACACCAGGTTCGTTTTGCACCAGACAGTTTAAGATGTGTCTATGTTAGACACCGTTAACAAAATCGCAAAACATTGGTTTGCGAAACAAAATGTACTTTTTGAAAGGTTGCAGACTCGGAGGAGGGGTGTTGTAGAGGATGTTCGTCACAGCCTCTTCCGCACTTCTAGATCTTGGAAGGTCCGTAACGGGAAGCGGTGGTGGACGTATCCGTTGTGCCGTTTTGTAGTCCAGCGCAGAGGTCGAGTCATCGACGGATCGTGGAGGTTTTGGAGCATCTTCAGGAACGCAGAGGCGCGTCGAAGTCGAGAAAAACCGCGAATTTGCCGCACGAGACACACAACGCGACCGAAGTGCAAACATTGTTCTTGGTGACGAACAGCTTATTGGCAACTGACAGTGAGTCAGTGACTCGCTTCAAAGTCATCAAAATCTTGCTTAGTCATCTAGAAGCGCTCGCAAATATTGCCGATGCGGCCCGTTCGAGTGGGCCCGCCTTGCTTGTGCATTCATCAACACACCACCCAATGGCTTTGGTCATCTACGTTGGTGAAAAGTTGACCAGGGATTAGTTTGGCAATGCAAATTGTAGCTTTATGTGCGATGGTGGTCACAAAGAAAAACACAAACACAGCATGCAAGAACCGTGAGTAGGGATTATTAGACGCCTATCAATGATACACATCACATCAGTCGAATCGACGATACCAATCTAAAACGACCTACGACCACCACCATCTACCCAGCAACAGCCCTAACCCTCTGCTTAACCTCCTCTGTCCGCCCGCTCCCCCTCCCCTTCGCCCTCCCAAACACTACCACCTTCCCCGCCTCACCCGCCCTTCCAGCCCTCCCAGCCCGATGCAAAAAATCGATCATATTCCTCGGCTCATCAACGATGAACACATGCTTGATCATGGGCGAAAAATCCAGCCCCCGCGAAAGCAACGACGTCGTAACAAGCACATGAGGTGTTTGAGCAGGATCCGACAACCCCGGTCCCGTCGCTTCAGGCCCACCCGTCTTCAAGAACCCATCAAGGTGGTGATTCGACCCCCGTTTGCGCGCGTCAGCACTACCAGTGAGCGCTACGCATTTGATGCCGCGGCCGTCGAGGAAGGCAGCGAGTTGCTCGACTTTGTGCCGTTTGTTGCAGAAGACAAGAAGTTTGGATAGCTTGATGGGGCCGGGGCCTGTGGCAGTCTTAGAGTGCACGAGGGCGTCTTCAGACCATACGCGACGGATGCGGCGTTCGATGTCTGCGCTCTTGTTGCCGCCTGTCCAAGAGGTGTGTTCTGTGCGGAGAGTCGAGGGGAGGTGATGCAGCCGCGGGGATGCAAGGCGAGTGAGGGATGGATGGTTGTTTGAAAGATAGTTAGAAAGGGATGTGGGGATTGTTGCGCTGGTGAGAAGGAAGTTGAATGGGTAGGAGATTGGTTGCGCGGATGTTTCTGAATCCGGAGTCGAGGATAGGGCTGAGGAAGGGATCACTGGGACAGGCGATCCACGCGCAGCTGCAATATCTGAAAGAAGCATGCGAGTGGATTCTTGGAAGTCCGGATCTGCATAGTGTCAGTAAACGCATGGTATCTCGAGTTAAATGCGCACCAAACAAGACGTCTGCCTCGTCCACAACTACCCACTGCACGTTCTCCAAGCCCATCTCAGGTTCGTCAATCCAGAACTCTCGCGGTGGTTCTTTGTCACCCCCGTCTTCTTCCTTTACATCCTCGTGCTCTTCAGCTTTCTTCCCTATCTTCATTGCTCGCTCTCGTGCCCGCTCCTCCCAGTTCCAGCCTCTCCCACGCTCCATCTCAAGAAGCTTCATTGGAGTGCCAACTAGTAGATCTACCGGTCTTGACCCGCGAGAAGTTTTCGAGATGACGAACTCAGCGCCGCTCGAAGCGCCAGCTCCCTCGAACTTTCCTTTCATTTTCGAAGCCGTTCCACTAGACTTGGCCGTACTTGGTGTGTTGGCCTTGCTAGCGCACATGACGCGCAATTTGATGACATGGGACAAGCTCTTCGCAAAACTCGCAAGTTGGCGAGTAAGTTCGTGCGTAGGTGCAAGTATGAGCGCACGTGGATTAAGAGGCTTGCGAGATGAATGGTGGGCAATAGTGTTGGACTGTTCGTGCTCCGTGCGTTTGAGATCCTGAAGTACGGGGAGGAGGTATGCTATCGACTTTCCGGATCCTGTCTCGCTGGCAAGAAGGAACTCCTTGTACTTTTCGCCTTCGACGTGTTCTTTGAGTAGATGCTTCATTGAGGATGCTTGAATTGCAGTCGGCCTTGCTTCCGTTCCTAGTGTCTCGCGTAAACTCTGCAACAAGCCTGGCATCAAGGGCGGAGAAGAGAATCGAGTGGGAAGGTCTTTGCTTGAGGAAGCAGCTGATCCAGACAGATCAAATTCCTCCTCCAAGAGATTAACCTGAGATGTGGGGGGTTGACGTGCTACCGCCTTGCGTCTGTCTACGCGCTCTGAATGAGCTTTGATAGCCCAATTCTTAACCTGAGTCTCAGCATCGGCATCATCAGTTGGTTCCCGGCGCCTTGGGATGGTTCTCGGTTCAAAAGTCGTCCTCCGCCTAGGTGGGCTCTCTCGTTGTTGCGGCGCGAGACCTTCATGTGGGACAGCATCACGCTTGAATTCTGGACGTGTTGGTGCTATCTCAAGTTTTCCCAACCTCTTGGCCTTTCCTGTGGGCTCAAGCGATTTTGCTAGGCGGGTGCGTGGTGGTGAGGCTAGTGAAAGAAAGCAAGTTTAATGTCATTGAATCTCGGAGAAAACGAACAGGCTAGCCACAGACGTAAAAGACTTACATGGCTTGCCATTGAACTTTTTTGATTTCCTACGCAATTGAGCCAACACCACAGACGAAGTGTGGAACCGTGAAGAGGTTATCTCTGAGGTCCCAGGCCCAAGAATTCGCCGAAGGGCCAACGACACCATGTGGTTGAAAAACAAGAGTTGCGAGAGTTTTTGACAAGTAAACACGACCGTCACGAACTGTCCAATAGCGGATTATTAAGCCCCTAACACGCGATTTTATCATTTACTATCATCTTCCCCCAGGCCCATCCACACGCTCCACTTCGCCCCACTGCATGATCTAGCCATGCTCCCTCAAACTCTTCAACTTCTTGGGTGCACTGAAGGTATACGGCTAAAGTGTTGTGCAATTAGCAGTTGTTTTGCCTGCATTAGCACCGGTGACACCCGTTGCATCCCCCGCTGACCGTTGATCAGCCCTGACGGTCCTGTAAAGTCTCAACGCGGCTGTGGAAATCCTGTCGTTGTCTGAGCGGCGAGCTGCTTCTGACAATTGTCACGGGCCAGCAACGTCATCACCACCAGCCATTGATAAATCACAGTCGAGCACAACTTGAACGCCCGTGCTGATTTGTCTGCATGGCGTGGTCGATGTACGATGGTCTAGATAGTGTGAATGAATACTCTGATTTTCCACTTTTTCGAATTTTCGAATCTGCGGACCCGATCGGACAACAAATTCCGAACCAGCTGTACGTACATAAGTACCACATGGTTGCCTGCAAACACACTGATAGCACTACTTACTAGAAATTTAAAATCATCAAACCTCTTTGAAGCCAGTGGCACCAGCCACAAAAGTCACGATCAATCGATGACCTGTGTTAGTCGAATATCCAGAAGTATGTCCTTCGCTGCTCGCAGCAAGCGTGAAGGCAGTTCCACTGCTTCAAGAGACCCCCATCGGCGTGCTAAACGTCCCGCAAAGTGGGAAAATACCATCACTAGCGTAATACATGACAGTGCATGGGGGAATCAGGTGAGTCACTGCCTAGTACTGGCTAGTGGTGCTTCCATTCCTCAGTGACGTGCAGAAGCAAGATCTTGCCATGTGACAAACCACGCCCATCCAGCGCGTTTCTGACGCGTGTTTGCACACATTACTGGTAGACCTACATAAACTCAACAGCATTGACGCCTCGTTGTAAGCCCTTTTCTTTCAGTTCTTCTCACTCACTAACAAAGAGCCTAGAAATTCAATCATGTCGTTCTTCCGTCGTGCTCCCCACAATACGTGGTCTGACCACTTACTCCTGAAAGTAAAGCAAACATATTAATAAAATATGACTATTGTTGACGTTATGCGTTCACTTCTAGCTGGCCAATATTGCCGGAGCGCTCTTTGTTATGGGAGCAAATGGGTACACGGTCATTTCTCCCCTGGATGTCTACTACACCGGGAAAGAGACGTACTTTACTCCTGCCCCATGGGCTTACTTCCTATGGTAAGAAATATGTACACTTCATGTGTCAGACGCTTACAGCCAACAGGCCCGTTATTCACTTATTGGTTCTCGGAACATGCACCTACCAGTTCTCCGGACGGGGTAAGGAGATCATTGTCGAAATGATCGGCTGGAATCTCCCACTTCTCGACTTCCTGAATGTCATGTACATATATTCCTGGACCAACCGGGAGTACAAATATGGTCGGCATCTCTAATTTATCAGTCGTGCAGTTTACTGACGTGCATAACAGCTTTGGTTTTCATGATCTTTACTGGCTCAGTTGTATCGGTAGGTCGCCATCCGTTACCTCCTAGTCAAACAGCTTGATAGACACGACCATCTATTTAGAAAATTTACCGGCTTGTGAAAGCGAGCACTGTACGCAACATCTGCGACGAACTCTTCCTGCATCTTCCGTTCTCCCTCTATCACGGCTGGACGACATGTTTGATCTTCAGCACCGCCTTTGCGGCTTTTGGTGTCAATGCAGACATTGAGCCGGTGAAGATCTGGACCAAGGTTTTCGTCTTCCTCAGCCTGTAAGACATAGCTCGCTTAATCAGGGTTATAATCTGATCTCATATTCCCAGGTTCACCCTCCAGACCATTGCATCCGCCTATGCGTACCACTCTGCAGAGGGCGACCTTCCTGCTTGCCTTGCAGTCTCCTGGTTCATATGGGCAATCTTTGTGCACCAAACGCCGGAAAAGTCGCCATTCGTGCACTGGTGTGCCCTTGGAGCTGCCATCCTGTCGTTGTGCTGGCTCATGCGGAGCGCAATTGGCTTGGAGCTTAAGATCAGGAACAGAAGCACTAATAATGTTAGGTTTGGGTTCAGTGGTAATGACCACGAGGGCTCTCGACTTTTGGGCGGTGGTGGACACTAAGTGGAGGCAACAGCACCACAAGTGGATCGAGGTGTTGTGCGTTGCGCGAGTTGGCGCGCTGTAGCGCGGGGGTGCGTAGTTCTTTCTCTTTCAACCTTGTCTTACAATATGTAGATATGTACTTGGGACTCAAATATATGTTCGTGTTTTGTAATAGCAGATAGTCCTGGTCCATTTCATTGATGTTAATTTATCATGTTTCGTGCACTTCTTGCAAGATAAGCAAAAAAAGCATGGCTAAAGCGTACAACAGAAAAATAAAAGCCTTAAGATGTAGATCATAACAAACCCCTGCCAGGAAGCCAGCTTGCCCTGCGCAGTGCTTGCGTTTATTCGAATTTGATAGGTTCAACCTTTTTAGGAGATGGCAGTCCGATAAAGCCTGGAGGGGGTCTCTTGGTTGGTGTACTTTGTGGGCTTTGACCTTGTCGCGTTGGTCGCTGTTGTGGTCTGGGAGTCGCCTTGACTAATGCCGATGGGGGAGGACCTATCAGCCGCGATACAGTCCACGGCAACTCAAATCTTGCTGCTCCCGCCCAGGCAATATATCGGGAAAGCTCGAGATGCAATGTCGGATAATATGTCACAGACGTCTTGCGCGATATCTATTGATACAAACATGATGAATATTCGTTCCGCTATCAGGGTACGTGAACCTCACCAAAATGATCCGCTCAAATCCCGACGCAAATAGGTCGGCGTGGAAACGATGTGCAGACATGTCGTGTTCCTTGGACAGATTCAACTCATGAGCAGACCTAGCAATTGCGTTGAGGAGTTTGAGGTGCATCGTCTGCTCGGATAGGAATCGCGAGTCAGCTTCAGTCTTCGCATACTCTTCATCCACTTACAAAGTACCCCATAGCTTCAAATTCGACACCTCCAGTCATGCCCCCAGGTGCTTTGGGCTTCTCCACCTTGCCCTCATCTACCTCGTCCAAGTTCCAGACTGTGTTATTCGGGTGACAGAATACCCAGAAGTAATCTCTGCAAACGTCCGAAAGCTCCTGGAGGTAAGTTTTGTAGATCCTCGGGCGATGTAGCGATTCAATAAAAGCATGAGGTGACACAGGTGAAGCAGGTGATTCAGTTGGAGGAGGCGCGGGTGTCAGGAGGATAGCACGGATCAACGAGTAGAAATTCTTGTGTGGTGCTGGGAGGGTGATGAGAGTGGAGGATGTGCGGCCCTCAGGTTCCCAAGCTTCGCGACGTGGACGGTTACCAGTGGACGGGAGCGACGAGGAAGGGTATAACTCGAACAAGATGAGCAACAATTCGACGATGAGCTGTCGCGTTGCTACGTCTCCGGGTTTCTTGTCAGAGTAAAGCAATGAGACGAGTTGCACGAATGGGGTCGGGCACGAGCTACGCAAAGCAAAACAACCTATTGCAGAGGTCGACAGGGCCTTGAAGCATCGAAGTATTTCATACAAAATCTGGTCATCGTGCTGCTCTTCTCTGAATACAGGAATGAGAATATGATTTGAGGGTTGGAAGTATCGACTCACCGCCACTCAACTTCGAGTATTTCGTTCAACCGCGTAAGCAGAGCATTGTAGCCACCCAATTTTAAAAAGTCTTCCGACCAACTGGTCAAAGCTCGATCAGCTAACATGGCACAAGCGCTTCAGATCGCACAACACTCACGTCGCCGACTCATTTCGTAGAAGCAGTCGTAGCTTCTTGACAATTTCCACGTCCAGCTGAGTGCTAGAAGTCGATGCCAAGATACTACAGAATTTGACAGGAGTTATGCTCTTCACGAAATTCTTCTCTTTGGATTTGCTCGTAATGAGGTCGCCAGGGATAAGCGGAGAATTTTGACCACGAGATAATGTCCGTGTAGCATCAAAAGATAAGCCACGCTCATGACCTTTGTCATCGAGTGCGTGCAGATCCGTTGTGCTCTTTCCAGAGAGACCAGATATCCAGCTGGCTTTCGTAGGCATTTGGTCGTAGCTCAGGGAAGGCGGAAGAGGCGAGCCCATCGATTCGCTACTGCGGGCTTTTCTCAACGTCATGGGGGTGCTGGGTGATCCAGACGTTGGGTTTGATGTTAGAACATGAGATGATTTGAGCATGGCGGCTTTGACGGTCGAGTCCATGCCAGCTAGCTTGACACGAACAGTGGAGGGAATTTGCAGCTCGTCCTGTGCATGTGCTGTTGAGTACTGTCGATTGATGTCATGATTGCATAGTCTTACCAGTAGTTTGTCAAAAGCTTGGTTCATTACCACCGGCTCGATCACAAGATCCTGCGAGACCTTTATGGTCTTCGACTTTTCTTGCTTCGAATTCTTGTGGACAGTTCCCTTGCTAGGTTTTGTGGGCACAGGAGACGCAGCATTATTGTCAGGGACGTTCTCCTTTCCACTGGGTGGATCTCCAGGGTTCGTGACCATAGTGAATTCCGAGGAAGATATTCTTTTCGATGAAGGTAAAATCGCCTTGAACATGACTATTTGTGTATCGTAATTGGCAGTGAGTGGGAGCCGTCGTCAAGGATGTGTTTGTAAGTGAGCGTCGAGGTTTAGATGTTGGCCAAGCACACGCGGTTCGTCTTTTTCGACGCGACTGTCACGTGCATTTATTTTTTGCTATTTGGGTTGTGGCCACCGTCAAACGTCTTCCGAGGACCGACGGGTTACTTCCAGGCTTTTACTCCTCAGCGCCGACGCCGACGCCCATAGCTCATTCAGGTTATCCATCAGACTTTCAGTAGGACCCTTCATCTCCGCCGGCGCTCGAGCCTCTTCATATGGCTCTCACAAGTGTCATGCCCCATCAATGCATGAGGTTTTCGTTCTTGTTGTTCAGGTTCTCACAATATGATTGGTCCATGTGGGAGCGCCCATGCCTCACATAGGAAATGCCAATTTCCGGTCGTTCGGTATATAGCTTTCTCTTGTTTGCCCTTCGCGAGAATTAACTTTCCCTCTCTGCACAGAATTCTTTATCCTTTGCACGCACACAGTTCATCGTAATGACCCCACAAACACTCGTCGTCGTCGTCTTTCCAAGTTATCCTCCTAGTCAACAGCACGTCGTTCTCCTTAGAGACGGGGCAGTGAAAATGTGAGTTGAATTAATATCTATACAAATTCAAAAACTCTACATTTTGTTAATCAAAGTACTGTAGGATGTTATTGTAGGAACGATGCAATGGCGTTAAATAACTAGGTGCGTATGGTATCAATCTTTGTTCATCGTGCAGTAGCAGAGTGAACAACTATCAGGGCTCAAACTAGCAGGAGCAAATAGCGCCCTTGGATATGGAGCAAGTCTTGCCATCCAACTGCCCCTCCTTGACTATCCCGTCTTTGCCACGCTGTTTCCATGACTCGCAGAGCCTGACTGGTACTGCCAAAGCTATCGTGTTGATTCTGGAACCGTGCTTTCAGAAACTCGCGCTTCATGGGGTCGTCCGTGAGACACCCGGCCAGAAATATGGGAAACACCAGGCAGCGGTCGATATTCGACACAGGCAGCCGGTTCAACAGTTGTACTATGACATCTATCGAATTCACGATTTCGGGCACTCCTGTGACAAAGCCATCAGCATTGCAACCTCGCGTATCAATTTCGACTCACCTGGATTAGGGTCGCTGAGCACTGTATGTAGGTAGAGGATGGCTGCTTCTCGGAAGATATCAGCTACTATCCTCCGAGTGTCGTCCGCAGGAAGGGGTGTGCCCGCGTGTCCAGTAGGTGATTTTCGTACACTGCCATCCTCAGCAGCCATTGATGACAATTCAGGATGTAATGGTGTCAGGTCCGATTCTACCGATAGCATCGTCTCTGTTTGGGTACGAAGGTGCCGCTCAATAACGTCCCCTCGCCGGATGAGCTCTCTCATGCTCAAAGAGCCTTTACGAAGTTCTTGCATCTTCCAGCATGATAGCGTTGATATCTCCGCGATACCAAAGAGCACTTCGTCTGGACAACCGGTTAAGCTATCCATACGAAGGGTCGACTCGTCACCGACGCCCTGCTGCGTCAAACCCCAGTAACCCGACCCTCCGCGGAACAGTCGCCGGTAAAAGGATAGATGCTTTGGCGTCGTTTGAAGGGTCAAGGTTGACATGATATCGCACCACTGCTGCAGGTGAGCTTCAGTATTTCCATAGTTGCTGTAAAACTCACCATTGTGGTTTTCAGTGCCAGTCGTGATGCCTCATCCATTTTTATCATCATCAGCTTGGGGTTGTCGCTCGTTGTTATCCCCGTCCTCACAAGCCACTCGCTCGCAATATCCAACATCGGGCGCCAATCTGTCACTCCTCCTGACATGAGCGAAAAGCTCAGCATGTGGATAGCTGCATTTGCGTCGGATTCGGTCAGCATTGTCTGTTTGTTTCTATAGATCTGTTGGTGGGCGCTATCATACAATCGGATTGCTGGTGAGTGCTCCAGGGTGGGGTTTGGCGCTTCGTACCCGTGGGCGACGCGGATCAAACTGAAATGCAATGATGCCAATGCCGAAATCGCGTTTGCCACAGGGCCCTGTGGGTGTTGCAAGACAAGCTAAATAACGGTTAGTGACAAAGTATCATATTTTCTGAGAGGAAACTTACTGAATATGTTGCGTTTGCTACAGAATTGCCAGCAAACGCATACTGCAACTTTCGAACGTGTTCGAAATAGTAAAATACGAGCTCCATCTGCAAGCCATCATCTGATATCGATAGCATCGGAGGGTTATAGAGGTTTTGGGTGGCGGTGTCGAAGTCAGGATTAAAGTGCATTTCCACCATGGGCGATGGGTGGGAGGTAAGGGAGCCGGCAGGGCTGAACGGGGAATTGTGATAGCTCGCATCGCTTGGGTACAGAGGGACAGATATGCTCTGAGGTGAGTTCAATGTTGAACCTGAAGATGCGGCTCTGTCAGTCGCTGTTGACTCATTTCTCATGACATAAAACGCACCAAACATGGGCATCACTGTTGGCAACGGATCGACAAACGCTGGTATCCCCAAATCGTTGATTCGAGAGGACCCAGAAGCACTTCCAGACCCTTGATATTGTCGCGAAACGAATACGGACGACGATGACGAAGATGCTGCTGCTGCATTGGCTTGGAGTATGGACGACTTTGGCTGACCGCGGATAAGGCCAGCACGTGTTAGCTGAGCTTTGATGCCAGCCTTGTAATCTTCCACGGCTTTCTTGTCCTATAGGATGATGAGGGACGGTGGTAAGGAAGGCACGGGCTGTACTCACGCGCATCCATTCTGGGCGTTTTGTTCCCCACCCCAGACAATCTATTCTCAACCGTTTGCAAGTATGACAGGAGTTGCTCTCTCGCTGCTCGTCACATTTCTGTTATTCACGGTCAAGACGGAAGGACAGAATTATTTCAGTGAAAACGGACCTTTCTTCGCAGGCGACATGTCCTATAGGCACGTGTTAGGACAACCGAACGATCTAGGATGAAGTGATACGCACCAGCATCCCCCCCTCCCTGTGCCCACTCCGCGAGGTAAATCTACTGGCATTCTGTTTGGTGTTTCTCGTGAATGTGTGCTTTGTGAGTCAGTTTCATCCGAAGCTTTGGATGGCCAGAGGGGTGTAGAGATGATGGCAGGGGAAGTATTGTTGGAGGGGGTTTCAGACGAGGGCGAGGGACTGCCGCTGGCTGACGAACTGCAGTATGCGTATGACATTCACGCCACAATTGGGGGGGTGGTTGTAATAATGAGGCTTGATAATTTTCTTATTATCAGGATTTGTCTTAAGAGGAGATTAGAGTGAGATGGGAAGTCGGGTGCAAGGTAGAGAAATTACCGACGGGTGACAAGGTCGGAGGTTCAGTTTGGGCTTTCTGCCGCAAAAGAAAAGACGGCGTGATGATTATGGCCTAAAGAAGCATATAGAAGTTCATCCCCAGCTAATTTGGATTCATTCATCGTCTCCAAGGACACTTGTCGTATATTAACTCCGCAAGGGCTATGGGATCCAGTGTCGGTGCTGAACATCATGCGTGGGGGGTCAGTCCCCCTTCCCTAGTACACTAAAAAACATTTTTGTTGGGTTTCTTCTATCTCGAAAGTAAAATGTGGCATGTTGGATGCAGGGTTGTATACAGGCTTGAACATTTGCTTATATAATCTCCGAGTTCGACGCTTGAACTCAAAAAGTGTACATGTGTTTAGTTTCAAATTTACCGAGTACCGAAGTACCTGGGAAACAAGAATGTGCCTAGCGTTGGCCTAGCGTTTCTCGAGGGCTTCATCATTCTATGGGGGTCGGGCTCAGCCTGAATCCATCATTCTATGGGGGTCACCATCATTCTATAGCCCAGTCATCATTCAACGATAGGTCGGGATATGTATAAGTAGTGCTTGTTCAGCATTGCACAGTATATGCACTGTCCCTGCATGGCTTCTTCCATGTCAGAGCAAAAAGGGGACATGGAATTGCGGCCATCTGATAGCCTTACTCTCGACATTTAAATGCATGGTCCCTAATACTTTCGTTATCACTTGGCATGATCCGATCATGTCGCAAACTGCAGGCAATTATCATACGCGATGACCCAGGAGATTCTGGGGTATATACATGATCAGCTGCAGGAGGGAAATTAAACAAAACACGATCACCAGCCTTGCACAACGTTCATAATTGAAAGGACCTAGGTCAGGCACGCACGGGTGGAAAGGCAACTTACGCTAAATCTCCGATTTTGAACCTCGCATCGGCAGCAAATAGTCACCGGGACGTGCCCGAAGCTAATCCAAGGATGTTTCCGCACGCTGCGAAGGGTCATGGTGACGGCCCCATCACGGAGCCTCGCAGTGCCCGTCGTTGCGTTTGGGGCCACCTCAGGAGCTGCAACCGCTAGTGACAGGTAACCAGCTTCGAGTGTTTAGTACTTGTACCAGTTCCCCGTGACAGGCTGTGATTCATACCACGGTCTCGAGTGGGGTTCTGTGGCGCTGCCAGCATGACCCGTCGAGCCTGTGGAATTTCGATAACAATTTTTAAACATATATATCTTCCATGCAGTGAACAAAGAGTGTGGGACCAACTTTACGCAACATGCCCGAATTCGAGAGGGAACCCATTTTGAAACGAGCAGGTTGCTGTAAAAATGATTACATTATGCTTACTATTCGGCCAAGAACACTAGCGGCAGTGTTGACTTAGACTATCAGAATGATTAGATTAGAACCCATCCCAATAGACTATTCGATAGGAGACATCCATCTTCGAGATTGCAGTGCTCGAGGCCGTGCCACGAATGTCTAAGACATACACAGCAAAATCTATAGGTCGTGAGTATTATACATGCAAAAGCACAAGACAGCGTAAATTAAAAACAAGATTACAGCTTGTAGGGTATCTGAGAATAGAGAGCCTGATGAGATAATTAGCCGCCCTGCCCATCTAAGGGTGCGTGCCGAATACATTTAGCAAATAATGAAAGAGAACCACATAAAAGAAGAAACCATGTGTCGTAAAGACGGCATTTTAGACAAGAAGAATCTCTCGCATGACCACTCGCCAGTCCACAGGCGTCCCCCCTTCTCGGCTCGTCCAAACTCGTCGCATGAGATCACACACCAATGCACAGTTCCCCACTGTCTCCATCTGCAGCTCCTGCAACAGCTGCAAAAAGTATCCGCGGAAAGCAGGGTCATCCGTCAAGCAGCCACAAACACATATGCTGAACACGACGCTGCGCACAACATGCCGCGCCGTGCCGACGTCTTCAGTACGCCCCAGACACTTGATTGTCTCCGTGACGTTGTACAAGATCTCGGGACATAGTGGGTGATCCCCAGATAAGACGGAATGGAGATAGACAAGCGCGGACGAGCGGAATACGTCAGAGGTGAGGCGCCGTCGGCGGGATTTTTCTGTTTCAGCGCCGTGAGAGTGATTATTGACATTGGTGTTATTTAGGATGGCTTCGATACGTTGCCCGCGTCTGACGAGTTCAGGAACGCTGAGGCTACCAGTACGGCTGCGGGCTTCCTTCCAGTATGCGAGACCAGCAATTTCAGCAAGCGCGATGACGATGTTGGTGTCGCATCCCATGACATCCATCATAGAAAGCTCCGGTCTGCCGTCAACGAGGGCAATGCCCGAGGGATCATAGAGCGAATGGAGTACTTCAAACATGGGACGACGGATCTGGGTCGCAGACGCGAGCACATCAAACCACATGGACGTCTTGATTATAAAACGCATGCTCTCAGTGCACGACATCAATGCACTAGCTGGCGACGTGTGCTTCCCCTCTAGGAGGGCAAGGGAAAATCGGCAAGCACCGTCAAGAAATGCTTGCCACCGCCATTGACCGCCGGAGAAGCGGAGGTAGGAGACCATGCAAAGGCTTGCAAAAGCGTCTCCCTCCGTGACTGGTTTCATGGCCCTTTGGGCGTGTCTGTACACATCACGGTCTTCTGGTGTGTTATATCCGATTGAACCACTTTGGGTGGTACTCCTGAGGTGCAGATCCGCGAGTAAACATGCAGCCTCGCGGGCTGTATTGCTGGAATGTATGAGGGTCCAGACGATGATGTCAATGGACCCCTCGGCGTGCGAGAACTGAATAGGAAGAACGTGTTTCATATAATGTTGCAGTAACGAGTTTTGGTGGTTGTTCGGGTCCATCCAGTTGTGATGGATGGTGTTGAGGGGAGTGGGCAAGCGATATCCGGAGGGTATGACGGTATAGGTGTCGTCGTCATCTGACCAGTGTGCATTGTACATGGGGGAGAGTTCGCTGGTGTGGGGTCGAGACAGCATCGTGCGCTTGATTGAATTCCAACCCCAAAGAGGGCTTGAGTACTATATATACCAGGTATTAATGTGGGCTTACTAGGACGTCGCTCGGTTCAGCCAAAGTAGGCCCGGTCAAGCTCGGCTCATAGACTGAGGCCGGGCTTTGCACAGCATTTTACGAGTATGATACGAAAACGCCAATCGAATGATCCAAGGCTAAGCTGTGACCTATGTTTTGACGTCGGTGCGCGTGATGAAAAGGCTGTAGCTTTCTGGATAGATTTCAGGACGAGTGGGCTATTGTCTGGTTGCGACCCGAAGGAAACAAGGCCGTGTTGACATCAGGGCACATTCCAAAGACGAAAAACGTTGACGAGAAAGAGGTTAACTAGAGTCGTGTCGCAGGCTGAACAAAATATAAAGAAACTTCAGTTTAATTGCAAGGCCTACTGAATACACATGGATAGTTCTGGTGCAAGGTGCCAGATGGGCCAACTCGTGCGACAACTTTCAATGTTCAATTTTACGGCTGCGACTGGCCAAAGAGCCACCCTGCGGTGTAAAATAATATATCAATATAGTCAATTTAAAACGCACCGACGGCGAAGCGTTCGCTACTTAACGTGGTCGGCTGATGTTCGAAATCAGAACATACAAGGAAAAAAAAAAAGGGCGCTTCACCTTGAAGCGAACTATGTCGCATCAAGCACCTGTCGTGCTCCCACCCTAAACCCTACACACAATCTTCGTGATCTGTCAAGGAAGCCCAAGTTTGATATGGGTGTGTGTTATCTGGTAAACAATAACAACAAGTAAGCATGATTGCTCCCAGGGCGAAATCCTATTTGCAGCCACCGTGTGGAAGAGGGGCGATCAAGGACGAATCTCCGACAATTATAATGACGCACCCTGCCCATTTATGACTGGCTCATGCGCGTCGGTTGCAGATAGCCCCACCTCCTTGACCGGAAACTTGAATAGATGTTTCCGCACAAGTGCCAAGGTCTTGGGTACTTTTGTTACGGAGGGTCGCAAGCGCCAGCGCCCGGTTGCTGCGACATTTTGGTCCTCGGAGGTCGCAGCTGCACCCACTAGCAGTAGTTATGTAAAACCATCCTTGTTCACGCAAAAAGTCCTGGATTGATTAATACCACTTCTTCATAGATAAATTGTGATTTTTCTTACGAGTCAAAGCTGTAATTCACGAGAACCCCTTCGACATGCTTGAGAAAATGTCGCGAGCCTTGTTCCGGTTGATTAAGTTGTTTCCAATTTTGATCTGAATGCCGCAGCAGCCAGGGCTTGTAATAGCGCAGCAACGCGGCATTTTGAGATTGGGGGATCTCTACAGTAATGATTCGGATGTTTTTGTTTCTGGCATCCTTCCGAGCAGCTCGCAGAAGACCTGGATCATGAGACCCCCGCTCGAGAACGTTATGACCGGTTGAAGGGACCCAATTTCAAACTGCATGGCACACATACATATATGCAGATGAGGAAGGAGGTAATTGCAAAATGATAAGCAAATTAATTCGGCTCACCCGGGGACCTGCGGCTGTGCAGCTGAGATGGACCCACATCGCATCACATCATGCGGTGGCATCATGACAACCTTGGAGATCTCTCGAGGCCGTGTTAGTCTAGAAAAACAGTACATAGCATTTGTAGGTTGTGTGTAGTATGAAGCACATATGCAAGTGGTTCGTGAGTGCATGTATGGATTACAGCTTGTGTGATATGGGGAATGAAGAGCTTGAAGAAATAAATTGGCCGCGCTGCACACCAGGGGAGCGTCGAATACTTTTAGCAAATCATGAAGAGATCAGGGTAGCAATGAGGGGGGAAAAATGTCCATGTGTCGTAAATTAGCTTCTAGACAAGAAGCATCTGGGACTGTCGCATGACTACACGCCAGTCCACGGGCTCCCCTCGTTCTCGGCTCTTCCAAACACCTTGCATGAGCTCAGCGACCCGAGCACAGTTCCCCACTGTCTCATTCTGCTGCTCGTGCAGGCGCTGCAGAAAGTAACTGCGGTAAACAGGGTTATCCGTCAGGCAGCCACATATACATATGCTGAACACGACGCTGCGCACAACATGCCGCGCTGTGTCCATGTCTTCAGCCCGCTTGAGGCATTTGACTGTTTCTGCGATGTTTTCCACGATCTCTGGACATTGTGGGTGATCCCCAGAGATGACGGAGTGGAGATAAACGAGGGCAGATGCGCGGAATACGTCGGAGGTGAGGCGCCGTCGGCGAGACTTTTCTGTATCATTGTCACGGGATTGATAACTGTCACTGGCGGGGGGCTTCAGGAGAGCTTCGATACGTTGTCCGTGTCTGACGAGTTCAGGAACGCTGAGCTTGCCCGCGCGCCTGTGCTCGTCCTTCCAGCATGCGAGATTAGCAATTTCGGCAAGGCCGAGGACGATGCGGTTTTCGCATCCCATGACACGCATCATAGAAAGCTCGGGTCTGTCAGAATTGAAGGCAGTGTCTGGATCATAGAACGAACGGAGTACATCAAGGAATTTGGGAGGACGGATTAGCGTTGCAGAGGCGAGGACATCGAACCATATAGACGTCTTGATGATAAACCGCATGCTGTCATTGCACGATATGAGTGCCCAATCTGGCGAACGATGCACCCCATTGAGGAACTTGATGGAAAACTCGCAAGCGCTGTCGAGGAACGCTTGCCACTGCCCTTGACCCCCAGAGAAGAGAAAATAGGAGACCATGCAAAGGCTTGCAAGAGCGTCTCCTTCGGTCACCGGTGCCCTTTGGATACGTGCGTACATATCATGATTTGCTGGTGCACTGTAACCAATCGCACCACCTTGGATGCTCTTGCGGTGCAAATCCGCAAGTAAACACGTAGCCTCTCGGGCTGTATCACTGGAATGTATGAGATTCCAGATGAGTTTATCAATGGACCCGTCGGCATGCAAGTACTGGATACGGAGAACATGCTCCATATAGTGGTGCAATTGAGCGTTCTGGTAGGAGTTCACGTCCAACCAGTTGTAATGGATGGTGTTAACGAGAGGGGGCACAAGAAATCCAGAGGGTATGACGGTTTTATCGTCTTCGTCCGGGAAGTATGCATTATAAGTTGCAGAGAAGTCGCTGGTGTGAGGTCGAGGCAGGCTCAATGCGGTTGATTGCCCTGCCAAAAGGAGGGCTTGAGTACTATGATACATACATACACTTAGTAGCGATACGGGGTCTTACATGATGGTTCTAAGCTAGTCGTATAAGAAGTATTGGAAGACGGATACGCAGGCAGCATAACCCCTGGATAATTGTCCCGAGCGTCCAAAGGTGAATCAATGTCCTGCATCACCGGAAGTCCTACGACAATATGAGAAAACAAGCAAGGATAGTCCACGATATGATTCTTACGAGCATCAGTATCCCCCCGAAGATAATCATTACGGGCTATACCCGGGTGTCGCTCGTCACTTGAAATGGACAGGGTGGGGGTCTGGGGACTTGTGCTTGGGGAAGCATAGTCGGCGGAAAGTGATAGTATAGAAGGTTCCTGGTCTGAGGGACGAGGCCCAGTACCAGAATGCCCCTTAATCATGCCTTGAGCGGCAAGAAAATTTTTAATTTTTTCTCGTAGGTCGACGACCTTGTCGCTTGCCTTGAGGGGGATAGAATAAGATAAACGATAAGGGGAGAATATAAATAAATAAACATACACGGAGCCATTCTGGACGCTTTGCACCAAAACCAAGACATTGAAGACGAAGACGAACGCATGTTTGACAGCTACCGTCTGCGTTGGGCTGCTCGTCGCATTTCTAGGAAGGGGTATGATGAGCGTCTGATGACAAAGATGGGATCGAAGATCGAAGGAGTAACAAGCAAGGACATACCTTCCGGCGGATTCTGCACGTGTAACAACCCGACTTGGCGCGGACAGCGCCTTTAGCCTTGGGCGCTCCGGCTCTTCGAGCCTGAGTAGGAGACTTTGGTGCGGCGGGCATGATGATTAACAAGATGAAGGTATAAGGGGTGGGGAGTGTGGGGTAAAAAAGATACAGAGAGAGAAATGGTATACAAGGAGACAGAAGGAGACAAGAGGAAGCGACACAGGACGCATTCTATGTAAGAGAGTATAAGTACATAACGTTCGACGAGAACGGGGAAGACAACACCTGTTCAACGAAGAAAATAACTAAAAAAGGAAAATAGTAAATCTATCGAGAACAGAAGGTAGTATCGGGGTCTCGCTTACCAAACATCCACCCCCATACCATGAGAACCTGGCAAGGGGCGTCTTTTGCTTCCGCGCGTTAAACGGCACTCTTGCATCGCGGCCTTCCAAACAAGGCGCTAGCTGATCATCATTTAATGATCATTTAATGATGTTTACGACAATGTACGCTTGTGGTGGTACAGCCATTCCTTATTTGTAAGCAGACAGTGCAACCTACATGTGTTGATCTCCAACCGCTACGCTCGGACTTGGTATCCATCAGACACAACCCTCTCCGGTTCCCATTTTGAATACCGTCGGAAGACCCCATGGACCAACAATAACGCTCATTTTGGTTCTGCTTGTCAAATCATCCGCGCTTGTCGCTTTGGCCCTGCCAATGATTATCAAACTACTATAGTATTCTATCACATCAGAAACTGTCCAACAATCAAACAAACGTAGTCTCCGAATAGAGCTTGTCTACAGACTCAGGCATATTGAATAGAGAGCTCTCCAGAGTTCTGGAGACTAGATATCGCTAGAAGTGGAATAGAACCAGTGAGGCGATGACAGTCAACTTCAAATACATCCGCCGAAGCATCATTGGAAGAATACTGACGTGAGAGTGTTACATTCAAGGTCAACTGAGGTCACTTGAAAGAATGCCGTTATCTTGCTTTGTACTTTGTCTAGTCCTCCGAAATGGGCGCTGCGGGAATGCTACTCGGTCCGCTTATACTCAAGTTCCTGACCTTGTGTCTCAACCCGCTACTCGACGCCGATCCTCCCCCAGAGCCCTGATTGGCGTCTCCACCAGAAGCCGCCGGCTTCGGCGCGCTACCGACGGCTCCACTTGCGTCTCCTGGCACAACACCAGCGCCTGATCGTCGAGCTATAAGAGCACGAATGGCACTAAGCCATTTAATTTCTTCTTCCTCGCTTGGAGCACATAACAGCAACGTCCTTTTCGTCGTAACTATCTTGAACGTAAAGTGACCGTGCGACTCATCGGGTGCTGTTGACGATGATAATGGCGAACTGGAAGGGGGAGGAAGAGGTGCGCTATGCTTGTGACTCCGCATATCAAACTCCAGGGCATCCAGAATCTCCGAAAATGAAAACTGCCGGTGGGGTTTTGTGTCCTGATAGTCATATTCAATTGGTGCCGTGTTAGCAAGGATCCGACGTGGCAAATACAAGAATACCCATTACCATGTGACTTCCCGAGTAGACCAATTTTTCGCCATTCAACACGAACCACCGTTTGCGCCAATTATGTCGCTTCGAGCCGCACTTCATCAAGTACCCGGATAGGACTATCTTCGCGGCTTCCTTTGGTATAGTCTGCATTCGCGTGGGTGAGGAAGGAACTGCAGGGCGATTCTGTGAGGAGGTCGAGTATGTCCGCTGCGCACTCGGCGAGGCATCTTCTGAGTCCGAGGAGGTTACATTTTGAGCGTGGGAGGGTTGCGGAGGCGAGTGCGTTACCATAATGCGACAAGGTGTTGATTGAGCTCCGGGGATCGGTATAGGGGGTGTTATCAGTGATGTTTGAGTTGAAGCGGTCATGAGAGCCTCCTGCGCGTCCTGGATTGCTTGGACCCACCGCTGGACCTCCACTGGACTTTCAGCCTGGAGATAGAACGTCCTAACAGTAGAGACAACGCCAAAGGTATTGGTGTGTTTCTTGAGCGTGACTGGGGTGCAGGAATGTACGTCGGAGAGATCGAGAAGGCGTAACAGTTGATATTCCGCGTTCGTCTTGTAGTACGCAATATGTGCGGGCCGAAGCACGAACCATCTTTTCTTCCATGTCTGTGATAATTGCTATCCACACCGAATGCGAAGAAGACGGTCTCCGATGTACGAACCTTGCGTCGCTCGCCTTTCTTCCATAGATAGCCCGACTTGATCATTTTCTCGTCGAAAGAACTGTGTGGTTTCTCGGCCTTGGTCGCGGTCCTCCAACCACCCACCTCTTCTTCTTCGTCTTCGTCAGATTCCTCGCCACTTCCTGATCTTCCCTCTGCAATGGAGGATAGCGGGTGCTGAGTCGTACTGGCGGAGACCGTGTTAGAACCATAAGACTGAGATGTTGGGGAGACAAGATCAGGAGACAGAACTGAGTCTGAATCAGACTCGGTTCCAGAAACGTGTGGTTGTGACACTGGAAGAGCCTGCAGGGTTCAGATCGATCCGGATTATGTGACAAAATCAGGTGAAATGAGGTGACTGGGTTGGATGCGTACGAACCTTCTTGGGTCGAGCTGTTGAATGAACGGACAGTTTTCTTTGGACTTCTTGTAGTGACGGCGGAGGAGCTGCCCGCGAACTACCACTAGTCGTCATGGGTGGGAGTGAGATGCGTGTGGGTTTTCGTGACCAACTGTCACAGCAATCCTTCGTGACAAATGTAGTCACACCAGAGACGTGGCTCAGTGCGCTCAGCGCTCGTACTCGACTAGTAAAGGAAAAACTATTAACAAGTGAATCCAGTGAGTACTTTGAGTGCAGTCTATAGCCTAGACATGATGAGGACTATCCACATTCTGCTGCAACGACAATTGGTGCATTGACTTTGTTGGACCACATGGTGTCTTGTTCACTCTGAAACACCAAGTGTGACAACTGATAAGATGAAGGAATAAATGCAGCCGGTTCCAGATCCGGCAATCGCAGCCAGGAAGCTGCATCCTAGATCTGTTTCAACATCTTCATCCTTCGCCTTCGACGATGTCCTCCAAATTCGAAAAAGCTGTCGCGTACGTCCAAGGTCTGGACAAGCAGGGGTCAGGCCCGGATTCTAGCACCAAGTTAGAGGCGAGTTATCATTAAAGACCGTAGGCGAGCCATGCTGATCGATACGGGCCCATCAACAGTTTTATAAATTCTACAAGCAAGGTTGCTATATCACTTCTCTGAAAGAATAGAAACTGATTTTTCGGCGATCAAAGCTACTGTGGGAGATGCAGACCCGGCGAAGGAACCTTCTAAATTCCATTTCGTCGAGCGTGCTAAATGGTGGGTGTGGAAACAACCCTAGATGAGTTATACTGATCTGTCTCGCAGGTCTGCTTGGAACGGTATCAAGGGAACGACGAAGCAGGTGGCGGAGGAAAGCTATGTGAAACAGCTTATCAAAGTTCGTGATACGTTTTGTCTGTTGATCTTGCCATCTGAATATGATTCCAGTACCTTGAGGAGAAGCACCCCGAAGAACCCATCCTCAAGGAGCTCGAGGGCTAAGCTCTGTACTCGCTGTGCGACCCTGTGGATGGTAGCATACCCGTGTTTTGTAATTCAGCCAAGAATCGATGAAGCTGGCAGTTCACCCGAACATATAGGAGTTTCTCTCCAAACAAGCAACCCCAAAAGAGATTGGAAGACCCATCAGAAAAGCGCTGAGAACGTGTTGGTATGTAGGTGCCTTGAGTTTGCAAGCTCCGATCCAAGATTGTGATGAAAGGGTGTTCGAGGACCTGACAGATGACGCCGGCAACTGCGGGTGGTTTGCTGTGGAAAGTTTCGGCGCCCGTTTTTCATACCTGCCACAGAAGCCAGTGAGGTTTATGCAAAGAACCTTGCAATTTCTTCGAGATGATCGGGCGGATATGACGAACTGCCGAATACCTATCGCATTCTATTCATTTACAGTTGCAGATACGACCAAAGTTGTGAAGCTTCTTGCAGTCTAGATGTGGAGCCAAGTCGTGTATGACATAGGTGGTGGTCCTTCAGTGACCCCAGTTGACGGCAGCCCCATGTTGGCTGCGGAGATAATCAATATCCTGTAAGGTAAAGTTCATACAGCATCGGATTGAATAGATACCCGTGTTACACAAGAAATATTCGCGTAGGATCATCCACTGCAGGGCCCTGCCGATCACAGCTGAACTCAGACAAGGTTGCTGAGCATTTTTGAGCTCAGCGAAACGCTCAACAACAAATTACTACAGCGGTATTGACCTAGGGTTACAGCGAGCGACATTGCTGAACTCGAGAGTGACATCGGTTATACACTAGCCTAGTTCTAAATGCTGTTCGAGGCGCTTCCTAACTACCCAGTTCAGCTCGCCACCATTGATGCACGTGTTGTGCATCAGCGCTAGTAGCATGGATGAACTCAGTCTGTAGTCGTGTTCTCGAACCTCATAATCTGATTGCACATCCACAAGTCACTGCCACTGATCATCAGATACACAGCAGATTTACGTGCCCCTTCTCTCTATTCGCTTCCCCCATTCAAATACAATCCAAAGAGGTCTCATTGAAAAAAATTCAAGGTAAGCGTTTGGTTAAACGGTTCAATTCAATTGCTTTTCGTACTTGACTAGAAGAGCCCGATCAACGAATTCGACTCGGTGTCATCTCAATGCCTCCAAGCCTGAACAGACCCTGTGAAGATCCGAAGAATTAAGTGAGGTCACTCTCCGCAGGCCCGACGGCGCTTTTGACCCTAGATCTAACTTCGCACTTCAGTCACCATGAGCCCACTTATGCCCACACAACCGTAACTTCATAATCAAGCTCAAACCAACAAATCACATTCGCCGCATTTCATGTCACATGTACGTATGATCCAGATAAAATAACGGCAAATCGCTATTTGGGAGGGGAACGTAGTAGCAATGCATTATGCAACATGCTCCTGAACAATGCGGTCCCATACGTCCCCATCCCGGTTTCTCTGGCTACGAATGTCCTCATCCGGCGCTGTCGAACCCTATGTAGGCGAGTAAGGTTGTGACTTGGCTTATCGAGCTTCGTCGGAACTTAAGCGCCCCTTTTAGGATGTGCAGCCTTTCTCCTTATCTTTGACCAAATTTCAACTATAGGCACTAAAACTAGGACCAACCCTGAACCTTCTACCTCGGTCACCGGGTTTTATGAACCCCATGAGTGACAGCAAGCACTGACGAATAGCAATTCAAATCGAGCCTCGTGTTAAGTGCACTTACCATAATGGCTATAGCACTTTGTCTTGTGTTGTCAAAGCTCATGGCTAGGTGCACTAAGCTTGACAGGGACAGGGGTACCCACAACCACCCTAGGATAGTAGGTTCGTCCTCTCACTCTGTCAGGGCGATGCCTTCGCAGTCAATGTGATCCGTCATTCTCAGTGGCAGGAGCGATCAATATTACTTATATTTTGTGGCAGACGGCGGACGGGCGCCACCTGATTGTATGTCAACAACCGAGTTATTGCCTGTCATAATGGCGATGAGCACGGTGTTGTCGAGCATGATTGATTCAAAGCACAGGAACATGGGGTTCACTGTCTTACAAATGACAGACGTGGGCAGATCCCCTCTATTAATTCTCTCATAGCCGCCAAGAAGTACCCGGATTCAGTAAATCATTCTGGAACGGTCCCTTCTGTGTTTTATTATAATCACGGTGACCGCGTGCTAGGTGGAGACAGGCTCATCGTTCGACCACCGAGGGTGGCTGTTCCGAGTACTCGCGTACTCGTCGCCATCGGCTTCTAATACATGCACCGATCACGAACACCGGTCCGTAACCAACCTTCTGACGTCCCCCCCTGTGGCCACCATCTTGATCGTTGGACGCATTACGGGCGCGAATGATTTGCCTGCCAAGGAGACAACACGTGCATTATTGTACACTGTTCTGATAGCTGAGGTCATAGTTATATTTTCATGCCACCACAACCCACGCTCCCAAAAATGTCCACGGCGCAAAGCATAGATCGAGGCTTGTAGTCGCCGAATGATTTTTTTGAAATACATATATCTATGGTCCGAAGGTATCGCGGTAGTTGAAGACGTTAGGTCTGGAGTAGTAATAGTACACAGACCAGAAAAAGGAAGCTGGTACGGAATAATCGTCAGTCATATGGTATCTAGTGTACAGCTACTAAAACAACGGCAGTAAAGACAGGAGGTAAACAATACAAATATCGCTTCCAGAATGAGTTCAGATTAACAAAGGGGTAGAAGTCACAAATCATCACAATGTAGGCACACCACTGTCAGGGTTGGCAACATACAACGATGCTCGCGGAGCTAGACCATACTGAATGCTTGGACGGGTACGCGAAGGCACTTCTTCTCGCTTGCGGGTATTCCGCGGAGGTGGATAACGTTCCGCCTCCAGATTGTTTGTCATCTGCCGTTCGATTTCCTGAACCCTAGATGTCACAGCATGAGCTGCGGCCCTTGTGAACGGAGAACCATGTGTGGTGGGTCCAGTCCTCGAAGGCTCATTTGAGAAAGAAGAGGGATTTGATGACGGAGATATGGGTAGGAAAGAGGTAAGTTTGGTTTGATCGGATGATAGGCCACTCAATATTCCGTGTTCATTCGCACTAATCGAACCAATCGAAGCTGTTCGGCGTGACGTGGACCCATCCGATGCGATTCTCTGTACGACATCGTAGCTTCCACATAGCCGCTCTGCGACCTCAGTATTCGCTGTCCAGCCACTATGGACAGACGGAGAGCTCAAGCGAATATTTTGGACCGCGAGCTCATGTCTGGACTCAAGAGAGTCCGGGGAAGCATTCGATTCGTTGATGGACATGAGACGCGGAGCTGGGTTAGGGTCCCGTAAATCCAGTGGTTTCTGACCGGTAGAATTGCGTCGATCAAGAAGAGATGTCTTCATAAATCGCGCCCACCAGCTGTCTGATCGACGGATGGGGTTGAAAGAAGGCGGATGCGAGTCGAGAATGGACGAGTGACGATGCGAGAGTGCAATGATTGGAGTAGAGGAGTACAATGTGGGAGGGGTCACAGGACTATAAGCCGACTGCGAGATAAAGCTTGGTTGGGAAGGATAAGTGTTGCCGGAAGAGTCACCCTTGGAAGACGAATTATTTTGCGATGAACCAGTACGTGATGCTAGGGTGTCGGCTGAATCTGACGCGACCTCACGCAAAGGACTGAGGGTGGGAATGGGTGTGGAGAGAGGCAGAGGGGTCCTCGGTGGGCAAAGGGGTGATGGGTCTAGGCTTCTAGCATCAACATCAATGTTGTCGTGCTCGCCATCAAGTTTGAGAGCACCATGGTTTGACCGATACAAGTTGTACTCCTCATCGTGTGGCAAAGGATCTGAGAAAGGATCTACGTATGACCGTAAGCTGCCATCTCGTTCGTGGGGGTGTCCGCTATTGGGCATCACGTTGCGTGAGTTGTTGCCTTCGTGTATCACGCTCTCGTGATCACCCTCAATTTTCTCCCATTCGTCCCAATCTCGACCACTATTGCGTGCACTGGGCTCCCTGGAAATCATACCGCGCACCATTGCGCTCATCGAGCGCATGGACCATAAACTAGTCCCGCCACTGCCTTCCCTGCGTAACATATCCGGAGGACCGCCCCACCCGAATTGTCGTGTGTCTTCGTCGGCGAACATGTCACGGCGCGGGCGAGGTGGCAAGGGGGAACCATGTTTGCTTAACCCAAGATGAGCAAGAGCTGCAGCCAGCGGGAGGGCGCGTGCGCCTAGAAATCCGCGACATCTATGAGATTCTATCTCGGAATCCATGTCCAAGAAATTGGCGGGACCACCATCAGTACTGTCGTACTCATGGTCATGGTCACCACCAAGAAGGAGGAACCTCCCATTTCTCGAAGACTCACGTCCCCGCGAACGTTTAATATACCAGACAACTGCAAGTCCACCAGCAATGAGCCCAATGATGCCGAAGGTGGTGCCTACGGCGATAGCGGTTGTGTTGTTGTTACTAGAGCTAGAACCAGCACCGGCAGTACTCGTGGGGTACACCACTGAGGGTGCACCTGCACTCCCCCCACTCGACCCAGAGTCGCCAGTTTGAGAAGGTGCAGGAAGAGAAATGATGGCCGGGGTCGAACCCGCAGGTGGCGGGTTATATGAGGATACCATGGATGAACTAGAAGGGTTATATATTTGCATGGTGGCCGACGCAGGGGCGGTGGATCCGTAGCCTGGGATCGATCAGACAGGAGCAAAGAACTAACAAGGGGGACTCACCAAAGGCAAAGAGCACCTGACCGTTACACTGAATTGCCAGATGGTCCTTGCGAGGGCCAAGTTGCTGAAGAGCCTGAGCTTCTTGCCAGACCATTGGATTTTGGTCGGTATTTAGTATCCAACCATCGCTATATGTTGTTTGTAATTCGCTGTCCCCTCCCCCATGAATTAGTATTTCTCCCGTAGCGAGGACAACAGCTGCGAAGTCGAGGCGTGAACTTGGCAGGGTGGAATTCGAGACAGATATCACATCCCATGCGAGAGTTGCCTGTGTCGTGTCAAGAGACCAGATGGTATTCAGAGGTATAAGCTTCCCACATGATGCGCAATATCCACCAAAAACAAGGAGTCGTCCGTCAGGAAGGATGAGCGATGTGTGCCCATAAAGGTCAGGCGGAGTATTACCGCCAGATGGAAGCACTACGAACTCTTGTAACACGGGGTTGAAGAGGCGGTGATCAGAGAACGCATTGCCGGATCCATCAGCCTTCTCGCCACCGACAATCCAGACCTTACCGCCAGTTGACGATGCTGAATGACGAATCCTCCTCATTGGTTCGCCAGCCCAGTTCTGAGGCTCAATGGAAAATGACGGGTTCGTGCGATCGTAAGCGGAAACAAGTGTGGCAGAATCATTGAGTGAAGTGAGGACTATTTGGGAATTCGGTCCTGGTTGACCCCCGAAAAGCAGAAATGAAGATGAGTTGAATGCAGAGAGGGTGTGCCATCCTAGAGCAGGAGAATTGCTCGTAGTGGTTGTATTTGAGAGTAGTTGCCACGGGGTGGATGTGGCACTGAACGATACGGAAAGGTCAAGGAGCAATAGTTCTGATGTGGGCGGTGCAGATGTGTATGAGTATTGATCGTATTGATCTGTCAGACCTCCGTGAACATATAGAAGATTTTCCAGTAAAGCCACCGCTTGTCCCCATCTATCGCGCCGTCACTGATAACTGTCCGTCAACAAACACCATACACGTACCTAGGTAGTGGAGTATATTGACCTATGGCAAGTGGTATCAAGTAGTGCAGCACGGCCGCTGCGCGCCAACCACTAGCCATGACATATATAGAACCTATCCTGTTCAGTGACCTCTGCAAAGAATTGACAAAAATTTGCGAGAAATGTATAAGTTAGTTGTAAGAGCAGGATATAAGTCGTTTTTCGTGAAATGTCGTCACGGAGGAGCTTTGGAGGTGCACAAGCTGGTGGAGAGCAACGTTCGGTCACACACATATATATATATGTACAACCCGCTGCAGCGCTGAACGTTGAACCGCAGTGGGCCTGGCCCTTAAAGCACGCGTCACGTCACCCACGTGACACTGAAAACAACAACTTGACTGCTTGCAGCCAACTATCATTCCAATTTCCATCATGCATCAAGGACTACTAGCTTGCAGCTGCCGAAGCTTGCGCCAAGTGCATCGCCTGATCAATGATCATGACTGCCACAAGCTGCCACAGCCATCGGTGGCAATGGATCCACTGAAAGTTATACAGTGGTTCGCAACATCGAAGCTTCTTAAATCACTGTGCTAGTACTCCCCGCATTTGAACATGGCTGTGTCTAGTGCTATCTATTACGGTAGTGTCAATCTACAGAAAAACTTATGTAACAAGAACTTACTTCAAGCCTTATGACTGCTTCAGCGGACACGCCATTCAGGCGCTTTCAAGAAAGGGAAGAAATGTCAGTGCCAAAGACGAATGCTTAACTACGACCGTAAACGTGAGTACCCACCCTCATAAAGATTGACGCTGCTCTATTTACAGAACAGTTATAAATCGCCAGTTCTTTTAGTCTATGCCCTCCGCCCGTTACCTCTAACGACCTGCCGGTATGACTGCACCCGTTATCTCCAAACCTAAGTCTGTCTTTCTGCGATGATCTAAATCTTGATTTCGAGCTCAAAATGAATACAGTCAACCCAGCCTGGATGATCTGACGACATTCATCACGGATTCAAGATATGCGGTGGCAAGTGGGGGATTTGGCTCCGTTTACAAGTGTACCTATAATCCTGGGAAGCAATCAGTGGATGTATGTTCCTGGATTTAGTATTAGCCACGCTATGTAACCTGACATACTCTCAGGTGGCGGTCAAGATGCTTCACAAACAATCCGACAAAACCGAAAACAACAAAGTGAGAGTGTACTTATTCATTTTTAAATCCCAAGTCCCTCAACATCTTTGAATTGAAGGAGCTAAGGAGAGAGATAGGTGTTTGGAAGAGATTGCGCCACAAATATATTGTTCCACTTTTAGGGTATACCAGTTACTATTCACCTGTTTCCCTCGTGTCGCCTTGGATGCCTAAGGGGACGCTCCATCTGTATCTCAGTCAACAAATATCACTGGCAGAGAAGTACTTCCTGGTAAGTTGTTCAAGTATCCCTTGACCTTATCTCCTCATTGGCTTGATGTAGCTGTGTAACGTGGCGAGTGGCCTACACTACTGTCAGTACTTCATGATTGACACTATTTAGCGGATGCTGATTTTCTGTGATTCTAGTACATTCGGAATCTGTGGTGCACGGAGACCTCACAAGCGTAAGTTAGTTATACCGTGAACTCCGGGGATGCCAACAGATCCAACATTGTATTTGACAGTTTAATGTGTTGATCGACAAGGAAGGTCAAGCGTGCCTAACTGATTTTGGGCTGTCATCCATGATCGGGATAGGTGAAAAGCTCAAGTACCTTTGTCCCGATGAGAAGAAGCCTGGGGCTGCACATTGGTCAGCACCTGAATTAATCGATGGAGACCGAGTCCAAGATTCAAAGAGTTCTCCCAATGATGGAGGGGTTGAGGAGAGATATATGCCATCTCCTTCAAGTGACATGTATTCATATGGCTGTATCATGTTTGAGGTGAGCTTGTTGGTATTCCCGCCAGCAGATTACAGTAATGACGATGATAGGTTCTTTCCGGTGGCATTCCCTGGGGGGATTACAAGATACCTATAACTGTCATCATGGAAGGAAGGACACCTGAGCGTCCACAAGACGTGAAAGATGAGGATTGGATATTTATATTACAATGTTGGCTGTGGCTCCCATCCCTTCGACCTATCGCATCGCAAGCACTAAAATTCGCTAAAGCTCAAGCTCGCCCGTTCATACCTGCAGGTCAGGCATACGATAGTGTTGCATACGGACCGCCGAAACTGATACTTCCTCCTATCATGTAGAACTTCTCGAGACCTCCAGTCGAGCCTCCACGCACACAACATATACAACACATCTTGATGACGCAAACGTCTACAACTTATCTTCATTGGTACCTTCGCATACGCAGCTCGCATTTTCGAACCCTGTAACTTGCTGGAAGTCAATTATCAAGCTAGCGAAAGCACTCATTGACCTATTCACTACCCGAAGGGACCAGCGCCTCCTTAATGATGCAATCCAACTGTATCATGTTTCCCTCGGCATACTCCCGCGCAAATCCATAACTCCTTCACTCCACGAAGATATTGCGGCCATCGCTAAGATCTGCACTGAACAAGGAGATGATGAGAATTCGGATGCGATCGAACGCCTTCGCTTTTGCATGGAATCTGATGTCAATTATCCCTTTCATTTCACGGGTTCCAGTTACCTTAGCCTCGTCAACATAGCCAGGCACATGACAGAAAAATGTCCGGATTCCATTTCCAGCGCAAAAAAATGGTACAGGAAATCATTCAGCGATTCCATCAGTGGTGTATTATGCCGCTTGCAGATGGCGTTGGCGTGCGCTCGGATCGCCGAAAAGGTTGCAGGGGAAGCTGAGTTCAGGCTTGAGGCATACGAGGAGTCTCTCCATCTACTGCACTCGCACATGTCTACAACGCACACCCTAACATGGGCAGTGGAGCATCTCTCGACTTCTCTTGCAGTCGATGCGGCAGCGACGGCACTAGGTCTAGAAGATGTGAACAAATCTGTGGAGTTATTGGAGTGGGGGAGAGAGCTACTGTGGGAAAATATTGTGCGATCTCGCACCAGCGAAGAAGAAAAAGAGGAAGAGAGTGAGGGTGAGAGTGAGGGAGAGGGAGAGGGTGAGGGTGAGGGTGAGGGTGAGGGAGAGGGTGCGGAAAAGGGTGAGGGTGAGGGAAAGGCCCGAGAAGAGGAGAGGGAAAAGGTCTTAGAAGTGGAGCAGCTGCACTTGCTTGTGAGCGGTGTACTAGACACCTCGCAAGAAACTTCCAGCCTCAAAACTGCTGCTGTACCAAATGCAAAAGTACACGAAATAGGCGAGGCGGAGGGCACGCCATGCTTACATCCTCAAATATCTGATCTACTGAAAGCCACGCAGGATGGCCCGGTGGTCATGCTCATCGGAAGCAGACGATCATGCGATGCCATTATCGTATCCAATGCGTACCCCAAGCCGCTTCACGTAGAGCTGAAGATATCCTTCAGCGTTCTCGCGGCGTTGTCGACTAGGTTTCAAGCTTGCACCTCTTCAGTATCAGAAGACCCTGAGTGGGTAGAAGACCAGCTGAAAGAGATACTGCTCTGCTTGTGGGATGATGTTGTGAATCCGGTGATCGATCGGTTGAAAGAAACGATGCCACCGCGGTGTGGCTCTCGAATATGGTGGTGCCCTACTTCGTTTTTCTCCACCTTGCCGGTGCATGCGGCAGGGGACTACACTGTGGAAGGGGTACAGCTACCACAGCTGTACGTTTCGTCCTACACTTCTTCTATCTCGTCACTGGTTCGCGCTCGCACGTGTGCGGACGATCCTGGGCCATCTCCGAAATTTGCTACAATACATCAAGAAAAACCACTTAAAAATGACGAAGGGGAGGAAGTCGAATACCCTGCGATCGAGCTCGCAGAAATGGAGCCCGAAATAGTGAAACGCAACTTACCCCAGTCGCTCTTCTTCCAAAGATTCGCCGACGCAACAAAGGAGGATGCCGTTGAGGCCTTCAAAGATCATGGATGGTTCCATCTGGTAGCTTATGCCACACCGAATGCTTGCCAACCATCCAACTCCTCCTTTCTGATGCGCGACGGCTCACTGTCACTTTCCGACATCCCCTTGGCTGGCTCTGAGCCAAAGGAGTTTGCCTTCCTCTCTGCGAGACCCGTCGGATCACGGTTCAGATGGATGCAGAACGAAACCGCCCAGTTTGCTGCCGGATTGCAGTTTTCTGGATTCAAGAGTGTTGTCGGAACGATGGGAAACATAGATGACTCCAAGGCGTATGAAATCATCACTAAGTTCTATAAGGCTTTCTTTTCTACTGAGACCCCAGATTGTACCCGAGCTGCGCAAGCGTTGCACGATACCCTTGAAGAAATGGCTGAGGGTGAGTTGTCTCTCGGACAACGAATCGCCTTTGCACATTATGGACTATAGCTAATATTTGGAGAAAGACGAATACGAACTTGATATGAAACTTACTCTTTGGTGCTGGCTTTTGCATGACAATTTACGTATTTGCGTCAATTCTCAAGATCTCAAGTTTGAACGAAATTCGAGACGGCCAAGTGGTAGAGAAGAAAGTAGTACATGATTACAGCACAGAGTCAGAGTCTGTCACGAAATAAGTAACTCGGGGAACCTTTTGGGAACAATTATCGATGCGCATATTGAGTGCTTATCAGAATTGCGACAACTAGCAGATGGAGTCGCCTTGCTATGATGAAAGAACAGGTGCGGTGAAGGGTATCATCGATGATGGTGGTGGAACATCAACAGTCTTCGAACCTATTCGTGCAAATAAGTTACAATAGGAGCATCAATTTTGAATTCAAACTTACAGCAGCCCACAGTCTGACCCAAGATAAACGTTCACGAGGCGCGGTTGCCAACGATGGCTCTAGGCCAGGCTCAGATTCTGTAGTGTTCGCCCGCAACTTCGCACGAAAACAGTGAGGGAAGGAGACACCGAGGAAAGTAGGAGATACAAACCTCTGAGCGCCGCCCAGCGGAAGTTCGTTTGGTTCTAACGGCGGTCAGTCTCGCGAATGACACGTCTACCACTGCTGGTCGTGGTATACGCAATGGGGCAACCAATCGTTGCCAAGTGACACCTCTCTTGACTGGCCCCCTGATCCCATTCTGGGCCCGCGAGGAAGTCCCTTGGAACGCATTTGAGCGCGTGTTCTAATAAACAAGTTAGTGATGCTGTTGTATTAGATATTAAAATGAACATACACTAAAAAAACCATCAGGCAGATCCGAGTCGTAATAAGGTGATCCAGTGACGTCGACCTGCACACTATCAAGTCAATTCTGCGCAGATTTTTGTGGGATAGATCCTGACATCACCAATATCGCTGAACTCGCTCTAGTAAGAATGTAAGTGCAACATAAATCATAAAAATATTCTAGCACTTACATCCTCTGCACCCTCCTTTTGAATCGCCGAGGTGATTTTTCCGATGTTCCAGGTGTACACTTTACCCCTTTCAGTACAAGCAGCGATAGTGTTTTCATCGTCAGAGAGCGCAACACAATTGGCTTCATCACATCTTGAGAGCTCGAATGGGCCAGAAAGGCGCCGACGAGTCTTGAGAGACCATAAATATGCGTGGTTGATAGATGCAGTTACAAACACGTGTGCCGATACGGCAATATAGTTGATCGCATGAGAATGTGCTTGTATCTCAGGGCATACTTCCTTTCCTTCGGCAATGCCCCATATTCGAACAGTGTGATCGACAGATCCGGAGATGACTTGACTCCCATCCTTGGTCCAAGCAACCGAAGAGACTGCCATCGTATGGCCGCGCAGTGTTGCTTGTAGACGTCCAGTGCGAGCATCCCAGATTTTGATCGTAAAGTCTTGCCCGCCAGTAGCGACGTTCTTCCCATCTGGCGAGTAAGCGACGGCATGAACAGCATCCTGTTCGGTCGGGAGAGGCCCGAGGATAAGTTCTCCTGAGCCAGCATTGCAGATTATGAGAGTGCTGTCTGCTGAACAGGACGCAATGTGGTTCCCATCCGGAGACCATGATACAGACCAGACTCTCTCTTTGTGCAGCTTCCAAGGTCCAGCGAGATGCTCGCCGGACTCTGCACTCCAGAGCTGAAGAGCACAATCACGACCCCCGCTGACAACCTTTTTGCCATCACGAGAGACGGCGACAGTGGTGGCACCCTTGTGAGTCCAACAGCGTTCTTTTTGCTGTGTTCTGAAGTTCCAAACGACGACAGTGTCGTCATCGGAGGCGCTCACCACATGCTCGTTGTCGGGGAAAGGGGCAACACACCATGCCCGTAGCTCATGGCTGCCAACAGTATTTCGTTTTATTTTAGGTGGATCGGGAGATGCGTTGTCGCGAGAGGTCGCTGCGGACATGATGGATTACTGTAACAAAATGATGCAAAGAAAAGGGTGAGTGATACAGTATATGCAAATCCAGGGCACTACCTACCAATAGGAAGGATATGGAAGCCATCGAGCACCAGATGTCGACGTGCGGCTTTTCTAGGGTGCCATGGATGGTTGTTGTCTTCTGTGGGTCCATGTCTGTTGTCCACAGCATGCAGAACGTCGCACCGCATCTCAATCTGGACAACATCTGCGCACGAGGGGGGCTAACGCTTTTCGCCAAGGAGTATAAGAGATGCGCTCGGACTCCTCGATCGAAACATCTGTTAAAATGAGCTTCTGACAATGCCAGGGCCCAGTGGCTTCAGCATCTTATCCGGTCAAAATCACAATCTCGAAGTTGATGCCTGCCAACTTTTTTTAGCCGAGTAAACCAATACGATACAGCAAGGTGCACTCACAGCGTGGATAACAAACATTCCACGCATTGCCACTGAACCTTGTAATACAAGGTAACTTATCCAATAGTGTATGACATCCATGTCAATCAATATTCATATTCATGAGAAAATACTTCGAAGATGAAATACCAAGGAAAATCCCTGACATAAATCCAAGGGAACTGGCAAGATTGTGGATTCAAAAGGTGACAGTGAAGGCTGAATTATTGTCAGAAAACCCAGTAGAGCATGACCGACGAGGAGCTCGAGCGAGTTCCATTCGGTAACAGATGCCAGACAAGTTTCATCATGATGAAGACCTCGATTCGAGATAGGTCCTAATATTTACGGACTCATCAGAACCTTGCTACAAAAATGATCGTCATAGTACTACTGCTAGTGGCACTAGCAGCTCGAAACGAGGTTGATCATATTATGTAAGCAGTCATTGGAACCGGCCGTTCCATTATGATCTGCATTTCCTGTTATGATTGTCCGTCGATGCATCGATGAGCTCCGAGTTCGATAGCTGATCCGTACAGCCAGAGGTGGCAACATTCCGGATTACCGAACTCTACGTGTATGTTCTCTGGGACATACATTCGGAAGTCGAGGACGGTTCACCAGTATGCTTCTAATCCCGGAGGCCCTCGTCTCGCCACCCACAGTTGACCGCTACCACGCAAAATGCAGTAGTCACCACGTATAATATAGCCCGACTGCAAACAAGCTGCGAAAAGCAAAGAACTATCGGTAGGCAACGAACCACTAGATAACAAACTTAGTATGCTGCACTGTTACAAACAGTATCATAAATTACATAGAAATGTCATCAAACCCGCTTTACAAATGTCAGTGGAACATCCCTGACGCCCATCGTCAGAGTCATTTTGGCCTGCATGACTCTTTCGCGCCATTCTTCTTTGGTTTCCTTCTCTCCGGTAGAGACGTTGACAGACAGAAGGGGCTCGACGCGCCAATCACGTAGAAGCAGTACTAGGAAACAAACGGCCTCAGTCGTCGCGAACCTTTTACCAAGGCAGGAGCGTGGCCCTGGGACCAGCGTTAAATGATACGAACGAAACCAGCAGCGTGATACATACCGACGCTAAAGCCAGTGTGGTCTTCACTGTCTGCAATATCTTTCTTGCCCGATCTGTCCGCATACCATCGTGCAGGTTTGAACTCCTCTGGGTCAGAGAAATATTGCGGGTTGTAATCTAGTCATCCTGTAGGTGAAAGAGAATCCAAGAACAAAATAACTACACGTACGGACGCCAACCATGTCAACCACGACCTATTTATCCACATCGTGAGACGGGTAAACATCCTCTAGGGCATGATTTGCAGCTTACATGTGTACCTTTCGCGACGGGCAACAGCTTCGGTTCCTCGCCGATACCTGAAAGATTGAGTACTGTGTCTTGCTTTGCCTCCCTTATGAGATATACACCGGAAGCTGGGAAGAGCTCAGTTGGGAAACTGGTTAGAAGAAAAGTCACATACGGAACATTCGGATTGCTTCATAGAATGCTGCAAGAGCCTTGTCTAGTTTGCTGTAGTCTTCGAATGTCTAAAATCGATCAGGTATATGTCGGAAACATCTAATTTCGAACAGGCTCACAATCTCGCCATTTTCGCGCCCTTTAGTGACTTCGTAAAATTGCTCGACTATCTCTTCCTGGATAGATGGATTTAATGACAAGAAACCAAGAGTAGCTGCTAGAGTGTGCGATGTGGTCTCTGTGAAGAATTGCTTGAAACCCCAGTACGATCAACGTGGCAAAACGCACCATGGCCAGCAAACAGCAATGCAAAGATATTTCCGATCTACGACGATTGTTCAGAAAAATGATCTCTGAAAACTTGCAAACGTTTACCAATTCCTCGTTGTCTAAACCCAATTTGCCCCCTTCTTCGCTCGCTCGAACAAACAACGAAAGGATGTCCTTCGGTGTGTCATCGCCTGCAGAATTAATGGCCTCCCGCCTCGCCTGGACGTGGGAATTCATGAATGCCCTCATGGTATCGAACGCTTGACGGGTCTGGCGAACCCTGTGGATAGGAAGGTCAATGATACTCAACTCGAAGGAGCGGAGTGGGAAGAGCTACCATGGCAGTGGCAGTTTCCAAGCCCATTTTGGAGCTATAATTGCAAAGGAATTTCTAATCGTTATTATTTCCAAGCACTGCTGAATCGACATTTGTCCATCATGAGAGGGGGGCTCCCCCCAGGAAAACGGGAGACCAAAGCCGCAAGTGGCAATGATGAGGAGAGTGAACTACAGATAGTTAGCCTCAAGGACGAGCGCTGTATCAGGATACTTACCTTGGTTGTCAGTGTTTGGATACGTGGAACGTCTATCGTGGCTTTCTCTGCCCACCCCTCACAGTCAATCATGTCAGCATATACTTTGCGTGAAGCGTTCCAGACAAGCTGATAGCTGTTAGAAATGGTTATAGAAGGCTTCTCCCGCAACCAAGCACAACACGCACGTGTCGTTATTAAACGCAGGTCCAGCAATCCTCCTGTGCTTTCTCCATTGATCCTGTGCCCCCGCCATAACAAGACTCGGACCCCAAAACCTGACATTCATTTGGATAATGCGATGGTTTGACAGAGGGGAGTCAACTCACAGAAACGCGCGACCCATATCATCAGTCTTCGAAAATGCACCCGACTTATGACCAGCGGTCACGACCTGCCTGGTGACATCCATCGATCGTGTATATATTGACGGTGCGCCAGAGAAAAAAGGAACTATCGAGACTGTGTCGCTTCCAAAGCGACGATAAACTAGTGGCGGACGGGGAGAACGGTGAATACGCTAAACGTACAGTGAGCATGTCTGCGCTTACTGTTTCTAGTATGCCTCCACGTCCACACAAAGATTACGCCTGGCGAATCGCATTAGGCAACAGTATCGGACGTTTGCAGAGAAAAAAAACCATCATACCCGGGTTCCATGACTTTTCTGGTGCGAGCACACCTAGCAAACTGAGGGGCTGAAATGGCACCCATAAGCCCGGGAGGTAATCCACTGCCTAAAGGGAAAGATTGATATCAATCATGGTAATATAGAACAATGAGGCCATAAGCATCACACCTTCAGACCCGACACGAACTTGAAAACCTTTGAGATCGTGACTGCTGTGACCAGCGCGGCAGTCGCAGCCGTCCAAGATAAATCTACACATAATATTAATTCAACTCGTATAATCAAGGAAAGCACTAACCCATATTCCTAATTTTATGAATTGAAAACAATGAGTACGTCCGTTCGACAAGGAAGCTTCGAGATGAGCTGGAAATTCGAATCGTACTTGTGTTGAGGGGCCCGGATGGCTGCGCGTGTGCCGTCGGCTCATTCCAGCACCGTGGCACCACATTTCCCAAGCTGAGCACTGCAGCACTGATATATCAACGAGCATGAGAGCACGGAATCGTTCAGGTTGAATGTACGCTAGTCTCCTCATCATTGATCAACGGGCGCCGGTGCGAACGAACTTATATAGCATATTTGGCGGATGTTGAGTGGATATGCAATAAAACTCTAAAAGTTGAATTGAAAGTCAAATAAGGACTTGGGCGGATATCAGTTGGATTCCGACTCTTCAGCTGGTAGTACTTACCACGTTGCCTCGACGTTGATAAACAACAAGTCCTGCTAGCAGCTGCTTGCTAGCCGCCATCATCATGTCAGAAACTCCATGGCACACAGTGTAAGCATGTCGTTCCCATCTTGACTCAAGTCTCATCACATGCTGTCCATCATGATAGTACCATACGAGTCCCCTTTGCAAATCCAAAACACGCAACGATAGCAATGCAAGTGATTAATGTGGATCCAGAACTTCAGCGAGAAGCCGTCAAACGCACTTTGACCGTGGACGGTAGTGATCTCGTCGCGTATGTGTTCACAAGAGGTCCAAAGCCCATCACACATGATATTGAACGAAACGCAGGTCATTCGCAACTTCGACTGTTCGACTGGCGAGGCTGACGACGAATGGCTTTCTGGAGAATGTAGATCTAGTCGCCCGAACTATCGGCGAGTTTGGAGAGGACTCGGAACGAAAATGAGTGATATCTACGTGATGATCAGGAAAACAACGGTTTGTGAGGGAGGCAGAGCTCCCATGTCATGTCATGGTACAGAAGAAAAGTTCACCGATAGCCGAACTGCGATCGTTTACTATACACGTAATTTTATTCAGCTTCCTAAGCGTCGTTGCCCTCGGCTTCCTTTGCCTTCTTCTTACTCTTTTTGCTCTCACGAAGGGACTTGGACAGCACGCCTTTGAGCTCATCATCTTCCAACTCCTTCTCAGTCTTCACCAGCTCCGGCTTGTACCACACCGGTGGGTGAGTCAACAGCAGTGGGCCAGCAGGGACTAATGCGATTGTAAAGTGGAATGCTGCCACAAACGTGTTTGCAGGAGTGTACCTACGGCGATGTCATTGAGGGCGTTAGGAAACAGGGACGTGATCCACGTACACCACTTCATACGGCTTAATCAGGCCATGTTGCACGGCCTCTTGAAGACCAAGTCTTGCTCTCTTCTCATCCTCCAGCGCACGAACATTGAATGGGAAGGCACCAGCCTTTTTCTGCACTTCAGAGAATACAGCACGGGAGTTCTTCATCTTCAATTGATAAGTTACTGAGCTATCTTTTTGGTAGATGGTCGTCCGAGAATCCTCGATACGTGCCTGTGGAATGTTCAGCGATCGATGTTCATTTCTGCTTACAATCAGTATCAGACCTTGCCATCATCTCCTGAAGAAATAAGGATATCAATTCCATAGACCTCGTCTTCCGCGAACGTGATCGACTCGGTATCGCGTCTCTGTGTTTCGTTCGGGTTGAGAATGATGCGCTTCTTGCCATCGATAACATTTTGCGTCTGCTGACAAGAGAGCATGCCTGAATCCGTAGCATCAGATTCGAACTCCTCGCACTTGAGTTCATCACAAAACGCACCTTCGACAGGCTTGCAATCCCAAGCTGTTGCAGTTTTCGCAACGGCATCGGTAACTGCAAAGTTTTTATTTCCGACCTTTACGAGCCTCATGGCGATCTCAGCTGCGTGCCAAGCTGCTTTGAGCACATCTGCTTTTCTGCCAGTCACGGGTTCCTGCTCAGATGCGCCGACGACAATGGTCTCCGCACTGATAACGGCGAAACCGTCGATATGTGCACCGATGTGGAGCTTTACAACATCGCCTTTAGCAAGGGCCTGGGATGATAGGGGATCTGATCTATAACAAAGTGAAGTTATAAAAGGGTGCACACGATGAAATATAAAAAATCCACGCACGCCAGGGGGGAGAAATGGGCGACGGTGTTATTTACAGAAATGGAAGTGGGGAATGCAAGACCTTTGTTAAAAAGTCATAAACATCATTTCAAACACATGAAAGTTATCTGACGCACCCTTGCTCATTTTAACGCCCTTCGCGGCTTTGTTGTAAACTCCACCAGTCCCCTCCTCGATGAACTTGTCGCCCTCAATGCAAAGATCGATGATCTTTGCGCCCTCGACACAGAGTGGGATCAACTTCTTCATAACATCGTTCACGATGTCACCAGCAGTCTATATGACATCGCATCCGTTTGATCAGACTTGACGAACACAGACGGTGATTATGCCCTTCATACCTTGTACTTTGTTACATCGGCTTCACTGATCAACCGGGTTTTTTCAGCAGGCTTTGGTGCGTCTGTTGTAACCTCAGCCATAGTGTTGGATCAATGCAGGAATAGGAATAATCAAAAGAAGAGAGCACGCGAGGATTGGAGAGATTGACTTGTTCGAACTTGGTAATCCCGATATGGTAAATCTCTTTGACCTGTACGGTCAAACAGAGCGAGCTCTGGATGCCTACAAATTTGGGCCCCGGACGCTATAAAGCATGTAAGACCCTAATTTCTTCATATAATCCTAATACTATCGTTATCTTCCGAAGAAACCAGCTAGCATGGGCCTTTTTAGACAAGTTCGTTCGTTCTATTTTCAAGGTCGCTCTTGAAATGCATGGAAGTCTCCGGACATCTCCCAGGTATCATGATGTTCGTTGCATCTGGGATACCGTAAAACAATTTTTGTCAGCTCATGAAGGAACCCATGCAGCGCCAGCGCATTTCTATGACCCCGTACCCGCTGTGCCCAATTCATTTATTCCTTCAGGCTGGCTCAAATGGAATCTCATGCAGCAGTTTCCTAACATCTCTCCAGGTGTGTTCCTTAATATTCCAACCAATACTACATACGTCACAGTGCCAGCGCGACTATCTGGACCTCTGCGGCCACTATACCCGGTGTGTTGATTGTACCCGCTCGGGTAGTACCTGGGCAGCCCTACGAGTCTGCAGTGTAATATTTTGACGCATGCGGGCGTCCTGAGGCCCCGCGTATCCATGCAGCGTAATTGCTAATGCCCATGCAGAGTCTTCCGTCGGGTGGCGAAGACACAAAACTCTGGCTACCGTGAATTTCAGCCGTATGCGCTAATGTCTTGTTCTTAATCTCTGGTCGGGCAAAAGGTATTTAACAAGAACGAGTTCGTTGGTGCCGAAGTGCAAGCCAATGTTGATAGATCTGGCTGGCAAAGGAGTTGAATCGGATGAAGTGATACAAGATAGTAAGTCGAGCACGCAATATACTGACTTAGGTTTCCGATCGTTATGATCGAATGGTGTAATGTTCGCGCCAGGCTCTTACAACGAGCACCGTTCCTGAAAGGAGGAGACGCATAGGGTTTGGGGCTTTCTCTAGTAGCATCTGGTGGCACGTATGCTCTCCGGTGCTAACAATGAGGCTATAATCGTCCACGCGTTCCGCCATGCTCAATGATTCTGCTGTCTTTTGAGAAGATGGGACACCTCCCGCCCACCTCAACATCGCCTCCTCTGATATTTCGTAATCTGGTACGAATAATGTAATATCTACGCGGAGCGTCAATTCTTGATGTATTGGCTCCTTTTGACCCATGGAGATCTTGGTTCTTGATCGCGCTGTCAGTGACACAGTTTTAAGAGTGTTATAAGCCCCAACGCTCTTACGGGGAGACTATATTGGTAAGTGCTTCTGCCGGCGTCGACTCGGGAACTCACAAAGCCGAAAGAATACAAACAGGGGGAACAACCTCCCAATTGCAAGCAACCCTCTCGTAGTAGTTAAGTGTTCTATTCTATTTAACTTATAGTTACACTTGATAATACACCGCTCCCAAAATGAGATGTAACAGCCTCATGACGAAGATATACCATAAGTGTCTCGATAGTCCCTCATCGCCTGCAAACTCCTCTTCTCTTCCTCAGTCGTCTCCCCATGTTCTTCCTTCTCTTCTAACCACTGTACTAGGTCCCGCATCTTCAATACGCTTCGTACCTTGCCCTTGCCTCCCAGCAAACTCTCCAGCTTCATCACCGAGCTGACCTTGCATCCCTGCTCGTCTATCTCGGAAAACTCCTCGCGATCGAGCAGCTGTACAACCCCCACCACCTCTCCGCCCTGCCGAGCCACAAGTTTTATCGCGGCACTTGCCGCGAGACCCGTGGTCATTACGTCGTCCACAATCACTACACGCCATTTCTCATTGCGACCTGACGGCCATCCGACGACATTTCCACCTTCGCCATGATCCTTTGCTTCCTTCCGATCGTATGCGAACTTGACATCGCGACCATGCATGGATGAAAGCACGAGCGCGGTGCAAGCTGCGAGGGAAATGCCTTTGTAGGCAGGTCCAAAAAGAATATCGAAGTCGGCAAAGGGGTCTACCGTGGGAACATCAGGGGAGGCCGCAGCGCAGAGGGTGGCAGCATAAGCTTGTGCGACTGTGTGTAGTATGGTGCCATCTGACATAAGACCAGCATTGAAGAAGTAAGGGGATTTGCTGCGACCAGGATGAGTCGATGGAAACAATCATGTATCTCACTCACCGGCCAGATTTGAGCGTGAAGTTGCCGAATTTGAGAGCGCCGACTTGCGCAGCTTGTTCGAGGAGCTGTGTCTTGTATGAGTCTAGTGAAGACATCGTAGCACCTAACAGAGAGAATATGGGGATCGTAATGTGCAAGATAAGATAGTCCACAAATTTTGGCCTGCCTCAATCTGCGTGTTATTTTTATAAATGTGTCACGTGATGGATTCATTCCCAGCTCATGTGAAATCACGCACGCTGACCTAGAACGCTGGTCCAAACCATTGAATGTTTCAAGAACGTTCGTTGATCCTCGAAAACCCACAGAAATAACAAAAAAACGGGAACGGTTGCCCGAGTATACCGAAATAGTGGAAGATACACTTTCATCGTAACGATATCAGCATTTATTCGTCGAATCATTCACAAGTACCTTGATGAAGGACTCGGCGGACGCCTCCAATTTCATCGGGCAGCACGTCTTCCTTCGCGCGAAAGACTGTCATCCACCCCGACGAGGAAGTCGCTTCCCATTCATTCGGGGGACTGCTACCGACGTCTATCTGGCAACAATCTAAGTCAGGACTCCCACAGCACATGGATCACGCACCTTCCCCGAGGCCGGGGTCGAGTCCCACCTTGCCATTCACCTTTGGAAGCTGCGCGGCACGTAATTTCGCCGAAACAGCTGCAAGAACAGGGTCGAACACCAACCCCATTACTGGGCTGCACTCCGCTGCGGGAAGGGAGATCATGATCATGATCATTGTCATATGAAGGGGGGCGGTATGGATTCTGCAAGGTTATGCTTCATAAGAAGAAGAAGAGTTTGACTGACACTGACACGGCTGCTGTATCCGCCACGTCAGTATCGGTCACGATCCCTACATCTGCTGCACCAGCGACGCTGTGCCCATCACTGGTATCTTTTGCAGACTCCACCTTCTTCACATCCTAGACTGTAGCACCACGCTCACGCATAAGATACCGTGAATTATTTTGGTCGTACTCCACCGCTGATCTTGTCATCGTACTCACTACCAATAACGGTTATCTGGCCATCTCTGGACATGGCGATTGCCTAGCCTGGCTCACTATCAACGGGGATCGACTGTCTGCATGCTCCTAGGGCGATGGTCAGTATTCTTTCGGTCGGGTGGATGGTTACTAATAGCTGGGAATGTAATTGAAAAACAACCTCGATGTGAGCTCGTGCATCGTGGTCCACACCCCCTGGGGATATTCATATGTCCTGAGGAACGCTTCTTAGTTGATCTCGCTCTCATTTATTCTAAGCCCGAGACTCCCTCGCTCTCTCCACAGCTCGACGTCTTTGCCTTTGCGAATGTTGCTCAAAAACTCGATCTGTCGCACACCTTCTCAAAATGCGAGTTTTGGATCATGCGATTCATGCCCACCTGACGGATGAGGTCTCATCTATTTCGCAACTCGGCACGGTAAGCATTATTTCATATTCCTCGATGGCTCACACGAACGCCCTCAGCCGTCTTGAGCTTCTTGCCAGCCACGATCGGAAGCGTGGCATATGAATGAGGGCATATGACTTCGTTGTCTGAAAAGAGAAATTGCAATTTTCATTTCTCGGATATTTTTATAGCCCTCGCACGAGTCGATTCTTATACCTAAACTGTTTCTCCACGACACTGTATCGATCTCGTCGCATTTGTTAATCATTTGCTTACCATAAATTCATATCTGTACAGGTGTTTCTTGAAGACCCTGACGATGGTGCAACTCCACAGTTTTGGGGTAGTGGGCGCAGGGATGTATCCAATGACATTGCACCGGGATTCAGATACTCGAACAGAGGCCGGGCCGGGTCAATCATATCAATACTGGCTAAGGCGTAGAAGGCCGTGTATCACTCTAATATACGGGAGCGATAGGTGTGCTAAAAATGCATGATATCATCATCTATTGAAACATGTGCAGATGTGTATAATAAAGGGGTATATGAAGTCGTGCGTCAATGACTCATGATTTAAGACATACAAAGCCACGAAGGCTCCGGCAATATTCCGCCGATTCATCTCGAGAAGATAATGCAACTTCTTCTGGCAGAGAATTACGCCAGAGACGCCAATCTGGAGGTTTACCGATAGGCTCGCTCCACGTCAATTCCGCTCGCATGCGTCCCCGTACGCTGGTACGATCCGCCATGTCGCTATACGAACGCAAACAAAAAATCAGCTACGCAGGTTCGTTCATTCAGAAAGCGAAAGAATCACTTTTCCCAATTGATCCAGTCGCGTTCAAAGTAATCTCGAAGCGGATGATTTGTGGGCGATGGCCGCTCGGACCGAAATGAGGTGGGCTTCCGTTGTGTGGTTCGGACGACTGGAGGCGTAGGGTCTTCACCGTACAGTCGTTCATAGGCACTCCAGATCGACTCTTTACAACCTACGATTGTGCGCACGGTCCGGGCTAGGTGCATGCATGCCCATGACGACATGCTCCGCTGACAACCCTCTGCCGTCATCACAGAAGCACGCGCGCTGTAATCGGCTTCAGACGAGGGTTGGGCTGATAAGGCTCGAAGCTCGAAAAGAGTCGCGGGATCAAGCTGTACTGACGATGTCGAATGTTGAGTCGTGAGCTTTTGTCTGTCCGAAGAGTTGCGTGGCAAGGGGATTTGCAGGGGGGGATGCGACCGGATACTGGAGAATGACAACGAGAGATACAACGGCAAGACGGAAAGCGGTTGGGGTGACAAGAAATAGGTGTCTAGCATTTCCTCCCACGCACGCTGAAGCCGCGAGTGATCTTGCGGATCTGGGGGTTTTGGATGCTTAAGTTTGGCATCCAGCACGGAGGGTAGCGAGGTTGATGAAGATCCAGAAAGTGTATCCAGGCTGGCATTTGTGTTATTTTTGACTTTCAAAGATGAAACAGATTCAGATTTGTGACAGGAGGTTGCAGCTGCAACCGTATTCGAGCTCTGGATGGAATTACCAGAAGACTTTCCACTGCTGGGGGTCACATCGTGTGATCGTATAGATTGGCAGGGAAATAATAAGTCTTCTTCAATAACCTGAAAGTCCGTCAGGGTGGCCGCATACGTAATACGACCGAAGAACAGCTCCGCACCTCGAGCACGCCGTGAGGTTTGAGGATGCGGGCGATCTCCTGAGGTGAGTCGGGTAAAAGCAATTCAAAAGGTTTTACGACATGCGACGGACAACTCGCTTACCGCCAGAACTGATGGCCACTGTGAAAGGGCCATTAGCAAGTCAACAAGGTGACGCCAGGAACACTAACCTCATCTTCGGGGATGTGCAAGCCCATTCGAACCATCCTCACGAAGTCAAATTGGGCCGTTAAAAATGGTAGTGGTTCTAGTCTGAAGAAGCACATCAGATATGACAGGAATTATGCAATGCGCGGGGAATGTGTTACAAATTGCCTTGAACCCATTTTAGCCGACGAGAAACAGACTTTGCGAGGACATTAAGGCGTGGTTGCGTGCGCTCGATGTCGAATCCAACAACTGTGCTGCCCTACACTCTCCCGTAAAAAATACGGCTGCTTTGTGTGTATTCTCACCAACCTGCCATTGCTTGGCGGCCTCGATGGCCCAAAGACCGCGTCCGCACCCGAGATCAAGAATTGTAGGCGGAGGACCGTCAAAATCATAAAGAGTCAAGCTCCTGCAACAGTTTGTTATGAACATATGATCCCAGTGATCACTGGAACACCGTCGGTAAGAATGACGAAAGTTGAAGCTTGTTTTCAAAAAGAACTCACAAGTTCACGATGTCATTTGTATATTTCAAGGGCGAAATGACCTCGTTGGGAAGCCGTCTACATTTTGGCAATGACAGCAGCTCGACGTCGATGTGTGTATGTGGACTATCTTGAGTCATGGCGAAGGAAGAAGATGCATGCCACTGCATGGGCATATATGATGCCGATGGGGCTATGTTTAGGATTGTAGGCGCTACAGATGGGCCGGTTTATATGTAGGTAGGAGTACCTGTGACGCAAATGCGAATAGGACTGAAAGTTAGCAGTGAAACCTAAAGCAACATGATAAATGGATCTACCTTAAAAAAATTGAAGAGGGTGATGTGATGGCCGAGGAAGGCCGCATCTTCTCCAAGCATGTCATGAAGGTTGTACCATTCATGGACTTGCAGGGCCGCGAAGATAGGAAAGATGCCGTCGCTTGCAAGTTCGCTTGAGAATAAGCTTGTACTAATGACTTCCCGTCGGGTGTCTCATAATTAATTCAATGGGTCCGCAAAGGTGTACGGGGTCCTAAATGTTGATTCTGGGGGACTTGACAGTGTATTGGGTGATCACTTAACACCGTGACTGAACTTCACCTGGACTTCGATGAGCTCGCTACGTCTCATCCGCAACGTTGCATCCAAGCGACATTTCAAACTGTCGCCCCTATCATGGCGTGCATACGCAACGCCTGCAACTTACAAACCCCAAGAAAAAGACCCTCAGCTTGGCGATTACCCTGAACTTCCATGGGTATCAGACCAGGAACTTCCTGCTAGAGGCTGGTGGGATCAACAAATGCGACGGAACTTCGGTGACCCGGTCAGCACATTACCCACTTCCCGGCGCGTAATCATGTTTCAGACTTTACCTTTTTGCAGATTCAAGAATACGACGAAGTCTTGTCCATGTGGGGCCCTGATGCTCCTCCGATTCCTCCGCAAAAGGCCTTGTTTCAGCTTTCTCTCGCCATATCCGCATTCGTTGGCTTTGGTTTCCTGTGCAAGTACGCGCTCCTTCCAGAGAGACCAACCGTACCCCGGGAATACCCGTACTCCGGTCTTGTACGTGAACTTGGCGGACTTGAAGAAAACAAGGTGGGCTCCACGTGTGCACTCGATGGGTTAATTTTACCATTGTTCTAGGCTAGAGAAGAGACTGAAGAGATCGACGAGTAATATTGCGGTGTACCTAGACCTCACGTTTCTTATCTGAGAGAATTTCACTCTCACGCATTCTGCTATCTTTGCATTATGAGTGACTCTGCCAATTCGCCACCGTTCACTGGACTCCGCCAAATGCCTTGTTTTTCCTGGAAATAACGCACGTTCAGGGCCTCGGATCTAAGGAAATACATGTGCTATGATGATGGCAATGTACGTGTTGCTTAAGCTAAGAACCCTCGGACTCTGCCGCAAGCATGGTGTATCTGTCAGGTATTCGGGACCCTTTTGCCACTGGTCTCGCCCGTGGGCGGAGACGGGGTTTTGAGGTTTCTGTGGCGGATGGACCGTCATCATCCACGTTGCCGACATACTCATCCCCACTTTCAGATTCGGATTCCTGAAGTGCCCCAGATCTGGACGAGTCCTGCGCTCTAGCGGCGCGGCCCTTACCTCTGCGGCTAGTCACTGCCCCCTGTCTTTTCTGTTGTGCCACCGCGGGACTACTTTTCGTTCGGCTCTTCTGCTTAGCGCCTGTTTTCCTCTTTTTGGTTGCAGGCTCCTTCCCGTCTTCGGGTGCGAGGTCGTCTGCCTCATCAGATACTGGTGTGCTTGTATTCCGTTTTGCCTGCTGTTTTCGAAAATCCGTAACCACTTGCTGAAGTCGCTTGCTTCCATATGCTTGCCGTTTCCTTGGTGCATATGATCCGCTACTGGGCGCAACATCAAAAAAGCTGTTCAAGTTGCCTTGCCGATTCATAGCTGCTGCCTAGCAAATATGAGTTAATCATACATACACCCGAAGATTGATTGGACGCCACGCCATATGGCTTGGTCTGTACCTGGTTCCGCTTATTCATGTTCTGAATGATCGGTAAAAGTGTCTCATCAACTTTGGCTTGGTTCCAGCGTAGTTCTTCGTGGAAAAAGCTACGGAACCTTGTGAGCAATTTTTTTTCTTTCGAGCACGGGACGTGGTCATTACGCACTTCCGGAGGGCGTCAAGATCTGGCATACCCCATTTGAACGGCTCATCTGATGAATCCACCGTCGGATGATAATAAGCATCTCTCTACGGCGCAGAGATTACCCTTCATTGGAACCCGACAAAGCAGTAGCCACTTACCACTAAAGCATTAGGCCACTCCGGGGGCAGGTATAAGTTTTTGAACTTCTTTTTCTAGACGAAGAGATAAGCACATGAAACAGCATCAAAAATTTTCAGCAAGGCACATACGAAACGATTCCGGAATTTGGTAGTATTGTCCTCTTCTCGGTCCCGCCCGCTTTGGACTTTAGTCCACCAGTCCTTGAACTTATGAAGGCCGTCCTCGCCCGGAAACTCTTTCAGCAGTTCCATGGCCATTACAGGGCCAACTCCTGGAAGCCCCTCTACGTAGTCGCTTCCGAGCAAGTACGCCAGGCGGATAAGCGTATCGCGTTCGAGCCCAAGCTCCCGCGACAGGTCGGACAAAAGAAAACATTCCACCGTCTTGGATTGATTAAACATGTTCTTGAATACGCGCATGCCTCCGAAAAGGAAGACGTCCGAGTCGTCCGTTATGATGCCCTCGACTAAACCCAGCGATACTAATTCTGCGCACTGTGCTTCGGCTTCCATCGGTGCGGTGATGTATGGTATGCCGAAAAGACGCAACAACAGCTTGGACCCGATGAGCTCAAATGAATAATAATACATGTAGCACGGCGCGCATACCATAATTTGAGAGATCATCTGTTGAGTAATGTCTTCTGAATCACGCATCGCTGCCTTCTTCTGCTGATTCAACGTCCGGATCTCTTCGTCGATCTCATGTCTGACGGCATCCAAATCCTTGCCCTTGACTTGCGAGATAAACCGGGCAAATTCGCCTTCTTCAGCGTGTGGATCCATTTCCTGAGCAGCGTCCCATGTTTCAGCGGTAGCAGATGTCGCTCCCTGATCAGTACTCTCCGGAGCAGCACCATGAACAGGAGACGGAGACCGCGACCATTCGATATCAGATTCATCACCGCTCTCGGGTACCGGGGCGGCCCCGGACGTGACCGCATTAGACGACGAAGCCTGTGAGGGATCTAATGTCTTCGGTAGCTGAAAAGACGCAGGGAAGGTTGACTGTCGTTCTTTCGCCGCATCGAGCACTTCCGATGCTGAGATTGTAACAGGCACAGAACTCTCGGGTATCTCCTCAACGTGACCTTGATCAATGACGGCGACTTCTTCCATGTCGTCATCCGAATCTTGTGCGACATCCCGCAAAACTTTGGGAGATGGTGGTGGCTCGAAACGGGCGCTGATATCAACGGGTGACGGGGTTCTGTGTGGTACCTCGATGGATTGTACAGGCAAAACATCATCCATGCTCTCATCTGATTCTGACGGGGATAATTGGACAGATGGCACTGGACTTGAGGCTATCTTCGGTGAAACCAACAAAGCCGCCTTCCCGAACAAAGATTGCGATGGAAGATCATGCAGAGTTCCAGATAACCTTCGCACCGGACCGGCCCCCGCAATCGAAAGCGCGGTCTCCAGCCGAGAAGGGGACGTGTATAGGTCCTCATCAGAGTCATGGGGTCGAAGATCAGGTTTTGGCTGAGGAGTCGCAGGAGGGCTGAGTTTGGAAGGAGAAGGTTCTGAAAAGGCTAAATGAAGGTCAAATTCTGCCACGTCCCTGCCCCCTCTAGAAAGACGTACTAAGCTTATAATGTGCAGTGTGATCTTCTAGTGAGGCCTGAATGGCAAGGGCAAGCTCAGCGTCCTCAATGTCGTCAAATTCGTCTTGAATCAAAGGTCTGGATATGTCGTCGTCATCCAAATCAAATAAAGGCTTCGATTTGATTCGCCGCTGGACAGGTTTTGGCACGGATGGCTGCGAGCGTTTACCTATCGCGTGCAATGCCATACTTGCCTGAAACTCCCGAAGATCGGGATCAGGGGCTACATCACCTGGTCTGACAACATAATGAACCAATGATCAACGGTAATGAAGGATGCCGGCAGCGTACATACTGACTTCCTCCATCTCCATATCATCATCACTGTCGCTTTGATGCGCGGGCTTGTCTTGATCGATTTCAATTGGTTTTGACCGTGTGCCTTCGTCTCGGATGCCTAAGACCCAACCGCCGTCTGCACCCTCGTTCTTGACAAGAACATACTCTCGATTGCGTTCACTGGCAATTCGAACAGGAATAGTAATGTGCGCTTTACCGATGCTGTCGGTGGTCGTCAGGAGTTGTTGAGTTAGAGCATTTCGTTGCTTGAGATTCTTGATCTGTTCTCGAGAAAAGTCCAGAGGAGTCTCTGCCTTCCGTAGCATATTCTGCAGGCGCTTGTACGATGTCTGACGCGACTTCAACCTGAGGTCACCAACAATTTCATACTGAACTTCTGTAGGCAGCTCTCGGAATGCTGTAGAAGTGACATCAAAGTCCTCTGGACGCATCTCCTCTATGAATGTTCGCAGCTCTTCCTCTGTGGCAAGTCGTGGGTCTGGGGCCTTCGAACTAGTAACCTTCGCCACGCGTTCTTCGAGGTCCACTTCTGGAAGCCTGTACGGATCATGATCATAAAAGCGAGCCTTCTTTTTTGACGAAGGAGGTGTTTGTGCTGCCTTGTTCTTTGCCGGTGTCTTCGGTGCAGAATTATCGATGTCCTCAAGATAAACAGCGTTCTCATCCAGGACCACGGGTCCTGAGGGCGCTTTCTGTTTGCCCTTTGACGATGGAGGGCTGGCTCACGTATATAAGCATTTGCACACTTGTTCAGGATACAATAGGTCGCATACTGTGACGCTTGAGCATGTACCAAAGCCTCCCGTCTCATGTGGGCCGCCAGCAGCCTCTCCGCAATCTTGCCGTGAGTTGCAGCAGCACCACTCTTCTTCTTCTTACGCTCGATCTATAACATACCGTCAACATTGCGGTGAGCAAAAGGTAAGAGTATCTTACAATCGTGTTTCTCTTGAGCGCAGGAGCTCCTCCATCAAACACAAAGACTGGGCGAATACCGTAGAACAATAGCTTGCAGATACGTCGGAAGAAACCAAGCACATGTGCGTTCACCAATCCACGTCCATCCTTGTCGCGCATAGTAGCTTGAAACTGGTAGATCCAGATACTAGAATCAATGGCGAGCGCTTTCCCCTCAATGGTCTCGAGCCTAAGACGAATACGACGTGTAAGCATGTCGAAACCCCAGAAATTATGATTATAGAGTACATACGGCACTGGGCGGCCCACTGGAGACAAGAGATCCCATAGTGACTTTACACCCATCTGTCAGTCTTCTAAGAAAGTGATTGTGAGCGCATGGACTTAGAAACTTCGATGGACGTCAATGAGCCGTTGGGTCTCGGTGACCACTGACAACACTCAATGACTCCTGATCCGAGCACGTGGGCCGAACATTAATTGCACCCGCTCTCGACTGCAGTAATTCTCGCACAACTAGTTTCACCAGCGAAAAACGATCTAGTGTTGACAGATACACCTGATACTACCGTAACCATTTCGTCAAGGACCCAGATATAACTATGCAGAAGATAATTTGAGATGACCAAGTCCATGAAGAGCGGAGCTATGAAGGTTGATAAACTAGGCAAAAGGCATTTTATGGTCGTAAACTTCATAAAAAGCGTGGATGAATTAACTGTCCTTGCACGCCTGACCGAGAAGAAGAAATGCCTAAACGAGGATTATGAAAATGAGGAAGTGCAAATCAGCTTTTGGGGCTGTCGCGCGCATCGACAGGGCGTGGTCCGGCGGGCGATCCTTGACCAGCCGAACTATTCCGGGACGAACTGTGGCCAGTGCGTTGACCCTGCGCGAGCGAGCCGGGAGGACGAAGATCTTCCATATTAGCTGGAGAATATCGTGCGTCGAACGCCGAACCACCTGTCATCTGCATGCCCATACCTGCCATGCCTCCCATACCACCACCTCCCATGCCGCCACCTCCCATGCCCATGCCCATACCACCACCCATACCACCACCCATATGATTCATGCCCATGGGGTTGCCCATCATCGGCACGCCCATCATCGACATCCGAGGATCGTAGCCCATCCCACCGCCGGTCATCATGGGATTCATGGGCGTGGGGTGCATGCCATCGCCGACATGTGACCCAGCGGAGGAATATGCCATCATCGCTTGTTGGTAAGCAGCTTGCGCCGCCTGCTGCGCAAAGAACTGCGGATTCCCAAATCCCGGCATCATACCCGGATAGCCCATATATCCACCTGTCATCATGGGGTTGGCACCGTTCATCATTGGGTTCGCGCCGTTCATCATCGGGTTGGGACCAGCCATCATTGGGTTCCCACCAGTCATCATCGGGTTGATGCCCATCATCATAGGATTGCCCATCATCGGGTTACCCATCATGTTGGGGTACTGCTGTCCACCTCCGTACATGCCCTGCATCTCCAGTTGATTGCGTTGGAAGTCATCAATCTTGCGCTGTCGATCTTCAGCCATCCTCTTGTCGCGCTCGCGTTCCGTTAGAGCAGCACCGACGCCACCCTCACGTTTACGCTCGCGCTCATGAGCAGTGATCGCGCCCAAGAGACCCGTCTGAGGTGGTGGTGGTTTGTTCGGAACGTTGATGAGCGAAGCACCAGTTTCCCGCGCAAGCTCTTCTTGTCGCTTGGCAGAACGGTCCTGCTTGTCCTGCATCCCAGCAGATAGAAGACCATGTGGAGTGAACGCTTTCGTCATGGAATGAGAGGCAGGTTCCAACTGGATGAAAGGGTCGCGTTGGTGCGAGGGAGTTTCAGGCTGGGGATGAGAACCAGGCGTGCGACCAGAATCGAGAACCTGTGTCCAAATGCTCTGGCGAGCGGCAGCGTGTTGGTTAAAGTCTGCTTGTGGACGAAGAACTTGGGAAGTATATTCAGACTGTGGGCGCAGGTGAGGAGCATCATCTAGTGTTCGCATGTGCTGATCGGATGCGAGTCGCCGAGGCGGTGGCATGGCGTTCATGTAGTCATCTGACACACCACCTGTAAATCGTCAGCTCAGAAAATACAACGAAGACGGGTGTACTCTAACCTTGAGTCATCGGCCTTGGAACAGGCGGCAGGTTACGAGGATGTCGTAATTGTGCGTAAGGATTCGCGTCGGTTGCTTGTTCTCCAGGTGTCACAGCACGCCCTGCACTTCCGGGACGCAGAGGTCGGACAGCCGGAACCGGTACAGGCGCAACAGGACCCGTCTTCTTGCTCTCCAACGTCGAAGGGGGTTCCTCGTCAGAGTCAGCATCCTCGTCATCTTCTTCCTCTTCCTCTTCCTCTTCTTCATCACTACTCTCATTCCACCCAGAAAGCCTGTTCCCAGGTGTGGCACGCTTCCCGTTTGCTCTCCCAGGCTTGTGAAGCACTGCCTGATGCTGCGCTTGTGCACGCGCCTTCCGTTGTGCTGCCTGCTTGGAAGGTGCAAACGATGACCTATACTGAGTCACACCCTCCGAGCTTTCAGATGCAGCGCTGCCCTCCACAGTAGGCTCTGACGACACGTCTTGTTCCGGCGGCGGCGGCTGGTGTGCAGGAGCGGGCGACGGTGCGACATCCGATGCACTGTCGAGAAAAGACAATGCAGCAAGTGCATCTACATTAACGTCGTCGCCGCTGTTCTGCTTTTGGATCATCTTCTGCTGCGAATCCGCCATGGCCTGGACGTGAACGTGCTCTAAAGAAGGTGAGGAAACTAAGGTGGCTTCCACATTTGGGCCTCGGCTAGAGGTAGGTTGGACACGTGCACCGGACGGCTTACGGCCGAGAGAAGGGCGCGAGCCGATCATGCTGGGTTCGCTATTATTAGCTTCCGCCCTTCCCAGCTCTGAGAATGACATCGGCGTTCCCCTACGCGCTGGTGATGGGCGCAGAGCTTTGTCAGACGCTGAACTCTCGTCGGAGTTTGAAGCTTCAGAAATGGTGGTTGGTACACGCCGCGGCGGGTTCTTGGGTTTCTCGTCGAATTGTTGCATGTAGAAGAGAGCGTCTGAAAAGATCTCAGTGTCTTGTGCTAGGGGCTGTGTGGGGGCGACAGGAACTGTTGCTACAGCAACAGGCACTCGTGGTGTTGGGGTCGGTGACTGCGCTTTGGGAGGCAAGGGCGGTGAGTCTGCGTTATGCAGGGGTGTTATAAACGGGTGGGGTGGAGACATTGCTCGAGGTGGCAGCTGCAAAGCATCTTGTACATCTTGAATGGACGGTAACTCTTTATCCTTCCCTTTGGGGGAGTAAGGCGATGTGAGAATTGAAATGGGCCTCGAGATAGGAGGGGGAGATCTCGAAACCGGTGACCTGATGGGCACAGGCGCGACAAGGGCCGACAAAGACATTCCTGGCGAAGTAGGCCTACCAATTCCCGAGCTGGGACTTGTCGAGCTTGTAGAAAATGTAGGTGACCCAGGAGACTCGGGCGTGAGGGGAAGTCTGAACCCGCCAACATCCACACTCGCACTTGTTGACGGCTCTGTGCTCCTCGTTTGCATAGTCTCCAAGCTCGGTGTAGGCCTTGACTCGGGACGCAAGGTAGGAGGAGGGCTCCCAGTCAGTGGGAGAGCTGTGATCGACCCAGATACACTCTCTAGAACCGGGTTCAACGAGTTAAGCGGTGAAAGCATCTGAGACTGGCTGTGCTCAGACATGGAACGCGACATAAAGTCCTGATGTCCACTGCTCATCGACTGCCCCAACGAATCTGGCTGCTCACTCGACATAGATCTGCTGATCATCATTGACTCGGGCCCGTGATGCTCATTCGACATCGAGCGGCTTTGCGTATGAGGGAAATCCGGAAATGTTTCGCGCGTTACGCTCCGTTCTGTAATGGGAGAGAGAGCGTGACCGACAGTGAGATCTGGGGGCGAGCGCAAGTCGAAATTGATCGTGGGGAGCTGAGGGACATAGCCAGGTTGACCGTTCTGTGTTTGTGATCGGGGCTGAGCAACATTTTGTGATGGTTGTTGCTGTGGTGGTCGATTTGGATCAGCACCCAAAGCCATGGGTGGCAGGGGGGGCGGTGCAGACGTGGCACGCAATTCAGGCATGCGCGAGAAAAGGATGTTGAGGAGACGGTTACGAATGGCGGACGTACGATCATCACGTGGATCCATAGACTCTGCAACTTCACGATCAAGGAACAGGAGCTGACATCCGATAAATCAGCGGACTGAAACAGACAAGCAAATTGTACTCACGTCTCTCCCTGGATTGACGGGGTAAGCAAACATAAGTGAAACGGGATCACGAGGGTCCCAGGTGTATACTTTCGGACGTCCATATAGTTCAAAGGCGTCGTGAAGCGCTAATAAAATGGTGAGCCATTATGTTCTGTGTGACTGAAATATTCTACTCACCAACGAGCCACTTGAGCATCTCAGATGCTTGCGTGTTCCCTGCCTCGAGCTCAGGCATAATGAGCAACCATCCCTCCCTGCGTTTCATCGTGCCCGCCATTTCCTCATCGCCAATCAGGCCCTCGAGTTTCATGAGCGTGCTGCGGTTGATCAACTCCGGACGCTCTGGGTACACTGCAAACGCCTGCGAAACCTCCCTAAGCGTAAGAAGGGGGTGCTTCTTGTCTTTTGGTCTTGGGGTTGCGTAAAGTGCAAGCAGAGGCTTCACGGGGAGAGGTTCAGGGGAGTGATCCCGCGAGAACAGATTTGACATGCGCTTCTTGGGAGTAGGTGCAGTGCCAGTTGTTGTGGACAGGGCTCCAGGATCGACGCCTGAAGATTGCGACCCGGAGATGACCATCCACAAGCGTTTCCAATCTGTTTGTCCAGCAACGCGTATGAGCACCCACCCTTCCATGCGGCCACGGACGAGGGTTGTGCGTGTATCTTTGCCTGAGAAACAGGGCGTCAGGGATGGACATGAACTCCAGTAAGGGAACTGACCTTCAAGCAATGTTATGCGTATCAAATGAGCAGTATACATTTCTTCGAGACGAGACTTTTCCCAAGCAGATAATCGTAGAGCTGTTGCCCATGATTCCAATGCCGGTATTGACGGACAGCTGAATAAAAGCAAATTGGAGCCTGCTGTGTTGAGAGTGAGGACGTTGGAGTATGTCTTTCGCGGGGAATCTGGAGTCTCGGCAGGGCCAGTCACTGAACCTAGTACGTGAACGAACTACAACCAGCGTCATCACCACCAGCATAGAAAGAGGACGAAGTAAACTCACGGCATCTGTAATATTTACATATGTAGGAGGGACCTCGAGGCCCTTCTTGTTTGCTGCTTCAATCTCCTTCATGTCCCAAATGCTCAATGTTGTGCCGCTAAGTTGGGCCCATACGTCAACCCATCCATCATCTTTGGGACGTTGGCCATCCGGTTGGCGCTGTACGCGTTTGACAAGGGGGCCGCTGAAGTAGACCTTGCGGGCATGGGCGACAGTGAGCTGAACAATGGAGCGTATTTCAGGGTGAAGAGGGGGGACGGAGGTAGATTCCCTGCGGGCTGCCAAAGCCGTGTCGGACTCTTGGTCATCCTGCTTCTCTAGGGAGAACTTCTCCGGCGAGGAGCGCAGTGGGCCCATTGTTTGAGCGCGCTGTTGGTTGTTTTGGGGTGCGAAGTCGCGGTCGCTCGCGCCTGTGCTTGGGCGTCGGCTAGATTGCTGCTGGTGATCATTCGCGTCACTTGAATGCAACTGCTTTCGAAAGGAAAAGAAGGAGGAAGTGCGAGTGTGGGACATTGTATTAGTAGTGGGTCTCGAGACCGACTGGTCCTCCTGTTGACTTGTTAACGTTACTGCTCCAGCGCTAGGGTTTTGGTCGGCTGGTGTGCTTGTTGCAGGTTGTCGTGCGTGAAACTCGTGTAGATCGGTTCCTCTACCTGGACTAGCTTGTCTGAGCTGTTGTAGTTCGGCGGGAGAAATAAAGCCACGATGACGGTTATCCCACTGAGGACTACTTGAGCCAGAGCTCATGGATAGTGCCATTCACCCGTCAAAGTGCTAGGTCGATCCCAAAAAGTTACAATAGACGCCAACCCACGAATATTTAAAACTAGACCTTCTCTGATTCGAACAAATAGTAATACATGGGGAAACTTGCTTGCTTTGGTTGGGAGGGGTATAGCTTCTGCACGTGCCACTAGCATAGCCTTGAACGCAGAACATCATACTATCATCACCTGGCGTATTCGTGACGAGGCTGATAATCGTCCGTGCGAGGCACATGAACTCGATCAAATCGTCAAGATCAAGTAAGTTGGAAAGGCATCTATGAAAAGAAGGTCCTATGCTTTCCAGAAGGACAGATAGGCTCTCGTAACCATGTCTCCGCCATTCATGGACCCATGTAATTGCATGTAACCGAACACTGTACTTTGTAACCTCCAAGAGCTTGCTTCTCGACCGTCAAGTACTAAAGTATACTTAGATGAAAGTCACGATGACGAGAGGAGACGCACGTTCAGACGATGATAACCGATATGACCTCCGATATAGCGCTCTGACGGTGATAAGCAATGTGCTATCAGTGACGCATGGAATCGTCAAACGGCTTAGTTCCGTTTCGATTACCCATCGTTCAGCTCTGTGATTCAGTGTGAATGTATCCAGGACGATAAAACTTGTCTGGGGGTCAATATAGGGGTGTGGTCAATAATGGAGATACAGTAGTATCAGTCACCGATATCTTCGATGTTCCATGTTATCATGCATAGGCATGGTAGATGGTTGTAGAGGTTCCCTTGTGCGCTCCTACCCGCGTATGCCAAGCGGAAAGCGCATACCATGCATGCGAGCTGCGGCTCATGAGCTGCCTGCGTCGATCTTGGTCCGTGCAACATCCTGCCGCCGTACCGCACTCTTTTGTGGGCGACTAGTGACAACGGTAATGAAATGTTGAGCTTGTGAAAGTACTAGTACTAGTAGTTGTAGTACTGAGTATTGACTCGGAGTACTGAGTCTTGACGGTTGTTGAAACGTTGATCGGTTAGTCTAAAAAGCCGCATTACAGGCTGTGCAGTACACACACTCGCTACTAACCGATAACTAACATTGGACAGACGGAGTCTGCACATGCCAGGCGAGTTGAAGGAGGGCCATGGCTGACGCTCATCGAGAAATTCAACCAGCGCATTACATTCTTCAATCGAAACAATGGCTTCCAGGTCCAACTGAAGCTGAGATAGAGCGCACCCCCAGCTTTATCCGTGTCGTATCATGGAACATTGATTGCATGAGACCAGAAGCAGACCATCGCCTAGATGCTGCTCTCTCTTATATACAACACCAAGTCTTCAAGTGCAGGACGAATCGTAGACGTCCTGAACCATGCTCCATTCTCCTCCAAGGCGTTCTAGCCACTGCATTCGCTACCATTCTCAACAACAAGTGGGTCCAGAATTTCTTCGTCGTCATTCCCTCAACTACAGACGCCTGGCCTAAGCTTGCAAAGTATGGCACCGTCACCCTCCTCTCTCGTTCCATCCACATCGCAAAGTCTTTTTCCATTCATTTCAACTGCTCTGAGTCGCAGCACCATGCTATTTTCATAGATGTCAAGCTAAGCGGTCTCCTGGACACCGCGCAAGCTCCCCCATCGTCTGCATCTACCGTCACCTTGCGAATTGCTAACACCCACCTTGACCCATTACCCGATGGCGCCCCAATCAGGGAGAAACAACTCAAACTCGTCGCTGATACTTTAATGCAGGATGGGCTGTTCGGCGGAGTCGTTGGAGGGGACTTTAACGCTGTCACGCCCAATGACTCCACACTGGTAGAATCTGTTGGCTTGTGGGATGCATGGAGCGGTGATGATACCGATGAAAGAGGATTCACTTGGGGGTATCAACCCCGTTCCCCACTCGCCCCGGGAAGACTGGACAAATTGGTCTATACGCCTCGTCCAGGCTTCTTTATGGACACACCAAAGAAGCTCGCCGTTGGGAAGAAATACGGGAAACTAACACGGAGGAGATGGATCAGCGACCACTGTGCTCTGTTGACCAAGGTGCAATGCGTATATTTCGCATCCGATGCTTCAGATGTGAGTCCAGTATTATTGATTCTGGCATATTCTAGTTCTCATGAGACATTCAGTATGATCCATCAGACCATGGGCACGTTCAGCAAGGTCTGAGAGAGCAAAGGAATATCGAAACATGCTCACTTGACGTGAGTACACTTCTCTTCTAGCCTGATGCACTTCTGACTGTTTTGTGATTAGCACCCACTCGCGTCTCATTCACCTTCCCGCAGCAAATACATTATTCCACTCCAACCTGGTCCCAATTCTCGGTCAAGACGGAAACCCTGGAAACGCTTGCTACGCATGAAGTCATCAAGGTAAAGCATACACTCGCATTGCGGATGTCGTGATTATTTATGGATGTACCCCAAGTACAGAACAACATTCTGACGAAACTAGGACCCATTGAAAGGAAGTATCAGACGCCCATTTTACTAGTTCGTGCTCACCTCCTTCATGCATGGCACCTGTCCTAACAAATCTCCAGACCCGCCACGCTCACATCTTGCATATGCATCGCATTCTAGCTGGACCTCACACAACTACCAACTCAACATGTTCTGCTGTAGTATATCGTGTATGACTAGCACATTGTCTTGACTATTACCTGTTTCTTGTGTGTGTGGATTCAAAGTCCGATGATCATCTCACACCGGCAGCACTGATGTGGGACAGCTGACTGCAAGCGTGAGCAGGGAGCAAAGTCTTCAGTATCTATACGTACTGCTTCCCCACCTTCAGCACATCTGTGACATCTCCATGTCGGGCACCACCACTTCCCAAAACCCCGCAGAACGACAAGACATCCACAAGTCATGCCGAACACTTGAGACACTCGTGAATATGCTTAATGACTATTGCGAAGCTGCAGGGGCTATCGTTGCACTACAGAGGAAGTTCTCAAAGGCTCTCAAGGAAGCTGCTGTGCTCAAAACCACTAGTGAAATCGCAGGTGGGTTTGCCTTCCAATCCAATTATCAGGCATTCTCACGAAACGTGCGCAGGCAACGCTTTGAACGCTAGCGCGAGCATATTCGACGTCCTCTCCGACGTCGACGCCAAATTCGCGAAGATAGCTGATAAGGAATGCGACAGCATCAGTTCAGAGATGAAAAAATGGTTGAAAAAGCTCGCAGTACGTCACGTCCCTCCCGCTTTCCACCCCGCTCTCACTCATCGATGACTGAAGAAAGAAGAGAAAAATCACGACGAACGTATGAACGATTCAAACGCTCGCATCAAATATGCTGGTACGTCATTTTGTCGTTCGCTCTGGCTAGCGTTGTCTCAATGATTCCTGCAAGGTCAGGCATACGAGAAGAAGGCTAAGAAGAGCGCACGCGATGCTGGGGAGGAACACGCTCGTTATGTCAATCTTCTCAGCGTGCTTGGTCCTGAGATGTCTCAGGAGAAATAGTGAGTCGCGCTTATGACTACTGGAGTGGCCTTGGTTGTGACCGTGTATTCGACAGCAATCATGCGGTGCTAGTGACACAACAGCACACGTCAACTACGTATAGCGTAGCAGCCTGCCTCTCGAGGGTTGCGGATGCAGAATGGATGCGAACATGTGAAAGCATCCGCCGATTCTCCCCATCTATTGGACCGCTCGGCGAATGGAGAGCTCTCTGTGAAGGCGCATGGATGGGTCCCCTTCCTGACGACCTACCGGACGTATCACCCGCACCTGCTCAAATTCCTTTTCCGAATCGGGTTGTTACAGAATGGGGTCAAAACATCCCCCCTGCCAAACAACAATACCAAGGTTCGCTCCCCTTTCCCTCACAAAGCAACTCCGTCAACCTCGAACGCCCCCACCCACCATTCAGCTCCAACGAGCAGAACCAGGGTTCTATAAACTCAATAACGACTCTCTCCGCGTTCCCCTTCCCCCCGACGCATTTCCCCGTACCTCTAGCTGCCAACGAAGCAGAGCTGCATCGCCAGAGAACGCAGATGCAGAGTTTGCAAATTCCCCAACCAAATCAAACGGCTCAATCGACCTATACCCTATTATCGGAGTCTCCACAACCGATCGAGAGTGCACTTTCTGATACGCCTACGCTCGTTGATAGCTTCAAGTCGCCTCCTGCGTCTCAGGGACAGATTACGCCTTCGTCTTCGCAGTATACGTACTCTGACAACCACATCGAAGAGAGAGTTCTGCAGGAACAAGTTGGATCGATGATATCGACGGGTAGCGAGAATAAGATTTCAGAGCAGTCCCGCGAGGAAGCAAGACCTTGTCGACCGTCCCTGATCGCACGAGCGACTTCAAGCGAGAAAACACTGAGCAGCAAGCAACCTGAGCATGCCCCTCCTTCAGAGCGCGAGTTCGGTGCTTCAGTGGAGAGCCGCAGCGCATTCAAGAGTCGAAGTATCGATGCTGCCAAGAAGACGCTTGAGCGCACTGACAGTTCTGTTAGCAATGGGAGTATTGTTGCAGCTATGCGCAATCGATACAGTCGTACGGTTAGTAGTTGGTTTTTGATTCTTGACGTGCTGAGGCTCATTTTTTTTTTCCAAGATTGAGCCTTCTTCTCTGGTGCCGAAAGATGTACCACGATTGCCTATGAGCGTTTCAGACCTGGCTACAAGGTATCAGCCCATCGATGAGCCCATGACTCCTCGACGTTCGCCGACCGTCGATAGACATGTGGTCAATCAGGACCCTCCTGCTTCCCAAGCCACGCGTGACATTCCTATCGGCGAAGAAGATATTCGAAGGCGGAGGCAACGCATCGAAGAACTCGCAGAACTAGAGCTCAAAGAGAAAGAATACGAGCTCCGACAGCGCGAGCGAGAACTGAATCAGAAAACGCGCGATTTCGAGCGCGATCGAATGCATTTCCTCGACACACGAGGCGAACTTATCAGTACAAGTACGAGTGACGTGCCAAAAGGCCCTCGTGCGACACCATTCCAACACACACGCGGCTCGCAAAGTACTTCACACCTCGTACCACTACCGAGCTCGACTCCACCACAACGTGGTTCTCAGTCTCCATCGCGCTCCCAACCGTCTACTCCTCTACCCACAAAGGACCACGCACCATTCTGCGGCTGCGTTACTTGTTCTGTTACCAAATACAAGACACCAGAGGCTTCGCCCTCCCCTCGCGATCTGCGTCCTCCAGAGCCTCCCATTCTCTTGCGCCCCGAGAAGCCTAGGGGTTGGATACGGCGGCTGAGCATGCCTGCTGTCGGCGCTGCATTCTCGTTGGATGTGAGGAAGAATGCGAGCGCTACGACTCTCAAGTCTGGTTTGCCGTCTCATGTTGATAATGGGAGACGGAGGAAGCGTAGTTTTGATCAGGGCATCAGTAATCGGAGCGTTGGGATGGTCCGTAGGTAGCACGGCGTGTGCTTGGATTGTTTCATTTTCCTTTTTGGATACTGGACTTGTGCCTCATTTGCTTGCTCTGCAGTTGAATCCCTTCTCGTGGGTTACTTACGACCGTGCACACTATGAATCATGATCGTTTTGGTGCCTCCTCTTGCTGTGAACAATCGCGCTTGCCTGGACTGACTGGGTAAGCAAGCATCGATAGACTTGAATCACGAGGTCCCAGACCAAAGCTCTCGGGATGACCGTACTACTGAACGTAGAACTAATGTCAGACCGGAACGCAACTCCGGCCGCTCGTTGTTGTACACCATCTCCACAACTTTGGTACGCAGGGAGCTCGGAGGCTTGAGCAAGGCTGAACAGGTGTACGTACTTTCTCCTTGACAGCCTCCGTTTTCGAATCTCTTCCTCGCTGATAGGGATGTCACGGCCGACATGGAAAACAGGAGGGTCTCGATTGACCGCATGTCTATCAATGGTGGGCATCGATAGGCAGATACCAGTAAGAGGCTTGGACATCGCCATTGTGATTGCACCACTGCTAATCATCATGGCCTCCCAGACTCAGGCTGGACAGCCGGACGAAGACGGCTCATCTCAATGCTTGGTGAGTTACACTGATTCCTTGTGCTGTTAAGATGACTTCTAGGCTCTATGGCTTTTGGTAATCTTGGATCTGCCCATGCTGGATGACCCTGAGCTTGAACTCACTTGTCAACTCGAAGTTACTGCATACCCTGGCTGTGCAAACCGTCAGCCCAACATACCACCAGTTGGTGGGTATCACTGATCAATTGCGCTTCCGTGCACCTAATATGCGGTAAGCATATAGGTTTCATGGCTATCGAGTTAGCCAAAATCTTGGGGCTGCCCATGGTCGATTCAAACAACCCTGAGCTTGAAGACAGTTGTCGCTTCGATGTTGCTGTCCCTTGACTGCGCACGCCAGGCTCGGATTCTCATTACAATACTTTTGTATTATTTTGGCAGAATATATCAATCCACTTTTTTGTATTTAATCATGCAAGATTTAGAGCCGGGGTCTCTTAGAGAGGGAGTTCGTCAAGTGCTGGTGCAGGCTGGTGACCGCTGTTCACGCTTTCCCCGGATATTGACTCAAAAGCTACAGGTATCAAAGTTATTAGCTCCAAGAATAGCAGTATCACAAGTTCGTCAGAAGTAAAGTAGATGATGAACAATATCGCGAAGTAGGGGATCTGCGTAGCACACCCGAGCGCCTGCATCTTACTTCTTCCCTTTCTTCTTTTTCCCTCCCCCTTTGCTGGTGGATTTTGCCATCGGCGTGGCAGATACCTTCGGTTTCTCCTCCTCTTTCTCTTTCTCTTCCTCGACATCATTACCCTCCCCATCACCTATCGTAACTGGCTCTCCAGGAGCAGCAGCGTTGGTGTCTACGGGAGGGGATTCTTCTACCGCTTTCTCTGTAGTTGCTGCTGCATCGGTAGAAGGTGGTGCCGCGTCCGCCGCATTGGTCGGCGCCTCAGCTGGCGTAGGAGGCTCTTTTGTCATCTGTACGGGGGGAGCCAGTGTGTCACCTGGTATTGTGTCGCCTACATTGGCAAGAGCGTGATGAAGTGGAAGAGGGGATGCGTCAGGTCTCGGCGAGGGCATGGGACTCTTCTTGTCATCAGCGACGAGGAGGTTACTGAATGATCCTGCAAGAGAGCCGAGGCCTCCAAGAGAAGAAGTGTGTTCAGCTGGAAGTGAAGATAAGTCAGGCTTCGGCGAAGGCCTGGAACTTTTCCTGCCATCAGCGCCGAGGAAGTTACCAAACGATCCTGCGAGAGTAGAGCCGAGGCCTCCAAAAGAGGGTGCAGCTCCCATAGCTCCCATAGACCAGCTACTCTTCGATTTAGGCGCCCCCCATTTGGTGTTGGCCACACTGGAGCCCCATCCGGTGCTACCGCCTCCACCAGAAGAACCCCAAGTGGGGGAGCTAACAGGCTCTTGCTCTTTCACTTCAGTGGCACCCCACGTGTCATCGGGGTCCCAACCACCATCGCCAGTGGTATCATCTGCTGATGCAGATGGTGCCTCCGAATTGAAATTGAGCTCGAGTGCGGGTACAGAAACATCGATACCCAGAACATTGGATTGCGTCTCTGTGACAGTAAGAGTTGTCTCCGTGTGCTGCTCGGCAGCCACCTCTGAAACCTCCACAATCGCGGCGAGGTCCCTGGGAGCATCCGAGATGAGCTCAGTAGGAACGGTGTCTGCGGGCGTGGTAGACGATGGAGGGCCTTCCACCCTTGTCTCTTGCGTAATCTCAACCGAGAGCTCTCTCGTTGTCTCCTGAAGTACTTCAGAGACGACACTGGTGGAGAATGAGTGGTGGGCTTCTTGGAGTGCAGGTGTGGGTGGCTCTGAAAGCTTGACCTCCGTAGTCTTTGGCGTAGCTTTGTGAGACAGCGGAGGGGGAGCTTCAGTCTTCGGCGTTGTTGGCTCGAGAGATCTGGATGTTTGAACGAGCGGCGAGGCTCCAGGCGTATTCGCCTTGGAGGTAGAGCCCCAGACGGACGTAAGGGCTTCTGCTAGCTGGCCTGGACTCTTGCCCACGGTGGTGTCAGCTGGGTCAATCGGGGAAGGAGGTACGGTGGTCTTGGGGGTCTTGTTTTTCCCCTTGCCTTTGCCTTTAGCAGCAGGTTCAGCTTCCCGTCCACGGGTTTCGACAGTAACAGGAGGTGCAGGCTGGGAGGCAGTTGCAGGGGGAGGCTGGGAAGCAGCTGGGGGTGTATGTTGGGAAGCAGCTGTATTGACGTGTTGAGAAGTAGCCGAGACAGAGACCTTTGAAGCAGTCGAGATCTTGCGGTCTCGCTCAACATTGCTCGCAATTACTGTGGAGACCTTGGATGCGCTAGAAATAGTCCGTTCTCGCTCGACCTCCCGGATGCTTCGATCAGCCGTGGATGTTGGTGGCGAAGGATGAGAAATGGACGTTGTATTGCTCCTCACGCCACGCTCAGTGGCCGTTGGGGTCGGAGGCGAGGGGGTGGCTGCCTTGGAAGTAGATGACTGGGTTGTGACTATGCTCGTCCGGCTACGCTCTTGGACTTCTACGAATGTGGCTTCCACTCGTGAGGCGCCTAGAGGAGTCCTGGTGCCTGATGCCAGTGACTCGCGAGAAGCAGCGACGGAATGAGAGCGTGATGGCGCAACAGAATGAGAGCGTGACGGGGCAACGGATCCAGAACGCGACGGGGCATAGTCATCCTCAGAGATGTCCGGTTCATCTTCGTCGGCACGATGGCCACTCTCGCTATACACGATAGACGCGGGTCCACTGCAAACATAGTTAGTAATGTACCGGTCCTATGCGGATTTTCACATACTACTTGGTCGTTCCCTAATCACAATCTACTTAGCATGCGTAAAACAAATTACACAAAAATCACCCACGTTGTCATTCCACTTTATCCGCGCTTTGAATTCGGTGAGACCAAAGTGAATCTCGACGCTGAACACGATCGTCCAGTACGTCTTGCCATTCTTGCCATGTTTAGGCTCCGCACTTCCGCTGAGGAGCGACAGGTCAGCCCGGACTACACACAAAGTCGAATAATCCTCTGGGAATGAAAGAACGGAAGGTCATGGATCAGCACGGCATTCGGGCTCGTGTTCACGGATACCCACCTGCGTGGCGTAAAATCCACTGCGGAATCGTGTCACCACCTCTATAGCACCATATTTCCACCTCGAACACAGAAAGGGTGGACAAATTTGTGAGTTCCGTGCAATACTTCCGCGAAAACACCGTGGATTCTTTAACCTTCACACACTACAAATGCGCACGTTCGTTAAGTCAGCCCACGTGCCAGTGAAATCACTAAACACATACTCGAGCAAGGATACAATCAAATGCATCGGGCAGTAGCCGAGGACCAGAAGGGAGCTCGCAAAGTCGATCTCTTCGAGACAAGTGCTCCGGATCATTGGGATCGTACTCACGCAAGTACTCCACCCCGTACATAAATTTCGACATCCGGGCCGAAACATGGTGATCGCAGTAGAAGCCAAGTGCGCCATCGGCCACAGCTTTTGAGCTAAATCGTACGATATCAGAGAGATGAAGCACTGGAATAATCATATAGCCTCTTACGTCTGGCTGTCAGGTCTGCTCACAGTAATCTTCAGTGGAGCGAGGCGTTCCTGTAACTGAGTGAAGAGCCACGGGCTGGCCGCGAAACCTCCCACCAACCAGACGGACTACGAAAAGGCGATCATTAAGGCCTCATGGTGGTTAGTGATGAGTAACCCACTTTGATCATCCCTTGTGACGCGTCAACCTGTGCTTTGATTGACGTGATTGCCGCCTGTATAGAAGGCTCGAAGAACTCTGCCACCTCCGCGCTATCGAGCATTAATATTGTTATCACAGTGGATGTTTGTTCGCCTACTTACCCATCGAGTTTCAGCTGGCCTCCACGGATGCCGGCTGAGAGATCTTTGTCAAGCGGAGAGCCGAATGGAACGAATTGTAACTCCTTCTTGTCTCGGAATAGTCGTTTTGTGGTCTCATCAAAGCGTTTCGTGATGTGGTCCATCGAATCGGGAGTGCCATACTTCGAACTTTTGAGCTTCTCTGCATGCAGGATGAGATGATGCCTTGTGTATGATGCAGACAAAGATAGATCACCTTCGAGGAACTCCCTTGCCCTTCGGCTGACGAAGACTGATCCGGCAAATATACCTTCCGAAGCAAACGATCAGACGCGAAAATAGATAAGAGGACGCGTCACCGCATTCTCACAATCAGGAGGAGCTACCTCCTCGATAACCAGGGGATTTGTTCCTCGGACCGCGTACGAACTGATATCAAGCGTGCCGCCACCCGCATCAGCTACAAGGAATCCGTGCCTAGACGGATTCTAGGGATACGTCAGACAAGAAGTGCGTGTGTGGGATATGTTTGTAATACACACGGAAAGAACATCGGCGGCAAGACCGCTCTGGACGCACGCGTGGAGACTGGCTTCTCCTTCCGTGACAAAACGGATTCGCGCTCGACCTTGGTCCGTATCAGGAATTAAACCTCCATACACGGCGGCGCGTCGCATCTTCGTCTGCTGAGCGCCTTCCCAGCCGTTGGGATGACTCAACACGAACTCGATGCTGGTTTCGACATGGTGCCACAAGGTCTGACCGTTAGCATGCGTGTCTATGATAAAACTCTTCGTGCAGCGGAAGAGATAAGCAAGGAAGTCTCCAAAAACATCGACGGAAGTTTTATGTCGTGGCAACGGACTCAGGCGCATCCCATTCATTTTCAATTTCATCGTCTTCGGCCGGAGGCGAAGCTTGAAACTGGCAAGTAACCATATCAAAATGTGATGCCACAGGAAGGAATGCACACATACAGTTCCGTTTTGATCCATTCCTCGTCTTCAGCCTGGCTTATTATGGAGGCATTGTCGGCTTCCGCGCCAGCGGCCATAACTCTGCCATGTTTGTCATAATACATGACAGAGGGAATCTTAGAATTGCCAGCTACATGTTCTTGACCAGGAAAACTGCCCAAGGCAAGAGCGAACGCATTTTCTGTCAGACGGTACGTGACACTTGAACGAGATGCTCACCGAGTGACACCGTGAATTTTTGGTACCTCGCCTGGTTCAAGTAGGGCATATGATACACCACTGAAAGTGGTTCCGACGTCAACAGCGATAATTAGTGCACGCGATGAGCCGGCGTATGGCTTTCGAGTGTCAGAAGTTGGCTTCATGCGAGGCGGAGATAAAAAGTCGGATTGTTGAGAGATATGAGCTTACGAGGCCATATATGTATGTACTAAGTCGGGGGCGGGTGACTCGAACAAAGGCAGTCCACACGAGGCTACGATGAGGATGATCGCAGCGTGTTAGCAGTGCATGCAGCACCGACAAGGGCTAGAATTGAGAACCAAATGAAGTGAATCAGAGTTGAATCAGCAAAACCATGATTGGAGTTTGCCACGAGGATGATCACGTACTTGACTTTCCACGAACAAAAACGCAACTGCCTCGAGGCTTAAGAAGAACCTCGTGCTGCGCTGGAAATAGGGCTTGGGACTTGCGTGTACAGCAGAGCTTGCCCAAGGAGGGAATCCTTGCCAGGCATTTGGAACCATCTGGCAGAGTCTGGCACTTGTCAGTCATTATATCTACCTCATATGATCTCCCATAAATTTCGCTAACGCATAGATCAAAATCGAGCCAGTGATTATCGAGCACGGGCTGAAACAACGCGCTGCAACGGTGTTTGGTTGTCCGTTCAGCCGCCATGCTCCCTATCGCTAACTTGAATCTCAAAGACCTCTACCAATCAACCTTCGAATTCTTTGCCTCGCGTAGTCCTTCCTTCTCTTTCAGTGCCTTCAGCGCTGAAGACTCTGTCTCTGAGATATCCTTTCCCTTGACGCCGAGAGACCCGACACCAAGAAACTTTTCCTCAGACGAGGAGTCTGCTTCATTACGTGACAGGTTGGATGCTGCCGAACACACCGACTATTGTCACACTACGTCCACTTGCAATCCCTCTTTCGGTGCATCTGCTGCAGCTTCCACTCTTTATTCAATGCGCCGCGAACACGATGCTACAAAAAACGAACTCTCCAGAACCCAAGCAGAAGTTGCTCGCTGGGAGGAGAGGTATAAAACCCTCGAGAAGACCCTCAAAGAAACGAGGGATCTCTTGAAGGTCAGAGACCAGGAGATCCAGGTGCTTAAGAAGGAGCGTGAAAGGCACTCTCCTGAGCGTCATCGCCCCTCCTCGCACATCGATCGTCGACGAAGCCGTGATCTTGCGCATCACCGATCAGATTCATCTCAGTCACAGCAGATTCGACTGAGCGCTGACTGGTCAGAGATCCGTGACGATACCTTATCGCAGGCCAACGGCAACCATCGCCGCAATGGCAGCGACCCTCACCCAGATAACATGTCCACTGTGTCCGAGGAAGAGCGAGCCCAGTCTCGCAGCTTAGAGACTTTCCTGAACAAGATTGATTTGTGGTCTGGAGCGCAGGTCATACAAGCCGTGCAAGACCTCAACTCTGAAATCCTCCAATTCGCCGCATCTGCCACAGAGCTCTGCACGTTCTCGAAGCAGCGCCCTAACTCAGCCAAGGTTACTCAAGCTTCCTCCGAAGTTGCCACGAGGTTGGGTGCTGCCCTGAGTCGCTTATTGGCAACTCGGGATCACTCCCAAGACCCCATGCTGGTTCAGCTAGCTCTCCAGGGTTGCATCTCGTACTGCATATCCAGGGCACTATCGTCGTTTTGCATCGGTTACCAGTCCAAGGCCAACATCACTTTGACCCAGATTTATACCCACATGTTCCACTCAGGTGGGTTCTTCAAACATTTTATCGCTCGCAATTTACTCATATTGCTTCAGAACCTCAGCCGACCTCATCGCGATGGAGAGCACTGACTCACAAACACATCCATGAGCTCCACCCCGAACTTAATGAATACGCAATCAATGAGATGACGGAAACGATCTTCCGCTGGTCGCTAGACATATTCCTCATCTCTGGCAGCACTAATCCGCAGCCCAATCCGGCTTCGCGCGAGAACTTCCGTGCGCGCTTCGGGGCCCAAGTCAAACGTATCTCGAAGGCCGCTTGCAGGCTAGCGCAGGTGACGAAGGAGGAGATCATGTCGGCGAACTTCGAGGTTATTGCTGCGGATAGTGGCCAGCCGTTTGACGGGCAGGAGATGTTGGATGCGTTTGAAGACTACAAATCGTCGGACGGCGTCGTTCTGTGCACGACGGAACTAGGCCTCCGGTGCTCGACGAGAAAGGCTACGAGTGATGCGCCAGCTTCAGACGAAAGCATAGATCGGCGTATTCTGTTACGACCCAAGGTGGTTCTCGAGTCTATTGTAGAAGTTATTGACCCGCGGTGATGTCTCTTGTCTTGATAACAATCTTCTGCTACATCTATGTACCCTGCATAATCCCCTCATTCATCCATACCACGCACTGTTTTTGTATTGTCTTTGTACTTATACTTCATGGACGGTTACTGCTACTACTAGATCACCTGGATATTGTTTATCCGTATTTGATCCTAAAGCTGCTGTCCAACAAGAGCAAACAACCGTCCGATCACCTGCCTATTCTGTACACTTCAAAAATTCCTTCAAATCTAATGCGGCCAGGGGGTGATCAGAGGCGCCAGCATGGCATCAGCCTGCCCAAGTCTTTACTCGAGCAGATTAGCGTTTCAGGTAAGCGTGTACAACATTCGTCTCCGAGCCTGCTGTGACCCCATATGTAGAGCAGAACTCTCATCGACACAAAGGTGGTCGTTCCCATGCATCACGCAAAGATGCGCGAAAGCAAGAGCGAATGGATCGTAAAAAGAAAAAGGCAGATCACTTCATACATACTGCTCACTCAGCCAAACGGAAGACGGAGGAAGAACACGTCGATTCACCGCAGAGAAAGCGCATGAAGATATCACAAGAGTCAGTTTCCAAACCACCTGCCTCAAAGTCACATAATGCGACCACCACCAAAGTGTCATCTCGCCATAGACCTGGGGAGCCGCACACTACCACCGAACCCGTGCAAAAGCACAAACTCAAAACCACTGCTCTAGAAAGACTGGCGAATAAATCGGCCACTAAACCGCGTAAAGTTGCATCTACGGGCCCTCGAAATCGCGAAGAAGAGGAAGAGGATGCGTATATCGCGTACCTTGAATCAAAGCTGGGGTATGCTGGAGGTAGTTCACGCCGTAAGGATGATGATATGGATGGACTAGGAGGTATGCTACATTACATCTTTTACTAGAGAATACATCTCACAGTCCTTGTGCAGATCTATTTGACTTTACCGAAAACATCATGACGGAGATGCCGGTAAGTTTTCTTTGCAGCTAAGCGTTGTGTCGTATCTGAGAGTCCACACAGGACTCGGATTTCGATGACGAAGTGGAGGATGAGGATCAATCAACATCTGCAGAAGATGAAGGTAACGGATCTTGGGAAGATGAGGAGTGGGGTGGCCTTGATGAGAGTAGGATTGGCGGGAGCGAGGCTGGCGAGGATGATTCAGTGGACGATGATGACCATGGGATAACAGAGACAAAGGAAGGCGAACCTTCCGACGCTCAACCTAAAGCTGCTGGTTAGTTTTCCTACATGCATTCTTTTGGGTTGGAATTCACCTTTTTTCACAGGGCGCTATATACCACCGGGATTAAGGAAACAAGCCAACGGCGATACAAACGAAACAGAAGAGCAACTCAAACTTACTCGCCAGCTGAAAGGTCTGATAAACAGGTAATATATTCTTGCATTGTTCTGGTCTTCACTAATTCTATCTCGCCTTAGAATGTCAGAACAAAACATTGCAACCATTCTAGATAGCATTGAAGATGTGTATCGCAACCACCGCCGACATGGTCCGTGCTTGTTTCTATCTGCACTGAGCGTGACGCATATTTTCTCCCTCAGACGTCACCTCAACCCTCACTAACCTCATCATTGATGGCATATCATCCCATTCAACCCTTTTGGACTCGTACGTTGTCCTCCATGCCGCTTTTATATCTAGCCTCCATAAATTGATCGGCACTGCATTTGGTACGTGTCTTGTGAAAAGTCCCTCTACCACCTGAGCTGATGCGCCCCATACACTCAGCGGCGTATTTCGTTCAGAACGTAGTGTCCTCGTACGAACAACATCTCACTTCGGTCGAAGAAAAGTCTGCCAATTCAACTGAAGTCCCAGAAGACCTAGGAAAAGAGTGTTCCAACCTCATCGTGCTTTTGTCAGAGCTGTACAACTTTCAAGTCATTTCGTGCATTCTCGTTTATGATATCATCCGCGGCCTTTTAGATAAAGACCTATCTGAGTTCCGGGTAGAGCTTTTGCTGAAACTTCTTCGAAGTGAGTTCTATGGTGCCTATTTTGGGCTCATCTTAACGTTGTGTTAGGTTCCGGTCAACAGCTGAGACAAGATGATCCCATGGCACTGAAAGACATCGTTACTCTAGCACAGTCTCGGGTCATCGGACAGGCCGATAATTTGAGGTAGCTCCGCATCTCACCGCCTTCACTACCCTCTTCTTATGAAACACAGTTCACGCACGCGTTTCATGACCGAGACCCTGAACAACCTGAAGAATAACAAAATCAAAAAGACGGCCGCAACACAGCATCAGGGGGGCGATGCTGTCGAGCGAATGAAGAAGTTCCTCTCAGGGCTGGGGAAAAAGAAGCACGGTAGGTCGTTGTTCCGTCAAGTTATTTATGAAGGCGCTGAGGTGACGCAGTTCTCGCCCATGAGCCGTTGCGCGTAACGTTGGAGGATCTCCATTCGGCGGAAAGTAAAGGCAAGTGGTGGCTTATTGGCGCTGCGTGGGGTGGAGACCCCCTGGCCGATCACCCGCGCGAAATTCCCCAGCAGGGTGGGGAAGCCGAGAGTGACGTCAGCACTGCCGCGCTTCTAAAGCTTGCGAGGAAGCAGGGCATGAATACAGATATTCGTCGAAGTATTTTTGTGGTGCTCATGAGCAGCGACGTAGGTGTCACGTCAAATCCCCGCTATCACATCTCATTTTCTATTGCAGGATTATCTAGACGCTTGCGAACGACTTGCGCAACTCGGCCTCACGGAAGTGCAACAGCGTGAGATCATCAGAGTAAACCTGCATTGTTGTGGAAATGTACGTGATTTTGTAGGAATTTACACTGCCATCATTGGCTGAACCAATTTCACAGGAAAAATCATATAATCCGTATTACACACTTGTCTGCCAACATTTGTCTCAGCGTTCACATTCGTACAAGATCACGTTGCAGTTCTGTCTATGGGACTTCCTCCGGGACTTGGGCGAAACCAGCGTCGGTGGAGTGGAAGTAATTAAGAGCCTGAAAGATAGCGATACAGGGTTTGATGTTAAAACTATGTCGCCTTCGCGAATGAAGAACGTCGCCAAAGCATATGCATGGTGGATAGCGAAGGATTGTTGTACGCTGACGATCTTCAAGGTGAGCCTGGGCGCAGTTCATGCAGAGCGTTGCTGAGAGGAGGAATTTATAGCCTGTGGACTTTACTGTGCTCAAGCCACAGACACGTACTTTCTTGAAAGAGTTGTTCATCCAGCTCTTTATTGCTAGCCAGGTTTCATCACCGATGCTCAGCAATGACTCCGGCGAGTATCCCTCTATGAGGAACCGTGGATCACTTGAAGAGATCTTCTTGAAGGCATCAAGGATCGAGAACCTGGGCCTTGGATTGGTGTTCTTCATGTCTAATACGTTCAAAGGAGAAGATGGGTTCTTGACTTGGGCTAGCTCATTGGCAAAAGAGACGTTACAGACAGGAATGGATCATATCCCCAGAATATAGCAATGCTTATCTACGTTTCTATTTCGTGAATGCCACACTAGAACATGCACTGCCAGTGCTCCCGCCGAATGAAATGGTCGGGTGCTGTATACGAGAACTTTTGGGAGAGTATCAGCATCTACGTAGTTTCGATATGAAGTGTGCGCCACATACTGGTACTGCAGGCCAGTTTCTTCGGTGATGAACTTCGATCGTAACTCAACCTCGGTAAAGTTACAAGCTGGGGTACACCAAGGGTCCTTATTCAGTTCCACCAGCCGAGTAGCACGATGCATACGCACATGTAATTAAAAAATGCCCGCCTGGATTCAAGAGCTTCGCGATACGCATCGGATAAGCTTCGACTGGAATCCTTCCATTATCATCCTTCTCCATCAGCGCGATGGCATCGTAAGTGCCTTTATCAAGAATCAGATCCCAAGCTCCATTCTGGTCAGCTTTCTGATCGTCGGCGAGTAATGATGGGTCCTCCTGCAGGAAATCGCACACACTAAACGTAATGGCCGTAAGATTCCTAGCATGCGCCACCGATTGTGCGAGCTGAACAGCTCCTTCACTATAATCGATTCCCAAAAGTCTCTGTGCCGGATATCGCGCATCTCCACGTCCCTCCGCAAGCGCGAATAACAGTGCACCATTTCCACTTCCAACCTCAAGGACTGACATATCAGGGCGCGGAGGGGCGTGTTCCTTAACCCACTTCACCATTTCATTCATTGCCCTTTTGCCGAACCTAGGCGCCAGAAGCATGAATGCAATAGAAGCCATGTGAATACACACCATATTTCACCCTCATCACCATTTTCACTGAAGTTCTCCAATTCTTCTTCGTAAACGTTATCCCAACTGATTATCCATAAGTGATGGACCTACAAGTTTGCAAGGGTGAACACGCCTACTGTTCTTTCGTGCCGAGCTTCGAGGGCTCGAGCTCTGAGGTATCCATGACGCTTTGGGGACTGCCCCTTGGTGATCACTGAAAGGATTTGGAGCAAGTCGTTGACAGAAATGAAAGGTGCTGCTTAGTAAGCCAATTCAGCTCCATTGACATGCAGGTAACATGCAGGACATGGTAGTTGTCTCGACCGGCTTCTCATATATATGCGAAGGAACTCTAAGAAGTAGGATCAGACAGCAGATAGTTATAGCGAGCCTCGACCAAAGGAGCGAGTGGTGATATGTATTATGATGGATATATTAATGCGATAGAAATACAGAGTAGACTTGAAGTAACTGAGTAACTCTTCCGGTTCAAGAGCTTGGAAATGACTTACCAGTACGACGAGTTACCAACGTATGCAAAAGTTGAATGTTATCTCGACTTTCCATCTGTCTTGTCTAACAAGTCTTTGGCCTCGTTGATTTTGCTCGCAATGTAGGGGGAGCCCCCACGGTCAGGGTGATTTGCGAGCATGATGTGACGGTGGGCATCTTTTAGCTTGTTGCGTAGTGTTACGCCGTCTCTGCAAAAAGTACTGCCGTCAGCCTCTAGGTGATAGAGTGTGCTGAAAGTGCAAACTTTAACCCAAGGATTGCAATAGCCTCCTTGCGATCCATTTTCGCTTTAAAACCACCCTTTACCCACTGGTCTGCTGCCCGCTTGCCAATGATACCATTGCGCACAAGGTGTCGTCCGACAAGAGCAGCTGTGATAGCTCCTACGCCGACAATTACAGGAGTTGCCATGAGGAGGAAAAGAAGAGAGCAGGCGTGGCTGTGCTGAGTTTGGTCAGAGGTGACGCGATACCGCGTTTCTTGAAATGTGACTTATCACACTGCCTTCAATTTGCTTTTACAATTCAGCTCACTGATTTTATTACTGCATACTACGTGGCCCACAAGCTTGAAGCTGGATGGATTGCGCTGAATAACGCTGAATGACGCTGAATTTAGTTACTCTGGGATACTGGACACACAAAGTACCCTTTTGTGCTTTGTTCTTCCAAGCACAGCCTATGCGTGGTTCCTCGTCCCCTTTTCACTGCTAACTTGCTGTAAAACGCCGTTACCAGTCATTGGCAGTAGACGCTCGTCCAGTAATAAATAGCTCTGGCCTTGGATCACGTTCCTACGTCCTCACTTTAGGCGCATTGACATCGTGCGCTTTCTCTTTCCATCTCTTACACCCATGACCCACACGTTCTTCACTCTGCAACAGAATGTTTATAAAGCCGATCATGAGCCCATAACCGTTGAAGATGTTGACGAGAACACTGTCTCTTCTCCAGCCTTGCGGCGTCTTATCAACTCAGCTCAAGGCGCCACCGTTGGAGTGGCAGCCAGGTATCGCCCCGACTGTACTGTTTCGTCTTTAGCATTTGCAACGCTCACAAGAGCGCTCGTCATCCACTTCTTCACTACGAACAAACCGAATCCGCAGCAGCAGCAGAAGAAGAAGAAGAAAAAGAGCCAAGAACAACAGCCTACCGTTTCCCGAGGACGCATCCTCATACAAGACCAAATTCTGTGTGATACTGGCATCCAACTTTATGGGTACAGGATAGACAGAATCGCACTCGGTGTCTTCCTTGACCTCTCACTTCGGATCAATGCTGCAGTTGACATCCTGTCTGGGTCTCGCAGTGATCGGCGCTCCCTCGAGGCAATTATGAACGCCTTGGGCGGCGAGGTCTTACTCCAGAAGCAGAACGTGAAAACTCTCTTCGCTCGTAGAGAAGGGGATGCAACAACCAATGATGTGGCGCTCCAGGCTTGGGCAGCATGTCGCGCCGTTGCACTTCCTCACATGGCGTCCAGATTTGCTCCCTTATCTCGAATCGCCACAGACACGATGCCAGACATTGTATGTAATCGTCATCACATCATCAACTTATCCTCTCCCTCTGATTCACAATGTAGCATCTGAGTGCCCTGGCAAAGATTTCTCGTGATGCTGAAATTTTGGAGTCTTTGAAGCCTACGAAAGTCGTCAATAACGTCAAAGATGGCTTCATCTCCAAAAACGGTAATATCAACCTCGAGTGCACTCGCTTTAGAACGCGTATCATGAAAAATAGAGACCAAGTATGTTCATCTGTGTGACGTTATGCCACCAACTCTGAATCTTTGTACTTGCAGGTCATTCACATTGAAACGCTGGATGGAGATCAGCGATCAATGATCACTGGTCGTGCACAGGCAATAAATGGAAGACAAGCTCAAATCAACATCAAAGGCGCTGCACAGGGTTCGGGAAAGGTCTTCCGTGTGACGACCGTTGGGAAAGAAGACTTGACAGCCGCTGAATCATGCAGAGAAGATATAGTGCTAAAGGCCCTTCAAGGCACCATCACGTTGACCGAATATCCATTCTTCTGTAGTATCTGGGCACCGTCAGTAAACATCCAATGGCCGCCACCAACCAAGAATGCTTCCAGCGCACCGTTCGTTTACGATCCGAGCGGTACATTGAACCATTCGCAGTATGAAGCAGTGGAGCGAATTATTTCGCAAGCAGACAGGGATCGTGTGTTGCTTATTCAGGGTCCTCCTGGCACTGGAAAAACAACAGTCATAGCGGCCAGTGTCGACAGTATCGTCAAGACTGGGCCCAGGGAGCGCACAGTTTGGCTTGTGGCACAGTCGAACGTTGCTGTTAAGAATATTGCAGAGAAGCTTGACAAGGTTGGCTTCCGTGAATTCAAGCTTCTGGTATCCAAAGACTTCCATTATGACTGGTATGTCGCACCTTCTTCACTTCTCGTCATACTGAATTTTTCGTGTTGCAGGCATGAACACCTCTATGAGAGATTGGAACATTGTTTTATACGATCCGACATGTTTAGTGGCGCGTCCGTTACTGTCAGCCGGCTTCTACTCGACACAAGAGTCATACTCTGCACATTGAGTATGCTGTCCAATCCTCGTATCAGTGAATTTACTCGTCAAGTCCCACTTGAAACCGTGATATTCGACGAGGCAAGTCAGATTGAAGTGGGAGACTATCTGCCGCTGCTTCAGCGTTTCCAGCCAACGTTGAAAAAGATGGTGTTCATCGGTGATGACAAGCAACGTGAGACTCTCATAGATACTCCACCATCGACCTGCACTGACTTGGATCTTAGTGGCGCCATTCGGCCAAGATGACATTGGGAAGCTACGAAGCGTGTTTGAGTTCCCCCACCTCCGAAAGCGGGCACACTTCTTGGATACCCAGTGTAAGCTCGTTTTTCGCCCTCATCGCCTCGTTTTCTAACTCCGTCCAGACCGCATGCCAGTCGTCATTGGCAACTTCATTTCCCGTCATGTGTACAATAACAAGTTGATGACCATGCACGACATCACCGGCAAGGCAGCATGTCGTTTCCTGGATGTTAAAAGGGGCCAGGAGCAGAAATCTGGAAAGAGCTGGATAGTACGCTTGTCCTCCTCACCCTCGTGATATGCCAGCCTTACGTCATTTGCATCAGAACCTTCAAGAGATATCCGTGGTTATCCACCTCGCCCGTATATACAACGAGCAGGGCAAACACTACAGGATCATCACTCCGTATGATGGTCAGAGGTCTACGATTGAACATCAACTTGAATTAGCGAAGCTTCCATGGGAAGACAAGTGCTTCAATGTGGACTCCTTCCAAGGCAAGTAGTTCCTTGATATGCTGGAGGGATCTCGCTGACGTTCGCCTTAGGGAACGAGGAAGACCACATAATCGTCTCTCTAGTCCGTTCTCAGGGTGTAGGGTTCTTGAAGAACGCGCGCAGGACGAATGTCATGCTAACACGATGCAAGATAAGCATGATCATTTGCACAAGTCGTGATTTCGTGACGAAGGGTAAAGCAACGGGCACGCTGGTCGGGCAGCTTGCTGCTACCATGGGCCCAGGGGCCTGGCTGGACGGTCGTGATATCGTCAATGGCATCTTAAAGTGATTTTGACTACTTACATTGCACTTCTTGGATGAGCTTTCAAAGGGACTTTCTTCAAGTGAGGCATCTTGCACCGCATTTTGTATTATATGGCAATTGATGTATGTACATGCTGTAAGTCAGGGTCTATGTAGTGGAGACTCGTTATGAACCACATGCATATGGGAACTTATGCCCGCGCTGATGTCGTAAAGCACACAGGACAGTCAACCTCTGAGAGGCCACCTTGAGTACTGACTAGTACTGACTGCCGAATCTGTCACTGCGGCCCTATCCACTGTGTGACGGCGGGAGTCACGTAGTATCCTAGTAAAAGGTGGACAGAGCTAGCCGTGCCGCTGGTCTGGGCGCCATCGACGAGTGCTGGGCATAGCATGTAGTCGAGGTAGAGTTGGGCGCTATTATACGTATCGGCGTTGAGCTCAGCGGCCGTAGGTATGTTCTTCATGTTGTGTGGTGATGCTGCAGTCACAACGAGCACATGACAGAGAGCGCATGTAGTCAAATAGACTATAGTCTAGCATAATGCGTCGACACAAAGGAATCAACCTACCATAACGAATAAACGGTTATGTTGAACGGCTCTTCCTTCCATCGGTCTTTGTTGGGGGACAAATCAATACCGATCAGCATTCTCATCGATGGGGACCCAAATAGCGCGCCCAACAGAGTAAATTTGGATTTGGCGAGTCGAGGTCAGCAGTCTCTGAAAAGAGTCACACATGCATTTAGATCCTCCCATGGAGTTCTGGAGCCAGAAAAAAGAGCTTGAGATACGAACAAGAGTCTACGCGACACTTGGGGCAAAGAAAAGGCTGCGGAGAGATTGTGATGGGCCTATAGACAATGGGAAGACTCGGAAGGCCGCTCAAAGGGCTCAGAACAATAACCACGAGGACTCCAGCTCGAGTCAGGACTCAGCAAGCGCCCACCTAGTCATGAGGCTTGGATCCGAGTCGGCTCCTGCCTCATTGCAGACTTGAAATAGAGTTGCACTCCACTCGTTGCACATTGCCACTCACCACCATCATCTAAAGCAACAATGCCCATAGTAACAAGGCTGCTCTACCAGACTCTCGTGCAAGTCGACAGTGGACAACTGTCGGCTCACATTGTTTCCGAATCAAACTTGATCGATGAGCAAGATCTGTTGCGCAGTCTGCTAGAAAGGAACGAGGGACGTGCCCTTGGCCTTGCTGGCGGATATGCGCCAACTGGAGAGCTAGCAATGCTAGCCATCGCTGATGCGTCCACCATCATAATCATCGATTTCGAGTCGAATAAGAGCAAGGGCAACGAACACGATGAACGGCCTGTCACACCAGCCAGTAAGGCGAACAACGCCGCCGCTCGGCAGTTTTTGACCGATAACCTCCTCCGCCGCACCACCGGGTTCTTATACGCATTCGATATCGCGCCCATTGCTCTTGCTCTCGCCCAAACGCTCGATCTTCGAATCGCAAATGCGATCGATATGCAGAGCGTATCATCACGAACACGCGCCCCACTCGCCATCATCAAACAGGCCGTTGGTGATCTTCATAACATATACGACCCAAACATCAATGATGCATTTAAAAACGACACCATCGTCAGTCATCTGACAGCTTTCAAGAATGGCATCACTCCACTTGCACAACGTGCATGGATCGCACACTATCTCTCGCAGCTCGCGTCCATGGAGGACCGGCTGGCGCAAGTGCCTCCAGTGGACACCTTCCGGCTCTCTGACGAGGTGAGTCGCTGCTTGCTTGGCGAATGAAGTCGCTGATCGCCGTAATCACAGGCATTGGAGTTCCTTGCTAAGAGCTCGAAGGATTCATTCCAGCTCGAGCAGAAGAAGCCGACCGAGGTCACGCGCCAGTTCGCCACTACCGTCGATCACACAAACAACCATATCAATGCTCAGGCAGATCGATATCAAAACAAAATTCGAAGGGGCCAGAATCAGGTATGTTGATCGCGTATCCACGCCGTGCCTTACCTGATGACTAATTTTCTCAGCGTGCCTTCATTGATATTGGTGAGCGCGGCGGGCGGGGCTTCACTGTAGACGGTCAGGTCGCCGGTTCTCATGGCCGTGACGCCAAACTCGCTACCACCAATACTCTCAATTTTGTCGGCAAGATCATCGGCTCGATCAAGATCGTCGGCCGTGATGACCTTACGCAGGCTGAGACCCAGCGTGCTCACAAGGTTCTACAGATCCTTCAAGGCCTCATCAATCTCGAGCACAACAACCCATGGGTGCAGCTTATTTTCTTTTCCTCGCCCAGGGATAATTTTGAATGGCCCTCCGCCTGGACGGAGGAGGCGAAAGACGCGGTTCCGGTCAAATATCACGCCGACCGTGTCAGTCGCCCCCTCAATCCATCCCAGACGAAAGCTGTGAAGCAAATGCTCCAGCAGTCGAATGATGGGCGTCTTACTGTCATCCAGGGACCTCCTGGGACCGGTAAGACCACTGTCATCGCCTCATTTGTTCAGACTGCCGTTGCCGGCGGACTCTCTGGCATCTGGCTTGTTGCCCAGTCTAACGTTGCCGTCAAGAACATTGCCGAGAAACTCGCCGACTTTGGTCTGACCAAATGGAAGCTTCTCGTCTCCAAGGAGTTTTTCGAATACTGGCGAGTTCTTTTACTCTCGGACTTTCAAAGGTGGGTAGACTAACATACTCTAGGCATGAGCACCTATATGCCAGCATTCGGGCCAATATTATTATATCCGAGGACTTCTCTACCCCAGGTTTGCTTTTCAAGCAGCTCCAGAACTGTCCCGTCATTCTCTGTACCCTGTCTATGCTCTCATCTTTCGCTCTTCGAAAGAATGGAGGTTTTAATGCCGCGCCCCTCAGGACCCTTGTCATCGATGAAGCATCGCAGATCGAGATTGGTGGCTACATTCCGTTATTTACATCTCACAGCTCCATCAGGAAGGTTTGTTTCATTGGTGATGACAAACAATGTAAGTCTTTCTTCCGGATCTCATTGCATGTTCTGACATATTCAGTGCCACCATATGGTCAGGATGACATCCAGGACCTGAAGAGCATCTTCGAAGTCAAGCATCTCAAGGATCATGCAATATTCCTCAACACCCAATGTAAGGCCTTTCCCTCATGTCCCGCTACCCTGATCTTTAAAATTTTATTGTAGACAGGATGCCCCCTCAAATTGGAGGGTTCATATCCGAAGCTGTGTATGATGGCCTACTCGAGTCAAATCCGCTACACCCGGTCACGAACGAGAGGATGGCTTGTCATTTTATCAACATTCCCAGCCAGGAACAACTTCACGGTACTAGCTGGAAGGTAGGTCACTTCAATTCAGTCACTCGCAGTTGATCAATCTCGTGCACAGAACCTTGGAGAGTGCCAAACCATCCTCCACATCGCTGCCATGTTGCAAGCGAATAATAAGCAGTTTCGTATCATCACCCCTTACGACGCTCAGCGGAGTTTAATCGAGGAGGCTTTAAAGTCCAAAGAGCTCGATTGGGAGGATAAGTGTTTCAATGTCGACTCTTTTCAAGGTTCGTTCTTGCAACATATATCTGACCATCACATTGATAGTTCGTCCACGACAGGTAACGAAGAGGACTACATAGTAATCTCCCTCGTACGGTCCACGTCGCTTGGATTCCTCACTGATCTGCGCCGGACCAACGTCATGCTTACTCGATGCAAGAAAGGCATGATCATCTGCACCAGCCAGAAGTTTATGAAGCGGGCAGGGCATAAGTCGCTTGTCGGCAACCTATTAGAGTATTACGAGCACGAGTGGGTGGAGAAGGATGACTTGGAGAGGATTGCGATGTAGGCGGGCTTCCAAGGGTGCCATTCGAAAGGTTATTAACGGATTTGAACTGCTCTCATTGCTTTCGCGGGGAAGGTTAGTTGTACGATACTTTATGATTGGTTTGTACGACAGCTCGCGCGGTCGTTTGTACGATACCCCTGGGTGAAGGGGTGGTTTTTCTTGGAATGCGATTTATGAATTTGATTGCATCTGAGTGGTGATATGCGATAAGTAGGTATAGTGTAGTCTTGCGCGAACAAAAGTAGGAAGATCTAGTGGAGTTTGCGATAACTAACACAAGTGAGGCAGGTATTGCGCGGCGAGGACGGTTGTTGATGACCGTTTCATGAATGGTGTAGGATTCTTAAGCGTTCAACGTTCAACAAGCATCTATTGAACCGGCATGTGATCCAATCGCTTGGGATCTGCAGTCAAAATCAATTGATCTCCATCAGTGACGAGTCCTCAAGTTCACGAGGGCACAGACCTCGATTCACGCCACCAGGCGCTTATAACCGCGCCTGCACCCGCGTTTCTACACCATCCACTGATTTCTTCTTTCCGTCTTTCAACTCGAGCTCTCCAGCCTCGCAGATCGCCTGCATATCCCGGAGCGCATCCGCAATATACTGCTTGAACTTGTTCGTGGAGGTGAGCGTGGATGAGAATTTGGACTCGATGCAGAATTTGATGCGATGGGGTGCTATGAGGTCTGTGAGAGGACATAGTGTAAGCTTGGTTTAGTGGAGAGGGAGAGCGTGAACGGAATTAAACTCAAAAATGAACCACCTTCGGTCGACTTGGTCAGTCGATAGTGATGCGGCGGTAATGACAAACACAGACGGGAAGCCATGTGCAGACGAAGAACCTCCCACTGAGGTTCGACGATTCCGCAAAACGATTCTAAAGCGAGGGATCAAACTCACAATTAATCCCATAACCATCCTCCCAACCAGCTCCAAAGCCAGTTCCCCGGAAATGGTACCCAGCGCTTAGGCCACTGGTGCTCAGTTTCCACTCCTGAGAACGAGAGAAAAGAGGGTCGGTGAAGAGAGGATGCGTGCGTTTTTGTGAGGGGTCGGTAGGGCTCGAACTCGAAGGAGAGTCCAAGGAAGATAAAGTAGACGTGGACGCATCCACAGGGAGTTCTTCTAGCATCAGCTTCAGGCCTAATAAGTGTCTATCGATTCCCCGACCCGTAGCAGCTTCCCTCGTGCGCCTCGCGTGCGTCTGGATGGCGTGTTGGAGGAGAGGAAGAAGTGCGCGGGGCTGATAACATTAGTAGATGAAATGCAATGTAATGTATAACGTGGGGTGAATCCGCAAGAAAGGCAGAAGAAAATCATGAGTTTCCGTTGCTGTAAGGGTATGGAATGAATTTACCTCCACATCATATTGGTCCCCTTCTGCCACACAACCAGCTCCACGTCCCCATTCCTTAGCAGCTTGTACAAAATCCAACCCCTCCACACTCGCGCTCCTCACGCACTCTGTCCGGCCAGCATTAAACATTCGCGTTAGGGCTGTCTCGTAGGTCGCTGTGAGGACCCCGCGGGAGCGATACCAGGCGAGTTGGAGTGCAAGTTGGGTGTAGGCGTCTGGTGGGAGGCGGGCTGAATAGCGAGATTATTAGTGACCTCTGCGACAGAAGGGGGGTTAAGTGGATCTTGAGCTTCGCGGATGCGAGATCCCGCCATTCACCACCTTAGAAGACCAGAGGCAAAACGCCAGAAAACGACAGGCAGTCGCAAACTCACCAACTTTACCGATCCAATCCGATCCATATTCCCCGAATTCCAAAATCCCTACCTCCGAGTTATCAATCGAGGCCTGAGCTCGCCCTTCCGCTTCTCTTATCTGAGCTTCGATCCGCTCGTCGGCCACCCAATCCAAACGGGACCATCCTTTTTCACCATCGTTCACATGAGCCTCCTCTAAAGTAAGTGGGCGCGGAACAGGCTCTGAGAATGCTGAAGGGTCAATACCAGCGACGACACCATAATCAAAGACGATGCTGGGCACTAATGCATCAACAGGTGCGTGTTCACCCATTGCGCCAGCACGCGTATTGCGCTCCAGTGACAAGGTCAGGCTTTTGTCGAACCATCTGTTGCGAGCTCGAGGAGGGGAGCGGGTGTTGTGGAGGTGTGCTTGGACTTCTGCATCGGAGTCTAATGCCGGGACGCTTGTGTGAGAGGATCGGGAAGAACTTGGGGAGGTAGGGGTTGGGTAATGAGACGGCATGGCAGTGTAGTGATCGAGAGAAAGAGCCATGATAGACTCGTTGATTGCGCGGAAGGTCGAGGCGTTTGCGGGCGAAAGGGAGAGCAAGTGTTGATAGTTCTGTGGGAAGGATGTTGGTTAATGACTCGCTAGAAAGAAACCAAGAGTCGAAAGCTTTTGACAGTAAGATGACAAAATACGGCTGCGCCAAAAAATAAGCAGAGCATACTGACCTCTGCCCAACGGTCTCTGTCATCCGAGGTCAAGACACCAACTGGCACTGCGCTTTCCCCGGCCTCTATTCTCTTGACCACGTCCAGTACTACCGCACGTATTCGGTCCTCAATGATCTGTACGGGCAACGGTGTCCGATCGTCCTCACAGACCCGTACGGTATACACAAAATCATGCAACATGAGCATGACATCCTGGGCGTGCTCCGATGCCGGATTCCTGCTCGCAAGAGCGTCCGCTCCAGCTTCTGGCAACCGACAGGTATTGAACATCTTCTCCGTGTTAGTGAGGAGCCAGACACCGGTACGGGTCGTATCGGGGTCTGGATGCTGGTTGACCATGCGTGCGCGCCAGTCGAGGACGCGGTGCAATATGCACGCAGCTCGGCGGACCTGCCAGGGCTCTATACCTGATGCAGTATCGCCGCGCAAAATAGACTCGGGTACGGAGGGATCATTAATGAATGTAAGCCACCAGTTGGAATTAATGAGGAGCGGGGCACGCCATGAGAGGTAGGCAAAGTTCGTCCAAATATTATCATCTAGCCAGTTATGTGGCGAGCGAGCGTCCAATTCTGTGGGAATGATCGGGTCAAATGTTTTTGGATCAATGGAAGGACATACCATGGAGTTTATGCTGGCAAAGGCGGCCGACGCCTTTCTCGAAGTCATCTACCCACTGAACGCGTTTTGCGTAGCTGACTTCAAAGAGAGAGCGACCACGTGCCTCGTCTTCGCGCAAAAAAGGCTGAATAGACTGCAAGTAGCGGTCCAACGTCTTGCGAAGGTCTGGCACAGGCAAACGCGGCAACTTTGCCATTGTGCTCAACCCAGTGTACCTCGATGAGAGGACGAACGGGGAACTCTGAGGTAGCCTCGGAGAGTATCGGGGACGTATACGGCCGCCTAAAGTTGGCCTTGAGATCATGCCACTGGTCGCGGTGAGCAAAAGGACACACGTGACCTAAATCATAGAATGGTGTGACAACTTGAAGCGCGACGTAACGCGCCTTTGTACTTAGAGCTTCGATGACTGAACCAGCTGCACCTGCAAACATCGTGAAATGGGTCAACGAACAATATCCACGTCCAGCTTTAGATCCAGTAAAATTTATATAATTAATGGTTTGTATTCATTATATTTATTCATCCGCAGGTTTGGCTTCGTGACTGTTGCTCATGGATCGCGTCCTCCTACTCCCTTTCTCCAACTGACTTTCCACAGTTCAGTTCCCATGTAACTTCTCAGTTTTTTCAGTCCAGCCTCGCAGACTCCACCCTCCAGAACACTGGCCTCCCACAAAACATCCGTACCATCAGAAGAGCTCGCCTTACAGGCCCTCCATGTCTCGTAGAGATTCGTGCCATCAGCGATATTGCCAATAGCGCATTTAGCTTGATGAACGTGAGGCAAAATCGCATGGATCGAGCCGACTTGGCTGGCCTTGTCAGGGAGGACGTAGAGGATGTAGAAGAGGACGAGGGCCCAGTCCCAAAGTATCCGAGAGGCATGCTGCGTCTGGAGCTCAGCGATGGTCTTACAACTGTCAAGGCTGTGGAATATAAATCTATACCACAACTTGAACTCGGCGTCACTCCGTTGGGGTACAAGGTACGTGTTGGTTAGTCGATATGTGTCATTTTGAATAGAGTCCGGCGGTCAGATCCTTTTGAAAGACGTACAGATTCGCAGAGGCATTCTCTTCCTTGAACCCGAGACGATTGAGCTGAAAGGACATCAAACAGAGGACCATGAGGCAATGCAAGATGAAATATTTCTGCGCAGCCTGAGACGGAGGCTTGGGTGAGTTACATTCATCTAAATAATCATCAAACTAATACCCCTTAGAAAACCAGACCCAGAACCAAATCCACAACCAGCTGGTGAAGCCGAGGCTCCGCAGCAGGCGCCCTCGCCTCCGAGAATTCCATCTCCTCCTGTTGCTATCAGACGGCCTGCTGGTATTCCACTTGCCAATGCCGCACCTACAGCAGTTCGATCGAAGCCCTTATCCACCGCAGCGCCGAAACCAAACTTAGCACCGCAAGCTTCGAGCTCCATCCCCGCTTCCACCTCGTCTACCCTTGTCTCATCCTCTAAACCAACCTCTTCACTCAAACCTCCCTCTGCTCGAAATATTTCTGCAACGACCACCTCGCCATACTTTTCTACGTCTTCTACACTGCCATCTTCAGTCCCTTCTACATCAACCTCGGGCAGGTCTAATCCACAAGATAACCCGTCTGCCCCCTTGGCACGGGCTCGGATCCTCTTCCCCGCGCCACGGGATGCCACGTGGAGCTTGGATGACGAGGAATTCGAGGCTTTTGTAACTGAGTCCGGATCAGCTCCTATCTCACCTCCAAAGTCCATCTCAAAACTGCCCTCAAAGCGAAATGCTCCATCTACAAAAGCAGCTGCGTCACCACCCCGTCCCCCATCACCACCTTCAGATTATGATTTGATGGACCTAGACATGGATGACGAGCTCCTTGCACAAGCGGAGAAAATGGAGGCAGAAGCATTAGCAGCTATTTCTAAGCTATCGGGCGCAAAAGGTTCAGGTTCTGATACGCGGGATATGGGTCAAATGAATGCTTCGCGGTCGACAGGTCCACGCTATCAAGGTATTCAAGGAATTACCAGTACTCTGCAGATGACGTCTGGCTCATCTCGACCGCCCACGGTCCCAACCGCTGTCACAAGGACATCACGTCCTCGAGTCGGTCCTGCATCAGCCCAACGCCAGCCCGCAATCTCTACTCAGCGTAGGGCCCAGGACCCTGCTTCCACTCGACGTCAACATGTTCCGTACACCTTGCGGGAAGATGTTATCAACGTAGAATCGGATGATGACATGTATGTGGACGACTCGGACGATGGAAAAGAGAATGTTCCAATAAGGAGGCGGGCGGTGGTCGATGAGGATATAATTGAGATTTCTGATTGAAATTTTCATACGAAACGGTGCAAATTCTAAGTTGGATGCATGTGCCATCCCTTGGTCAATTATATCATATGCGCAGTGTCACTCGATTTCAAATGTCAGGACTCGGGAGAGCTTTAGGACATCCGATCTCGGCTTCTTATACAATCAGGTTAGGTAGCAGACGAGGGCCTACAGCGTCTACCGCACTTTATATTCGTCCCGTTGTTATACTTATCTACAGTCTCGTCACCGACCAACTCATTATCAAGTATTCCCTATCGTAAATCGGAATTTTCACCAGCTCCGTTTCTACCCTAACAGTGCCCTTCTCGAACACCTCTCCATCCCACAAAGATGTCCATGTCTGGGGAGAATGACAAAACAACCGATGCACGGAGCCCCCTATATTGGCAGTTACAACGCCTTTTTCGAGAGCTCCGGTCTGACCACCGCAAATAACGGAGCCTGGTTGCGCAGATAAAAGTCCTGCGAGAGCCCTGGCAAGGTGCAATTGGTTCTCCTCGTTGAAGAGGTGGAAGAACGCAGCAGCATTTATCGCGCTAATGCGGCCATGAAGCGTGTTGAGGGATTTGAGCGAGGACAGATCAATGTCTGGCACTGGAGAGATGTCGTCTGACGGCGCCACAATGGAGAGAAATTCTGGATCGAATACATCTCCGGGAAGGAGACATCCGGGGTAGGAAGCTGGTGTCGTTTTGAAAAGTTCGTGGCTTAGCTCGAGGAAATCTGCACATATGCGCACATTGTTAACAAGAATGATTCACAAACGAAATGAATTACGGTTGTTGATATCCGACGCAATGATGTTTTTCGCAGGAAAACCGTCCGCCGCAGCCTTTCTGGCGTCAACGCCGACTAAAAAAGAGTCAAGATTATCCAAGAGAGTAGAAAGACTGATTGGACGCACAGCAACAACCAATGTCAAGTAACACAGCATTGTTGCGCTCGCGACCAAGCTTGAGGATGTGTTCATACCCAGGCAAACTTGACATGTTTAACCTCAGGAACGTTCAATTCCTGTTCGATGCGCATATTTACTGTTAACGTACCGCAGGAAGGTAAATGCATGAATACAAGGATATGGCGCAATCTGTCATCGGCAGAGGGTCATGAAAATTATTACGAAGTCCTCTGTGAATAACTCACCTTGTGTGCTTTCGCCTGAACTTCCAGGATATGCTTTCTCAAATCTTCATCATTATCGATACCGACTTGGCTCTTGAAGAATGCAGCTTGTTCGGGAGACAGGCTGTAGAGGCTGGTGTCTACTGTTGGGATTGACGAGGTATGAACTGTTATGTCACCCATCAACGTTGAAGAGTCCTCGTGCATAGAAACGCCCTCCATCTTCACGGGATGCAATCTGTCCTAAGGCAACATTCTACATCCTTACGGCCGTTATTATATTTTCTCCTGGCGAGGCTATGTGGGGCTATGTGATCGAGCAGATGTGACTTACAGCATCATTGACCAGTCGGACTTGAACTGAAAAGATGTGCCGGTGCAGGATTAATAGATAAGCCACGCTAGGCAATATTGTGATACGCCGCTGCTGCGGGCGGCAGAAGGGGAGTCCGATGTCAGTCAAGTACTGCCCGTGATGGTAATCATGCGCCAGAACCTTCACGGTGGGGGTTGCCCTGGTTAAAACATGTAAGCATTGTACTAGTGCTATTTCCGGGCTTGCTCACGTGGTTGATCCACGAGGATAGTACTGTTGGTCGTCTGGTTCAAGACTTCAAGACACCAGTGGTGCCTCTGCTACAGTCCTCGACCATCGCAGCACCTGCTGAAGACATTAATATTGCCACAGTACCTCACTGAAAGCAGAGGTGATACTATTTTGCAGCTTTGTTCGTCAAGTGGATCCACTATGCGCAACGAATCAATCCTTTTGGATACACGCCTGCGGTACTGGAAGCATTCACACCGTGATTTGTCTTAGACTCTATGAGTTGCGATTGCAAGCTTGGTACCCGAACGCACGCGTCTTGGATGCAGGTACGGAGACCCAGATCCTTGGACGATGACCTGCATCTGATTTGTTCAGAACTCCATTCAAGGATTTAGGTTTCTTCATTATTATTGATTAACGGTCGCGAATCAATGGGTTCCACGAGCCTGAGATGCTACGGACAGGTACCATGTCGAATCATAAATCATGAAGGCGCTTGTGACTGAAAATATATATACAAACGCACCGTCCGAGAGAGCATCTTGAGTAACGGACGGGAAATGCACTCGGTAAGAAGTTTTCGATCGTCGAACAACATCACGTCCTCGAACTGTTCCCGCACCAGCAGCTCCGAAACTTCTAGCTTCACTCCTCAGCGTATGGTTCCAGGCCCGGCTTCCAGTCGACGTCAATAAACTCCATTTACTCTGCTTGAAATCTGAGGTGCCGTTGACGTCAAATCAAACAATGACATGTACGTGAACCACAGGAATGAGAACGATCCACTTTCAGCGCAGTGGTTAGGGAGCATGTGGATGTCCGATGGGCGCAAGCGAGAAAGGTCTGCAGACCAACGCTGCCGATGCTTACGCAATCGGTTACGGGGCATTCTAAACTTTGAAGTGTATCTTCTCGGATATCATGGTCTGAAAGCCCAGCCGGGGCCAGGCCTACAGCCTGTCCTGCATCTGACGCGTCTAGCACTGGTAAGTCATAACATTTGTGTTCTCAATTGGGTTTTCAGAGATTTTTTTCACAAGAACAGATGCGGTCGAGACGATGGCTCTTGGTGTTATTATTTGTGGTCTCGAATGTCGTGAATCCCTCCAACGAAGAACAGTATGTTGGCAGGTCGCAGGCAGTCTATGTTTGGCACCTGGCAGATTAATCAGACTGCAGCTGGTTTCGAGTATCGTTGATATTACCAAGGTCCCCAAACTGGAGCCGGATCAGTGGATGATAGGGTTAATTTCATCTTCGATGCACGCGAAATATCACTACACGGAAACCGAAGGTGGTGGCGGGAGGTTGTGGGTTACATTGAGGGCCGAGCTCCTAAGTTGTGCTGATTCCCCTTGTCCTTGGCAGTTGGACGAACATTACTGAGCTATGACTAGATTATCGACGATCTTCTCTAGCATCGAGTTGTACATGCGCTCCCTCAAATTGACTGGTATGTTTGTATCTACAATCTCATCACTGACCACCTCATCATGAGTAATTGCACCTCTTGTACCGCAACCTCCACCAGCTCCGTTTCCACCTTTACAGTGCCCTTCTCGAACACCTCTCCATCCCACAAAGATGTCCATGTCTGGGGAGAATGTAAAAACTGCCGATACTCGGAGCCCGATATAAGGGTGGTTACAACGCCTTTTTCGAGACTTCCGACATGATTACCGCAGATGACAGAGCCTGGCTGCGCAGATAACAGACCTGCGAGAGCTTTGGCAAGATGCAATTGTTTTTCCTCAGTGAAGAGATGGAAGAATCTAGTAGCATTTATTGCGCTAATGCGGCCATGAAGGGGATTGAGGGATTTCAGCGAGGATAGATCAATGGCTGGCGCTGGAGAGACGTCGTCTGACAGCGCAGCAATGGAGAGAAATTCTGGATCGAAGACATCTCCGGGAAGGTGACATCCGGGGTAGGAAGCTGGTGTCGTTCTGAAGAGTTCGTGGCTTAGCTCGAGAAATTCTGCATACACACACACACATCGTTAACAAGAATGATTCACAGGCGAAACAGATTATTTACCGTTGATGATATCCGACGCAATGGTGTTTTTTGCAGGAAAACCGTCCGCCGCAGCCCTTCTGGCGTTAACACCAACTACAATGGAGTCGAGTTTATCCAAGAAAGCAAACAATCATTTAACATACAACAACATCCAATGTCGAGCAGCACGGCATCGGGGCGCTCGCGACCAAGCTTGAGGATGTGTTCATACTCAGGGTAAGTCGATATCATCACGCTGTTGTCCCCTTGTTATGTGTCGACGCATAACTTTACTGTGCTCGTACCTAAGAAATGCAAATCCATGGATACAAGGATACGGTGCAATCTTTCAGTGAAAGAGGGTTAAACAACTTATGGTGAGATCCTCTGCAAGTGACTCGCCTCGTATGCTTTCGCCTGAATCTCCAGGATATGCTTCTTCAAGTCTTCATCATCATCAATACCGATTTGCGCCTTGAAGAATACATATTCTTCGGGAGACAGTTTGTAAAGGCTGGTGTCCACTTTTGGGATCGATGAGAATGTTACGTCGGCCAACGACATTGTAGAGCTATCCTGCATAGCAGGGCCCTCCATCATGACGGGATACAATTAGTGCTCAGGCTGCGCAGTGTTCGACATCCTTTTAAAGCTGACTGACTTTGAGCGTCTCCCGGCCCATCAAGAGAACGGTTACCACAACTTCGGACAACCACTGGTTCGGACACTTCGCAATACACACACAATTCTGCCTCAATGATTTTTTTGCCTCACTACATATGATTGTACGCTTATCCCCGACTCGTAGATCTGGCTCCGGAGGGCTTTGTTTTGATGATGATCCGGTCAAGAGGAGCGTACGTGTGCGAATATCGGAATCGGAATGTCTCTGTATGAATTTCAAATTTTAGATCTTAGAAGATCTGATCATCATCAAATTTGGCATTCAATTATGTAGTTCTCAGCAAAGTATCACAACTGGTTCGGACACTTTGCAATATCTCACTCAACTCTGCTTCAAATCATATTCTGTTCAACCACATATCATTGTCCACTTATAATACACTAGGGGCCGGCGCTGCCGACTTTTAACCTTGCTCCGGTTGTCAACGCAGCCCAACGGCTTCTCCTGCATCAATTTGTTAATCTCATTGTTTAGATCTCAGTCAAACCGGCTAGTGGTAAAGGTTCATGTCAGCTCGTCCAAATTCCAAGTCTCCTGTGGAGGGACACATTGTCACCCGAAAAAGCTGCGCTGATACAGAAGGTCCCACTCCAAATACCTTCCAGGTTTTACGATCCGTACTTCGTACTACAGACAATCGGCAGCAGCGTCACGGACATTCCCTACGCGTTCCTGAACAAAGCACCGGTATGTCCTTATAGATGTATTGGCTCCTCCCAATATAACATTATGACAGGATCGACGAACGGACAAACCTTCAGCGTGGATGCGCTGAGCGGTCGCGAGGATTCAAAGAGGTCTGACCTCACCTTGAAGAACTAAGCTAATGGACCGTGTGATACTAGCGTCGTCGCGGGCGACGTGTCCTTTGTTTGAGCCTGACTCAAATAAACTCCACTCTCAGTTACTCAGTCACTCAGTGGGCGTGTTCGGTGCAGGCCTGTTGGCAACTGCGCACCTTTCACGTGTTCATTGGGATTTGTAAATCCCTTTTTTCATGCTCCGTCCTCCTATGGTGGAGTAAGGCTTACTTAGCGGGCGACTTCAGGCAAAATTGAGGCTGCCCTCTTTCTAACGTGTACCGTCGCCTCGCTAGGTAAGCTAAAGTTCAGTTGGTTCATGCAGGCCTCTTTCTAACGGTTGCTCGCCTCGCTAGCTAGTTTTGATTCACCCACCACTCCCTCCTGCTTGGTACTAGATAGTGTTCGTTTTGTGTTCGGTTTCCCTCAGATTCTCAGTCGTTTGAGCTACTGGGTTGTATTGCTAGTCATCAATAACAGCCGGACTCCTCAAAGTGTCGAGAAGCCGTTCTTGGCTTATAGATACCTTTGGTGATTGCGCACCTTCCAAATCGTGCGAGGTCCATTAGTCACTTCGAAATGAGACTCACGCACGTCGTCCACTAGCTGCAACGGGGAACGACACTGCTTACTATAATGCATGGGGAAAGACGGCACGATGCAAATTGCGAAATATGTTCCTAGCGGTACAGTGATCGATACTAAGGTTATTACACCATGAAAATTAAATCGCGTGAAAAAAATCCTCATTGCTGTGAAAAGGATTAGATCTGGTCTGATTGGGTATCTACAATCTCATCACCGACCACCTCATCACGAGGAATTGCACTTCTTGTATCGCAACCTCCACCAGCTCCGTTTCCACCTTTACAGTGCCCTTCTCGAACACCTCTCCATCCCACAAAGATGTCCATGTCTGGGGAGAATGAGAAAACAGCCGATGCTCGGAGCCCAATATATGGGCGATTACAACGCCTTTTTCGAGATTTCCGACATGATTGCCGCAAATGACAGAGCCTGGCTGCGCAGATAACAGACCCGCGAGAGCTTTGGCAAGATGCAATTGTTTGTCCTCCGTGAAGAGATGGAAGAATCTAGTAGCATTTATTGCGCTAATGCGGCCATGAAGGGGATTGAGGGATTTCAGCGAGGATAGATCAATGGCTGGCGCTGGGGGTATGTCATTTGACAGCGCAGCAATGGAGAGAAATCCTGGATCGAAGACATCTCCGGGAAGGTGATATCCGGGGTAGGAAGCTGGTGTCGTTTTGAAAAGTTCGTGGCTTAGCTCGAGGAAATCTGCACATATGCGCACATTGTTAACAAGAATGATTCACAGGCGAAACGGATTATTTACCGTTGAGGATATCCGACGCAATGATGTTTTTTGCAGGAAAACCGTCCGCCGCAGCCCTCCTGGCGTCAACACCAACTACAATGGAGTCAAGTTTATCCAAGAAAGTAGATAATCATTTAACATACAACAACAGCCAATGTCGAGCAGCACAGCATCGGGGCGCTCGCGACCAAGCTTGAGGATGTGTTCATACTCAGGGTAAGTCGATATGGTCACGCTGTTGTCCCCTTGTTATGTGTCGACGCATAACTTTACTGTGCTCGTACCTAAGAAATGCAAATCCATGGATACAAGGATACGGTGCAATCTTTCAGTGAAAGAGGGTTAAACAACTTATGGTGAGATCCTCTGCAAGTGACTCGCCTCGTATGCTTTCGCCTGAATCTCCAGGATATGCTTCTTCAAGTCTTCATCATCATCAATACCGGTTTGCGCCTTGAAGAATACAGCTTCTTCGGAAGACAGATTGTAAAGGCTGGTATCTACTTTTGGGATCGACGAGAATGTTACGTCGGCCAACGACATTGTAGAGTTATCGTGCGTAGCAGGGCCCTCCATCATGACGGGATACAATTGGTGCTCAGGTTGCGCAGTGTCCCACATCCTTTTAAAGCTGGCTGACTCTGAGCGTCTCCCGGCATTAAGAGAATGTCCGTTGAGGTAATTCGGCTACCCTCATTCTATCAAGGTCTGACTACGGGAGACTAGAAATTCGCCACTTCTGATATGAAGTGAGGCTGTGCAATCAAGCAGATAATCAATCACTTGCAGTACACGTCTGAAATCCATCAATTCCTATCAGTTCCTGAACTGCGAAGGCGGGTCCTGGCGTGCTGACGACAAATCAAGAGGCGAGGCGTACTCATAAAAGTCACACCAGGCATGCTGCACGTCCGGGCGTCTGAAGCTAAAGCTCAGGATGATGATATCCAGCCAACCACCGAACGCTCCCATGGTGACTAGTGCGTGCCAGAACAAGAGATTAGCTTGTTAGTGGTACACAGAGGCCGCCGTGGCTAAAATCTTTTCAGTACTAGTGCTATCTGCGGAATAGTTGACTCGCTCACCGTGATCCTTGATCGGCGGTAATGTAAGCCGTTATGAGTCATCTGCTTCGGCTCAGTCTTTGCCTCTGCTACACTCGTCCTCAACATCGTGGTATGCACTAAAAGCATTATCATAGTGCCTCCCTAAAAAGCAGAGGACATATATGTGGCCTTTTTCGTGAAGTTAATATGCAGAAGTTTAGTGTGCGCAGCAGATCAACTTGAACGCTTTTGGATACACGCCTGCCAGCATCGGGGTACTGGAGGCATCTATTTATATTGTCGGTGAATCAATTTTTACAGAACCTATGAGTCACAAGAGAGAACGGCAGTAATCTCTGTGCTCGATCACATACGGGTGAACGAGGTTCGACGGCAGGACATTGCGGTTTCTCTATTACCTGGTCCATGAGCCAGGGACCCAGATCCTTGGCCAATTGATGTCTTGCAACTAGCAGTTACTTGGTTCAGAACTTCAGTCGAGGATCTGGGTTTTCTTCTTCACGTTATTATCGAATGGTGTTTATGAACTATAATGAGGGTTCCACGGGACTCTACAGGCGGGTATTGGATGGCGCATCATGAAGGCATTCGTGTTCAAAAAATAATAATATAAAACGCACCTTCCAAAGCTTGGCGTCACTGGAGACTGTGGAACAAATGAGAAATCGGTCTCGAGCTGCAATTGGCGACCTCTGCATCAATAATGTCGAAAAGTTTGGTGTTATGCATGTGAGCCGCGGCGTCCTGGGTTTGGCGATGTTCTTAAAGCGAATATATGATAGCGAAGGTTCGCGCGGACCTTGCTAAGTATCTCGAACGAGTGCTAGTTCCGCCTTGCCACCATCACCAAAAGTCCAAAAACCTGACACTGCCTGATTAGGATTCTGGTCATGTGATTTCGTAGCTCTTAGATGACAAGCGTAGTTCATCAAAAATGATGTTCATATTTATGATGAGGCCGAATCATGCAATGGCTGGAGTGATCAGGCTGACATTCAGTGGTAAAAGCAACATTCAAATGATATTCTATGATACCCCACCGGCAGTGGGGCCAGTACCTGATACAGTACCATGAGCTAGCTAGTGTAAGCTCAGCACTGATTCAGCAGTGACTCAGTGCCAGCAATAGTAGTAGACCGTCATACTAGTGAGACCCTCCAAAATCACTCTGATCTGAGGAGCCCTGTGCCCACTTTCTTCCAGTGGTAGAGAAGTGGTGTAGTACTACTATGTGGCACTTGGGGGAGTGCTGGGGGGTCACGGTGGACTCATTCAAAGTTGGGCATCATGGTCAACCACTGGCAGCCCTCTGTGGCTTCTCTTGTCTATTCGTTTGATCGGTATGCTGCATGGTATGACTCGGAGGCGATGATGTCGGTCCAGCACCCACGTCAAGAAAAAATTGACAAGTTGCGCTCGTTGGTTTACATGAGTTCGTTCCATCTTCTACGTGTGCATGCAATTTTAACTAGTACTAGTACTAGCTAGTCTGTGCATGTGGCGCGTTCCACTTCAATCCTGCCATGGATTTTGACATCACCATTTGTATTACATCATGATATAGTGTGATGGCGCAGTACATTGTTTTGATTCTGGAAAACCAATGAACTTTTCTCGCTACTCTCCTCCCCTGCTTCAAGTTCCCGGGCCTGAACTCGACTGTTGGACAGGTCTGCTGGGTAGTTTGTGTCAAGGATAGTACATCTACAATGAGAAAACAAAAGTATAGACAACCATCACTCAATTATAGGGCACCGTACCCCTCTTGCGCAAGAAATTCATCATCCTCCCCATCAGCCCCAACTTGAACAGGATTCCCCTCATCACCCAGATCTTCAGAAGCACTCCCCTCGCTGTCATTGTCATCCACAACTTCATCCGCAACCTCTCTGAGCTCAATGACTTCTTCATCCTGCGACACTGCAGCACCGTCATTCCTCAAAAATTCATCCCACTCCCGCGTTACTTTGTGGCCAACACCACCACCTCGAAAGCGCATGAACATATCACGATCTACAAAACTAGTACATAGATAGATTAGAATAGCAATACCAATGGATAGTAAACACGTACTGATTCACATAGAAACATGAGAAATCTTTATTGTCATCTTCTGCAGGACGCACAAACGAAGGCCCAAGTCGAGTGTCAGTGCGTCCATGTTGATATCCAGGAATTAAATGTACACCGCGAATGACATGGTCAGGATCTATGAAACCAAAACCTCCAGGGTCATCTTGCTTGAAAAAACCGATGCGGTGGAGTCGCTTTGCTGACCACCCAGCTTTGAAATCAATGTTGCGCCCAAACCAGCGTACAAAAAGCACATGCATGCAGGTTGGTGCCTGCATAGCACCCTGGCCATCATACCAAACGTCAAGGTGGAAAATCTTGATTACACGGGCATACCAATAAGGATGTCGGTTGTCATCGTCCTCGTGTGAGAGCATCATGACGTCAGTGTGTGTTAGGGGGTTGATTGAGTCCTGTTCTCTTCGCAAATCATACATTGTGTAGTTGACACATAGTACACTGTGCTCGTGGAGTTGGTTATTGGCGAAGGTGACCTGATTCCTGTCATCATCAGAGAAACTGTGCTCATCACCAGAGTAATCCAAGCTGCGGAGCCGTGCCAGCAAGTGATCTTTAAGGCCCGGAATGAAGTTCTGTGACGACACATCAATGGATACAAAGTAAGGGTGTAATAGGTGAAATACTCACTGCAATTGCCGCATCATTGTCAAGCTTGCCAAGCCATGCAAATATATCATGTGAGCACTTGGCATATTTTGATATGTGGTAGTGCGCTGAGGGTGATGTACGCTGCTCATGCCCCTCATCCTGTATCAAGGACCCATGGCTCTTTTTACATCGTTCAAGTACCTTTGCGATGAGTCGCTCACGGGCTTCAATGTGGGTCATCGTTGCAACCATTGTCTTCTTATTTTTTGACGTCCTTGGATACCATCGTTTGACATGCCGATGTTCAAGTTCTCCCTAAGGAGAGATATAATTGTAGGTGAGCAATAGCGCTATCAATATCAAAATGAAATGTACCGGCTGTGTAGAATAATTATCTGTTGTGCCCATCCACTTGATTGTGTCAGCATAGTCGCCAAGCGCATGGAATTTGTAAGTTGAGAGGTTAAGGGACTTGCGCTTGGGTCCAGCTGAACTCTTCTGACTCGGAGTTGTAGATGTTCCTTGTTGTTTTGCAGCTAAAGCAACCTCTCGACGTCCTCGTGCGGCATGCTCATGAGGGAGCTCTGTTGTGTGATAGTGATCGCACGTTGTCTTGTAGAATTTGCGAACTGATTGACCAAGGACGGCAGTGGCAGTGTTAAACAGAGCTAGCGTGTCAGTGGTATGCATTCGAAGCTTTGCGTACCCATGCCATGATGCTAAGTCGAAAAGGAGGTCCAGAATGATGGCGTTGTGAGGCTCCGGCAATAAGTTCTCAAATGCTGGAATAGCGCACTGACACAAAAATTTAAATAATATGTGATACAGATCGTATAGCCTAGTGCTTACCTGTAAGAGATCCTCAAAATCACGGGCAGCCAATTTTTTCATGGATGAAGTGTTATAGTGAAAACGGCGAATTGTGCCTCTACCAAAGGTAGGGACCATTCTGTATCTGATTAGGTTGTTAGCATATGAATAATGGACGCAGGGAAACAGATGCAGCATATCAAAAATATGTGACTTACCGCTCATTCAGCCTCTGTACTGCAGTTCCCCCAGCTGCATGCAAGATTTGCATCAGATGCGTGAAAATAGCTTTCCAAGCACCAATTTCAAACTCGTGTAGTTGATCAACCACAAATAGCGCAAACATGTTGATACCGTAGTTGAGTAATCATTGAGAAAATGTGTTCTAATGTTCAAGGTCAGTGCGAGTGTAAAATAGATGGCTGCAGAACAATGCTTACACGAATTGGCACGTATGATTCCTCATTGATAATTGCCTTGACACGACTGCCATCTACTGGAACTCCAAGTTGGAAGATCAATTTGCGAGCATCTTCCACTCGCTGTTGACGTCGCAGGTTATCGGTGCGCTCCCGTGTGACCCGCCGCCTCATGTCTAGCGTCATTCCCATCATGTGAATGTCTGACTTCTTAACAAGACAGCGGGGGCATGGACACTGCCCCAAGAATTTGATGCTGGCTAGCAGTATCCTGAGTAATTCATCAATTTCAGTTGACCAGCGTGTTGGGATTGACTAACTTTTTGGGGTAATCCGCAGAATATGAGAAAAACCGGGGGAATACTCTTCACGTAATCCCATCACCGCAGCAAATTACAATGCCATGCTTGTACACTTCCATGAACTTTCCATCAAGAATTAACTCCCAGATGGTGTGAATCAATTCACGTTTGAGGTGTGTATAGGTGCTGCTCGAGGTTGGTTCACCGAATATATCAATATAGATCTCCTGTAAATCATCCGGAAGCTGCAAATAATTAGTAAAGTGAGTTTATAAAGTAATGTATACATACATTGGGAATGTACGCCAAGTGATGGCATGCGCGAGCAGTAGGCTTTCCTCGTGTGTATTTGGATTGATTGCCGAAGAATAGATAGAAGGGCCAAAGGGATGCGTCACCAAAGCTTGCCAAGTGAGTGGCATCAGACCAGACCATTAGCGAGGCAACAACGTGCTCGAGGTCATCACCAGGATCTCGTGGGATGGCATTCACTTCTTCGTAAGCTTTTATCATTTCAGGAGAGGCGTAGGATTCAGAGAAGACTTCCAGAGTTTGATTATCTGGCGCATTCCAGTACTGGCGGAATGGAGTCATATTGAAGCTAGTGGATACGTCATCCTCAAATGTTTGAGTGATGATATCTGTGAGAGAGCGATGGTAAACACCAGGGATCTCAAGTTGGGGGGTGTCATTCTCTGAGGGAAACTTGGCCCTCTCATTGGATAAGCGAATTTTGACAGTTGACTGCTGCCACTCGTACTCTTCGCAGAAGGGATTTGATTTACGCTCGAGGTAGTCATCAAGTTGTTTGATCTCTCGTGCATGACTGAACCCAACTAAGTCAGCTGAGTTGAAACGAGGGTCGCAAAGAAACTCAGCCAGACGATTGAGTCCAGCTGCCGAACTAGCATTACTGCCAGAATAGTGCCAAGTCATCAGTAGGGCTGACGATGGGTTTGTGAATGCTCCAAACAGATCATCATCGCTGATTTCTGCAGAGACTCCCAGGCGCACTTCACGAAGGGTAGCACATAACCCCTCTAGTGTGGGGGCATCTGTTACACCCTCCAGTGTGTGATCAGCCTCTGGGGCTAGAGTGGGACGAGTTGGGTATATGCTATACAGACCGAATGTATCCGGTTGTGTTTCAAAGGGGGTGAGCAGGGGTGGAGGATCAGGTAGATTAGGGGGCAGTGGTGAGGGTTGGGATGATGGCGCCATAGCACTGTGACCTGAGGCTGTATTCCTGTCGCTCAAAATGCCTGCACGTTGCTGTTGGATGGTTGGAGGCATGTGTGCAAGGTGTGTAGATGTGCCTGGAAGATAGTCGATGAATCGATGCGGCATACGGATAGTGCGTCCAGAACGTTTTGAAGTGACAATAGGAGCTGGAGGCAGAGGGGAATGTGGCTGTGAAATGTTTGGCAGACCTGCAACATCCTCAAACTGGTTGAAATGTAAATGTACTGTAAGTTGCTGCTCAGGCAGTTCAGACAAAACATACCTGGTTAATGTCTATATCACCGTCTCCCTCCATCCCACCATGATCTGTTGCCCACGCTTCATCATCACTCTCTACCTCCTCATCAACCCGAGCCCGTTTTGATTCCTTAGCTGCATTTTCAGATGTGTGCCGTTTTCTGGTGCGATGTAAAATGTCAGAGAGCTTGAGAGCTTGATTAGGCTGCAAGCAGTGGGCAATATGCCCAGAGAGCGATCTCTGCGTGGGGAAGGTCCTTCTACATGCAAGGCAAAGGTGCTCCATCTCGATTGGAGAAGCACAGGAGCAATACAATTGGAGAGGTGGGACAACAACTCAGGGAGAAGAGTCGTGATTCCGACTCGGAGTCAAGCATCTATTTCGGGCCAGATAAAAACAGATGACATCAATAAATGTGTCCTTCAAATGTATTTTATGCTTCTAATTGATCTCACTTTGACCTCGCGAGAGCGCAGGCCGTGAGGATTAGCCAGTAAGAGGGTTCTTCGCACGAGAGCAGCGAAGGACCCATGAAAATTGAGCGCTATAAATATATACAAAGCAATCGACGACAAGGCGAAAAGACTCAAAAAAACGAGACTAAACTGAAGAGTCGGAGAGAATTTGTGCGTGGTGAGTGCTATAAAGTGTTACAATTTGGAGGGAGTGTGATTAAGAAAATGGGATGCGAGATACTAAGGAGTGTGTGAGATGGGATCATAAGTAAAAGAATAAAGAATGACTCAGGGGTATGTAGAGGGTGCTAAGTATAGGCGCTAGCGTGAAAAACACGCAGTCTGTGTGCAATGGTGGCAAGAGGTACTGAGTGCTGGTGGGACATGGGAGAGTGCAGAGCGAGTAGGTGCAGTGGGCGGGACAATTTGGTCGTCCCTGTTCATCGCCACAGTACACATACAGAGCGAAGAATGGTTTCGCATGATAGTCTGGCTTTGATGGAGTACTTTTCAATGGAGGGAACTGCAACACGAGCTTGAAATCGATAGAGTTCTCGGAAGGAGGTTTCCACTTCAGTCTTAGAATTGAAATCAGCGTTGTCATCCAACCATGGCTAACAAAACTCACATATTTGGATCAGTACCTGTCGCATACGGCGTCTCCACGCAAGTATAGATGAGGCCATCGTTGCCATGGTGTAGTGCGGGAATGATTAACAGAGGCGTCTAACGGTATTGCAAATTTTGCTCACTTTTTTGGTGCGAGGGTCTACATCAATAACAAGCTCTCCATCGACGATAGTATCTCTCAATGGTTCCTTCCGCCGTTCGTGATGAGGAAACCAGAGTCGGAACCTCGTAATAATCATTGTGTCTGTCAATCTAGGTGACGTCAAGGGGTGTATGGAGGCAGTCTACTACTCACTCACGCTGTTGCAATTGTTGCAAACGTTCTGATGCAAAACTGATTGGCTAACTGCCAGGAAATCTAAGGATGAAGCAATGTGATGAGCTTCTCGACCCCGTATGTCAGCTTGTGTTAGGCACTATACCTCTCATGATCCAGGCGGCAAAGTTTTGCTACATGACTCTTCAGCCACCGTTCTTGGCCAGAGCGTGGCGGAATGACAACTCCTGGTAATGTTGGGATCTGTGGCATAAACGAGACAGAAATGAGGACAAATTTTGACTAGAAGTACGTTTAACTCTGAACCTTGCTTGAGGCCTAAGTTCAAGTGAGAACTTGAACGTTGAAAGGTCATGTGATGGTTGGCGTTCCCACTCTTTTGTCTTTGAACTTGAACCATAAACTACAATGGTCTGCAACCTGCAACCGTCTTCATCACTTCAAGTCCTTGAGGACGAGCGCTTGAGCTGTAGTGGCTGCCAGATCTGTGTGAGATCTGGTGTGCCCACAGCTCATCGCCCTTCAAGGTGTGTTCCATCATACCCGACTTTCCTTCCTATCTGACTCCATGTACTTCGAGTTCCATCCATCATACGCTGTTTCTAACACTGTGCAATTCCGGCCTCCCCATGCACACCACTTTCAGTAGCGTTCCACAGCCCCTTCAGCTGTATATGCAAAGAGGTATGTCTATTTTTTCCTGGCTTTCTTTTTTAGCCGTCTGCTTCGTTTACCACCATCATTTCTCCCAGCGATGATTCTACCACTCCCGCTTCTAATTATCCACCACAACTTCCTCAAGCACAACAACAACCCTCCTACTATACACCACCTGCCACATCCGCAAACCCCAGCACACCAACCTGCAGACTCGACACTCCAACAGACGAAGCCTACTCCATGAGCCCCGTGCTCGTGGTTGGCCATGTCCCATGGGGTCTCCAGATGATCCTTGCCATCTTGTCGCAGTCTCTCTCTTCCCTCTTCCTACCATGCTCAACCTTGGCCTCCTGCTGTGCATGCTGATCTCCTGTACCTTCCCGGCACTTCCCCATGCACTCTCGCGCTACTTAGCGGTTGTTACCTTGGCCGTTACCCATCACCGCAGGACCTACAGCTCCTCGACTCCGACTTACGGTACCTATCACAGCCCTTGATGACGTGTAGCGGTAATCTTATTCCTGTACTTTTCCGTTGATGATTGTATAATAATATTTCCAATACATCTTCATTTTTTTGACTAGTTGCAAATTGCAGCACAATGTGATGACTGATGAGCAGCGTGTGTCTGATATGTAACAGTGCGTAGCGCTGTAGCCAAGTTATTGGCACTGGTGTTTTCATTTGCTGCCTTGCGGATCAAGTACCTGCCATTTCACTCTGTAAGTTTATATTACAGCGTGAAGACCATTCATGTTGCTGATCACTTTCCGGTATCATTGTTCTCCCTTTGTATACATTTCATTCGCATCTCCTTGTCTCGGCATATGTACTATCTGAAAGGGCTGGCACCTATTGTCACTACTATTACACTGTTGTATCAAGCACAATACAATGTTCACATCCCATGGTTCTCAACAGCATTGCAGACCTCCAAAAGAATTCTGCTTTGCCTATCAACAGCCTCTCGAATCACATTCACAGCTTCAAGCATGACTGCTACATCGCCTGCAACCTTGGCCAATGCCAGTGATTCCTGACGGTCAACCTTGGATTCCCGTCCTAGCTTCCTGCGCTTCCACAGCACTTCCATAGCTGGCATTGATACTGCCCGTACATTGGTCAGGTCCTTGCCAAAGTTGCGTAGTGTCTACATGAAGTGTGAGCACGAAATTCAAAAGACTGACATTGACAAAACTAAACTGGGCTCACGCACATCATTTGAGTCAGATCTCTTTCGCTTTGGATGAGACAGTAACTTATCAGCATTTTCCGAGCCTTTGTCCTGACCCCGACTGGCTTCCGATTCCTATAGTTTGGACCGTCAGAATAACTAGGTATAATGAGCAGCAGATGACTTACCTGCTCCGGTAGTTTGTCTGAAGTCTCTAGGTCTGACTGTGAAGGTTGGGAGTGTTTCAACCCTTCACTTCTGCCATACTTATAATGTCCACAGGAATATGAGGGGGCCCCTTGCCCGTGTGATTGATATCCAACGCACTCATCTTTGTGGCTTTCTGGAGTGGCGCTCCTCGAGTCATCATCCTTTTGGCTTGTGCTGACATTGCTGAGAGCCTCAAACTCGAACTGAGCAGAGGGATGGTCGAACGACATGTTTCTTGGGTCCTCCAAAGTTCAACTGTACTAGCAGCGGTGGATTATGGGTATTTATCTTCTTGATATTGAATTGTATAACGTTGAACTCTGAACAGATCTCGTAAATCTGAAGTCTCCTGATCAAACAAGCTCTGCGGTGTCCGTATGGGCCTGTTGACTAAACTTTGGGACCAGACTTATCACTAGCGACTGGTTACTCCACACTTTTGTACGTCAAGATGATGATCCAGATTATTTTATTACTCTAGTTCTAACCTAGCTTCAGGAACACCGTTGGGGGTACTGGCCTGGGCCAAGTTGCTCCCAAAGTATTACTATTTACAGGGACTTTGAGTCAGGCTATACTTCCGCAGTAGTCGGTCATATGTCTTGGATGCTCTATAATCCAAGCTATCCCTTTCCTGAGCTATATGACACCATTGAAGGAATGGCAATCTTGCATTGGGCAACGAGTGAGCCACACACTTGAGTTTGAGTTTCTTCCCCTTCCATTCATGCCACATCACAAAGTTTCTGGCCTGCCAGCCAAATCACCAGCAATGTTATCGGATTCAGAGAGCGATTCCACATCCCAGTCAGCCTCTAGTATATCAGATGGAACTGCCTTATCATCTCCAATTCCAAACTCTAAGGCTATGTTCAAAAAGGGCACCAAGAAGTGCATCAAGTAAGCATACTATGACGCTTAGGCTTTACAATCACACAAGGAAACTGACCTGATCCATTGAACTGATAGGGTGGCGGTAAATAAGAAAAGGTACACCAACTTCATACTCAATAGTACAATGCCGCATTATAGCTCACCTTATACAATAGAAAAGGCAATGTTGCTCCATGGGAACAGTGCTTGCAATTTGCACGTTGGATTCCTCGGGCTGTTGACATGTTCTGCATCCTGAACGATACATTCCGCATTGCCATGTTGATGGAAGAGGACCAGGCTGCCCAGGCGTCAGATAAACCAGAGGATGAATCGGTCAAGGCGCAGAGGAAGGAAGTCTTGTCTCTGATGTAAGCGCTTCATTTTGTTTCATTGTCTTCAGCTGCTAGATAACGTTGCCTTTACAGATGCGAAGATTCCCAAGAACGGCATATGAGGAACTTTACAAAGATCTTAGCAGGAGCACCATACCTGCGCAAACTTGCATACGGAAGCGTCAAACAACATTCCAAGCTACTGGATGTCCTGACTGAGGTTAGCCTTTACATAAATGCACTTCACCTAACGTTTGAGCTCCAAGAACTTGAAGATGCAGGGCATTATGAGTCAGGTACGGTCAGATGATACCAGTCACCTGAAAACTTGCATTGGACAGTATGCCGCCCCAAGGCCTACAGATGAGGGGCTGAGCCCTACAATTTTTACTGACAACAAATCTCGTGCTAAACTTGGCGTTAATCACCCCCAACTTGCAGCACTACTGTGTCCTATCAAGCATGTCAAAGCATTTCATGAAGATCCAAAAAAGTACATGTGCATTCTTCAAAATACCCAACCATCTCATCGGTGACTTTTAGAGTACAAGCCCAACTACAGAATGCAGTGATCAAGATGCAGACGGCTGCATGGCCTGCATTTGCATATGCAGGTGATCCACCCGGCACAGATTTTGACCCAGACAATGTTCAAGAAGGATTTTTACAAGGTTATTATTTGAAGCGCATGAGTATCTCCTCTTCTCTTGTCAGTAAAGTCTCATGTATCTAGGTTTTCTGTCACATATTCACTTCCCCATCATCTGCGCTCCTCCCTGATGGAGATGCGAACACGATCCACTCAGGTAATGCCAAATTACATGGCATGGAGAAGGTCGAGGCTGAGCATATCGCATATGCATTCATCCAGGTGCGTGCTGCAATAGAATTTATTTATACCACTATCTAACAGATGTTGTAGAGTCGCTTCAGTATTGCCACGCGTGATAAATGGGTAGAGACTGACGGCATGTATTGCTATCCTGAGGCATATACCCGACTCATCAAAGCAATCCGAGATGCACCAGATCAAATGTGGGCAGCGTCGCTGCTTGAATGGTGGAACAAGTTGAGTATCCTTGCTCCATCTTACATTGATCTGGTGTGCTAATTCTATCAAGGGTGGTTTTTGGTCACAAGAGGGGCCTGGTCGCTGTTGATTTGAGTGATGATGATGTTGACGACGACGACGACCTTGCCTTGATGCAGAAACAGCATGACATGCGTATGGCAACTGCACGTCATATGGTGTGTTGAATACATTACTCTACAACATTCTTAACTAACTAGCTTCAATGCCCAGACAATATCGCCTGCCAGTGAGGCTGCTGCTGCTGCTGAGCTAACTGACCCCACTACACAGCAACCCCAGGCTGCCAGCGCACCAGCCCCACCAGCTGGGTCTCTGCCATCACCTGTTCCTAGTATGACACCCAACTTCCCATCTACAGCCTCAGAAATGGGGTCCGGCAAGCGAAGGCTGGACAGAATTGGAGATGACAGTCCTCTCACTGAAGATGAGACAGACTCGGAGGTGCCTGCTCTGAGTCCACCCAAACGTGCCAGGAATGTCGGTAAGACTACTACTGCCTCCAAGAAGACTCGCAGCTTGAAGAGCAGAAAGTAATTCTCATTCATGGGTGCGTTCTCTGAGTCTTATTAAACAACATTTCTGCTTTAGACTGATGCGCTCCTTAGTAGGGTTCATGTGCACCATTTTTTCCTAGGCAGTGCCGTATATGCCTTTGATCTCCTCATTTGAAGTTTTTGTATCATTCATACGTTCAGCCCCCATCTTGATTCTGTATTTCATACTTTCGGCTGCCATGTATCCACGCTCAGAAACTGTACTATCAGAATGATATGTGTTTATATTTTATGATTGGTCTGATCACGCGTCAGCAGAATATCAGAGCATAAACAGCATATGATCACACATTCAGCGGTCTGACTGTAGTAGTTGCAACATTGAGCACTGAGCGGCAAACTACTTGTATGATGTCACAATATCTGAATGAAAGCAGTATGGCAGGAGTCCGGGACTTAGATGCAGCCAGCATATGACAGGATGTCTGGCAGATAACTGGTATTGAGCATTAAAACCAGTCTCACGATCTTACAATGTCTAGATGACAACAGCTTGGCAGGACTTAGATAGTACAACCAGCATATGATAAGATACTTGGCAGTATGACAGCGCAATGAACGTCAAGTGAGCTTTCGGAGATGTCAATATCTTGATGATTTTGAGCTGTTGGTACCTGACCAACCGGATGCACCTGTTCCTTGGTGCTGCAACTAGCGCTTGCCTGCGCTTTACATATCTAAGTAGATCTATATTTGGGACTTTTGGTGATGCTAACTCAGCATACTCTGAAAGATCAAATGATGCCTGCAGGAAGGAAACGCTGGTTCTCCCTCAGGGGATGATAGTACCGCAGCCAGCCAAAACCGATTTACTTGGTCACCAATTAGTACAAGATCTATGCGACAAAATATCTCTTGTCGACTGATGTGGCCGAGATGTTGTATCAACCACGACAACTTGAAGCAGAGTGAGCGCCTACTAATACAGAAAATGGCAGAAAGAAGCGCTGAACGCGCAACCTGTATGCGGGACACCACGTGTCTACAGCATTGCTAACATGTGGATTCAGCGATAGTAAGTATCCTGTAGAAGATGCAATTTAGCGACTACTCACCATAGCACATGTAAGTGACTGCTCCCTCCTCAATCTTCTCGCTGACCGAGTTGCTGAACAAGATTCAATGGCGGCAACCACTCATGGAACATCGTCAACTCGAAAGGAACCACCTCATGTCGAAATGACGCTCAAGGGCCATGAAGAATGCGTGAACGGTGTAGCTTTCATCCCTTGTACAGGTCTCCTCGTCACTTGCTCTGACGACAAAAGTCTTCGGGTGTGGGATTTGGACACCGGGAAACAGGTGGGGGAGCCCTTGTTTGGTCACGGTCATGGAGTCGAGACGGTTGCAGCATCCTCCGATGGGTGTTGGATTGTGAGTGGAGCAGTGGACGGAAGCATCCTGGTCTGGGAAGTTGAGACAAACAAGCTCAAGAGAGTGCCAGTCTCGTTCAAGGGGCATGCGAGTTATATTTGGGGCGTCGTATTTGCACCGGACAACGAGACGTTTGCAAGTGCGTCATGGGATGAAACAGTATGCGTGTGGGAGAGGAAGACGGGCAAAATTGTCCTTGGACCACTCCAAGTGGGCAGCTGGGCAAACTCGGTGGCATACTCCCCCGATGCTAGCAAACTGGCAGCAGGCACGCAAAAACACATCATCGTTTGGAATTTAGCAAATGGGGAAGAACTACTCAAAATAGAACAGCGGGCTTGGCGAGTCGCATTCACTCCAGATGGTCTCCGCCTTGTCAGTGGAAATTACAAAGACATCCGAATCTCAGATGCTGCCACTGGAGACATCATCAAACAGTTTGACCCGCACACCAATGAGTTTCTCTCACTAGCCATTGCTCCCAATGGCACCAAATTCGCCACTACATCGTACGACAAAACGACGCGGTTCTTTGACCTGACCACATTCAAACCCATCGGCGAGCCACTCGAGCACCCTGATGCCGTCTCGAGTGTAGCCTTTTCCGAGGACAGCCAGCTTATCGCGACTGGCTGTAACGACAACCTCGTTCGCACATGGACAGTTCCTCAGAGTGAATCAGAGCAGGCGAGCAAATTATCTCATGTCCTGCTTCATGCTGACCTGGCATACAATCTGCACAGAAAATTCTTAAAGTACACTCCCCCGCTCCTCGTTATGTACTATCTCTAACTTCAGTCTTGCAGAAGACCATCCCAGGCTCAAAGCATCGTCCACAACACACTAGAATCCCGCCTAGGTTCTTCAATGATGTAAGTCCATACGGTACGGTAGTCTCAATGCACATCTCACCATCCGTTTGTAGTTTGATTCGCATTCCCCACCTGGACGCAACAACGGCACTACTACAACCTCGCGCCATGCCGAAGGCTCACGGATGACAAACACTATGAACCGTCTCTTTTCTCGCTCCTCCGCTTCTCAGGGTGAAACTCCCCTCCCCAGCAGGATCCCCACTGTGGATGTCTTCGCAACTCGAGGCAAATACGTAAGTTTGCCGAGCTGTGTCAATCCATGATCCCGTTTTCATGACATCCCCGCAGCGTACCGCTAATGCCATCAGCGGGAAACGGCATGTGGTGCAACGGCCACGTCCCCCTCCTCAACCAGTCCATACTCCTAACACTGGTGTAGCGAATGCTGGTGCTTCAAGCAGCAGCGCGCCCCCATTGAGCACATCCAATGTGACCGACGGAACTACCCCAGCAACCTTGCAGACTGGAAGTACCAGTGCTTCTGCTGCAACCAACAGACCCCCTTCTCCGATGGACGTTGAATATCTTCCAGACGTTAGCTGCTTTTCAGTTCTCATAAGGTGCTTCCCGTGTCTTTCACGCTCTTAGCAAACAAGTACTGTTTTCTCCACCCGCTAAGCGGTCACCCCCTTCAGAACCTTTTCACTGGAATAGAGATTACCACTGCGTGTATTTGAAGATATTTTGCTCCTGATAGACGCTGCCATCATACATAGCATTCATTGAAATTCAGATACCAGTCATGACTTTCTCAACGGCTTTGTGAAATGATGAGCCTGTACCTTACTTTGTCCCAATGGTGTCACATCGCTCGGATGGTCAACCTAGTATATTGACAAGCCATCTATAGACTGGTACATTGCATATCCTGATTTCATATCCACAGCGCAAGCATAAAGTACTCAAAAGTCAAACACCGCGTACGCGGAGAGCAGCACGCAGACCACAATGCAGACAGATGGGTGTGCCGTAGCATTCCACGCACCCACAGAGCCACGGGTAACCCAGGACCAAATCCACCGGCCGCAGCAAACATGGGAAGTCAAGAAGAATAAGCGGCTTGCGGCGCAGAGACTGCACGTCAGACGGGATGTACCCGAGAGCATCATGTGTACGGTAGAAACTAGAATCGAAGCGGCTTGGCGTCCTTGTACCTCCGGTGTAGATGCTTCCGTCCTGGAAACAGTGATAAGCAGGCACAACTGAGAGCTAAGGACATGGAAAGCACCTGTTAAGGAACGAAGTTCCACTGGATGATATCTCCTCCTGACCAAGGTTCTGGTAGAAGAACATCGGGTTGTCTGGGGCGGGCCATGGGAAATCGACATTCTTGCGAAGACGCTCGGGAGCAGTGACGCCGTTCTGCAGTGTGCCCTCATAGAACATATTCGAGGGGAATTCAAACAGGCAAGGGTGCATACGGTACTGGACTTGCAGACGAATGGGTCTGTTGCCAAGTACAACCAGACGTTCGAAAAGTGATTGTGTCAGTCCAGCGCGTGCCGCTTTCTTGTTCATGATTACCGGACTAAGCTGCTGGTGATCGCTGACAAGAGGGATCATACACTCTGCATCAGGGTCAGTCGAGGCACAACCTATCAAGGAATAAAAGCGCACCCGGGTCAGCAGCTTGCGTAGTTTCGTCGATCAAAACTGTCCTGAACTTGAGCTTGTTGAGCCGAGGATTACCAGCACCAACACATGGCAGCACCCAAAATCTCCTTCTCGCACTGCCTGACGACGTTTTGTACTTCCTTTCATCATTGGAGCTCAATTCTCCCGGTTCGTTCTTCATCATGATCAACTTCTGCAACTCCACGTGAGTTGTATTCAAGGGTTTGTTGCAATTAAGTATTGCGCGGATGAAGGATCTCGCTAGAAAATTACATGCCTATCAGTCTATATTCAGCTAGGGGGGTGAAAGTAACGCGTCCTCCGAACGCAGAAGCATAAGCAACCTTTGCAGATATGTCGAGCCGTAGGTCGATGCCCATTGCAGCATCGGGCGTTGAAGGATTTGCGAAGGTTATATAGGTGATCATCAATTGGAATTTGAGTAGAAGATAGGGCTGGCGGAACGTTGGCGAGATGACGGGAACAGCAACGCGATAAAATCTAAAACGAATCTTGGCTCTGCACCACTGGCACGAGCGAAACAAGCTGTCATGCAACGTTGAGGGATATGGAGCTGATGGCAGTGATGGCATCAGTGTATCAAATAGCATGCAAGCGGCTGTTACCGATTCAAAGCTTGGAAACGCTCTTTTGGAAAGTTGTGCAGGGCTAAACTAATCTCATAGACGATTAAAGCAAGAGTTCCGCACAAGGTCTGCAACACTTAAGCCAGCAACCTTTAGATTTCGCGTGGGCTGAAGAACGACCAAGGGAACAGAAAAAGGCTCGAAATGTCTGATGTGGTTGACTTAGTTGATATTCGAGGGAGAAACACGGGAGGAAAGTGTCACCTTGGGTTAGTTCCCCGTAGGCAGACCTAATAGAAGGAAGACAGGAGTCGTTCCTTCTGTATTCGGCCTTGCGTTATGGCGGGAATTGAAATGGTGCTGGTGCGTCGGCCAGATTTGAACCGACGGCTGGCAAAGATTGTGCTTGGATATCAGTATTCGGTTTGATTCTAGACAGTCAAGGGATTGAGTTCATACATTTCACAAGGATTCAATAGTTTTTCTCAACAACCGCGGTGGTCGCATGGGCGGTCATGCCATCAGGACTTGGTGAGCTCGGTGATATCCTGGGATACAAGTTATACACAGGCGCACGTAGCTCATCGATCGACCGTCGATAGGGCACATATGATGACCTGGAGCCTCGTCCAGGAACGATCTCATGTCTTGCGTGTTTGAGGCCACCAACAAAAAATTGGAGTTTCTGGTTGCCACTTTGTCAGCTTTGAGACTTTCTCTGACAGCTGACAGCTGTGAACGTGTAGGCTACGCACAAGCAAATGGAAGTTCTCTATCAATGTTCGGTTCAGCTCTTGTTGATAGATCTGCACTCAGACTCCACGGAGAGTACTTTTCACCGCTCCAGAATATCCAATTGCAGGTCTCTCAGCTCCTGCATCAAGGGGTCGGCGCAACACTTCTGCGGAGGATCTGTCGAACTCCAAGACCCGTTGCCTGACTGTAAACGTTAACTATCGCAGATCATGATCACAGCCTCCCAAAAGACCTTGTGTCCGTCAGACCTACGCTCAAACCCCACAGGAACTACTTACAATTCATTTTCGAAACTCGACAGAGACGTCCACGTTCATAGTACTCCTGGCACTCAGGAGCCTGGGCCCATTCGGAGAGTTAGTCATGTATATCCAGATAACATTTTCATCGTAATCCGTGAGCTTGCGAGGTGCGAACTGGGTGACAGGCGGAATAAATTAACGTGTGCTATAGTCAGGAAAAGCCATGTACTAGTAATCGAGCGCACTGAGGGTAGTTGTTAGACTCTTACAGTGACACGATGCCAGCTGGGACAAAAAACTGGTTCTTCCTGAGGCTGAGGTTATGATATTTATACCGCCACCAACCAATATGAACCCATTGATTCATTGCATCCATGTAGTCACCTATCAGTACAATGCGAGAAGTTCAAGAGATTGATGGGCCGAGAAATTGTATCAGCCACGACTTACACTTACAGTAAAAACGGTCGCGGCGCCTACTACAAGCGCTGAAAATATCGTTAACACGCGGACACCACGTGCGTACAGTACTGTCAGTGTACAGCAAGGTTGACATTTGGATTCAGCAATAATAGTATCCTGTAGGAGATGCAACTTAGCGACCACTCACCATAGCGCATGTAAGTGACTGCTCCCTCCTCAATGCTTTTGCTGACCGAGTTGCTGAAAAAGATCCAATGGCGGCAACTCGAAAGGAACTACCTCATGTCGAAATGACGCTCAAGGGTCATGAAGCCTGGGTGAACGGCGTAGCTTTCATCCCTGGTGCAGGTCTCCTCGTCACTTGCTCTGACGACAAAAGTCTTCGGGTGTGGGATTTGGACACGGGGAAACAGGTGGGGGAGCCCTTGTTGGGTCACGATGATGAAGTTTGGACAGTTGCAGCATCCTCCGACGGGTGTTGGATTGTGAGTGGAGCAATACACGGAAGCATCCTGGTCTGGGAAGTTGAGACAAACAAGAGAGTGCCAGTCTCGTTCAAGGGGCATATGAGTTATATTGAGGGCGTCGTATTTGCACCGGACAACGAGACATTTGCAAGTGCGTCATGGGACAAAACAGTATGCGCGTGGAATAGGAAGACGGGCAAAATTGTCTTCGGACCACTCCAAGTGAGCAGTGGGGCATACTCGGTGGCATTCTCCCCCAATGGAAGCAAACTAGCAGCAGGCACGGACGAACACATCATCGTTTGGAATTCAGCAAATGGAGAAGAACTACTCAAAATATATCAGCGAGCTTGGCGAGTCGCATTCACTCCAGATGGTCTCCATCTCGTAAGTGGAAATTACAAAGATATCCGAATCTCAGATACTGCCACTGGAGACATCATCAAACAGTTTGACGCGCACACCGATACCTTTTGGTCACTAGCCATTGCTCCTAATAGTTCCAATTTCGCCACCACATCCCTCGACAAAACCACACGGTTCTTCGACCTGACCACATTCGAACCCATCGGGGAGCCACTCGAGCACCCTCATGCCGTCCGTTGTGTAGCCTTTTCCGAGGACAGCCAGCTCATCGCTACTGGCTGTGACGACAACCTCGTTCGCACATGGACAGTTCCTCAGAGTCAATCAGAGCAGGCGAGCAAATTATCTCCTTATGTTATGCTTCATGCTGACCTGTCATACAATCCGCACAGGAAATTCTTAAAGTACGCTCCCTTTCTCCTCGTTATGTACTATCCCTAACTTCAGTCTTGCAGAAGACCATCCCAGGCTCAAAGCCTCGCCCACAACGCACTGGGATTCCGCCTAGGTTCTTCAATGATGTAAGTCTATATCGTACGGTAGTCTCAATGCACATCCCACCATCCGTTTGTAGTTTGATACGCATTCCCCACCTGGACGCAACAACGGCACTACTACAACCACGCGCCATGCCGAAGGCTCACGAATGAAAAACATTATGAACCGTCTCTTTTCTCGCTCCTCCGCTCCTCAGGGTGATACTCCCCTCCCCAGCAAAATCCCCGCTGTGGATGTCTTCGCAACTCGAGGCAAATACGTGAGTTTCCCGAGCTGTGGCAATCTATGATACCCTTTTGACGCCATCCCCGCAGCGCACCGCTAATGCCATCAGCGGGAAAAGGCATGTGGTGCAGCGACCACATCCCCCTCCCCAACCAGCCCACACTTCCAACATTTGTGTAGCGAATGCTGGTGCTTCAAGCAGCAGCGCGCCCCCAGTGGGCACATCCAATGTGATCGATGGAACTACCTTAGCAACCTTGCAGACTGGAAGTACGAGTGCTTCTGCTGCAACCAACAGACCCCCTTCCCCGATGGACGTTGAATATATTCCAGACGTTAGTTGCTTTTCAGTTCTCATGAGGTGCTTCCCGCGTCTTTCCCGCACTCCATAGACATGTCCTGCTGCTTCCCGCACCTGCTAAGCGGTCACTCCCTTCAGACCCTTTTCGTTGTAATAGAGAGAAGTTTCTACTGCATGTATTCGAAGATCCATATGTTGCTCTTGATAAACGCCTGCCATCATACGTAGCAACGTTCATTGAAGTTTAGATACCAGTCATGACCTTCTCAACGGCCTTGTGAAATGATGAGTATATGTGTTGCTTCGCCGTGATATCACATAGCTCGAATGATCACTCTAGTGTATTAACAAAACATTTACAGACTGGCACATAGTACAAGAAACATGGTACATTGCATATCCTGACCTCACGTCCCCAGCATAAGCAAGTCAAACACTGTGTCCACGGAAAGCATCATGCATGCCACAATGCAGGCATTCCATGTTGAATCCCAGTCGTTCGATGCAATATACAAGAAGTTGAGCGAGACCTGCATCTTCGAATGACTTGGCGGGAGGGTATCTTTTCCAAAGTAAGCCGTGCCGACTTGTAGATTCGCGGTTGGATCCCGAACTTCTGCAGAGATGTAGTTGAATGTAAGGGAAATGATATTAGCGGTTGTATCAACTTGTATCAACTGCGTTTACCGGAAGGGAGAAATTGGTTGGGAATCGAGAGAATTTAGTGGGAATCGACAAACCAAGTGCTCGAGGGATGGTGATTGCGAGTATAGTGCCGACGCTACAGAAGCTTTCAATATATTTTTGCTCGGGAGGACGAGTGTGATTTACATGGCGCACAACCCGAATAGGAAGAAGGCCAGGTACTTTTTGGTGAACCACTTTCCGCACAAACCCGTCTACCCGCGATGCTAGGTTTCCACTTCTCCTGCCGCTTCTCACTCTTAATCTCTTGTCGACCCGACTTAGTCAGAGTTTTCATCCCAGATAACTGCCATTCTGGACCAAGTGCAGGCGCCGTAATTAGTTCCACTAGTGCGTGAGCACTGTCGGCATTGGCCATTGTGTTGGCACGAGGCGGAGGGATAGGTGAGCGAAGCTGATGACGACCACATATCGGTTAGCACGGTAGGATATGTCAGCTCTTCCATATACATACACGGCTTCCTGATTCATGCCTCCTGTAACGCTTCCTTAACAGCCTGCAAGACATCAGTCATATCCAAAAGCTTCACAACAGACTTACGTGAATATGTAACTATGTCTGGGATAATAACGCAAGGTCGAAAGCCATGTTCGACGGCGTGCAGACGAACTCTTCACCGAGATTCATGTTGGCGAGATGATAGACGATAGAAGTTGAAGTTACTGTTTTTCCGGTACCAGGAGGGCCCTGGATCAGATTAGTGGGCTTCTCCAAAACACTCTCGATGGCATACATTTGAGAGCGTTTGAGTTCGAGAAGGCCTGGCGCAGAGAAACACTTGAGCATCTGCGTGCGCAGAAAAAATTCACTTGGTCACCTATTAGTAACACTGTCAATGCAATAAGATATCTCTGTCGAGTGAGGTGGGCGAGAGATTGTATCAGCCACGACATGTCGAAGCACAATAAGCGACCACGGCCCACGGCGCCTACTACAGAAAACTGTTGAAAGAAGCGCTGAACGAGGAACCACATTTAGATCCAGCAATAGTATCATGTAGAAGATGTAACTTGTCGACCACTCACCATAGCACATGTAAGTGACTGCTCCCTCCTCGATGCTCTTGCTGACTGAGTCGCTGAACAAGATTCAATGGCGACTACCACTCACGGAGCACCGTCGACTCAAAAGGAACCACCTCACGTCGAAATGACACTGAAGGGTCATGAAGGTGGGATGGAGGGCGTAGCTTTCATCCCTGGTACATGTCTCCTCGTCACTTGCTCTTGGGACAAAAGTCTTCGGGTGTGGGATTTGGACACGGGGAAACCAGTGGGGGAGCCCTTGTTGGGTCACGATGTTAGTGTCCGGACGGTTGCAGCATCCTCTGACGGATGTTGGATTGTGAGTGGAGCAGTGGACGGAAGCATCCTGGTCTGGGAAGTTGAGACAAACAAGAGAGTGCCAGTCTCGTTCAAGGGGCATAAGAGTTATATTTTGGGCGTCGTATTTGCACCGGACACCGAAAAATTTGCAAGTGCGTCAGGGGACAAAACAGTATGCGTGTGGAAGAGGAAGACGGGCCAAATTGTCCTAGGACCACTCCGAGTGGGCAGCCAGGCAAACTCGGTGGCATACTCCCCCGATGGGAGCAAACTAGCAGCAGGCACCCACAAACACATCATCGTTTGGAATTCAGAAAATGGAGAAGAACTACTCAAAATAGAACAGCCGGCTTGGCGAGTCGCCTTCACTCCAGATGGTCTCCGTCTCGTCAGTGGAAATATCAACGACATCCGAATCTCAGATGCTGCCACTGGAGACATCATCAAACAATTTGACGCGCACACCGAATCCTTTCTCTCACTAGCCATTGCTCCCAATGGCACCAAATTCGCCACCACATCCCCAGACAAAACAACGCGGTTCTTTGACCTGACCACATTCGAACCCATCGGCGAGCCACTCGAGCACCTTGATGCCGTCCGTTGTGTAGCCTTTTCCGAGGACAGCCAGCTCATCGCCACTGGCTGTGATGACGATCTCATTCGCACATGGACAGTTCCTCAGAGCGAATCAGAGCAGGCGAGCAAATTATCTCATGTCCTGCTTCATGCTGACTTGTCATATAGTCTGAACAGAAAATTCTCAAAGTACGCTCCCTTTCTCCTCGTTATGTACTATCCTTAACTTCAGTCTTGCAGAAGACCATCCCAGGCCAAAAGCCTCACCCACAACGCACTAGAATCCCGCCTAGGTTCTTCAATGATGTAAGTCCTCATGGCATGGGGTAGTCTCAATGCACATCTCATCATCCTTCTGCAGTTTGATACACATTCCCCACCTGGACGCAACAACGGCACTACTATAACCACGCGCCATGCCGAAGGCTCACGAATGAAAAACATGATGAATCGTCTCTTTTCTCGCTCCTCCGCTCTTCAGGGTGATACTCCCCTTCCCAGCGGGATTCCCACTGTGGATGTCTTCGCAACTCGGGGCAAATACGTAAGTTTCCCGAGCTGCGGCAATCCATGATCCCGTTTTCATGATATTCCCGCAGCGCACCGCAAATGCCATCAGCGGGAAACGGCATGTGGTGCAGCGACCACGTCCCCCTCCCCAACCAGCCCACACTTCCAACGCTGGCGTAGCGAATGCTGGTGCTTCAAGCAGCAGCGCACCCCCATTGGGTACATCCAATGTGACAGATGGAACTACCCCAGCAATCTTGCAGACTGGAAGTACGAGTGCTTCTGCTGCAACGAACAGACCCCCTTCCCCGCTGGATGTTGAATATGTTCCAGACATTAGCTGCTGTGCGCTTCTAGCAAGGTTCTTCCCGTGTGTTTCACGCACTCAACAAGCAAGTACTGCTACTTCCCGCACCTGCTAAGCGGGCACCCCCTTCAGAACCTTTTCGCTGGCAATAGAGATTACTACTGCACGTATTTGAAGATACTTTGCTCCTGATAGATACCTATCATCACATGTAGCATTCATTGAAGTTCCGATACCAGTCATGACTTTCTCAACGGCTTTGTGAAATGATGAGCCTATACTTTACTTCGTCCCCACGGTGTCACGTCGCTCGGATGGTCAACCTAGCATATTGACAAGCCATCTATAGACTGGTACATTGCATGTCCTGATTTCATATCCCCAGCATAAGCATAAAGTACTCAAAAGTCAAACACCGCGTACGCGGAGAGCAGCACGCAGACCACAATGCAGACAGACGGGTGTGCCGTAGCATTCGCGCACGCGACGACGAGACTGTCGCACGACAACCGCCGGTTCTCGCTGTGAAGAAAAGGAATAACCTGAAGATACCGACAGGCTGCCAAGATGCGACAAGAAGTGCAAGGGAGCTGGCTTGGCTGGCCGCGGCGTCACCAGCCACGAACCAATCCCACACATACCAGCTCACACAGCCGTACAGAGTGCGCGCATAGAATCCGCGGCAGCGGAATAGCTCGCGTCATCTAGAACACCGTCAAGCCTGATTGCGTCCCCGCATACTGGCTCTTCACGTCGTCGGTGTCTGTCGTGCCATCCTGGCTCTTGTAGTCGTACCCGCTCATGCTGGCCATGTCAGAAGCACCGGCAGCAGAGGAGAAGGAACCACGCCTCTGTAAGCGGTCTGACTGCGAGAACGCCATGGCAGAACCGCCGATGCTTGCGGTGCTTGGCGGTCCAGCATCCTGGGAGATGATGGAGCTGGCGTAGCTACCGTACGCGCTGCGCTTCCCCACACCCCCAGAGCCACGGGGTAGCCCAGGACCAAATCCACCAGCCGCGGCAAACATGGGAAGTCCAGAAGAATAGGTGGCTTGCGAGCGCAGAGACTGCACGTCAGACGGGATGTACCCGAGAGCATCATGTGTGCGGTAGAAACTAGAATCAAAGCGACTTGGCGTGCCTGATCTGCCTGCACCTCCGGTATTGGGGATGAAGTCCCGTGCGTTTGTCTCGTGGCGGCGGAATTGATCCATGGACTTGACGAGGGAGCGGCGAGGTTTGCTGAATTGAATCATGCTCGGCTGTAAGTTGTTCAGCGGACCCTCGACAAGGGTGTTATTCTCCTTGTAGTGCGTAAGAAGATAATGCCACAGCGGGTGCTGTATGAATCGGTCAGCGAACAGTAAGATCGTCCACCAAAGGGACTCGCCTTGCTGAGAACCTTTGGATTTCCAAGGATGACGACTCCATACTTTGCACGAGTCAAAGCCACGTTAAGACGACGAGGGTCATTCAAGAAACCGATGCCCTGGTGTTCGTTACTTCTGACGCAGCTCAGAATGATGTAGTCCTTCTCTCGTCCCTGGAAGGCGTCGACGCTAGCCACTTCAATATCTTTATACAAGTCTTTCTTGAGAGACCCGTTGAACTGCATATAGTTGACGATATAGGAGCGTTGACCCTCGTAGGGTGTGACAACACCAATTTGGCTGGGCATCACGCCCGCCTTGAAGAACTTTGTCACAATTTTCTCGACGTTAGATGCTTCGGTCCTGGAAACAGTGATAAGTAGGTGCAACTGAAAGGTAAGGACACGGAAAGTACCTGTTAAGGAACGAAGTTCCACTGGATGATATCTCTTCCTGACCAAGGTTCTGGTAAAAGAACATCGGGGTGTCTGGGGCGGGCCATGGGAAATCGACATTCTTGCGAAGACGCTCGGGAGCAGTGACACCGTTCTGCAGTGTGCCCTCATAGAACATATTCGAGGGGAATTCAGATAGGCAAGGGTGCATACGGTACTGGACTTGCAGACGAATGGGTCTGTTGCCAAGTACAACCAGACGTTCGAAAAGTGATTGTGTCAGACCAGCGCGTGCCGCTTTCTTGTTCATGATTACCGGACCAAGCTGCTGGTGATCGCCGACAAGAACAACCTGCTTACAGCCAAGCACCAGAGGGATCATACACTCTGCTTCAGGGTCAGTCGAGGAACAACCTATCAAGGAATAAAAGCGCACCCGGCTCAGCAGCTTGCGTAGCTTCGTCGATCAAAACCGTCCTGAACTTGAGCTTGTTGAGGCGAGGATCACCAGCACCCACGCATGTGCAGCAGATAACATCCGCAGCACCCAAAATCTCCTTCTCGCACTGCCTGATCAACGTCTTGTACTTCCTCTCATCGTTGGAACTCAATTCTCCCTGTTCGTTCTTCAGCATGATCAGCTTCTGCAACTCCACGTGAGTTGTACTATTTGCGACTTGTTGGTGCAGAGTCAAGAAGGCGACGCTAGAGTCTAGGGCTTCGCGGGATTTGGCAGTCAGACGCACGACCTTCAAACCAGTGGCATGTATCTTCTCAGTGAGCTGATCGACGGCCACGTTCGATGGCGCGCAGACGAGAACTTGACCGGGATTCATCTTGGCGAGATGATAAACGATCGAAGCAGAAGTTACGGTCTTTCCAGTACCAGGAGGGCCCTGGATCAAACTAATGGGCTTCTGCAGAACACTCTTGACTGCGTACATTTGAGAGTGATTGAGCTCGGGAAGACCTGGCGCAGAGAAACGCTTGGGCATCTGCGTGCGTAGAACCTGGGGCGCTAGATCATGTCCGAGAAGCTTGTGATACTGACGAGGGGTTTAATTACTTCAAGAAGATATAGAGGAATAGACGTACGATGTAACCATTAACACTCTTCTCATCGACTGCGAAGGTCTTCATCGCCAACTGCATCCTATCAAAGCTGGTGGACTTCCACACAAAATCCGCCGCAAAGTTATGCGTGCAATCGGTAGGCACGCCTTCAGTGCGTCGCAATTCAAGCCCAATTTCGTCAGAAATGTCTAAGAAATGATGATGAGCGCGACAACTTCTATCGAGAGACAAAGCTTACTGTTCGGAATTTTAATGACATGCCCCACCCCATCCCAAGCTTTGTGCAACTCCCCCTGATATCTCAACCGCAATTCATCACCGACCGCAAGTCTGACTTCACCACTCTCAAGCTTGGGCAAGCCAAACCACGCCACTCTCTTCTGGTTGAGACCAACGTCCCATCGGACAGTGATATCAGTTTGAGTCTGACTCTCTTTCAAGCGCTTGTCATAATCAGCCTCGATCTTGACCAGAGGACCGAAAATATTCTGGTACTGATATGCGTCCTCGTAGTGCAGAAGGATAGGCTGTGGTTCGTCATCGACACCAGGTTTCTCGAGGTCCTCCAGAGTGGCGTTGGCGTTTTCGCGCCAGAGATCTTCCAAGCGGTTGATCTGGTTGAAGGATATCTGACGAGATCGAAGTTGTTCGGTTTCGGTGGGAGGCTTCACGAGCCATGAAAGGAAAGACCTGTCATCGATCAACGGTGCCCATAGGGCGGCATTCCAAGACATGTCCTTGCTGACCGTCGCACAAGGCTGGCTGCATATATGTCATGAATATAAGTTTCGGTACTAACCCACCACAGACTTACCGACACAAAAGGATTACGACAGTGTCACTCTTTGCGGGGATGAATCCCAGCATAAACACATTCTTGCTACCACAATTATAACATTCAGGAGTTGTTTCCCCAAGGGGGCTCTCGGCATGCAAAATAACCTCCTTATGCTTTGCGCGCACTAGATGGTTCACGATATGTGAAGCGGAAGTGTTGCCGCGCGAGTTGCAGAACCATTTAGCGCACACAAGGCACTTCACAACGGAGGCTGGCGAGTGGATTCCGCAATAGCTAGGCGGAACCGATGCGGAGTGAGTCATGTCCCATGAAGAATACGTATAAAACTTACCTGCAAGCATGGGGAGGGAGATCCATAGTACCCTCGTCTTTTAGGTCATCAAGAACAGCATAAAAGTCTTCATCTACGCCGGTTCTCTGCGTGTGATGGTGGCGCCCTTCGTGTCCATTGGATGTTTGAGAACGATCGTCTACGATGGAGAGGCTTTCCAGGTCAACTGGCGTTCCAGTGTTTGTCGTTGCAGTATAGACAGAGGAGTTATCATCTACAACGCTGATAGCGCCGCCGTACGATGAAGCGGAATCTGCATATTGAAAGTTGTCGAAGCTGTCCATCATGGTTTGCAGCAAAACGTTCTTGTGCCTTGCCACAGCACCTTCACCATAAATATTTTCCCACACTCAAAGCATGGAGAAATTGGTTCCGCGGAACAGAAAGAGTCCTCGAGCCCGAAAACATACAACAAAGGATGAATTTTAATTCTACTGCGACTCATACAAATGCTTGAATACTGCAAATGACAATGATAGAAGTCCCCATCCACATGGACGTCAAGATGCCACACAAATATGTACCGCTAACCATAATCGAAACCACCAGATAAAATTTAAAAAAAGAATGAGCGACTTTGATTTAGGATGCATTACATACAATTAACGCCTTTGCTTCGGGCGTATTCTGGGACGCGTGGGCGTCTCGTTGGTGGGTGGCAAGCGTAATGGAATACCATCCGCTGGGTGGATCGCTCTACTAGAAGATTCGCCAAGAACTGCGCGAGTGCGCTGATGGCCGGAGGGTTTGGAAGAGGGCGCCCACTTTGACGCCCTAACGCCTTCCACTCGTTCCATTGGCACATCTTCGACTTCGACAGCTAGCGGCTGGCTGCCGTCACGTGCACACTCCTGAGGTTCCTCTGGCTCTGCAGACTCCTCAGAAGGTTCGACTTCGAGGTCTTGGTCCATGGCGTCTACATCCGCTTGTTCTATCTCCTCCCCCTCATCTTCCTCCTCAGTGTCGTCATCATAGAAACCACTGGGAGGCTCTCCAACCCATTCATCCTCATCAGTGCCGAAGTCCCATACATCAAGCACTGTAGCAGGATTTCGATTGCTGGCAGCGACACACCAGCGACCCTCGAAGACCACCTGCCAAACACCCTGGATGCCTGTCAAGAGATCACGGACGACGGAGCCATCGCGCACGTTCCACATCTTGAGCGTACCATCTGACCCGCTGAGCACCTTGAATTCATCGTGTTGGAAGCACGTGATGGCGCCCGTATGGGCCGCAAGGGTGTGGCGCAGTTCTCCAGATTCAGGATCCCATATGCGCAGGGTAGAGTCGGCGGCGGCGGAGACAAGGTGGGAAGGGGAGAGGCCAAGTAGGCCGACCAGTGACGTGTGCCCAGTCAAGGTATGTTGGCACTGTCCTGTTCGTAAGTTCCACACGCGAACAGTGCCATCCATAGACCCCGAACAGGCGATCTGGCGGTGGATATCAAGTACAACGCTATATACTACGGCGAGGCTTCAGTTACAGAGTTTCAAGATAAACTGCGATACGAACCTTTCTGTGTGTGACCTACAAGAACCCATTTACATTCGCCAGTGATGATGTCCCATATTCTTACAGTGCAATCATAGCTGCCAGATACAAGGGTGCGTCCACGGGCGGCGAGAGCACGAACTGCGTGATCATGACCCTCTAGATGCATCTTATGATACGGATTATCGTCCGCATCCTCCTGTTAAAAATAACAATCAGAACAAAAGTGTGATATGCTTAATATGAAACATACATCGGCTGGGTCAGCCTCAGAGTCATCTGCACCATAGCATCTGTACTCCGGATCACCGGGACGTGGCAAAGTCCACACACGAAGGGAGTGGTCACGACTGCCGGTCACGATCACTGATCGCTTTGGCCACTTTTCCTTCGTAATGACACCGCCTTCGCCTTCAATTTCGATCCACTCTGGCTTGACAATAGCTAGACATCGAACAGTGCTCGTATGGCCACCAAATATATGCGTACATCGACCAGTTGCTAGATTCCAGATTCTGACCGTACGGTCAGTCGATCCGCTGACGAGCGTGTCTTTGCAGGCGGCGAGCGCCCACACACCACCTTCGTGGCCATCCAGCATTTGCAGGAGTTCACCTGTCAGAGGCGAGTACACGTGAATTGAGTGATCATCGGATGCGGAAATGATGCGCCCGTGAGAAAGAAGAAGACAAGTGACGACAGAGGAGCCGTGTGCGGGGAAGGATCGATGTTTCGGGTTCTCGTTGTCCACCCATCGAGTTCGAGTGAGTTGTCGGGATTTGAAGAGCATCTTATATGGATGAGGGAGGGGAAGGGTTTTTGGAGTAGGGGGTATATCAAGGCGGCGCCTAGCGTAGATCGAGTGCGCAAAAGCTCGTTCTGTGACGCCTCCGAACCAGATCTTGGTGCTTTTGAGTAGATCGGACCAAAGTACTGGATCAGAGTCGATAATTGCGCGCCAGGCTTTGGATACTCTGGAGGCACGAACTACAGTAGAATAAGGAAGGAAACTCAGAACATGGGATGCAAGTTCTGGGGGTAGTAAGGTCAAGAAATCACGCGCTAGAGTCGGAGTTAGAATAGAATGCAGCGTCCGCAAAACGGGTAGGGGAGAATGCCGTAACAGAGTAAGGAGGAAATGAGATTGTAAGGGTTGCGGAAGGCTCGTAAAATGTGATAAAAGAGATGGAAGGGTAAGAAGGGTCGTGAGGGCAAGGTCCGGTTGTAGTGGTGCTTGGGGTTGGGGGGAAGATGCACCGCTAGGAGGTGCAGAAGGCCATATAGGCTGTGGTGGTGGTGACCCATGAGGAGATGGTAACGGTGATGGAGGTGCGGCCACATTCAAAGTAGTAATTGGTGGAAGATGCGTTGCCCTTGCCTTCTTTCGAGGAGGCGTATGCGTTTCGCGCTCCGTTGTGGGCTCTACGCCCTCCATCATATTATCAGCGCCGTGCGACCTTTTCCTGCCATAGCGCTCAACGGCCTCCGCCAGCCCTACGACCTTGCCTGAACTGCCGGACGAGTCAGGTCTTATCATCGTCCAGCCCTTGCCACTTGGAATTGGCTCCTCCTCATCCAAATCTCCCTCACCGTCTGCCCCGTCGCGGAACGTCGCACGGGAGCCATTAGGAAATACAAGGGGGAATCTCTTGATGGATGAAGGAAAATTAGCGTGCAGCAAAGGGTACTCTCTAGGGTCCTTTGGCTCAGCCGGAGGTGGGAGCGGTGGTAGCTGTATCGGCGCGTAAGCGGTCGTGGTCGTCGTGGTCGTGACTACCCTGGTTAGCAAGCATACGCGTCAATATTGGTACAGATAAGGTAAAACAACGAGTACAACATACGTCGTAGTGTTGACAGACGGAGCGAGAACCAGCGACGGGCGCTGCTGGTGGGTCATGACGATGAGCAAGATTGAAGTTTGTTATCCTTAAACGTTTCGCGCTGTCGCCGAGCCACCCTCCCCCACACAACCAAGCCTGGTCATATTGAAGCGGAGTTTTATTCTAACCATACCGGCATCTTCTGCCGAGTACCAAAAGCCAAAGTCGCCTCGTCTGCTATAAAAACATGCTCCAGGTTTTATATCAAGACAGGTCAAGCCGTCCAAAATCCGCAGTGACGCTGTTACCTTGTTGCTTTCCAGCTCTTTGGCTCTTTTGACTTCAATTCATGGCACACGCCAGTCAGGATCTGTCAAATGATCATTGGTTTGTAAGTACCTTGCGCAGGGCGCCGAGTTGAGAGGCACCGAACCATGTCTGTTTCCCTCACTGTGATCTGATTACTACTTCCCTGCGATTTTTATTCCAATTCCATCTCCGTACAAGACGGATCCAGTGAAGGACAACCAAGACGCTCTAAAGCGCAGTCACAATTCATGTTCATACCTCCAACAGTGATTCAATGAACATCTTTGCTTCCCCGGATTCAGTGGCACGTCAATCGGACTCTGAACAAGACATTGCAGCATCACCCAAAGCATCACCTCGTGGGCCTATGTGTTCCCATTGGTATCAAGTACTCTCCATAACATAAACATGGCGGCCCTCTTGGGGATCATTACCATGGTTGTCACCAAGCACCGCACTCACCCAAGCACTGCACTTAATCTAATCTCAGCTCCACTCGGTGTACATGATTATTCATGCCACGCGCTTTCTGATCTTTGTGACATAGGTCAATATCGACATGCATGTGTTACATCGCGTCATATGACGGGCCCCGTCCCCTAGAAGCCCACAAGTTGCCAAGGCTGTGTCGACGATTTACAGGCCTGCCTCCGAACAACTGAGAAGTCAACGAATACCACTTCTCTTCGTTTCCGAACGCTTCTCTCACCCCGCGCCACATGCTCGCGACCAACCCTCCAAAGTCTCAAGCTCTGACGAATGTGCTTATTTGCAAATCTCATGTGCAGAAATCTCAATATTTTGTCAATTGGGCTTGCGAACATCGAGACTCATTGTCACCGTACCACTAATTCTCAACCATGTTGCTCCCGTCTTGGAGGTTTCTTCCCCATCCAAAGGAGACTATTGCAGTGATGTTGATTTCCATTATCGCTGGGACAACCAACAACGGAGGCATCCATCCACTTACCGCGGATCATTTTTTGGCCTCGGAATTCCCCGTAGTTTTCATGAAACAAATCTCCGTTAATTGGGCCTTCGTCATTTCTGCGGTTTTTGGTCGCCTAGCGCGATCGTTTATGATTGGCTGGCGTCGGTCCCGAACGTTCATGGGTATTCTATACTATATGCCGTTGAATACGGACATTAGATGCCACAACACGTTCCCAAAATCTGTGGGATTCTACTCGACTCCTACAGACTTGGAGGGTGTTCGCGACAGCTTACGACAATTCAGATAGAGACTAATCAGATTTTTTCTATTTGGATGCAGACATCAGATGCGAAGGAACGCCTTCCAAAACCAAAGCTCTGGGAGTTGAACTCGGCTCCTGCACACTTGGAAGATGTTCACGACAGCCTATTCCAATAGACCACTTCTATTTTGCAATCTGATATTTGTTTGCCCAAAGAAGCGGCAGCCGGTGGGGTGGAGCGCTGGAACCAGAAGCCTTCGGGGCGCTGTCACCTGTGCTCCGAATGAGTGGGAACCGATAGTGGAAGCCTTCGAACACATGTCCTGTCAATGCTGTCATCTCAACACTTTTGTAATCCCTTCATCACCGCAAAGCTGAAAAAAAATCTTATCCTGCTCCAAGTTTTGTCATCGTCGATGAGCGAACAATGAGCTCATCTGTCTGTTGTGTGAAATTCACCTCTTGACGTAGCAGTCTAAATTGGTAGGACGAGCACTATGCTTCTTCAAGTACGGGGGGAAGGGGGGTGCCCTGCTCGGTTGATATTCGAGTTTATTGTAGCGGGGGCAAAGCCGGGGGACACCTATTTGGATTTTAAAATGCATAAAAGACCGGCATCGCGGCAGACCTTCCAGAAGTGATAAGTATGCCTGCGGGAAGTCATCCTCATTAACCCAAGGACGAGGCGGCCGCGCTCCGTGAAGCTAACTTTGATCTGGTGCAGTATGTGTACGCTCGCTCGTTAATCGGCGTAATCCCCCTCAGACTATGGGCAAGTCTATTCTTTCTTTAGTTCTGACGTTTCGTGGCGTCTGCCCTTCGCAACGAGTATTTTGACAGAGAACTCTGGCTGGATCATCGTGGACTCCGTGCTTGAGTTGAACGCAGCTTCATGAGAGATTTTGATGCTATTTGGTAGATCCGTATTGAAAGCTGGATAAGAACAGAGTTATGATACTAGGTCCCCGTGAAGGCTTTATCAGCATCACCGTGTCGCGAATATACAAAAAAAGTCTGCAATAAAACGGGGGACGAGACGTGAGTTGAATGACTACATGGATATCTCGACCACCACAGCTGGCCGTACCAACGGGGTGCGGGACACAGAAACATACCAAACTAGTAGCCACCAATCACATCCAATGTTTTTCAACAGGACAAAATGGTGGCGTACGCCCGCAACGATGGCATATTGTCCAATAAGTGCTTCTCACGATCGAACATCGTTTGCTCCCGCCCAAGCCGATCGCGGCTGCTGGAGTTGAGTTAAGTCGTGGAGAAAGGCAGGCTGGATTAAGTGCAGTACCTAGTGGAATTAATAACGACAGGGGCGCCATGTTCGCAAAGAGTAGACAAGGCCAATGGGAGTACAGGCGCCCACGATATGAGATGGCTGGAGATCTTGCTTAGTGTAGACGCCGTTGCCAATCCGAAAATAGGAGCATGAATAATATCCACATGTCGCCAATTGATGAGTACATGGCCGTAAGAGAATTGACATCTAAGTGAGTGAGTGCCTTGCAAATGGGAGGGAGAATAGATCGACGAATGATAGTTGGTGCATAACGATGCGATCGAGTGTTGATGCAGCATGCCTGTGCAGTCGTTCGAGTTTAGATCGACGACCGAATCACCGAGAGACCGTAGACGATTGACGTATTGCTTGTCTACTGGTGAACTGTCGAGGATTGACATGCAATTCCAAAGAGGGTGATATTGAGAGGGTCAGTCTTACATGCACCGACGTCGATTGGACTCGGAGCGGAACAAAGCATGTAAAAGAAGTGTGACAAGTGATGGGAGCCCTTGGGATCCAATCATTGGTCTTCCTTTGGCGAGCCATCATTAGTGTCCCAAAAAGGGGCCCCGGAAGCGGGGTGTGGCGTACCAATCACCAGAGAGAAAAAACATACCTCTGACAAAAAAAGAGTTTCTCGATTTCGATTGTTCATGGTGAGAACGGTGAAGTTGAAGAGCAAGGAAATTCTTTCTGAACTAGTAAACGTAGTAAACGTGGAGACGGATTCTGACGGAACCCCGTTGAAAGAAACGATGAATAGCAAGGCTAGGCTTATTGCGATACGGAGGACGTGGATGCCACTGGGAAACGCACATTCAATTGACTTGGTTGGCAACGTTCGAGAGCAGGATGGCATCAGCGCTTGGCATGTGTCCATGTCCAAGCTTGGGGCAAAAAAACAATCTGAACTCGCTATCGTTCAGGGCTGCGTTGCAAGCGACATGCGTTCACTGATGCATTCAGCTCATAGAGAATTGACAGATGACGGTGCACGTGCCTTTGTACATAGCGTCTAACTCACGATACATATATTTAACCGTGTCTCGAAAAATAGAGAGTCTGAAGTTATGACTAAAGAGGACGTTGCTCCCGTGTACGTTGCACGATAAGACGGTTGTTGTCAGGGGTGCGCAAAGTGTAGGATCCAAAGATATTTTGACAAGGATGAGCTCCAACGTACGGACATTGAGCTGCTTGATTTCCGAGCGAGCCGTTACGGTCTAAGTTTGTAACTTAGATAATGGAGTCTAGACCAGACCAAGGTCTTGGGGGACGACCGTATTTGTGCATATAGTGTCTCTGGAGGTGTAACACAGCTATTCGAAGCCCCTTGAGATCGTTCGCGGTCCTGACCCTGGGATAGCAGTGCAGGCACGAAACAGAAGGAAGAAAGGAGCACGCGGATGCACGCGGCAGCCTGAATGATAATTTAAACTCCGCAGATGCGTTGAGGCGAAGAGGTCGCAGAGGGGTGAAGAGTACTGAAGCGCTGAAATCTCTCATCGGATTCTGTGTTATTCGCGAATTGTCCTGGGCATTTTAATTCTGGTTTGGACAAAAGTTTCAAGGTTGGTAAGATCTCGGTCTTCTCCACTTTGCGTGGGTTCACTGTTGCTGCAGTCTTTTTTTTGTTTGTTTTTTGACTATAGTGACTGAACTTACTAAACTGAACTTTTCCCTAGTTTGGTTGGTTATCTGGAACCGTACCACTCCGCTTGGGAGAGTGTGAGCGCATCACCCAGTGAACTTTGCGCGTGGGCCAGTCTTCTACCTCTAGTAGTATTGTCAGTTTCGGTTTCTCGTTTTAAAGTCTTACAAGGTATGCTCCCATCATATGTTATCTCCCCTTCAAGGCATCATGCTTATGCCATTGTCGCCTATTCCCTGCTATCCGCAGTATTACCTCGACCCTTCCGCAAGGTTTGACTACATCATATCCATGCACCATCAGGATCACGCTATCCCTCAATCCAACATGCCTCCTGCTCGTTCCCCCCAAATCGACCCAGCTTTATCGCTCTATCCCCCCTACTACTCATATCAGCAACCTCAGCAGCACATCAACCACCACCTCACTGTCCCTCAGAACTTATCTTCTCCCTCATCACAAGGATCGGACACAATGGGTACACCCCCAACAGACAACATGTCTTACTCGCCTGGCAATTCTAACGGGAAGAGACCTTCCTCTTCCCTAGTCGGTGCGATGGGCGAGGGCAGCAGAAAAAAAGCACGCTCAGAGGACAGCTTGGATGGTCATAGTCCTGCTGCTGACAAGGATGAGCCGAAGCCAAAAACCACCAGGGGTTCACGGTAAGCCCATTCACTCTCTTAGCTTCCATGAGCCGTAACGATGCCGTCTAGCGCGTGTACTGTCTGTCGGCGTCTAAAAATGAAATGTGTTGGGGCTGAGCAGGGCCCTCCTTGCAAACGCTGCATTGCTGGAAATCACGAGTGCATATTTGAAGAGTCCAATCGAGGCAAACGGTCCACCAAGTATGTTTCAGTTTCATATATCTTGCACAAGTGGTCAACGCTCAAAATAAAGTCCAAGAAAACATGAACTTCTCACTCGCTCACTGAAGAAGATGGAGAAAACTCTAGACACTGTTTTAAAGTCCATCGGTAACCCAAGCATGGTCTCCGGCATGGTGTCAAGATCACCTTCGCCAACAAGCCAAGCTGCACAAACTCAGGCCCTTCTGGCAACTCCATCGCCTCCTCCCCAGTCTGCTTATCCACCATCATCGAGCGCCAATGCCTCTGCTTCCCCAAAGCTCCATTCCCTTCCCGATAACTCACTTAATCCTCTCGGGCTGCTCGCCGAGGCAAGCTTGGCAAACCGACGCGCCCAGGGCATCTCGTCCTCGTTCTCAGCGCGCCCAGCGGATCCCGATCCCGATCAAAAGTTGGGCGTGGCTAGTGATAATTATTTTAGGCCAGGTTCGTAGTTGCTTTTTCGCACGTTGTCTATTTGGCAAACTGGCAACGTTCTAGGCCCAATGACAATACTCCCCCTGCGACGTTTGTATATTGAACGGCAGATTCAGCCCGAGATGCTGAGCTTTGTTAGCACCGAACAAGTGGTCGCGCTATTTGATATGTGAGTATTGTATGTCATACATCTCAATGCCGATCTGATCGGCTGCTAGCTTCTTTGACCATATGAACGTTAGTGCTAAGTGCTATCAAGCCATATGGTGCTGTATCTAAATAATATCTATAGTCGCACTGCGAGCTCTTTGATAGAGAGTTCCACACGCCCTCACTTGTCTGTTCCCGCTCGCCATTTTTACTCACAACAAGTAAGTTTACGTCCCTACCATTTACGTGCAGCGACTTATCTTTTGCAGTTTGTGCGATATCATCAAAGTATTACACCCAGCGACCGGAACTTCACCAGCAGCTTGCAGAGCTTGCACAAAAGCTCGCTTTTAGTGTGCCTGCCAAAGGTTACAAGTCCCTTGAAATCGTGCAGGCGTATCTCCTCCTCACTCTTTGGGGATGCGGTGCCGTGGAACGCTATGAGTATGACAAGACGTGGTTGTTGCTCGGAATGGCCATCAGGTTTGTATTTCTTCATTTCTACGACAGTTCGTACTTAGTGGCGATATTTAGGATGGCGACGGACCTAAACTTGCATAGGAAGACAACGATGACCAGCCAAGACACACCAGAAGGTCGGGCTCGGGATAAGGAGGTCCACAACCGCGAGCGAACGTGGCTTTTATGCTTTGCTCTTGACAGGAGCGTGAGCTCCCAAATGGGGAAGCCTCATTCTATCAAAGAGGAGTAAGTTGGCTTCAAATCTAATTTTCATCTCTAATCATTATATCTACTAGCTTCGTAATCCGTAATGCACTGCAGTGGTTGAAGTCCCCCGTCGGACAGCCAGGTGACACTGCTTTAGCGGCATACGTTGTGCGTATTCATTTTTTGCTAGTTCAGTACATGGTTTAATCTCCTCCACTACCAGGAATTGCAGCGGATTGTATCCAGGAGCCTAGACTTCCTGTATTCGGGCACTAATACCCCGTCTGGTTTACAAACCGACTGCGATTACTTAATCATCATTAAAACCATCGAGACCCAGATACTTGCATGGCAACATGAATGGACGACTGCTCGACCTTTGCCAACTAGTAAGATATATTTATTCGAGGCAATCATCTATATCGTTCTTACCATTTATTTAGCCGATCAAGTTGTGGTGTCCCAATCCCAAACGGCGATGAAGTTTTACTTCCACTATTATATGCTGGTCGTGAACTCTTTTGGGCTGCAGAACGCCTTGGAGCGTTCGGCAGTGGATATCGGCCACTTCTTTTCGCGGTGTTATACCTCGGCTAAGGCAGTGGCTATTATCGCGAAAGAAGAGCTTGGGCCCATGGGTATGCTGAAGTATTCGCCGGATTCACATTTCGTATACATCTCTTACGCGGTACTCAGTTTGCTCAAGGTACTTTGATATCATGTCTGTCAACATTCATGTTACTAATTTCGGTTGACAGCTGATTCGCTCTGAGTTCCAACAGTTCATCGAGAACGAGCAACATATCATCGACCTTGTTAAGGACGTTGCGAACGTCCTCGCAGAGGTCGCCGTGAACTCCCATCATGCCCCAGCTCTTTACAGCACATTCCTGCGGGCCCTGATCACCGCTCGCACAGATACACCACAAGAACCTGAAGACGTGTCATCCGGGGACCAATCTGATAACATGAGCCATGCCTCCATGGCCAACAACAACATGAACAATTCCGCACTCTTCGGTGGTAACCCAGCGATGGGAATAAATGGCACTAACGGCATGAGCGATTTCTCGTTCGCGAGTGAGATGGGTCCTGTTGCGGATATCTCGACTTTCCCTCCCACTATGGCTGATATGCCATCTTCCGACGAACATATGGGTATGCTTTCTATGGAGAACATACTCAGCAACGGATTCTGGGACAGTGTGTTGGTGCCTGGTAAGCGAATGAATCGGTACTACTTCTGACTGGCCATTCTGACGTATCTTCCAGGTTATTCAGATACTATGGAAGGCCTGAGCGGCGGCTTCGTGTTCGGAGCTGGAGGTAGTGGACTCATCACCCCCGGCTGGCTCCCCTCCCCCATCCCATCCGGCCAGAACACCCCGATGCGACAGTCGACCATGGACTTCACCCAACAAAATCTAGTCTCTGTATTCCAACAACGAAAGTAATTAAATGCCGCGCATCGTGTTTCATGTTCATGTTTCACCTTTTTTTGTCTTATATGTTGTTTTTGTTGTCGTGCTTGAAATTCTATTTGTCGTGTGATCTACGTACATATCGTTTGTTATCGAGGTGGGGTAACCTGTGGATTCCCTTCATTGCGCTTTGCTTCATCACATTTTATTCTATCGACACGATGTATTATATATTTTTTGGCAAATAGTACTTGTTTCTTGCTTCGGCTTGAAATATGCCCTTTTGAGACTGGCATGGGTTTGTTTCAGACGGTCATGTGAGAAATGGTATCAGAATTTCACGACTACCATGTCCAGAAAGTATATGCTTTACCAGGTTGTGCGTTGTGTACAGTGATATGACCATCTTGACACTGGACAGTATCATGGTATACAGTGCACAGCATGGTTCCTTCATCAATATTCAAGTTATTGTTCAATGAAGCTAATGTACTCGTAAGTCGCTGCTACGGTCCCAATCGAATTCCTTTTTTCACTCCCTTCATCTTCTACTACTAGTACCATCTTGCCGTTTGGTCGAAGTGAATTTCTGTGGGACAAGGTTGTGCTCAAGGTCATCGTCGGGTACAAAGTAACTCGATAAATCGCCTCAGATTATGGCCGCGATCTGATGGCCCCGTCCCATCAGGCATTTTTAGTGCCTTCTTGCCCACCTCTAAGTCGTCGCGATCGATGGTGCACGCCATTTCTGCGAGTAGAGAACCAGTCTTGATAAACCAGCGTTTCTTTCCCCGGCTCGGCGACTCTCCTCACAGTCCTCACGCAGGCCCACGGGCCCGGACATTCGATCGGCGAACCTTTGAACATCGCCCAGCTATCCATGTTACCGTGGGCCGCCACAGAGGCCATTCCAATCGCTGGCGCTCCACCGAAAGCTGTCATTGGTGGATTGTGGGTATCTTTAATCCGTCAAGCTATATATGTGAGCTTTTTGATTGCGAGGACCAAATTTCTTGATTTCAAAGATCCAGACAGGTATCCAGAATAAGACGGAACTACATAAATCCCCTGGCATTACGAATTTATCGACTAATCTGCCATGCATCAACGCGCCAATCGCGTGATCCTCTGGGAAATCACGGAGAGACGCCTTGGTCAAGCGCGCGCCTTGTTGATGAGTCTCCTTGAATTTACCTGACATGGAGTCGCGTCTCAGCGTACGTGTCAGTTTGTCTGAAGTTTCTCGCACGTTTGCCAGTGCACGACACCTCACACCAACTGACAACGTTGCATAAATGGCGTCTTGGATACATGCATCCGTCACACAAGCTATCAGATGCTCCAGTGAAATCGACCGCTGTCTGGTGGAGGGTTTGGTTGCGTCCCACCTTTCATAAATCAATTCATTTACTCACTACTTCACTCGCTTAGTGGTTATTCAAAATGCAAAGTCAACGTGCTATACAGGAAATATTGGCAATCTTATAGCGCCGGGATACGCAGCCTGGAACAATTATCCTTGCCTGTGTGACACTGGTGGACGTGACAGCATCCAATACTGGTGGACCACTGCCTCATTTCAGGTCCGGCTCATCAGGTCCAAATGATGTCTTAACTTATGCATCGATTCTTTTCAGCAACTCGACAAAATGCTCGAAGTTCTGTTTGAACGCAGTTCAATCGAAGCTCAAGTTCAGAGATGTTATATGGATGAAGGATGGTACTATTTATACATTGACGAGGGCCCGCAAGTAACCTAATTGGCGATCTATGAATGGCCAAGAATTGAAGCGGGTACGAAGATTATCATGAGGGTTATTATTGAACAGCTGACGACATCAATGTCTGTACGACACCAAAGTCATCTTTGCGCAACTTGGAACCACCTCGACGTTGGGGTCTCTTGATCGTTCTCTCGCTTCGACAGCAGGCTGATTTCTCGATTGATTTGTGAGTAATGTTTTCCAGATCCTAACGGTACCTAACTACCAAAAGTCGAGGATGCAAACAGCGATTTCAGATCTCGGTCTCCCAGGAACCGCGCAAGGCGAAGGAGGGCACTATTGAACGTGATGAACTTAGGAATGCATCTTATTCACAAATTTCATGTCCAGCAAAATTGTACGTGCATTATGAAAATTCTCGAACAATATTAACTGAGAAATCCACCTTCGGTACCTGCCGCTCTCAGTTTATGCGTGATTCTGGGTTGACCAATAACATGGATGATTCTGCGTTCTTCGCTGGTGGCCCTTCGGTGGGAATGAATGGCACTGATGGCATCAGCCATTATTCATTCACAAGTGAGATGGATCTTGCTGTGGATATCTCGACCTTCCCTGCCGCTATGGCCATTGGCTGGGTATTCCATCTTTCGATGAACATTTGGGTAAGCTTTCTATGGAGAACGCCCTGAGCAATGGATCCTGGGACAGTGTGTTGGTGCCTGGTAAGCAAATATCAAGTAGGCGTATTTAGACTAGCCTTTCTGACGTATCTTGCAGGTTGCTCAGACACTGGAAGGCCTAAGTGGCAGCTTCGTGTTCGGGGCAGTGAGCTTATCACTCCCATTTGGCTCCCTCTTCTATACCTCCGAGCCAATGTGATAAACATTAACCATGGACTTCACCAAAATCTAGACACCGCTTTCCAACAGCGGAAGAGCTGAGTAATGGACATGCTTCAAATTTCACCTGTTGTCCCATATGTTGTTTTTGTTATTTTTCTATTGGAATTTCTTTGCCATGTGCTCTACGTCAGCGTTATGACGGAAGTTATAGTGCAGTATGTCCTTCCCCTTCATTGTGCTTTGTTTCACCACATTCTATCGAGACACGATGTGCTGACACAAACCTCTATCAGAACCTCTATCCCCACCCTGACCCCGAGATTCCCGAGGTCTATGCGTGTTTGACCTCAAAAGCAGGCAATATATTGGCCAGGATATGAAAGACCCTGCAGCGAGCATCACCGGCGAGAGTTTCTCCGCTGCACGCTAGACAAGGTACGTATCTGCACACGAGAATCTGAGAGCCTAGCACCAAGGTTTGGTAGGCTGCAGTCTATGTTTGGCACACCTTATGGCATACCCTTCGAAGACTTCAAGTGAGTACCTTGTCCCTACTTGGATATACCATGGCCCTGAGATAGAACAGTGAATGAGAAGGAAGCACATTAATATCCAAGCGTGTGTAATCCTGTCACAGTCAGTACCGGAAACAGCCAGAACATGCTACTCCCTGATCTCGACCTGATCTTTGCACAAGTATCCCGGTCACATCAATGTATGTCCCTGCGGCTGGGATTATTGCGGATGACTGATTACATTTTTGCAGTTTTTTTGACTTGATACAGACATATTATTATCCTCAAACGTGCGTAGACTCCACGCGTCTCGGCCTGCTTAATAACCTGGTACTTTAGAATTGGTTTGGCACGACACAATTAGGCTCTGGATTTAAGCTCTGTTAATTTCTGGACAACTGTGCGCACGAAACAACAAACAGAGTTGAGCAATATTGGCGACCAGGAGAACGTGGGTGAGTCTATCACAAACAGTTTCCAAGAATAACGAAATTTGTTATTTGTGGAAGCGCCCGACATATACATCCAAATGCGGGGTATTATACTGTACAGAAGAGCATGATGTGGGCGAAAGTGTCTTTCCTCGTACATGATACTGGCCCCATGCTTGCCAATCAGACGTCTGATTACTGATGAGTGTTATAATTTGCACGGGTGAAGTAATAATATTACTGATGCGGCATGCCGTGTTTCCACCTTGAAGCAGATTTCCGTCGATACCTCTGATTCAAGTCCCCAGGGGGGGCTGTCATGACAACACGCATATTCAGTACAGGTGAGTATGCGAAATTGCTACCCATTTGATGAATGTGGGTGGCCTAGTATACTCTGCAAATGTTGCCTCCCGACCACTCGGATAGACACTACCATGACGGCGCGGGACCCTGCTAGGGTATTGTAGGGTACCTTTAACGGCCCGACTTGCATTCTGAAGTCCTTGCGAACAATTCTTTTGAGGATAGAACTGATAGGCCCATCAGGTTACAGTCTTACGCCTCAGCAAGTTGCCTTTGTTGAACATGCACGGCGGCTGCTACGCCAGCTGACTATCAAACTACGGATTTCCTAATTGGATTTGTGCTTCGGGCTCCGAACAAACAAGATCCTTATTAACTGCCAGTTGTTTCCAGAAAGTACTTTGAAGTGTCATAATAATGATTGTTTGGCGATAACGATACAGTATTTAGATGTGCGCATGTAAGTAATAACTGGGAACAGAGTTGAGATGCGACTCACCAGAACGTGGGTACTGGCCTCTCTTAATTCTGCCACCGTTTAGCAATTTCGCGGAGTTGTAAATTCAAGTTCTTCTTCAACTCATCAAAAGTGCGAGGCAAGGCTGTAAATACCTTCTGGTGAGTTCACAGAATACGAGTTTACGAGTCGTAGGAGGTATCTCACAAGGAACGATAGCATTCGAGCTCCATCTTTTCCTTGCTCAGTACCACGAAGGCCAGGAGGCCCCGTCGAATCATTCACACATCCCGGATCATTTCCATGCAGCTGACATGGGAGATTCAAAGGAAATCATCATACCACCATGTCCTCCTAGAAAATAAACTTCAGTAAACCTTCGTATAAATCCTGAACCTCGAGGTAGACAAGGTCACTTCTTCTATCCGCGCGTACTCGTCGCCCAATATTTCCGCACCGTCATCGCGTCTCATTTCGCGTACGCTGGTGAATTCACTGCAGTGAGAAATCACCAACGTGGCGACACGTCTCATGACTTCTTGGGCGGTTATAACTATAATGTGCGTTTTGATACGAGCCCTATTTTTGCAGAAGTGTGCTCATCCAAAAATGAACACCGGCTGTGGCTGTAGTCTGCAGGGCTGCACTTCCCTTTACATTTTTTGCTTTTAACCGGCAACCCGTCAGTGTAAACGTTGTCGGCGAAGGGGCAGACGATCAAACTGCGTACGAGTGGTTCCGGACACCCATCGTGGAGCTCCGTCAACGAGGAGCCTGACAATTTCTTCGGCACAGGTATTTTGATGTACCCCTTTCTTTCAAGATGGACTTCTGATTGTTATGGACTCGTGATATCGACCTTTTCGCTATCGTATAACAGTGTACCACGCTGGTGCAGTTCCTCCGCTGGGCGCATCCGCTGATCGGGACGATCGTCGAGATGTGTACTATTTCAAATGCCATTGGGCTAATCTTGGTACATAGACCGTCCATGAGGAAAAAACCGTGTTTCCATCCAGGTACGGGGGGGGGACAGGGGGCCGGATTTATTGCACCTGCTGTCATGCCTACAGACGCTTCGGGTCCATCCGCGATGAAGGCCTGCAAGTAGTGTTTACACTACGTCTTGTATTTGTGTCCCCAGTCGGTTCCCCGCCCGAGTCTCCAACTGGAGTTGCCCCTTCGCAGGTCTCGGCCAAGTTTTGGTGTGAAAACTCTTCTTCCTCTATTCTGGTCGCCATGCTGGGAGTTATCGGAACGGTCATGGGTGCAAGCATGTGAGTGCAAGGGAAAGAGAAGTGCTCTTTGGGTCTGTGTTTCATATGGGTGCTGATGATTGCAAAGCTATGTGTATCGTAACAGCTGGTGGGCTCTGCTGACGGTGTTTTTGGTGATAAAACTGAATTATTAATGAAAGTTGGGAGATGCCTTGATAGTGATCCTAGTGATCGCAATCAGATTGGGAAGGTCATTGTTCGATGCTTACGGCGGTCATCATTCTAATTCCTGGTGATATGTCACAGCCTGTGCGGATATGATTCTGCTCTCACAGACTAAGGTGGACAGTTTGGGAAACTCAGCGTCAGGAAAGGGTCAGATGCGTGTGTCAACTGAAGCCGTGCCGCAGCAACTCACAGAAGGATTAAAAGAAAGTTGGATCTTGTGTATCGTTCCTCCAGTGCTATGCACTGGAACACTACAGGATTGCTGAGATTTTGCACCTACCAGGAACTGTGATAGTCTCCCTTTATTCAATAAGCTGTGTACTGGATGAGGCAATTTGGCTTGGCTTGGATCTGCCTCGCTGTAAACACGTTTCCTGATGCCAAACCCGACAAGAGCGTGATAATATCCCGATAATCTCCAAATTTCTTACTGGACGGAACGGAAATAAGTCGCTGCAGAAGTCTAATCATGGCGAGCAAATCTCTCGCAACCCAGCTGGGATAGCGAGATCCCAGCCCCTACTGGTCCTCATCGCTTCCCGTAACTGGCACGGGATCTGATCCAGTCAGCTTCGCAGCCTCATTATATAAAACCTACGGCACTCATAGCTTTTTCTTTCTTTTGCCCCAGTGCTCATTGACTCGCCCTCCTCCTCTCCGTAGAGTTATCTGGTTGGTGTATTCGCCACTTCCTCATGACAGAGTACACATCTTCACCAGAGGCCATCCAGGTCTTCAGAAACTCTCGGGAACGTACTGAGCACTGGGTGCGTTCGCATTCACCTTACCACTCCCAGTTCTATTCCCCCGAGAGTCCCCCATCCGTCGCAAGTGACATAGATCTCGAAGACCGTGGCTCAGAGACTGGCAGCTCGCACTCTCTACCTCCGAAGATGATGTTGAAGTATGGGGACGGACGAGACGTTCCTATTTCGCACTGGCACTATGAAAATGGTGGCTCTCACAAAGGGAGCAGCCATAGTTCCAGTTCTCGTCCCCATCTTCAACATAGCCATCACCACCACCCCCATGACCGCTCGAGGTCTGCGGCTGATGCATACCCTACGCGAGCTCCTCGCCACCCAGAGCACACTGGGTACCATCACTCCTCAGCACGAAATGCATATCATGGAGTCCCTGAAGATTTGGAACCTGAAGAAATTCAAATCCTTCCTTCTGACCCGCACGCCACTCCTTATGACTCAAGAAACGAAAAGTATCGGCCACGTAGAGCTTCAGAGCCTTACCGACCCGAACCCTTGCAATCTCCACCGCACAAAAACGCAATAGAAGTCCTGGCAACACCTTTGCCACGCTATCTTCCAAGCCATCACGGTGCTACTGCTCCACCAGTCACCTACTCTCATTCGCAACCCATTCCTCGACAATACGAGCAGCATCACCCCGCGCACTCGCATTCGCGAAATCGGCCTCCACCTTCGATCGTATATGCACCCGGCTCTCACCACGCTACCGATCATTATGCTCCACCAACAATTGTATATGCCCCAACTAAGGCACCTGGCATGACGTACACAGTGTCTGCGCCCACGGGTTCAGGGTTTCCGCAGTACCCCCGTATCACTCCTGCCCCATACCCCACCGTCCACAGTCATCTCGCCTCTATCCATGAAGAGGCACGGTACGGGATGAGAGCCCCCCTTTCAAGGGAAGAGCGCACAAGAGCGCCTTCCCCGATAAGTGAGGCTGGCAGTTGCGACTCGGGCAGCACCTACTACGTCATACCCACTCCTGGCCAGAAGGTGAAGGTCCTGGTAAGTCACCAGCAAAGTGCTTATCTCTCCTTGTCATAGTTTCATTTTGCTGACCTGTGTTTGTGTGGTTGTTTCAGCCCGGACCCGCACCTTCCCTCTACACGGCCACATCGACCACTAAAACGCCATCGTCTCCTAAATCTGGCAGCACGGGATTCAAGAAACCGTTTTTCAGCAGGCTTATGAGCTTTGCGTCTGATCTATCAAAAGTATCCAAAGCTCCGAAATTCTCCTCAAAGACCAAGTTACAACGACGGCATTCTCTAGACATGTCTACGGGCGGTCATACACGACAGCGGTCGTGACATTTATGTATGTACTGGATAATGATTTTGATGAAAGGTTTTTGCATTGAACACTGCCCTGTTTTACATTCGTCTTGGTTCGATAGACTATGGATAAATTCTATGGATACATATGTACTCGTATGCGTTGCCCTCGCATTGTACGACACTAACAGCACTGTAGCTTTAATTTTACACTCATTCTTCTTTTCCTTTTTTTTTTTTTGCTCTGGGCGTTTATGATCGTACCATAACCTCATTTCTCATCATCCGATGCTCATGTACCTCCTACAATCCTTCTAGCAGGGTCGCAATAACGATACGTCGTAACATCGAACATGACCATGATACCGCAGATGCGTGAAACACACATGCCATTCATTAATAAGTCCACTTCCGCCTCACCGAAGCACGAAGAATCCGTCAAATGAATTGCGGACTCGCAAACTCTCTTTGACATATCACTGGGCCATAACTAATGACCATTCATCACGCCCAAATCACGCTCTTTTTTCACACTGAACGTGGATAGACTCTATCTCGTGCTCATTTTAAATGATTTGTCTGATCAAGAGCAGGGAATCCGATCGTGATCATGCGCGAGGGACATGAGGGGACATGCTGTTTAAATTTCATTATTTCATAAAGGTCTAGAGGCCGCTGACGAGGCTATCGAGAAGTACTATTACAAGCGTCGATGGCGTTCGCCCTGAGGTTTCATAGATACCAGAGATGAATCAATGACAGGTGGTGCGGATAAGGGATGTTTCCTCGGATGTTCGGGATGTCCGCCGCGAAATTCAAGTCATCCAGGGCCGGATAGATCCTTCCGGGTACGAGTTCGATGCGCGATTTGCTAGGCTCAAGTGTGGGGCAGATAGAACCGTTCTGTGAAACAAGCGAGCCTCGGGGTGTTCGAGATAAGACGGCGCAAGTTGAGGAAATGGTTCTGAATGTACTGAGCGAGAAGTATGGGGGACGCCGTTGATGTCCGTAGTGGGCGCATCTCACTTGAAAGGTTTAGCACCGGGGTATATGATCGAAAAACTTTGGATGATTGAGTCCTTCAAACGGGACCCAGAATTCAGTGCTTGGCACTCGTGTTGATCACGGTGTTATAAGCTAAACGACTCAAAGTCGTCGAGGACAATTGTAATGCATCTCATCTGATTGGTTAAACGGTTCTTCGAATCTGAAATAGTTGGGCAGTCCGGATAACGTAGCAACGTGCGGAACGTATGCAAAAACAATCGGCAGTGCGAGACGTAGAACACTTCGGCGTACCGCTTCGATCGAACTGTGGACTACCTTCACGATGGCTTGAGTTCCTTGGTAGATCGAGAGAGTCGCGCTTTCCTAGGCCTAGACGATCAAACGAAACGTTGAGGACTATGTATAACGCAGTGCACGACGCATAGGGGCTCGAGAACCGATGCGAGAACCAATGGCTTTCTTCTGAGCTATGATGTAATTTTTGTTTACCCTGAAAAACCGTGCTTGCTGGGACATATATATCATGAGGGCCTGGAGATATTAAGGAATTTTATTTTGACTCACTAGCGTTGCCATGTCATGAGTGTTTGAGTTTTCGACTGCCTAATGATAGATCCAGGATCCTGCTGGTTTCGGGTCTCGGACACGCTTTATGCCATGCTTTCACGCCACATTTTCTTTGTGGCACTTTTGCGGTCCTAAGAGTCAATCTCTGTCACTTTCCACTGAGTCAAAACTGCCCTTGTGAACACGAAATCCAGGTATCATGTAGGACAGAAGTCAACCGGTTGAATGTCGAACTTTCCTGGTCCCTGGAAGTGGACAGTGAAGGATTGCCTTTTCGAGCAGGGAAACCTAAAAAAAAGTTATTTGGATGCGTCCTTCTGTTCTGCAGTGCACTGGCAGTGACCTGGACCGGTTCTAGTAGATTGCTCTTGTACCCTCTATGCACACATTATCGTGTCTTAGCATGGTCCGTGTGCCATGACCCTCTGAGACAGCCTGGAGTGAGCAGAGATGTGACCGCGACTGGTAACGGTCTGCCACAAAGCTGCCCGCGGTGATATCTGAGGCTCAATTTCTTCGGTCCGATGGTGAGGTGAATGACATGGTTGCTCTCCCACGCTGATACGTCCCTATGAGCCGTAGGATTTAGCGCATCACATGATGATGTGACATGTCAGTGCAGGTCATGCATATGGCTCATCTGATGCAGTGTAATTATCAGTCTCCAGTTCTCTTCGTCAAACCAGAATATATCGACCATGACGATCTCCGAGTCGGAGGACCTCAATTTCTGTTTCCCGGTGCGGGAATTATCGAATGAACGCATCAAGATGACTCCCTTCAAGGTAACCCAATTATCATCAGAATCTGATAAGGGCCAGTCATCCAACGGTAGCTAACTGATTCGCCACAGGCATCAATTCATTCGTCCTCATTTGTGTCCAACTCATCAGCTCACCCGGAGCTATGGGCACACATGCCTACTGGCCCGTTCCAAACCGTGCAGGATTTCGATACCAAATTTCTCGAGGCCGTAGTCCACCGTGACCCAGGAATGGTGTTGTTCGCCATCATAGATAAAACGAAACCACCCTCCGCAGCAGACGAGGAAGGCGAACTGGCTGGGATCATGTCCTACACGAGCTCTTCGGCCGCGAATCTAAGCACAGAAATAGGGTTTATTGTTATTCTTCCCCCATATCAAAGGACGCACGTCAATTCCAATGCTGTTGGGCTTCTTTTGCAGTATGCGCTGGATTTACCATCGCAGGGCGGTCTGGGGTTGCGCAGAGTTCAGTGGCTATGCAGCTCCGTGAACGCACCTTCCATTCGTGCCGCTGAGAGACTGGGCTTCAAGAAGGAGGGAGTTATGAAATGGCATCGTGTATTTCATGATGGCAAGGGCAGAAGCAAAGTACATAATGGTCGTGAGTTGCCTCGCGGTGGTCGTGTCGAACAAGACTACGGAAGGGACAGCGTTGTTTTCGGTCAATGTTGGGATGATTGGGAGCAAGGAGGAAGAGAGAAGATACAAGCGATAATGGTCAGACAGCATGTGAGTAGATTTTCTCAGCGCCCTTTTGATAGCGACACACTTATGAATTTATCAAGTGATACCTTCATAATATACCTAGCGCCTCGGATGACTTGGCCCGGGCATACTGTAATGGATAAATATCATGGGCTGGAATCAACACGAGTTGGAAAATCACAGCAAAGTTTTTTGGGTTCCAATTAATTCGTGTCTATTGTGAATCATGATGCACTAAGTACCCTTTCCAAAAAATTATATCCAGTCCATGGCAAAAATGTAGGCGTTGATATATTAGTGTTGTGGTTGTTATGGCTTCTGATAACGGTCGGAGTCTCTGATGAGGAAGAGTAGCGACGCAGCTGCGATCACGATCACCTGCGATAAACACGTTAAGCGGATATACATTGTGTATAATGATCTGCAATGAAAGCTTACCGCATGGATATGGAACACCAACATCGGCTGAGTCGAGATCGTGCTGAATTAAAGAAATTAAGGAGACAGGGTGGGATGAAAACGCAATCGACTCACGCAGTAAATATGCTGCCCATGACAAGAGGAGAGAGGAAGGCTCCGATGCTTGATATCATTTCGATAGCAGCTAGTACCTCTCCTATCCAACGTGGCTCGTGAGTTGTCAATCGGATGTTGGCACTTTCAAAATACGTACCTTGTTTTAAGGGGTCGACCGATGACGCCACGAGACTTCGAATGATGGGAGTATGTCCTGCACTGAACCCAGCGACGGTCACCGCTTCACATAACATCAATACAGGCATCGCCGCTTTTAACATCGCCTCGTACCTATGAGATGTAAAGTACGAGTCGACGTTGCAGCCGCCATCGAATAGGCAACGGCACAGATGACCCAGGAGACGAAAGCGATATGGATATCAAGACGGTCAGTCGGCATCGCTACGACAGTGTCATCGCCAGGGCCCTGTTGGTCTTCGAGGAGAACAACCTTTCTGGCGTAAATGGGCCGCAATATGCGAATCAGCGAGGGCACCATGTACGTAAGAGTGAACGCAGCGCTGAAGCTCAGTGTCGTTAACACAGTTCCGGTCTACATTATGGATGAGTATGGGGTTCTAGTGATTGAGGTCCAACCTACCTGAGCAGGGTTGTAGCCGTACTTTGTTGTGTACAACAATATCAGGGCTGGCGCCGTATATGAGTTCGCAATCATCGTGATGATGATATGAATTGCGCAATACACAACTCGCCAGTTCTGTCTGCCATCCGCGTTGCGGGTAGGTGCCAGCTGTTTCAAAGGTTCGAACGCAATGGCTATCGCAGATGTGAAGCGGTTCAATAAATTTCGACGAACGCTTGGTTCTACATTCTGCTGAGCGAGGCGCTGGCGACGCAGTTCATCGCGTTTCTCTTCTGGAAATGATTCGGGGAGGAAAGCCAAGATATACACAAATACTGCCCCGAGGGTGGAGATAGAGATGTAAAACACGATCAGCGGGTCATTGGTCTTGGTGGTGAGAAGTCCACCAAGAGCAAAGGAGGCCGTTTGGCCTGGACATGTAGATTAATGGGGATTGTGTCAATACAGAAGATGGCGCTTACCTAGCGTAGCCCAACCATTAATGGCGCTCAAAATGGGTGTTCTTGAGTATTCGGTCAGTCCAAAGAGAAGTGAATACCACGGTAGCACATTACCTGTCCTCAGGACTGGAGATATCAACGGCGTAGACGTTCACAATGAACGTCGTAGTCATTATACCACTGAACGTTTGCACGAAGAGGGAGGCGATCATAAGGCTTGCTTCTAGCCATCCAGGCAGGTACTGGGAGCAGACCATAAGAGAATACCCCAGAAAGCTAATGGCAACTGTGCCAAGGATAACCGGTTTTCTCCCGATTCTGGAGCTAATATAGCTAATCGCACTGCATGCGATCATGGCTGTTGGACGTTAGATTAGGCAGAAAAATCAGTAGTATCCGTACCTCCAAGCCCATCGAAAATCATAACAGCTGAAATGACTGCAGCGTATGTTTTCTCCACCTCTGGAACTGCGCATAGTTCTTTAGATATCTCCCCATCTGACGGTAAGTTGCCATTTGACGCAAGCCACAGCCGACAAATGACCGATTGGATAACCCCCAATAATGTCGTCGTAGGAAGCGTCGAAGTAAGTCGTGTCGCGACAGCCAGCGGAATTAGAAGCGTCAATGGGGAAAATTGGCGTCTACTGTATGGTTCTATTGCATCCTGCCGTTCTGGAAGGAGCGGGGCACGCTCAGAGGACAGCTTGGTCGGCGGTACGTCCTGAATTTCTGCCATGGAAGTTCAGATCAATCAGCCTGGGGTTATCTTCGGAGTGGGACAGGGTCACAGGGATAAGTGACTGAGCCAGACAACCTTATCATTAGTTACGCTAAACAACGTAACACGCAAGAAACGCACCCAGTTCCGCAGCCCAGACTCCAACCGGAACCAGCACATTGGGGGACTAATAATAAATATGGCTTTGCTTCGTGTGAGATTAGACGGCAAGGAAGAGTTATTCCCACCTATGTAGTCAAAACCGCAAATCTGATCGAGACGCATGGTCACGCTTGGGCGACTTCTCTGCCTCGCTGTCATATATCGACCTATCACGTCGAAACACTTGTCGTGTTTTAAAGCCAGTTCGGCAGTCTAGGTATCCTAGTTGCGCTTTCATGTCCGACCCGGAGCTTCATGCTACTCTGGACGCCATTATGGGCCAGGAAGTTGGGCTCACCAGGTCATTTCGGACTGGATTTCTGGGAATTGGGAAAGGTCAAGGAACAATTGACTTTTTTGCTAGTTGATAGAAGATCAGTGTGTCATTTATCGATGTAACTCACTTCTGAGGCACAAAGAATTTCATGTGAGCTCGATACTATATGCATTTGGTTGTTGAGACTGAAAATGTGTTGAACGAGACCAAGAGTCATTGGTATATGGAGTTACGAGTATAATGATCCCCAGGTACCACGGTGCCTGCGTGGCCTCGCTGAATCCTAGTACGTACTAGTTACGTACAGTACTGACCTGGACGCATGGAATCCGGATTTCCCTCTGAACAGGTCATGGGGAATTGGTAAAACTCAAAAATTAGAGTTCCGCGACAGTAAGTTGCAAGAAAGCCTAGTTAGTACATCGTTTTCAAGCACTAAAGTACGAAAAGTATAAGTTATGCTACCAACATCACAGCAAGCAATGAGATACCCCCGGTCCTGTCGACAACGATAATGCCCAGTGGTCCAATTCTGAGCCCGTTCAACCAACGTTCATTCGTCAGGTAGTAACTGTAATACACTGTTTGCACGAGAAAGAGTCTGCCTTGGAAATAGTGTCAAGTTCATATGCGACGAGTTTCGCGAACGTGGATTGATGGAAGAAATCGAAGATCGGCTGCTCGTCATTATCGTGTCGTCAGGAGCGGTGGCAGCTATGGGTGACGAAGCGCGAGAGTGAGAATGTGATGTAGATGTAGTGAACCCGTCTGAAGCGTTGTGATAAGGAGGAGGTGAGAGTGTTACGGCTTGAGTATGTCGAAGTAATGGAGGATGAAGTGAGGTGGAGATGGGAGTCAAACGCGGACGTGATGGTGGTGTTGAGGAGGACACAATACGGCGCAGGGGTCGTAACAGAGACGGGGGGAGAAAAGAGGAATTCGAAGGCGACGGAGGATGTGAGGTCGCAATTCCTTCCTCCATCGCGTAGGTTCCATGCAATTCACGTTTAAATGAGCCACGTAAGATGCGCCTCCGGGCAACGCGTAATGGATGTCGTAGACGGAAGATGATGTAGCTCACCACAATTAGGACGATGCCGTAGAAGAGCACGGTGATGAACGAAAATCCCAAAGACTCGCGGGTCAAAGATGCTGGCAGGTGTGGGGAGACGTGGTCTTCTAATAACAGGTCGATATCCCAGAACGGTCGAATGGGTTTGATAGGAGGGTTGGGTGTGCTAGCAGGAATATCGTCTATGGGATCAGCAAGCGGCCTGCTACTGCTTGAAGATGGTTTGATTTCCTTGCTAGCTTCTAACACCATTTTACCCAGTGTCCAGCTAATGGCGATGTCTCCCACAGAGTCGACAGATTGAAACACAGGTCTTCCCAAACCCTTCGCTTCAGCTTGGTGTGCCACTGCTTCACCAATCGTGGTGGAGTTTCCTTCTGGGTCTACTATCCGTGGAATCCCAATCCCTTCATGTAGCACGTTGGCTATCCAAGCGGCCTTGAAGCACTGCATCTGCAATCTCGAAAGCTCCACATTCTTGCCCCACTTCCCGACCTCCATAACCTCTCCATTTTCCATAACTTCCCCATCACCGCCTCGCATACCCTGCGCCCTCAACAGATCGTGTTGGCGAACTATACCACTCCATTCCCTCCCGCAAAACTTTGTCGCAGCGCGCTCGTACTGCACGTAATCATACGGGCCGCCGAGCCCGAAGACATGTTCGGATGAATACCAGTATTCGGAAACACCAATAAAGTGGGAGGAAGCAAAGTTGATCGCAGGAACATGGACTCCATCAAAAAGGCATGGAGCAGTATTGCAAGGCGCGTTTTTGTTGAGGAGGGAAGCAGTACGATCCAGACATTGAGTGAAAGAACCTGTCCCAGCGAGCCGATGTGTTGAATGTGACCCATCAATTTGAGGAAGGATCTCGGAAAGTGTCAGATCTTTTGGGAGGCACGGGTCAGGTATGGATGGCGATTCCAAGGTCTCGAGCGAAGTCTCTTTGAAATCCTCGACGGCCTTGGCAACATATCGCTCTCGTGCCTGATTGGTACCGTAGCCCAACCACGTAGTGACAAATACCGAGTGGTTGACTTCGTCTCCGCCAAGTAGTCGTAAGCGGACATCAACCAAGTTCTCCTTATCTCCCGATAGCGTATCAGATGGCTCAAAGGCTATCTGGGTCGAAGCGCCTCCCATGTCCAGAAAGCCATAGGTCGTCTTCTTATCCTTTCCGTAAAACCCATCCATGAGATAGTTCACTGCTATCCATCCATACAAGCCTTCCTCCTCGCCAGTGATAATTCGTACACTAGACCCACACGGACCGTCCTTCGATTCGTCGTCTATCCGGAAGCTCGAGGCGCTTTTGAGATACTTACATGTGGCAGTGAGCACGCGCGCTTGCTGCACCGGTGTCAAAAGGCGCATACCAGCGGTAGCGAGGAGGAAAAGGGGAGTTTCGGATTCGAGGGAAGGAGGTATCTGAGAACGTGCATGTTTAAGTAGAGGTGCAAGGTATTCAGATACGCCCTCCGGGTTATCTGCGAATGTAGAAAGACCTATATGACAGAATTAGACATGAGCAGAATCTCAGACATGTACATACCCGGTTCAACCTTCATTATCCAACCATCTCCTTCCTGGACACCCTTCTCTACCTTGGGCAATTTATCCCGTACATCATCTCCCTGCTCGCTAAGCACGACATCGGGGTCCTCCCAGCTGTATATCTGAAGCCTTGAACCCGACGAGCCAGCGTCAATAACTATCCCGAAGCGGCGCGCAGCAAGCCAAGAACTAGAGGATGTCGGAGGTGGCATAGACCAGGGCCCAGCGGTAAAGAAATTAATGCTCCAACTTCACAAGAACGTACAGGACCGTAGTACAACAGCAAGGATTAGAATATGTGGAAGTGTATGCAAATGACGAGGTACGGATTTGACCTCGGCGGCCAGCCACCGAGGAACCCAGGCCCTTCCCGAAATAACGTTCGAAACATGTACACGTATGATCAATCTGACCAACTTCGCGAACTGATAACGGAATTCGAGTCGGGCAGAAATCTTTCATGCGGATCGCACGCGTGAGTGACCCGCAGTTTCTGGTAGTTCTTCCATCGGTTGCGCTTTATGCCAGTTTGTATGAGGCGTACGTAGTACTAGTATAGCCTGAAGTTACTTGCATATGTATACGGAAAAAGTTTCAATGTCAACACCGATTACTGTACCTTTCCAGTTCCTGCCTTGACTAATATGCACATGCTGACCTCAGGAAAGCCAAGGTGTCCTTCAATCAAAAAAATAGCTCCTGTATCAACACCGAATACTATGTCGAAACTAGATCCATACGTTCCAAATGAGCCCAACCAAGATGTTCCTTGAAGTTCCTCATCGCAGTGTAGTAGCTTTGCGAGGCCGCGATCGTGTCCCACCCCTTACCTCACCGCCTTTATCCTTCTCTTTACCCTTGGACTTCAGATCCACGCTCCACAGCCGTGCCTGTGCCTCCCTCAGGCGGAGCAAATCAAATACCCAATCTGTCTCCTGCGCCTTTGCTGCACCGTGCTCATGCAGCCTTTCTTCCTCTGCGTGAGAGAGGAGAGCAGCTGAAGTGCGCGCACCCGATCGCCATAGGAGTAGCTGCTGGATTGCCTCAGGGAGAAGAATGTTCACGCAATACTGTGGGCGAAGGGTAGTTATAATCGGTGAAAATAGTTATCACAGCATAATACGCACATCAAGTTTATCAAGGGTCGATAATGATTCGTATTCCTGTGAGCCTACTGGCCGCTGTCGATCCTGTGCAGGCATAGGGCCCTCAACCTGTGAAATGATGAATCACCACGGGCGGCGGGGGCGATATACCTAGCCTACCTCACCAGCGTGCGGCAAGTCAGAGTTACCACTAGAATCCAGCTGCAATCAAAAGTAAACATCTGGTTTTCGAAACTTAGGAGACTGAGATAGATCCTACCTTCTCTGGAATGTCCTCCTCGGGCGTATAAGGTTGATCATGCAATGGTGCAGAAGGCGGGTCATCCCCCTTCGGCTCTGAAGAATCATCAACCTGTGAAAAAGACGTCATCAACAACAACGAAAATACGCAAAAGGTAAATATAAAGAGCCAACCTGGTGAGGCTTGTCGGCTGTTGTTGCATCGTCATCAATCCGAATGCCAGTGTCGCTGGGAGGTACGGGCTGAGGCAGCACATCGTGGCTCGCGCTATCGGAACTTGCAGATATAGTGTCTGTCAGCTTTTCAAGTGACATTACGCCGGGGCCATCGGCCTGGTTGCCAATGTCACTGGGAGGGATGGGCTGAGATACGTCATGGTGGCCCGCGATGTCGGGAGTTACAGGTGTCTCGTCTACTATTCCGGCATCGGGCTTGTCAACTAGCATTGTATCGGTGTCATCGACCTGATTGACAATGTCACTGGGGGGTGGAGGTATGGGCTGAGATATGTCGTGGGCCGTGCTGCCGGAAGTTGCAGTAATATCGCTTCCGACGCCAGCGTCTGCCAACCCATCACCATTGCCTGCCAAAGCAGTCGGGCAGGGCGCGCTATCTTTCTCCGGGGGTGGCGCCGCCTCTACTTCAGACTCAATTGCTACATTGGCTCTACGGGCATACCCTTCTCCAAGTGCCCACCGTGCAATCAGCCTTTGTGACTGCTTTACCTCGTTCGCGTCCAAACCTCCTCTAATCGCCGCCCGCTTCATTAAAGCGGATCTAGCCGCACCCCCCCGCATGAAAGCCTCGTGGCTCTTGATTGCCGGGGTGTACTTCCCTTGTATGATAGCATTCAGCACAGGCTTCACGTATGCCAGTTGTGCATGTATCGACAAGTCAGCGAAAGCATCTGCACCAGGAGGTGGATCAGTCAACTGTGGGCTGGGGCTCAGCTTCCTGTCTTCCGGTTCATCTTCCGAGTCCGGTGCCTCATTGTCCTGGACGGCGCTTTCGAACTCGCCCATGTCACACATAACAAAGCCTTCTTCCTCAGAGGTCCAGAATTTATCTCGGGTGAGGTTGTACTCCTCTTCGTCCAGAAACTTGGCCCGATAGCGCTCCTTCCCGCCTGGCTTGGTTGGCGGAACATATGCCATAAGCTGCGCGGGCCAGTACTTGTTACTTCTTGATCGTAGTGCCTGTGCCAGAACAAGTTCGCCTGGTATTTGGAGCATGGGGTCCGGAGGTGGAGGAGACCAGGCGCGCTCTGTGGGGGCCTCGAGCTCAACATGAGGTGTGGCCTTAGCCTTCTTGATTGAACGCAGGCCGTCTACCTCCTCTTCTTCTGAGGAAAACGTTTCGCCAGTGTATGCAGAAATCATCTCGGGCATGCCATCACGCTTGAGTTCATCCGCGTCCTCCATAGCTTTCACTGCTGCCTCCCATCTTTCGCCAATGTCCGTCTTGGTTTTCTTACGAGGGGAGGGATTCGAGGATTCAGATGTGGTGAGAGATGAGACTTGAAAGGTTGCTCGTGAGAAACGCTTTTCGCCAGATCCATTATGAATAGGCTGGATGTTATATGCGGAGGGAGACGAAATTGTCGAAGGTTCTCGAGATAATGCCAAGTCGCCAAAGAGAGTTATGCGAAGCGGTTGCTTTTGTACGACCTAACCATTTGCCTGTGTGAATTGAGATATTTTCGGCATGTAAGGTAGTGCTCACCCTGGCAGGCCACCACATGCGTTCTTCTAGAACCTCGACGTCATCGTCATGATGCGGGACTGAGGTGGTAATGACTCCCAAATCGTTCACCAGCACCCAGACTAAAGTATCAACGTCACCGAAGCCATGCCCAGTACCCGGGGTACCCCGGTCAGATAATTTTGCCTTGCCTGCCTTCCTTTTCTTTGGGGAAGTTTGACTCCGGGGCTGTGAGAAGCTGGAACTTGATACTCCAAGAGAACGCAAAGAGCCACCCCTAGCCCTACTGAGCTTCTGCGGTGGCGGGGTGGAAAAACTTATTGTGGAAGGTGGGGGAAGATCCCTGGTCGAGATAAACGGACTTGTCGGGACGCTCGAAAATGGTGAGGGAGACAGGGTTGTGAGAGTGCTTACAGTGCCTTCCATATCCGAAAGAGAAGCTGAGGCCTTGCGTTTCTTCGAACGCGCGAATGGCTGGGAATGTGAGGGTGTTACAGGCTTGGGTTTAGGCTTGGGTTTTGGTTTGGGCTGGCGCTTGGAGGATGGTGACGGGCTGTCTGTCTGCTTTAGTGGTGAAGCGCGGAATTTGCCCTTGGCGTTATAGCGGTATTTCACATTAGGCTGCCTGCGCGACGCAGGCTCCCCAAATGAGTCTGAGGGCTCGGGCTCGTCGTCGGAGCGGCCTGGCGAATCTAGCTGGTCTGCAAATACAGCGGAAGCCCTCCTTGCAGCTCTTCGAGTAGGAAGGACGCGCCCAGATAGCAGCGGGGAAGTACTAGTAGTTGCCATATGGTCAGGGAGACCAGTGGAGTCAAAAGGACTGCGGACTGTCGGGATTCAGTCGAACAACTGAACAATAAAATGCACCTACAGCTGATATTCGCCCTTCTGATTCTATGGCAGGTGCAGTACCCTTGAAATGACTATTAGGGCCTCAGCCAACTCTGTCAGCCTTTCTTGCACTTTTGATGGACCCATAGCTGGGCGCGTTCTGTCACGTAGGTTCTACCCATGTCACATCACGCAATGCTTCCTCCTATCGTTCGCGCACGTCATGAATAATATATCGTATCAGCCGAATTCAATACAATTGACTAGGTAGTGACTAACTCTGCCTCTTTCCACCGTCTTCTCCTTATCGATCTCAGTTTATCGATGTGACTCAATTGTATTGACCTTCGATAAAGGCTCCCCACTCAGGATCCAACACGCGTGTGCCCTCACGCGCATTGAAACTGGACGGCGTTATCACTTTTAATATGATGACACTTCTGTGTCATTCTGGTGTTTACTAGACAGAAGAACATGGCGTGGCAATGGCAGAACCCTGGTCGGTTCAAGTTGACAGCGGTGATGTTATATATTTGACACGAGGATATCAGTTGAATGCTCACTTCCAGCTTAAATTCCGAACTTTGAACATTCTACGTAAGAAGTTCTATAGAACCTGCAAGAAGACATCCTCAGTGTCCAACACAAGACACCTACGTCGTACAAAATGCGCAGACTTCCAGCATGCCGCTCGAAGGCAAACGTTAGAATACATGGTAAATCACATCGTCCGAGCCTTGTGTATCTTCACATCTTCTCTTGGCCTGACAAGCAGTTAAGCATCTTTGAAAATTTTGCAACACGACGACTTACCGATCCTGAGCATCAATTGCAACAGCACCTAATCTTTGCACAACGCGCATGCCTGAGCTCACCCGGCCGAAGATGGTGTGTTTGCCGTCCAGGTAAGGTGTAGGCGCCAACGAAATGAAGAATTGAGATCCTAGAAGCGAGCCGTTATATCACAATCGGAGTATAACATCAAAAGCGGCAATCTAACCATTCGTATTGGGCCCCGAGTTCGCCATGGCGAGAATTCCTGCGCCCGTAAAGCGTAGCTCTGGGTGTATCTCATCCTCGCTGTACACATGTCATAAGTTCACGTTTGGAAGGAAGCCTTACGATGGACGCACAATTTCTGACCGTAAATGCTCGTTCCACCTCTACCAGTTCCGGTTGGGTCACCACCTTGAATCATGAAATCCTGCAAGTACAATCGATCATGAATGTAAACGCTTCCCACAAAAAAAGCTCAACTGACAGCGATAATTCGATGAAACACGACGCCGTTGTAGTAGCCGCGTTTCGCAAGCTCAGCAAAGTTCTGACATGTCTAAAATGAAACGTCTTGATCAGTTCAGTCAGAGTAGAGGCGCAAAACAACAGAAGAAACTCACCCGAGGGGCATGGTTCCAGTACAATTCGAGCTGAATGTCCCCAAGACTGGTTTCGAGAACAACTGAATCCATGATGGTACTTGTGAAAAATAAGGATAGTAGTAGCAAACAAAGGCAATCAAATGACACTATCAGTGTATCACCTTACACCTTGGGCCTATACTTCGATTCGGATAATAAAATTGCATTGCTAGAGCAGCATGATGCACCAGAGACTTCAAGAACTAAAATCTTAGGAAAAAGAGCAATAAATATTGAGACCCGTAGGTCTACCACTCCGGGAAAGCGTGTCATCCTTGTGCAGGGGCCATGCTAATCTTCTCTGTATCGTTCCAATTTTTCGTATGTCACCCCGAAGGGGACAGCACGAAGTAGATGTGCAAAGTAAAGCTCAGGACACTTTTGTTTTGGATTTGGATGACGGGTTTTGCACCATATCGGGTAAACAAGAAACTGTTTTCCAAATGAGGATTCACCCCTCTAGGCTGCCGCATTAGCACAAATCACCCTTTGAAAGCGACATGACACCATAGGGACGAAGTAAGGTATAGGCTCATCATTTCACAAGGCCGTAGAGATAGTGGTATCTGAACTTCAATGAATGCTACATACGATGACAGGTGTCTATCGGAAGCAACATGAGTATCATCAAATACATGCAGTAGTTAGTACTCTATTCCGACGAAAACGTTGTGAAGGGAATGGCCACTTGGCGGGTACGGGGAGCAGTACCTGTTTGTCAACTGTGTGAAAGACACGGGAAGCACCGTATGAGAACTGCAAAGCAGCTAACGTCTGGAACATATTCAACGTCCAGTGGGGAAGGGGGTTTGTTCGTTGCAGCAGAAGCACCGGTACTTCCAGTCTGCAAGGTTGCTGGGGTAGTTCCGTCGGTCACATTGGATGTGCCCAATGGGGGTGCGCTCCTGCTTGAAGCACCAGCATTCGCTACACCAGTGTTGGAAGTGTGGGGTGGTTGGGGAGGGGGACGTGGTCGCTGTACCACATGCCGTTTCCCGCTGATGGCATTAGCGGTGCGCTGCGGGGATGTCATGAAAACGGGATCATGGATTGCCACAGTTCGGGAAACTTACGTATTTCCCTCGAGTTGCGAAGACATCCGCAGTGGGGATCCTGCTGGGGAGGGGAGTATCACCCTGAGGAGCGGAGGAGCGAGAAAAGAGACGGTTCATGATGTTTTTCATTCGTGAGCCTTCGGCATGGCGCGTGGTTGTAGTAGTGCAGTTGTTGCGTCCAAGTGGGGAATGCGTATCAAGCTGGAGACGGATTTTGAGACGTACATTGAGACTACCGTACCATATGGACTTACATCATCGAAGAACCTAGGGGGGATCCTAGTGCGTTGTGGGCGAGGCTTTTGGCCTGGGATGGTCTTCTGCAAGACTGAAGTTAGGCATAGTACATAACGAGGAGAAAGGGAGCGTACTTGAAGAATTTTCTGTGCAGATTGTATAACAGGTCAGCATGAAACAAGACATATTGAGGAGATTATTTGCTCGCCTGCTCTGATTCACTCTGAGGAACTGTCCATGTGCGAATGAGATCGTCGTCACAGCCGGTCGCGATGAGCTGGCCATCCTCGGAAAAGGCTACACACGAGACGACCGCAGGGTGCTCGAGTGGTTCGCCGATGGGGTCGAATGTGGTCAGGTCAAAGAACCGCGTTGTTTTGTCATCGGATGTGGTGGCGAATTTGGTGCCATTGGGAGCAATGGCTAGTGAGAGAAAGTTTTCGGTGTGCGCCTCAAACTGTTTGATGATGTCTCCAGTGGCAGCATCTGATATTCGGATGTCTTTGTGATTTCCACTGACGAGACGGAGACCATCTGGAGTGAATGCAACTTCGATTGCCCGCTGTTCTATTTTCAGTAGTTCTTCTCCATTTTCTGAATTCCAAACGATGATGTGTTCTTCCGTGCCCGCTGCTAGTTTGCTTCCATCGGGGGAGTATGCCACCGAGTATGCTACATTGCCCACTCGGAGTGGCCCGAGGACCATTTTGCCCGTCTTCCTATTCCACGCGCATACTGTTTTGTCCCATGACGCACTTGCAAATGTTTCGTTGTCCGGTGCAAATACGACGCCCCGAACAGAATCCTCATGCCCCTTGAACGAGACTGGCACTCTCTTAAGCTTGTTTGTCTCAACTTCCCAGACCAGGATGCTTCCGTCCCACGCTCCACTCACAATCCAACACCCGTCGGAGGATGCTGCAACCGTCCAAACTTCATCATCGTGACCCAACAAGGGCTCCCCCACCTGTTTCCTCGTGTCCAAATCCCACACCCGAAGACTTTTGTCCCAAGAGCAAGTGACGAGGAGACGTGTACCAGGGATGAAAGCTACGCCGCTCACAACTTCTTCATGACCCTTGAGCGTCATTTCGACACGAGGTAGTTCCTTTCGAGTCGAAGATGCTCCATGAGTGGTTGCCGCCATTTGATCTTGTTCAATGAATCAGTCAGCAAGAGCATCGGGGAGGGAGTCACCTACATGCGCTATGGTGAGTGGTTGCTAAGTTGCATCTTCGACAGCATACTATTGCTGAATCCAAATGCCGGCCTTGCTGTAGACACGTGGTGTCCTGTTTACAGGTTCCACGTTCAGCGCTTCTTTCAACAGTTCTCTGTAGTAGGCGCCGTGGGCCGTGGCCACTTACTGTGCTTCGACATGTCGTGGCTGATACAATCTCTCGGCCACATCACTCGATAGAGATATCTTATCCCATTGACATTTTTACCAATAGGTGACCAAGTGATTTTTTTCTGCGCACGCAGATGCTTCAGTGTTTCTCTGCGCCAGGCCTTCTCGAACTCAAACGCTCTCAAATGTATGCCATCGAGAGTGTTTTGGAGAAGCCCATTAATCCGATCTAGGGCCCTCCTGGTACTGGAAAGACAGTAACTTCCACTTCTATCGTCTATCATCTCGCCAACATGAATCTCGGTCGAGAGTTCGTCTGCGCGCCGTCGAACATGGCTGTCGACCTTGCGTTGTTATCCCCGACAGTTACATATTCACCTAAGTCTGTTGTGAAGCTTTTGGATATGACTGATGTCTTGCAGGCTCTTAAGGAAACTTTGCGGGAGGCATTAATCAGGAAGCCGTGTGTATACATAGAAGAGCTAACGTGTCCTATCATGCTAACCGATATGTGATCATCATCAGCTTCGCTCACCTATCCCTCCGCCTGGTGCCAACACAATGGTCAATGCCGACAGTGCTCACACACCAGTGGAACTAATTACGGTGCCTGCACTTGGTCCGGAATGGTAATTATCTGAGATGACAGCCCTGACTAAGTCGGGTCGACAAGACATCAAGAGTGAGAAGCGGCAGGAGAAGTGGAAACCTAGCATCGCGGGCAGATGGGTTTGTGCGGAAAGTGGTTCACGAAAAAGTTCCTGGCCTTCTTCCTGTTTGAGTAGTGCGCCATGTAAGTCACACTCGTCCTCCCGAGCAAAAATATATTGAAAGCTTCTGTAGCATTGGCACTATACTCGCAATCACTATCCCTCGAGCACTTGGTCTGTCATTCAACAGCTTCACGTCTCTGTTTGCCGCCGCTGGGAACTACAACGCCTCAATTGCCACTGAATTCACTCGGTACTCAGCCAATGTCTCCTTTCTAGCATACAGAGTTATCTAATATTATTCCACTTACGTTCAACTACATCTCTGCAGAAGTTCGGGATTCAATCGCGAATCTACAAGTCGGCACGATTTACTTTGGAAAAGATACCCTCCCCGCCAAGTCATTGGAAGATCCAGGTCCCGCTCAACTTGTATATTGCATTGAACATCTCGGATCCAACGTGGAATATCGGCATTGTGGTCTGCGTGATGCTTTCCGTATACGCAGTGTTTGACTTGCTCATGCTGGGGATGTGAGGTCAGGATATATGTATCACCTTACACCTTAGGCCTATACTTCGATTCAGATAATAAAATTGCATTGCTAGAGCAGCATAATGCACCAGAGACTTCAAGAACCAAGATCTTGGGAAAAAGTGCAATAAATATTGAGACCCGTAGGTCTACCACTCCGGGAAAGCGTGTCATCCTTGTGCAGGGGCCATGCTAATCTTCTCTGTATCGTTCCAATTTTTCGTATGTCACCCCGAAGGGGACAATATGCAGTGGATGCGCAAAGTAGAGCTCAGGACAATTTTGTTTTAGATTTGGATGACGGGTTTTGCACCATATCGGGTAAACAAGAAACTGTTTTCCAAACAGGGATTCACCCCTCTAGGCTGCCATCAGCACAATATTTGACAGAGATATGTCACGCTGGCGTGGTTTCATCTTTTGCGCGTCTCATCGAAGTACGTGAAGGTCGTGCCGATCAAACACTCAAGCCTCAACCTTCGTGCTTAAACATTGAGCATGCAGCATGACTTTTTGACCAATCAGGCTACATATTCATCTGTTTCCCATGTCGCCAGGAAACAAGACAGCATATTCTATGTTCCATGTTTGTTATTACTCTCATATGCTCGTGACAACGCTGTAGCAGAAATAGTACATTTGCAGTCCTAGTATAGGTTGAGCTCAAGAAGTATTCAAATTGAGAAAGTGTTACGGGGTATGTGTCAATTTTGTAGTTCGTCTCTTTCAGGCAACCCAATCCCGGGGTGGGTTTTGGCCCATTCGAGACGTTCATCCAGCCAGATATCTTGGTCGTTAGAAGCCCAAACGTTTACCTGGAAGTACAACATGTCTGTAAGCCGACGGAAAGGACGACCCATGTCACACGCCTCTCTCCACTCCGGGTATCGGGCGGACCCTTCCATTGCTGAAAGAAAAGCAGCACGCAAAACTTTTCTTTCTCCACTGGTTCCACCTTCGAAACTGGACTCTGGGTCATCCGCATCTTGTAGCCATCGTGGGATCACTGCGCACTCCCATAGAGGTGCGATGGTGGCTGCTTCAAAGTCGATAAAGCCAGTGACTCGACCTGTATCGGTATCGATCTATCACACGTACGTTTATATTGGGCACAAAAAGGGCATGGGCGTTCATAGACATACCATGACATTTGATAAACGGAAGTCATCAAACTTTAAGGAGAATGGTCTTCGTGGAGTAGTGATATTGGCAGGTACCAGCGCATCACCAGGGTATACAGAGCACAGCTCAATAGCCTTTCTCATAACACGCTCCCCAAGTTCAAGTCGGCTCTCTGCTACCTGAGTAGGGTCGTATTCGTGAAGTTCAGAGAGAACAACAGAACGGTTATTGGAGATAAAATCAAGTTCTGCCCGTAGATTGCTCGAAAGATATTCAGTTACGGTGGAGAAAGGACCTCTGTTTGAATCGACATCTTGTGAGACGGGCGCATTGGGAATCCGGACAACGCCGTCGAGAGCACGGTAGAACGGTGTGCTGACTATCGGTCCAACAACGAAGTGAGGTGAAAGAGGGCTCAAGTAAAGAGACCCCGCGCTTTCAAACCGAAGAGAACATATCTCCAATAAATAGTGTGCAATTTGCGTCACTACGGTCTTCTTGATCGCCTCGGAGAGATCCCCCCAGTTCTGGCTAGCAGGGGTCCCTTTAACCTTGGGTGCGCCGCGGTGTATGAGTAAAGTATCCTAGACTGAACATGTTATTTTTTGGTAACCCACCTTGTCCAAGATCATGTATTCCGCTCCAACAGGATTCGACGCGTCAGAGTTCCACGCATAGATTCGCGGAACAGGTACATTTGTGAACGCAGCGATCATCTTGCACGTCGCGACCTTTCCGAAAAACGTAGAGTCTTCAATACCAACACAGGTAATACATAATGTATATTTGTAGCTACCTCCGACTCAAGTTTGTCCTTTGGAAACGCAGGAGAGGCTACCCGAACCACAGCATCAAGTGGGGCACCATCTAATCGCAATATATCATATACCTATACAGATAATCAAACAATAATCTGTGGCATGTAATGCCAGACGAACCTTGTGATAACCTCCTTCAGCCAGCTTCTCCAGCTTGCAGCTTGTCAAGAAATAACGATCAACAACTGATCGCAGTTGAGTAAGGCTAAAGGAATCCGGTTCACCCTCCCCGTTGTACGAGAACGTGGACATCCGATCATATGCATCATCGCTCATGCTGTAAGAGAGTAGGAGGAGGAGTCGTGATCAGTGGCGTACTAGTCTATGATGTCAGAAGGTGTGGGAAATTAAGTTAGTGCGGAGAACTATGTACATAACGTGCTGCATTGAATTCTCAAGAATACACAACAGCAGTATTTGACTCGGACAACATGAGGAGCGCCTCAGGCTAGCTACCTCCTTGTGAATCCTTCGGTACGCAAGGTGGAGCATTCAAAACCATGCACAACTTTGTTGCGAGTGCTTCCGAGCCTTTACTGGGAGAGTTGACATGGCACGAGGTGCAATGCAATGTTCGTGTGATGCGATGTTTGTGTGTTTGCGATATATATTATTTCACTTGCGTTGTGCGCTGTGATGCGCAGTGCAATTGTACGTCGTTCGCACAGTTAAGTGGTGTTACACTGGATGATTATCGATTTCAACCGAAAGAAAGATTCAGCATAGTACTATGGTAACTCACATGTACTCACATTTCAACATATCTCACTGGGGCTGAGCGCTGAGCGTCGGTCACAGATATCTTTTGACGTGGACCCAGTGCCATAAGGCACTCAGTGAGCATCTTCACAATTCAGTATCCTCAGGTAGCAACATAACCTGTGCTGGCAGTGGTAAGTAGAGCGGGATTAAGCCGTAATGATTTGTCTGTAGAGATCTTTATTGACGATCTCCTAATGAGCAAGTTTCGTTACAGTTCTTGCTCGCTGTCCAAGTCACTTGCCCACATCCCCGTTCACGGCGCAAACAGATTGACTGTAAAATCATTGGTATAGCTGCCTTGTTTCGCGTCAGAACATGGTAACGAGCCCGTCTGCGGGGACAATGAGCTGTCCGGGAGTAACCAATAATCGGTTTTTTTTCGGGGGGTTGCCACTTTACGAGGGACGGGTTCACTGAACAGTCCACCCCTTCTGACTCGAAATTATGATCTGTACGCAAGTTTTGTCACCCACAAGTAAGTAGTTTGATCGATTTTGAAAGGGCGATCAGCACCGTGACGTCAATCGCGATGCATTCAACGGTCTCTGCTGGTTGTATGAGACGATGAAATATTGCTAGTTGTATATATGGCTCAAAAGATTCACTTCACCAGCATAAAAGGTGCAAAGAACCGGTGTCGTACCAATCACCAATGCACTATTGTAGGTGTTCGCCTATGGCTCGGTCCACGGTTGTTTCAACGATCCGGTTCGTGATCCAGCATTTTCCGAATGGACCTTGCGAACAGCTGCAAGCAGACAATGTTTGTTTCGTTATGTCACGGTGGCAAACCCAAACAAGAAACGCTGTTTACTCACTCCACACCCTGATGCGGAACAACGCAGCTACAGCACGTCCAAAAAGGTTTACAGTCAACAACGCACGTGGCGTCAACGGGGATATGACTAGTGACTTGGACAGCAAGGGCGCATCAGAGAACCAGTGTCTTATAATGGCATTATATCGTCAAATACAGGAAATGATTGAAGAACAAAACAGAACTTATCTGTAGATCGTCGGAAAAAGTGGTGGTCTCTGTGAAATTTCGACGCGAGCTTGACACCAGAAAATTCTCATGAAGCCTCCAGAGACATCGTTTTGCCACGGCGCATCAGGAACGTACAGCAGATGCATATTTCTGGGCTGACACCCTATACTGTCTGTGTATAAAAGCGAAGTGATAACTTTCAGTTCAATAACAAAAAACATCATCCAAAGTCCCATCCTAAAGCAAAACAATGAAGTTCACCTCTTTCACCACTATGTTTATGTCTGCTGCAGCACTGGCGGGCATGGTCATGGCGCAGAACCCTAACGGCGGGCCATGCGCCCATAAGGGTAATTACCTTCAGCATACCGTGTTTTGACGTCAGACTGTGTGCTTACGGGTGCTTGCAGAGAACTATGAGTGCGGACGGCTCGCGGGTTATAACCACGGCTACGCGTTTTTGTTTTACTGTTCGGAAGACATCACTGTCGAGGTCATCCAGTTATGTACCTGTGTGGACTGCTGTACCGTCGTCAATGGAGGTGTAGGCATAGATGGGTTCTTCAGCTGCACATAAGAGGAAAAAGTGAGCCCGCTTCTTGCTTGCTGTGTCCATAACGTCATAGTGATGCATTACAGCTGTCTCCTCAATTGGTGGTACTGGCACTGGGGGAATTGCTTTGGCATCTACCACTGCCCACTTGTACCTGTAGTGTTGAAACTTAACAGTATCAGATTAGACAAATACTTTGTTGCGAAAATGACTCCAAACCCTCGAAAGTGAAGCATCAAGGTCAGACAATGACAGGTCGATCTCAGCTCCCTCGTTGATGTTTCTGCCTCGTTGGCGCTACATATGTGAAGACAATTCCTTACAATCAAAGATGCGAATGCCTACCTTTTGATAAAACAGCCTCGCCATCTTCTCCCATCACAGCCACCCTACTTCTAGATCCACGAAAGCGTGCGGTTGCCTTCTAATCGGCCAAATAAATCCCTTAGACATCCCGCGAACATCGGCCACCAGCAGTTCAGCCGCCGAGTTCAGTTTGTCCAGGACCGCTGACAGTGTCTTGACTGCTGCCCAGGTCCTGCGATACCGAGCAGCAGCTGTCCCAACGGCCTGATCAAATTTTTCGAGCACGGCGGATGCCATAGTATTATCCCTTTGCCCGCAAATGTAGGCGTCCTTGAATTTGTAGATGTGTGTGAAGATGAAGTTGCCGGTGAAGGTCATCGAGAGCTTCATGTGCCTATGCACACCGCAAATCCCACTCGTATCCACAAAGACGCTCGTCACACGAGATCTCAGTTGCCTCCTTCAGCTTTGACGGTAGTTTAACTTTGTATGCCTTCTCCTCGCGAGCTGATTGTGCACCCACCATTTCAGATACAGCCAGGCGGTCAACGGTAGGCATGTAGAGCAATTGGACATTGGACCACTGCTCTATCTTGCACATCAGTGCATTGGCACGCTGTTGCAGCTTCGTCAGCTGCACATCTGTCGGATGACCACTCAGAACGTTATGATCTGCTGCAGGCACGATCTGTAGGTTTTTCCATTAGAAAGCATCAATATTAATTATGTAGCGTTGATCCAGTAGATTCGGGAGTATATATAGGAAATGGCCGCGTTGTTGCCTTGAGATCTAGGTGAGAGCAGGATGACGATGACTGGACAGGCTGAGCATGATATACCCTCTTCTGGGAGAGCCGCGGCGACAGCCATGGGTAAAATTTCTCCGTCTGCACGATCATACCGGCCCGCCCAAGGTCCGCCGACCTCATTTGGACAAGTACTATGAAGGTTTGTCAGCATCAATCGAGCCTTCCAGAGGAGTCGAAGAGGCCCCCGGAAGCTCTGCCAAATGTCTGTCCGCAAAATAGCAGATTTCAGAGCAAAATTTGACCAAATGTCTGTCCTAAGATAGCAGATTTGAGGCTGAGTTTACCTGAGGTCTGTCCTTAGATAGCAGATTTTTGACGGCCGGCCGGCACCTGTCAGGCGCCGTCAATCACAAAATATAGGAAAATGACAGTCAACTGTCAGACAGCAATTGAGACCAACACAGACCAGCGAGGACCAGCGCCTGCCGTATTTTCATTTCCGTGCTTCTCGCAGCCTTCCCGAGCTATCCATGGATGTACCAATACCCCGCAATGCTCAATATCAAGTCCGAAGGATTCGCAACATTGAGCTAGTGTACAGTGATCTACGCAGCCTGATTTCCGGAGGCACAAAAATACCTCGCACGACGATGAATGCTTTTGGTGCAGCCCTTAGCCCCAAGGTGTGTCATATTATAAATGTTGCCCCTCGTTGACTGTTCAACACCAACACTATTTAGAATTGCCGAACCTTGCTACAAAAAATATATCTAGCCTCTTTCCGCTCAAACACGGCTCCTATGTGATTATGCACACTGCTGTACGGTTCTACATTGGCGAAGTGCTTGACTTGTACAGGAAAGGTGCCAACAGTCGTTATGGTTCCATTCAATCCACGACGAGTGTCTCCACATTGTCCTTTCTCTCACTTTGAGTTTACCTTCCACTGGAGACTGCAGTGAGTAAATTCTGCGCCATAATATTTGTTCTAACATGTTCGCTGTTTCAGGCTGCTGCTTCTAATGCCGACGACATGCTCTATGAAGACGAAGATGTGTCGCCCGATGCTGTCCCATCATTTTCCTGTCTTCCCAGCTGCTAGTAGCTACCAGTACGAGACCCATACACATGCTCCTGCAAGCAGCATTCTCTATCACATTGGCAAAGGGGCTCTCAAAGGAACAAACTCACGGGCATTGGAACTGTCCAATGCCAATGCTCGCCACTGGATAACCCTGACCGCACCACAGGTTAAGCAAAAATTGCCTAGACTCAAGATTTCTGGGGGTAGGATCACGAAAGCTTAATTCTACTTAATGCTATATCACAGATACGTATTCAATGGGTGTGCTTGGGATGCATCCGTCGTTACATACCACTCTTGTTCACTGAGATACTATGTGTTCTTCGTCGTGTCACATCTTGCTGCGGTGTCACATATGTCAGACCGTGTGACACGTGACATGTCTGTCCGGAATAGCAGATTTTACACCCGAAAAATAGCAGATTTGAGAGCCAAAATGAGGTCGATGGGCGGACAGACATATGGGGGAGCTTCCGGGGGCCTAGTCGAAGCTGCTGTGTCTCTCACTGAAAAAAAAAATGAATCATTTCGCTCACCTCTCCAATGCGCTTCGGGATTAGAGGACAGACGACACAACAGACAAAGGGTACAGGTATGCCCGGAGGGCCATTGCGAATGACGTAAGAGGAGGCTTTGAGACTTTCAGGCACTTTCCGAACAACAGACTTTGGACAGGCCGGCTATTATCTGTTCGAATTATTGCTGGTACCGGATTTCATCTTTTACGCGGCTCATCGAAGTACACGAAGGTCGTGCCAATCAAACATTCAAGCCTCAAGCCTACTATCCAAATTATATGTCATTCAAACGATGCTGGAAAATAGCAAGAATACACAGCGAAAGCAAACAGCAATGACAACATGAGGAGCGAGGCTAGCTAACTCCATATTAATCCTTCGGTACGCAAGATGGAGCATTTCAAACCATGGACAACCTTTGTTGCGAGTGCTTCCGTGCCTTTACAGGGAGAGTTGACAAGCGACGGACTGCTGCTCCCGAAAGGTCTGGAGACAAGTGAAGTGGGCCCGGGGGAAGTGTCTGTGGGACAGAGGGAAATTCATCAAATATTTCCTTTTCAAGAATACTGGGGGCAGGAGAAGATGATGAGTCCCGTGAGACCATCCAGTGCGATGGACGTGAGCCGGGTAATTCACTGGCATGGCGACCTGGAGAGCTTTTGGTTGGGGATGGGGTGGGAGGCTGCGATAATGTAAACGACCTCTTTGGCGAGTTCTTTGACGAGCTATATATCGAGCCTTGGTCTTGATGGGCAGCATACAATAATTTAGTCCATGTGAAGGTCTTCTTCTGAGCAGCTCACACACCTGACTCCATCGTGCTGACGTTCGACTTGGTTCTGTTGCGGTTGAACAGCTTATCCGCGAACGAGCTAGACCTGCCCATACCGCCCTTCTTCGGAGATACACTTGGCCATGCGATACCAAAGCCTGACCCATCTCCATGGTCAGATGGTGTTGCGATTTGAGCAGAGTCCTCAGAGCATGTTGAAATGCTGTCCCGAGGGTATGCTCCGGGCATGTGGTTCGACGAACGACGACCAGTCAGTCGCCGAATGCTCGAGAGATATCCTTTATGTGAAGAAGGAGACCGTTGTGACGCAGACGTTGAAGCCAGACTCCTCCCGTCACCCTCATCCTCCTCGGGGATGTCCCCATCAAAGTAAGGTTCTCGAATAGACGGGATAGAGATAGAACGCTCTGAAAGGGATGCGGTCTCCGTGGATGGAGCTTTGACGTGTTCTGTAAGCGTCGACGAAGATACGGACCGAATATCGGTTGCGAAAGTGTCGGTGGTTGGGGTTTTGGGAAATGCGGCTTCAATCGACTCTGAACTATCCCCCTCAGTGAGTTTCATCTCAAGCAATGCTGCATCTTCTAGCAGGATGGCAAGTTCTCCATAGCCCGGGCTCGAAAGTGGCTCGGCAGCGATAGTGATTCCCATCCGCCGCACTCGCGCAATTTGTGGTGTCATAGGTGCAGAAAGGGATGAAGCCGGTAATGTGGCGGCGGGCATTTCTGTGACCTTGCGATGCACTACGGCTGTGAAAGAGCGCTTTACTTCAGGCTTGGCGGCTTCTATGTCTAAATCAGGTGATGGAGGGCTGGGTTGAACCTGAATCCTTGGATGAGGCGCGCTGATAGAGATGGTCCCACGTTCCTCGGTAGGCGGGGATTCAGACGCCAACAATGATGGGGCTGCGTCATTATCCACGTTGTCATTGACATAATAAGATTCTGGGGCAGTGGTAGACGTCTGGGGATGGGTCAAGGCTTCGGTAGCCGCATTGGGGGCGACGAACGAATGCGAAATAAGTGAAGGCGAGTCAGGAAGCGCAGCGTCTGAGGGCTGAGCGTCGGTCACGGACGCATCTACCGACAGTGGGGGATAATATGATGTTTGGGGTTGCTCGTCCGAAGGAGGATCAATAGTCTGATCAGGCTCAACAGCGGGAGTCACCTCCACTAGAGTAGAGTCAGCCTGCGAGGCAAGCCCTGGTACCGCTGACTCCTGTTCTGCCTCCGATGGTGTATCCATATCTTGGGGAAGTGCATCATTTGATGAGGTGACAGGTTCAAGGGCCAGGGACGGGGCTATAATTCGAGAAGTGTCTCCTACCCCCAACAAAGGCGAAGGAGACGGAGAAGGTGAAGGAGATTCAGAGTCTTCATCCACACTCCGAGACACCTCTCCGGAGCTGATGACGCGTTCCGTAGGACCAAAGTCGACTGCTAGGGAGTTGCGACGCGCAAAAGGAAGAGTCGGCGTGGGCGGAAGCGGCGGGATAGGTTCATTCGTTGCAAATCTCGGGGGAGTGCCTTTCATGAGCGTACCCCCGGTAGAGACACAACGTTTTCTTGGCAAAGGTGAGTCGTCCGCTTGGGGGAGGGGTGAGCCAGACCGACTCGACGGCGTGCCGCCCGATTTCCCAACATTCTGCACTCGATTACCATACAATTCTCCACGCTTCTTCGCTGGCGCGTTCTCTGCCAACTGAGGCGCGCCCATAGCGAAGCTGCCTCGTGGAACAGGGATTCCTCCCTTCTCCTCAAATTTGGCGATTCTGTCGCGTAAACATCCAGTTCCACTACTTGGGAGGTTCTTCGAAGCGAATTGAGATGTTTGCTGTTGACTTGGAGATGCATTCCGCTGCTGAAGAGCAGCGATACGGTCCTTTAGATTGACTGGAGGGGGTACGTGCGTGAGGCCGCCCTACAGTCTGATGGTCAGCCGTGCCCATATATGCAAGAAGTCGTCCACAAACATTGACCGGGTAAACTATATTGAGATTTGAAACGAGAGGCGGACAATTGGTAGTTTCAGTGATGGCGGGTTGCAATGTTGTGGTCAAATGGACGAAGAACCCAATAACAGGCGGGAGTTCGCAAATCTGCAATTGCCAATGGAATTACCACTAACAAAGTGCAAAGTGACTGAGAAAAACAGCTGGCTAACAACGGCTAGCAACGGTCGTGCATGAAGCTAAGATGATCATCTGATGATCAAGATGTCGACGTGTGACCCCCTCATCTCCATCCTCCAAATACATGGTTAACTTTGACTACTTCAAGCTTATTCGGCTCCGAGCCGTAACCTTCAAATAGCACACAATCAGTTGCGGTCATCATCGCTGTCGTCCCCAATCCCCTTCGACAGCCAATATGCTCTGCGTCTGCTCATCCTACTTCGCGTTTCATCACCAGAGGCCTCATCATCTAAACCCATCTCATAGGTCCCTTCTTCCTCGTCTAGTTCCTCGTCAACTGAGTCGTCTTCGTCGGCGGTGAATTCAGGTTGTTGGCCTGACTGACTAGCTTCATGCCGCTGTACAGTGCGCCGCTTCTCGATATGATATTTACCAAGCTCGTCATTATCTTGACGCGAACCGCTAGGTTCTTGTGATAGTGACTCCTCGTCGGTTTCGATCATCATATCCACGCTACGCTCCCGGGTCCATGTGGTCCTGGCTGCAGTTGTTGACGATCTTTCCTGAGCAGTGGAAGCGTCGAGGACGCCAGCGACAACTACACGGGCTTTGGGCGAAGTTCCGAGCAGCTTATGGAGCAACCGCTGGTCATAAACCTCTTGGAGTAATAATCGGTTATTCAACGTCTGTTGTGATGTTTAACATACGTTAATTAATAGTATAAAGAGAACTATACCTCTTGGTTAACGCCAAGTATACTGGACAAAATACTCATATCCTCTGGCTCCCCTTGTCGACGTAAAGGGTATGTCCGTCCTTCCCTGCGTGCACCCAAGATCCCAGCCCGCATAAAGGCCATTGATGTCATGATTCCATGGGCTCCTGCAAGAGTCTGCCGAACTTTCGCAATTCCGTAAGAGCCTTTGGAAATATCATTCGCTAGTAGTGAAGGTATCAATGGTGAAATGACTGCGGAAATTGAAAAAAAAAAAATTGGCTCACAAGGATCGGTAGGGTCCTCAATCGACAAAAGGTTCTTCTTGGTGAAATCATACCATCCCCTTTGTCTTTTGCTAAAATATGACCCGCCGTTACGCACAGATATTCCAACTTCTGCATAGTTGAAATAGCAACCATAGAGCTCGAAGAACTCCATAACCAAAACTCCAAGATTCTTCTCTGCATCTATCTCCCCCCTCTGGATCTTGGGATGCATCTGGAGAAAGCTGACTGCCAAACAGACGATGCTGTAGCTCCCCAGACCGCCGGTATACACTTCATTCATCCCCCGCTGATTTAGAAACGCTTTCGCGATGATGACGAGACTTCGAAGCGCAAACCCACACCCGCGCATGTTGCTGAGGAAGCCGTTCACGATCTTGCCAGCGACGATGCCATTACCCTGATTTATGCTGATATCAACGTTTAACCTGCCATAAATCGTGACGAATTTGATGATGGGCACTTTGGCTTTGGCAATGATGGTAACTTTGGAAGCGATCTTCGCGCGTTTGATAACGTTGGCGAGAGTGCGTAGAACATTCACTTTATCGCTGTAGGCCATCGATTCCGAGTCGATCACGAGATCTATGTCCCTGTGCAGACTTTTAGCATTGACACCAATGTGACATATATAATGCTTACCCATTAGGGAGGTATAGTTTGGTTTCATAACTTCCAAAGGGTAGTATCCGGGCATCTGGGAATGCATTCGTGATCGCCCTTGAAACGAGAGATATCACCAGTTCACGGATTTCCTCTTCAACTTCAGTTGGTGACATGTAACGGACAAATGCCTCAACCTCGCGATGCAACCTTCAGAAATTCAGCATACAACGTCAAGGAAGGTTACGAGGCGTACATCTCTGCAACATTGCGACAGCTGTCCCAGTCGACTTTTGCAATCCAAGGAGCCTTTCTCGAAGCAGGGCGGTGGTCCTGTCTGTGTTTGCTGAAGTCCCGCAAATCTTCACCAAAAACCATTTCGTACGTTCGTTTTGTTCCACGACCGCTTCTGTCGCGCGGTCCATCCCTATCCCTTTCACTTGGTTTCCCTTTGTCCCATTCTCGTTCCGGCACCTTCTCTTTTGTTGTTTCCACCTTACTGTGATGGGAGACGTGCGTTTTGGGTGCTTCAGCTTCATCATCACTGGTCGTAAATGGTATGAATTCGTCGCCGATTTCGAACGGTCTATTTGAGTCATTGGGCAGTTCACCTAGCTCAAGTTCAGAATCCTTTTCTTTGCCTCTGCCATTGGTTCTCGCCCGTTTTGAAGGTGGTTCCTTTGGGGTCCTATCGTAATCGTGCTCAACGGCTGTTTCTTTTGCTTGCTCCCTCTCGTCCTCTCGTTCTTTTACTCGCTTACGTCGCTGATTCCGTGCTGCTCGATATTTTTGCCGTGATTGGGAAACAGTGTCCGACATCGTGGGCTGTCCAACACGCCACTGTCAGAACAAAGGGTGTTTGTTTGGATCAGAAGCTTTTGCCAAACAAACGCTTCACGGTGTATGTCCCTTTAAACGGACATTCACAACAACTTTATCAATTTTACATTCGTCGCCATAGAATGTACAGATAATAACTCGGAGGAGGATGAGAAATTTGTATTAAGTGAACTCCACCCTCTTCAAACGCGTCTTCACATCCTCATTTCTACCAACGTCCTCCAAGTGGGCATCTCTTTCCGCGAAATAATAAACCCCAGTGCTAACCTCTTGCACATCCTTCCCGTATCCAGTCCAACCACACTGCATGGACGCCACGCTATTTGATTTGGCCTCCTCTGAGGCACCCTTCGCGCCTCCAGCGGACCTCACGCAAACCAGTGACTCTGCTCCCACCGGGAATGCATTGAAATCCAGGTCCAAATGAACCATTCCAATGATGTTGAGAAACCCCTCCGCAGTTTGAAGAAGCTCCTGATTTCTGGAACTTGCTATCCATCTTTCATGTGCGCGCACGTCGTCCCATCCAGTGATGAGGTGGATCTCAGCAGGCTCCTCCGGATTTGTGAAGAAGCATAACGGGTAACCCGAAGAGGATGCTTGCCAGGAAGAAACTTTGGAGAAAAGATCTACTACATGCGGGTCGGAGAGTTTATTGGGGGGGATCAATGAGAGGGATGCGAATTCTGTGATTGGCATGATGAACTGTCCCGATGACGAACTTCTGCTGGGATACAATTGAGCTCGGTGAGTGTTAGAAGGTGCTAGAGCGACGAATCAAGACTATTTGATAAACGTTGGATGTCCTTTTTAAATGCAGATGGCACACTGAACGCGTCAGCGCCTTCATCACGTTTGATCTTGATGAGCTTGCGTCATGTACAGATTCCGATTGCTTTACGTTTTAAATGCAATTGTACACTCAACGCGTCTGCGCCTACATCTCATTTGATTTAAATGAGCTTGCATCATTTACAAATTGCGCTAACTTCTGAATGTAAAGATGGACGAGATCGCACGCCCCGCAGCTCAGCTGACCTGTGCATTGGATCAAAAACCATGAAAGTGGTAACGATGCTGTGAGGCTAAGTGGGGATTTGCGTGGCAGGGTAACCACTGAGAGCGGTGGAGACCGCCTTTGCCAGCATACTAGATAGAAATAGTATTATCAAGGACATTCAGGCACTGAGTCAACGTCAGGATCTCACCTGTGAACAGTGAACAGCGGGTGCAGAGTATTAAGCCAGCTACAAAACGATCCATTAGAATCGTTTGGGACCTTTAAACTGACTCACAAGTAGCTCGACACAGGCGCACAACCCTCGACCTGGTATGTAGGAGTGGGAGTGCCATTCTCGTAAGCTGTGCAATAGCCAGTGACATTCACAAAACCGAAAGTCTGCCAACTGTCAAGCAGGAGGTTGAATATAGGCTGAGTATCCACAACGGTGACGGTGCCAAGGTCTGGGTACTTGGATTTGAAGGTGCGCACAGATTGCGTAAGTTGCGCGTTGTACTCAGAAATATCAGAGCTCATTTTTGCTGCAGCCTTGGGACCCTGTTCGATGAATAGGGGCGCACGGTTGGTAGGTGGGACAGTGAGGAACAAGAACGATCGAGCGCCCTTTGAGTACAAATCCTCGACCTGATGTAGTACTGTCAACAGCATATCAAACGAGCCGAGTACAACCTCCCTCACCTGGGAAAACAGACGGTCCATGAGAGTCCCATAGAATTCAACCTGAGTTATGTTGGTCTGGGTGCAAACCGATCAGCGGCGGACACTCCCAAGCATAATGAGAATCACCCACCCAGCCGAAAGAGTTCCCCTAGATATGTACTTTGAAGTAAGTATTCGAAAAACGCTGAATTGAGTAGAACCTGCGTACGACGTCGTTTATGCCAATCCAAATGGCAAACAGACTGTTTGTGCTATTCCATGTAGCGCCAGCAGGCTTGGAGGCCAGGTACTCGTTGAATTGAGTGACCTGTTCAACCACAGAGCTGCACATAACTGAATCGAATGAAACCGAATAGAAGGATTCTGTACATACAGTACAGTGGGTAGGTAAGGTGGGACAAGGGCTCCATCGATGGTCGCACCACCATACGCTAGGTCAAAGGTCTGAACTCATCTAGATCAGCACATAACATAAGCAAGTGGATTTTACAGTCACCTTCACGGCCGTTTGGTTGTATGTACCGGCTGCTGCGTGTCAGACACAGAGAAGTGACCTCTTCTCTTTTCACTTACTCAAAAATTGAACCCAGTTTGGGCCATTCGATGAGGTCTATCATTATGAAATCAGTCCGGGGATGGTCAAAATGTAGTGCTAATGCTTACGTATCCTGGGACTGGCGAGTCGATACCAGCAGAGACGTTGTATCCATCGGTGGTGTACGAGTCTCCGAATACAAACATATACTCAGTTGCGTTCCAGGAAAGGGCTGACGCAACAGAGGTTGACCAGAGTAAACCAATGCTGGCGGCTACCAGTCTGCGCCCCACGACCATCTCTAGAGAAATTTGAGTGGATGAAGTGCACAGTAGAAATATTCAACATACGTTCACTGCCATCTCTTATAACCACGTTACAGAAGCCATGAGTAAGGACTATAGTCCGCAACCCGACAATAACCGCACTTCGGACTAAGTATATAACCCATGAACGTCACACAGGACCCTGTTCGTGAGTTTTGGACCAAGGAATGACCTCTGCCGGGGAAATATTGGATTAATTAGTGTTTCCACGGGCGAAGCCATACTGCCTAGGGAATAAGGAATTCAATAATATGATTCAACTGAGGACAGTACTAGCTCATGATCAGGTGCCAGGTCACGAGATTGTAGTACGTGGATCACGCGCGATGGCTACCGCGCTTGCGGGACAGTTTGTCTTATTGATACCAGATTGAAGTCACTTCAGCGAGTGTGTTTCTCATGCTGCCATGATAACTCCTTTGCGGTTTGGCTGTACACAAAAACATTAAGCACAGACGGATTGGTATCTGGCTATCAAGCAAAATAAGCACGCACCGGTAACATGGCCGCTGCTCGAGACACGCATGCGCAATATGTGACATCTCATCGGTGCCAGAAGTATGAAGAGATTAGCGTTTAGCGATCGTTCCAAGCCCTGTTTATCTTGGAGCAAAGTAGGGCGCGTTAGATGAGACGCATGTTCTTTCGAGTTGGTTCACTGCACATAATAGAATTAAGGAATCATTGGTATATGATGGGCGTTTATGGATGGGGGCAGTGATATGGAAGAGGATAAATCCATGCCGTTACCCGTAGCAGGGTGATTACGGGGCCAATAGGAACGCCTGGTAAGTTGACTATATGAGGTGGGTTATTGGCAAAAAACTCAATGTACCTCACCATAGTAAGTATCCGCACTGTAACCACCTATCCCACGAGTACGACGTTCTTCATCAAGCCCATTGGCGTACCTGGCTCCCGTATTCAGCATAAATACTGTTTGCGATTATGAAGCGTGAGCTTTCAAGATCACTGCCTTTTGGCGTAACAGTTAAGGGACGGCAGTCTTGACCTACTTACCCAACATCAACTTTTAAATGCTACTGACCATCTCTCTGCCTAGATCAACGCGACATGTCACGGGCGCTTGATATTGCAAGAAATGTGGATCTTACTGTGAAAGGGCAACCAGAGCCAACGCGAACGATGCGAGGGCACACGGGGAAGGTTGAGGCAGTCGCATTCTTCAAAGACAGTCGACGGGTCGTTACTGGTTCGCATGATAAAACCCTGCGAATTTGGGACTTGCAAAATGGAGCATTAATAGGAGGGCCATTTGAGGGACACCGGGGTGGGGTGTTATCAATCGCTGTGTCTCCAGATGACAGCCAAATTGCAAGTGGTGGAAAAGATAATACCATTATCATCTGGGACGTCGAGGGCAAGCAGAAGGTATTCAGTCAGCTGATGAAGCATGCAGGCTGGGTGAACTCAGTGTGTTTCTCCCCCGATGGAAAGAGACTTGCCAGTGGTGCTGGCGATGACATGATTGTCCTATGGGATGCAAAGGGCGGGGCCGTCCTTGCGACATGTCCTCACTGTCTTGTGTTCAGCGTCGCATTTAGTCCGGATGGACTAAAATTAGCTTCCGGGTCAACGGGCACTATCCGGATTTGGCGCACCGATAACGCCGAGCTTCTTCTCGAAATCAACGCTCATGAAAGTTACGTTCGAAGCGTTGTCTGGTCGCCTGACGGCCAGCAACTTGTCTCGGCATCATTGGACACAACAATCAAATTCTGGGACTCATCTAACGGAGACCATGTTCATTGCACCGCCAGTGAGTCATGGGACTGGGTCCGCTCGCTCGCCATCTCTTTTGATGGCTCCTTCATCGCCACTATCTCGGACGATAAGACTGTGCGACTGTGGAGCACGAAAACATACCACCAAATTGGACACGCACTTGAACACACCAAAGGAGTTTACTGTGCCGCAATTTCTCCCAATGGAGAGCTGGTCGTCAGTGGAGATCGCGAAGGGAAGGTACTGCTCTGGTCCATCGAGGACACACTTTCGGCAGCGATCCAGCTGTATTCCTCACGCGACTCCTTCTTTGCGCACCGCAGTAAGGTGAATTTAAGACGAAACCTATATCAAGAGGCCCTCCATGACGCGGAGAAGGTGCGGATGATGTTCGAAATTGTTCCAGCAATTGCGCTGATCATTACCGCCGATGTATAGGTCGTTGAGCTCGACTCTTCATCTCATATTGGGTACGAGCTTAAGTATGCGGCTCTCCACGGAGCGCAGCGCTATGATGACGCTATCGAGGCCTTCAAACTCTTGCTCTCCATATTGGACCATGCTGCCGACGTAGGGATACAAAGTAAGCCTCAAATAGCTTGTGTGACAACCTGAAGATAAATCAACTCATTTTCCAGAACTGCGTCGGAATTATGTCAGTCTATCTGAAGTAGAAGATGCTATTCGACAAGCCATTCATACTCAATTGGACAACGCCCCACTTCGTCTATTTAACACTTTTACTGGGCGTTTATCCAATCGAGATGCACAGATCAATACCTTTATGGAGAGCACAGAGTACAAGGAGATCTTGTCATCATCTGTGGCGCAGGCGCCACTCCAGATGCAGCCCATCAATGAAGCGGTCGAAAAATACTTCAGCTGGGTCATGTTATCACATAGATGGGAAAGCAAGGAGCCGCTGCTGCATGACATCCGTGACAAAGTCGTGTATGATTTGGATCCAGTTGGAACCATCGTCAAGTTGCAGACATTCTGCAAAATTTCCCGTGATGCGGGGTATCGCTGGGCGTGGAGTGATACCTGCTGTATCGACCAGAATAACAATGTCGAGCTCCAACGATCGGTTAACTCCATGTTTGTCTGGTATCGCCATTCAGCTCTTACGATCGTCTACCTGTCGGATGTTCCGCCTTCAGCGAAGTCGGGTGCACTCGCAAACAGCGCGTGGAACACGCGGGGATGGACTGTTCAGGAATTCCTGGCTCCTAACGTTGTTCTCTTCTACCAAGAAGATTGGACACCATATCTCCAAGACAGCTCTCGCAACCACAAGGAGTCTGCCACTATCATGCATGAGTTGGAGAAATCAACAGGCATAAATGCACAGGCCCTCGTCGCCTTCCGTCCGGATATGGCAGGTGCGCGAGAGAAACTGCAATGGGCGTCGAAGCGTGTCACTACGTGGCAGGAGGACGTCGCATACTCGTTGTTTGGCATCTTCGGCGTCCACTTACCTGTTATCTACGGCGAAAAGAAGCACAATGCCCTCGGGCGGCTCTTGCAGGAGATCATTGCTCAGTCGGGCGATATAACTGCCCTGGACTGGGTCGGAAAATCATCCGAATTCAATAGTTGTTTGCCAGCCGATATTACCTCGTATGCAGCTCCGCCATGCACACTGCCATCTCTTCCCGAAGATGAGATACAGATGTCAGTCTCCTCACTGCGAAACACCGCAGTCATAGAACTGGCTTTGAAACTGTATATCCTACTCGACAACATCAGTGCTCCTCGTTTCGACCACCGCAGACTGCATCTTCCTTGCATCGCATTTGTTGTCGCAGAAGTCAGACGGCGGCGTGGCATAGGTCGGGAGCCATGTTCTACTTATGAAGTCAAGGCAGAGGGGCTTCAAGACTTGCACATCGCCACTGCAGACGAACTTCCACAATTCTCGCAGGCAAGGGCCACTCAACGGGTATTTTTGCTTGTCCGTCCGTGGAATCGTTGTGACCTTGGGCTGCCCGACTTCGTAGACGACACGGAGAGCCTGGAATATTGGTCGGACCAAGAGTTCCCATCGGATAATTCGCCTAGCAGGTCTCCTGGAGAGCATGAGCTAGTTGATTCGGAGTCTCACCTGCGAGCTCTGAGGTTGATCGTTCGCCTTGGACAGCCTTTTGGTGCACTTCTGCTGGCGCAGCAGCGTGGTGGGGAGTACAAGAGAATCGCTTCAGATCAACATATCATCGCACGGGTAAAAGACATGACTGCTGTTCGTGATATGATGGGCGTCAGGACACTAGACATATTGTAACTGCATGCATCTTCATAAACGGACATCTCTGACACGTTTTCATTCGTACCTTGACAGTACTTGCATGGCACAATATCCGTAGGCATTTGTATTATATATTAAGCTAACTCATGACAAGAAACCGAACAAATACGATTGGGCGATCGCATCGTCATCGAGAGCACCAGCTCGTTGTTTGTCTCTACTGCGCTGATCGCTTATCATTATCAATCACAGTGCGTCCTTGTCAATTGTGTCATTAATTTGCTTCCCCTTTGTTTCCGCGGTATGTTCACCTCGCGAAGAGGTAATGTACTTTTTCATGGTAAGCCTCATGTTTCATTTGATTATAACGTGTTGTTCAAAGTGGACATTGCAGATGTACTTAGCAATACCAACTTTCGATGTTGACGCAAAAATCGTATTCTGAATCGCGATGATAGGTGCATCAAGGCATATATATATACCTTCAGAACCTGCCTGAGAGAACGACATGTGCAAACCGTGTGCGATATGTGGGACACTGCAACAATCATCTTATCATAAACTCATCTCGCACGTACATACATCCCCCTGCCTACCCAAGACCGCCTGAACTTCTATTTGGACTGCCTCTCCAAGCCCGCTGAGAAGATACATGCCACTGGTTTGAACATCGTGTGACTCTCAGGTACATCCTGTCTGATATGCAGTCTGTACGTTCGCAAGCCACTTAGTCTGCTGGACTGTCAGGCACTGCAAGCATAAGTGGTTCTAGCGTTCTCGCAGTCAGATCGCTTACAGAAGTCTAGGTTGACCACCCGAAGCGACATGACACCATGAGGATGAAGTAAGGTATAGGCTCATTATTTCACAAGGCCGTGGAGATAATCATGACTGGTGTCTGAAATTCAATGAATGCTACATGTTGATGACAGGCGTCTATCGGAAGCAACAATCTTCAAATACATGCAATAGTAATCTCTATTCCAACGAAAAGGTTCTGAAGGAAGTGACCACTTAGCGGGTGCGGGAAGCAGCAGTACTTGCTGGTTGAGTGCGTGTAACACACGGGAAGAACCTTATGAGAACTGAGAGGCAGCTAATGTCTGGAACATAATCAACGTCCAGCGGGGAAGGGGGTCTGTTCGTTGCAGCAGAAGCACTGGTACTTCCAGTCTGCAAGGTTGCTGGGGTAGTTCCGTCGGTCACATTGGATGTGCCCAATGGGGGTGCGCTGCTGCTTGAAGCACCAGCATTCGCTACACCAGTGTTGGAAGTGTGGGCTGATTGGGGAGGGGGACGTGGTCGCTGCACCACATGCCTTTTCCCGCTGATGGCATTAGCGGTGCGCTGCGGGAATGTCAGGAAAACGGGATGATGGATTGCCACAGCTCCGAAAACTTACGTATTTGCCTCGAGTTGCGAAGACATCCGCAGTGGGGATCCTGCTGGGAAGGGGAGTATCACTCTGAGGGGAGGAGCGAGAGAAGAGACTGTTTATAATGTTTTTCATTCGTGAGCCTTCGGCATGGTGTGTGGTTGTAGTAGTGCCGTTGTTGCGTCCAGGCGGGGAATGCGGATCAAACTGCAGGCGGATGGTGAGACGTGCATTGAGACTACCGTACCGTATGGACTTACATCATTGAAGAACCTAGGCGGGATTCTAGTGCGTTGTGGGTGAGGCTTTTGGCCTGGAATGGTCTTCTGCAAGACTGAAGTTAGGGATAATACAAAACGAAGAGCAGGAGAGCGTACTTTAAGATTTTTTTGTTCGGACTGTATGACAGGTCAGGATGAAGCATGACATGAGGAGAAAATTCGCTCGCCTGCTCTGATTCACTCTGAGGAACTGTCCATGTACGAACGAGCTTGTCCTCACAGCCAGTAGCGATGAGCTGGCTGTCCTCGGAAAAGGCCACACACCCAACGGCATCAGGGTGCTCGAGTGGCTCGCCGATGGGTTCGAATGTGGTCAGGTCAAAGAACCGCGTTGTTTTGTTATTGGATGTGGTGGCGAATTTGGTGCCATTGGGAGCAATGGCTAGTGAGAAAAAGGTTTTCGAGTGCGCGTCAAACTGTTTGATGATGTTTCCTGTGGCAGCATCTGAGATTCGGATGTTGTTGTTATATCCACTAGTACTGACGAGACGGAGACCATCTGGAGTGAATGCGACTCGCCAAGCCCGCTGTTCTATTTTGAGTAGTTCTTCTCCATTTGCTGAATTCCAAACGACGATGTGTTTGTCCGTCCCTGCTGCTAGTTTGCTCCCATCGGGGGAGTATGCCACCGAGAATGCCCCACTGCCCACTCGGAGTGGCCCGAGGACTATTTTGCCCGTCTTCCTCTTCCACACGCATACTGTTTCGTCCCATGACGCACTTGCAAATGTCTCGTTGTCCAGTGCAAATACGATGCCCAAAACATTACTGTCATGCCCCTTGAACGAGACTGGCACTCTCTTGTTTGTCTCAACTTCCCAGACCAGGACGCTTCCGTCCACTGCTCCACTCACAATCCAACACCCATCGGAGGATACTGCAACCGTCCAAATTTCATGATCGTGACCCAACAAGGGCTCCCCCACCTGTTTCCCCGTGTCCAAATCCCACACCCGAAGACTTTTGTCGTCAGCGCAAGTGACGAGGAGACCTGCACCAGGGATGAAAGCTACGCCGTTCACCCGGGCTTCATGACCCTTGTGCGTCATTTCGACATGAGGTGGTTCCTTTCGAGTTGACGATGTTCCATGAATGGTAGCCGCCATTGGATCTTGTTCAATGAATCAGTCAGCAAGAGCATCGAGGAGGGAGTAGTCACTTACATCCGCTATGGTGAGTGGTTGCTAAGTTGCATCTTCGACAGCATACTATTGCTGAATCCAAATGCCGGCCTTGCTGTAGACACGTGGTGTCCTGTTTACAGGTTCCACGTTCAGCGCTTCGTTCAACAGTTTTCTGTAGTAGGCGCCGTGGGCCGTGGCCGCTTACTGTGCTTTGACATGTCGTGGCTGATACAATCTCTCGGCCACATCACTCGACAGAGATATCTTATCGCATTGACATTTTTACTAATAGGTGACCAAGTGAATTTTTTCTGCACAAGAGTATTTCTCTGCGCCAGGCCCTCTCGAACTCAAACGCTCTCAAATGTATGCCATCGAGAGTGTTGTGGAGAAGCCCATTAATCTGATCCAAGGCCCTCCTGCTACCGGAAAGACAGTAACTTCCACTTCTATCGTCTATCATCTCGCCAACATGAATATCGGTCAAGAGTTCGTCTGCGTGCCATCGAACATGGCTTTCGACCTTGCGTTATTATCCCCGACAGTTACATATTCACGCAAGTCTGCTGTGAAGCTTTTGGATACGAGTGATGTCTTGCAGGCTCTTAAGGAAGCGTTGCTGGAGGCATTAATCAGGAAGCCGTGTATGCACATGGAAGAGCTAGCGTGTCCTACCATGCTAACCAATATGCGGTCATCATCAGCTTCGCTCACCTATCCCTCCGCCTGGTGCCAAAACAATGGCCAATGCCGACAGTGCTCACATACCAGTGAAACTAGTTACGGTGCCTGCACTTGGTCCGGAATGGCATTTATCTGAAATGAAAACCCTGATTAAGTCGGGTCGACAAGAGATCAAGAGTGAGAAGTGGCTGGAGAAGTGGAAACTTAGCATCGCGGGGAGACGTGTTTGTGTGGAAAGTGGTTCACCAAAAGTTCCTGACCTTCTTCCTATTTGGGTCGTCCGCCATGTAAGTCACACTCGTCCTCCCGAGCAAAAATATATTGAAAGGCTCTGTAGCATTGGCGCTATACTCGCAATCACCATCCCTCGAGCACTTGGTCTGTCGATTCCCACTAAATTCTCTTGATTTCCAACCAATTTCTCCCTTCCGGTAAACGTAGTTTATCCAAGTTGATACAACCACCAATAACATTCCCCTTACATTCAACTACATCTCTGCGGAAGTTCGGGATCCAACCACGAATCTACAAGTCGGCACGGCTTACTTTGGATAAGATACGCTCCCGCCAAGTCATTCGAAGATCTAGGTCTCGCTCAACTTCTTGTATATTGCATCGAACGACTGGGATTCAACGTGGAATGCCTGCATTGTGGTATGCGTGATGCTTTCCGTGGACACAGTGCTTGACTTGCTTATGCTGGGGACGTGAGGTCAGGATATGCAGTGTACTATGTTTCTTGTGCTATGTGCCAGTCTGTAAATGTTTTGTTGATACACTAGAGTGATCATTCGAGCGATGTGATATCACGGCGAAGCAACACATATACTCGTATTTCACAAGGCCGTTGAGAAAGTCATGACTGGTATCTAAACTTCAATGAATGTTGCTACGTATGATGGCAGGCGTTTATCAAGAGCAACATATGGATCTTCGAATACACGCTGTAGGAACTTATCTCTATTACAACGAAAAGGGTCTGAAGGGTGTGCCCGCTTAGCCCGTGCGGGAAGCAGCAGGATATGTCTATGGAGTGCGTGAAAGACACGGGAAGCACCGTATGAGAACTGAAAAGCAGCTAACGTCTGGAACATATTCAACGTCCATCGGAGAAGGGGGTCTGTTCGTTGCAGCAAAAGCACTGGTACTTCCAGTCTGCAAGGTTGCCGGGGTAGTTCCGTCGGTCACATTGGATGTGCCCAATGGGGGTGCGCTGCTGCTTGAAGCACCAGCATTCGCTAAACCAGTGTTGGAAGTGTGGGCTGGTTGGGGAGGGGGACGTGGTCGCTGCACCACATGCCTTTTCCCGCTGATGGCATTAGCGGTGCGCTGCGGGGATGTCATCAAAACGGAATCATGAATTGCCATAACTCAGAAAACTTACGTATTTGCCTCGAGTTGCGAAGACATCCGCAGTGGGGATCCTGCTGGGGAGGGGAGTATCACCCTGAGGAGTGGAGAAGCGAGAAAAGAGACGGTTCATAATGTTTGTCATTCGTGAGCCTTCGGCATGGCGCGTGGTTGTAGAAGTGCCGTTGTTGCGTCCAGGTGGGGAATGTGTATCAAACTGCAGACGGATGGTGAGACGCGCATTGACACTACTGTACCATATGGGACCTACATCATTGAAGAACCTAGGTGGGATACTTTGAGGAACTGTCCATGTGCGAACGAGGCTGTCGTCACAGCCAGTCGCGATGAGCTGGCTGTCCTCGGAAAAGGCCACACAGCGGACGGCATCATGGTGCTCGAGTGGCTCGCCGATGGGTTCGAATGCGGTCAGGTCAAAGAACCGCGTCGTTTTGTCGTACGATGTGGTGGCGAACTTGGTGCCATTGGGAGCAATGGCTAGTGAGGAAAAGGATTCGACATGCATGTCAAACTGTTTGATGATGTCTCCAGTGGCGGCATCTGAGATGCGGATGTCTTTTTCATTTCCACTGACGAGACGGAGACCATCTGGAGTGAATGCGACTCGCCAAGCCCGCTGTTCTATTTTCAGTAGTTCTTCTCCATTTTCTGAATTCCAAACGATGATGTGTTCTTCCGTGCCCGCTGCTAGTTTGCTTCCATCGGGGGAGTATGCCACCGAGTATGCTACATTGCCCACTCGGAGTGGCCCGAGGACCATTTTGCCCGTCTTCCTATTCCACGCGCATACTGTTTTGTCCCATGACGCACTTGCAAATGTTTCGTTGTCCGGTGCAAATACGACGCCCCGAACAGAATCCTCATGCCCCTTGAACGAGACTGGCACTCTCTTAAGCTTGTTTGTCTCAACTTCCCAGACCAGGATGCTTCCGTCCCACGCTCCACTCACAATCCAACACCCGTCGGAGGATGCTGCAACCGTCCAAACTTCATCATCGTGACCCAACAAGGGCTCCCCCACCTGTTTCCTCGTGTCCAAATCCCACACCCGAAGACTTTTGTCCCAAGAGCAAGTGACGAGGAGACGTGTACCAGGGATGAAAGCTACGCCGCTCACAACTTCTTCATGACCCTTGAGCGTCATTTCGACACGAGGTAGTTCCTTTCGAGTCGAAGATGCTCCATGAGTGGTTGCCGCCATTTGAACTTGTTCAATGAATCAGTCAGCAAGAGCATTGGGGAGGGAGTAGTCACCTACATGTGCTATGGTGAGTGGTTGCTAAGTTGCATCTTCGACACATACTATTGCTGAATCCAAATGCCGGCCTTGCTGTAGACACGTGGTGTCCTGTTTACAGGTTCCACGTTCAGCGCTTCGTTCAACAGTTTTCTGTAGTAGGCGCCGTGGGCCGTGGCCGCTTACTGTGCTTTGACATGTCGTGGCTGATACAATCTCTCGGTCACATCACTCGACAGAGATATCTTATCGCATTGACATGGCCCGACGTCCCAGGTCGTAGTTTGCGTGTCTTCTCGTTCACCCAATCCTACTATTCGCGTGAAAATATGCAATCGCCGCTAGCCGAGCATCATTTGGCTTAAGAAGTGGCTAAAAGGCAATATTCCCCGCCGTGGAATGGGTGACTTTGGAGGACAGATATGGATTCACTGCTATGGGCAACCACTGACAACCCCGGAGATTATATACATTAGCTGAATACCTTGCCATCCCAGATTTGCCCGATAACGAGACAATTCGTTTTATGAGATCAATACATCTTAAGAAGGAGGCAGAACGCCAGCGGGAGTCCGAGTCTACATAGGAAGAAACTTCATTTTGTCAAGAGTCACTCCTGCAGGTCACTTTAGACGTAAGTACTTTGCTGTACTTCACGGCACAGTCATATTCAACTTGATACAACTTTCTGGAAAACACCATGCTCGTCCAGCTACTGTTTATGAAACGGCTGCTACCCGTTCACTGCTGATGTCAGTGGGAAGAGTCCTGTTAACATTATTTAGCACAGATGCTAACTTGAAACGAAATCGAGGCATCCCATGCCTAGTTCCCCCAGTAGGGTCTAGCGGAGCATTAGGCACCCTTCTCCGAGGGTACACTAACATGGTTATGGCTGTGGCCACCCCGTCGGATGTAAATCACGTCGTGCCTTGTTCATATGACTGTACAAACTGGCAATTGTGCTCAACCACACATGTCATGGATTGTACGAAGACTGCACACTCAACTCGGAGGCTACTTACGCAGTTAAGAAGGAATTACTATGCCGCTTGAGCGGAGAATCGGTTTAAATTCTATAGTTCAAAGACGCATTGCCTTCATCTGCTAGACTCTCAGAAATTGTTATCCTTGGAGCTTGAATTCCCTCATCGGAATTTATCCCGAAAGAGGGGGTTTCCTTTTTTGTCACACGGACGGCGTGAGATTCCTCAAATATTGTCATTACTACTAGTACTATTCCGCAAACCACTCAGCAGAACCGACCTGCCCGAACATTCATGATTTCGGTTGGTCTTTTTCAACATTGCCATCGACAGTGCTAAGTGTTATGTCTAGGCATTCTTCATATTCAATCAGAAGGGAGAGGTGTGCTTGGTTGTCTTATCATTATCTTCTCTTTATAAATGCATTCGTGGCGTCAGGTCCTCATATCCAGACTGTATCGGACAGACTTCAAGTAGGCTCGTTTTCTATTCACGCCCTTACTCGTCTTATGCATCATAGGCGATCCATCGCAGACGTGTTCCGGATACAAGTCGTGTCTAACAGTGATGTGCGATCTCCCATAATAACATTGGGCTCGACCAGTTTCTTCCATGTGCGGGTGAACAACCTCTACATTGTCTGCGTGACAAAGTTTGTCCCATACCTCTAGCTTGCTTCGTTGCGTTAATCATTAGCTCAGGACAAACGCAAATGCTGCCCTCGTCTTCGAATTTTGTTATCGTTTCATTAGTATTGCAAAGTCATATTTTGGAAAGGTGGATGAGGAATCTGTCAAGAACAACTTCGTGTTGATATACGAATTAATTGATGGTCAGATGGTTTTATTTGTCTGCACAGTGCTTCACCAATTATACTCTACAGAAATCAGTGATTACGGGTACCCTCAGAACAGCGAGATCGACACCCTCAAATCATATATCACCACAGAAAGCGTAATATCTTCGGCTATAGCAGCTGTTTGCATTTTCTCTTGCTGGTATATCAACATTCAGCTGATTGCGCTTTAGGAGGAATCCTCAAAAATCACTACCCAAGCTACAGGAGCGACAAGTTGGCGTCGTGGGGATGTAAAATACAAGAAGAATGAAGCGTTTGTAGACGTGGTGGAGACTGTCAATCTAAGCATGAGTGCGAAAGGTAATAACAACTTGTATGCCCTCATTTGCATCGTCTGCAGTGCTGACGATTGTTTTCTAGGGACTGTCCTCCGTGCCGATGTGGATGGGCATATTCAAATGCGCGCGTATCTGTCTGGGACGCCAGAGTGTAAATTTGGTCTCAACGACAAGCTCGTCATTGATAAGAACAGCCAAGGAGCCGGGGCAAGCGATGCAGTAGAACTGGACGACTGTCGGTTTCACCAGTGTGTCCGGCTCAATGAATTCGACACAAGCCGCACGATCAGCTTCATTCCTCCTGATGGTGAATTTGAACTGATGAGGTTAGCCACTCTTATTCTTCTCAGTTTCGCAAAAAACCACTAAAAACGGTATTCAGGTACCGCTCGACGTCAAATGTCAAGTTACCTTTGCGAGTGATCCCTACGGTGAATGAGATTGGAACGACGCAAGTGTCGTATAACATCACCGTTAAAGCCAATTTTGGGACCAAATTGTCAGCCACAAACGTGGTTTTACGGATACCGACACCATTGAACACGACCGGCGTGGACTGCAAAGTTGCAAATGGCAAGGCTAAATATGTACCGGCAGAAAACGTGGTCGTATGGAAGTATGTCGCCTGGTTCACGTGAGATGACTCCTGCTGATATTGCGTCCAGGATTCCACGGATTCAGGGTGGACAGGAGTGCACCTTCAGCGGGACTGCTGGTCTTACCAGCACTACCACTCGGCAAGTTTGGGCTCGGCCGCCTATTGACGTTGACTTTGAAGTTCTGATGCTCACTGCATCTGGTCTGATTGTCCGGTTTCTCAAAGTCTTTGAGAAAAGCAATTATCACAGTATCAAGTGGGTACGCTACCTCACGAAAGCGAGCGGGAGTTATCAGATCCGGGTATGTGGTTAAACCATCCGACTCGTGACAGATCGCGTGCTGACAACTGGCAAAGTTTTGATGCGATCAGTATCCCTTGCATTTGTTGACTTATATACTACATCCTTGGACAATCGTGTTAATCACATACCGACTGATGGACTTTGGATCCTTCTGAAATTTTAACTACGTGATGTCGGGACTTGTGTTTTGAGTACTGTACCAATCTTAGTAACAACTATACACAGGCCCCGACAGCCTACGCTCAGCTCAGCTCTGTTCCTCAGTTTCCACAACATCGCTCCGCTTCCATGTTCTGGAGGTAATTTCTTTCCCTTTCCACATATTGTGGTTTTTAAACACATTATGAATTCTTTTATTGAGTAGATTCGGATTTCACAACACATCCTCGATCGACAGTCTACTGGACAAGGACGACGTTTCATTAGAGGCAATTCTAGACGAAGATGATCTACTACAGGAATGCAAGTCGCAGAATACACGACTCATTGACTACTTTCAGCGTGTAGACGTCCTGAAAAGACTTCTGGGGTATGTGACTGGTCAGATTGAAGGCGAAGAGGAACGAGGACGGTTCAAGTAAGCCTTATCTCCGGTACGCTGCCTCATGGGCATCTCCACTGATCAAATTCTAGGTATCCATATGTCGCTACAGAGGTTCTCTGCAGTGAAATATGGTCGATAGTGGAAACATGCGTCAATTCGTCGGATCAGCTGCTCACACCGTTCTGGGAAACAGTTCTCGACAAATCTCCTGAAGAGATGAAGACGGAGATGGTCATGGCTTCTCACTTTGCCAAGATTAATGCTGTCTTCCTCACCAAGAAGCCGGCGGAGGTGAATGACTATCTTTTCGCCCCCGTCCTCTGACGAACTCAGAGCTCTGTGCTCAGATGCTTGTCTTCATTCAATCCCAACCATCTGTCGTGGAGCGCCTCTTGCGACACGTCGAGACGCCATCTATAGTTGACCTTCTTGTCCGCATTATTCAGCTGGACGAAGTCCCAGGTGGTGCAGGCGTTCTTGAAGTATGCTCTTATATGCAGCATTCTGCGTGGCAGCTTACCCAGTATCGCAATTCAGTGGCTTTCGTCGGAAAACCTCATGGGCAGATTGGTTGAGCTGCTTTCCCCTACGCACACCAGCGACATGCATACAGTGGTTTCAGAACTGATCAAGGGGATACTTTCCATGGCTACTGCGTCACCTGCACCAGGACTCACGGATGGTCTGCAGAATGGAGTTGCTTCAAATCTCTTTTCCAGGGAGCTGGCACGGCCCGAGAGTGTTTCGACATTAACCGATTACATATTAGGCGACTTCAGTCCATTAGCCGAAGCCGAGTCCCAGAAAGCGCTTCATGGTGATGATTCTACTGATCATTGTAGTTCCTCTACCCCAGAGCTCCCAAATCTTGACTCCTCTGTCTCTTCTGTTGTCCACTCGATATCTGTGGTCATTGAACTTATCCGGAAAAACAACTCGGACTATTTCGAACCATACCTCTTCCATACCCTGCGGAATCGGCTGATTCATATCCAACAACAGCTGGCAGGGGCCGAGAATGGGCGCGCGAAGCTTGAGGAGTCCATGAAGGAGATGTCGGACAGAATGGGTGTGGTTTACCTAGGCCCCTTGCTGGAGATTATGGGCGAACGACTCGTGACCTTCGAGCAATACCTTCGTCGACCACGATCTTTGGTGAGTCTGTTAGTTGTCGCTCGAACTCTCGACATAACCTTCCTCCTTCAGCAAGGCCCCATACCCACAACTGTAGGTGTGATTACGCCTCTCACCTTCGAACGATTTCGGATATGCGAGCTGTATGCTGAACTCCTGCATTGCTCCAACATGGCTATCTTAAACCGTCCTGGGGAGTTTAGCGAACTGTATGACAGCCAAGGTCGATTACAAGGCGGGCTATCATCTCTAGAGCATCTTGCTCGTGTGATTGCCATTGGTTCTGGAGACGAAAGAGACCAAGACGCAATGGATGACAACCACGACGACGTTGAGCCCGCACTGGAGTTGCCTGTCACCAAATCACGAGGCTCTTCGCTATTGGATTCGGATGAAGACATGAGCGACGACGAACCTGGCAGCTCAGATGACGATGCCCTGGAGGAGATCATGATGGATGACCCTCCGAAAGTGGACCATTCACCAACAGAAGATCTTCCGCCACGGGAACCTCCAGCAATCGTTCCTTCCTCGCCTAGTGCAGCGTTATTACCTCCACCTTCTGAGATTGCGGCTCAAGGTGCTGCGAAACGGACTTCCAGCACGTCTAGTAGTAGTGATAGCTCGACCGCAAAATCTCCCTCCATACATTCGCGCAGAAGCTCCAAGCGGATGGCTAGCAATGATACAGTGCCATGTCTCTCGATAGGGGAGAAAACGAAAATGCGCTTCTTGGAGGCCAATGTCTTGAGCACTTTATTGGTGAGCTGCCGATTTTCCGTACTGCTGCTGTACTAATACGTCTGACCAGGACCTCTTCTTCGAATTCCCTTGGAATAACTTTTTGCACAATACCGTCTATGATTTCATTCATCAAATTCTCACTGGCAGAACTGATGGAGGATTGAACAAAGAATTGTCGATCTCTCTCTTCCGGGATGCACACATTATGCAACGCATCATCGACGGTCAAAAGCGAAATGATGCAGAAAGGTACCGCTCTCACATTTGCTGTTGCATGGTCTCAATTAGACACCTTTAGCTCAAAAGCAAAGGGTGTTCGGCTTGGTTACATGGGTCATCTCACGCAGGTGGCAGAGGACGTTATTGGAGCTCTTGAGCACTATCCACCTAACCTTCGGTTAATCATCGAGCAGTATGCACCTCAACCTGCTTGGCAGGAGTACGTGACGGGCCGCTTCAATGAGACCAAGAAACGGGATACCAGCCTCCTTGGTGGAGGGAGGCCTGCCGTTACCTCAACTTCACGTGCCGGTGGTAGATGGACGGTTGACGAGGAAGACAGTGGCTCATCGCTGAGCGCAGGCGCGACCACAGGTCCTGGAACGACTGGGGAATTCAGGAGATCGGTTAGCACAAGACCATCAAGAGCAACGACTGCTGATTTCGGACCGGCGCCGATGGAAGACGACGAAGACGACCATGGCGCTGGACCTCCACAGGTACGTCCTGTTTCGCTCTGAATCAGAGAATTTGCTGATTTTTGTCCAGTTTGCTCGCTACTTGGCTCAAGAAATGCACTCAGGGGAGCAGTTCAACTCATCATCTGATACTTCGGATGAAGATGAAGATGAAGACGGCGGGTGGTTGGCTCAATCGTCATTTGATTTAGGAAGACCACCCCTTCGGAGAACTGCCGGAAATCGGCAAGAGATTTCTTCAACTGGTTTTGACGTAGGTACATCCCAATATATCTTTTCCCTGGAGTAATTCGGCCCCCTAGGATGCATTCAATCCTGGCCCCAGTGGTGCTTTGAGGGAGGCGCTGGCTGATGATCCTTTCGGGGTAAAATATGACGACGTGAATAATTTCACATGTCTCTCGTCGAGCTCTATTGACAGACTCTTTCCAGGACGATGGTTTTGGTCCATTTTCCGATGCAGCGGCAACCTCCCCAGATCGTTTCAATTTTTCTTCTTCGATTTCATCGTCTTTCTCGTCTGATGACTCCTTTGACTTTGGAGATTTCCAGGGCTCAGATGACAGCATTCATGACGGTGAGCTCACCCCAACTGCTGGGAGCTGGACTTTGGCCAGTGGTTCAGAATCAGAAGGGGACGAGTTCGGAAACCCTGGGAAGGGCTCGAATGGGATGCATCCAATATCGCTGGATGATTTGAACGGACGACTGGAGTCCGATAAAAGTAAGGACTGGAGTTAAAAGCGGTGTGTTGATAGCGTGGTGTGCGCATTATCTTAGACGATGCTCTACTGTTCATGTGTACATATCACAGCACATATTTCCTCTATTCATTGTATCGTTTGGTGTATGTTAAAGGATAGTTATGGCGCGAACTGATACCCTCCACCCCTTGACTCTGCTGTGAATTGCAGCTCGGCAAGTACTTTGCCAGCCGCGTCAGCAAGGGTGCATTCGACACTGTCACCTGGATTGACAGGACCAACACCGGAAGGAGTTCCGGTCAGAATGAGATCGCCCTCCTGTGCATCTATGTGAGCAAATCAAGACATGGATACGATTATGCTGACGCACCTCCAAGGTCATGATTGAAGAGATGTGTTCAATAAGTCGCGGAATACGAAAAATCATGTCCCCGGTCGTACCATTCTGCTTGATCGCACCATTAATCTAGTACGTAAAAGTAACGTCAAGACATATTTCTGCTCGACAATGAAGTGAGACGAACCTTGAGGGAGAGCATGAGGTCATGAGCATCAGAGATGGTCGACTTGGGGATAAAAGACCTGATCACAGGTTCAAAACACAACGACATAACATGTTCTCAAGACATACCCAATGGGAGTGAATGTATCGAAGCCCTTCACAGCAGACCAAGGCAGACCCTTCTTCTTCACCTCGTCCTGCATGTTTCGTGCGGTCATGTCAACGGCCAAAGCTATGCATCCCAATGAGCATTCAAAACAATTTGCTAAACCTTTTGCTCACCATAACCCGCAATGTGCGACTCAGCTGCATCCTGGGAGATGTCTCGACCACCTTTCCCGATTATGAGGCCGAGCTCAACTGCGCTAGAATTTATACGAATATTACAAGAGCATGATATTGAAGCAGACCTTCATGGTGTGCTACTACGCCGCGTGGAATTTCAACCTTTCCCCCGGTAGGGAGGTAGCTCGTCGTGGGCTTGAGAAAGAAGAAAGGCTCTTTCGTCCTGGCGTTGTTGAGCTCCTTGATGTGTTCGGAGTAGTTTCTGCCAATGGCAACTATCTTGGTTCAAAGTAAGCATATCTTAGCCGTCTCACGACGATTTGGATTCACCTTTTTCCCCTGCCTGACGAACTGAGCTGCTGCAGACATAAGTATGGATGAGCGCAACACGGACCACTGACCGGACGGAACACCGAGGACGTGAACGGTCACGTGAGATACTTATATTTGAATTGCACAGCTTTACGCTTTACTTAGTACGCTGGACTTGGCCAGTTGTTGGAAAGTATTTGCATGTTCTGGCCATGACAACCTGAGCTGTCCATAACCTAAAATTACGGAGTTCCGTCGTAGCTCCTAAGGCTCTGTAGGGCTGTATATATACCTTCAAAAAGGACTTGA